GCTGAGTACGTTTGGGACCGACACACTGGTTCTTATTGTTCCAACCCCCCCCTCCCGTAAGATTACACCAGTACTCGTCTTCCGAGTTACCGGAGGCTGACGGACCGAAACTACCCGTACTAAAAGGGTACACCAAGAAGACGGCAAGGCATTACAGTTAGGCAAATATAAGAATAGTGTTGGTGCTGACAAACAAACAAATGTATTTTTTTTTAAAAAATAAATATTAATATATATATTTATTTTAAAATGAATTTGATTTGTTTTACAATAATCTTGGCTTTTTCATTAATTTTTTTTTTTTTTTTTTTTTGATTATGGGAAGGAAAATAGCACATGCTTATCAGTATATAGTTTTTTTTTCTGAGTCAACTGGCTAAAAGGTAATTTTTATGAAAATAAGTAGAGGAAAAAGAGAATATGTGAAAGTATAAGGATAATTATAAGTGGTAGTTGAAACAATGATTTAATGGACTGAAAAGAGAGAAACCCCATAGGATATAGCTATGGGATTTTTAAAACAAGAGTTTTAGTATGGGACACAGATATTTGTGTCGATTGGGCAAAGAATTTCAATGAATAGAGAAAGATTTAGTGTTTATCAGAATTGTTTTTATCTACGATAATCAATTGTAAGTTTAAATTAATTGTGAAGAATATATTTAATAGAGAAAGAGATTTTAGTCGTGGTGATAGATAATACCATAAATGGGATATGAGAAATCAGATAACTATTAAGGGCCTAGTTTTTCAGTGATGTTGAAAGGTTTGAAGAAATTCCTATAAAGGGAATAATTTTGAGAGCTTTAAGTTTTAAAATTAAAAATTTTGAGCGTTTAGCTATGAGAAAACAAAAATAGAGAATTTTAAATTATAGACCCAAAATAAGTACCACAGAAAGTATTTTGTATGAGAGAAAAATGAAAGAGAATTGCATGTGGTCGGGAAAGTGCATTCAATTGGAATTTTTAAAAAGTACAAATAACATCTATTAGGAATTTAAAATAGAGGAGAAGAAGAAGGAGAAGAAGAAAAAAAAAACTTTACTTTTATTTGGGAAAGATCAATAAAAGATATTGTTAAAAGTTAGGGATCCAGATGAATACGATAGAGTTGTTTATTGGCTCGATTAAAGTGTTTAACGATTGAAAGAAGCACTACGAGTGTTAAATTAATAAAATGGATCCACCGGGTTTAGAGGAATTTTTTTTTAAAAGATATTTGGATGAAAAAAAGAGTTGTAGAAAAAAATAAAAAAAAACGGTTATTTTTTTGATTACTTAAAAAAAAAAAATAAGCTAATAAGAAAGTAATTTGGATAGACGTTTGTATTCAGGGGGGTAGCTATATATTTCAAATTTATAATAAATTTCAGATAATTATCTGATTATTTTTTTTTTATGTACGGGTTTCATCAGAAAATCATATCAAAATTTTTTGAAAAACCCCGCAAAAATCTCATGAATAGAAGAGATGAAAAAATGAAAAATGAAAAATGAAAAATGAAAAATGAAAAATGAAAAATGAAAAATGAAAAATGAAAAATGAAAAATAACAAAAAAAAAAAAAAACACAACGGTGTGATTTAGTATATATTCAATACACAGAAAGAGATGTCAAGAGAGCTGGGAAAGAAAGCCGTGTGAAATAGAAAATGAAGAAATCAGAAGAAAGGGAATAGTAATCATAAAGGATTGATTGAATGGTTGAATCATAGATGAGTATTTATTTAGACAAAATTGTCAATAGTGTGTTTGGTTGATTTTATTGATGTAATATTTCTTTTTTACTTTGCATAGAAATGGTGTGGTATTTTCTTTTTATTTTATTTTATTTTTTTGTTATATATATGTCACGTTAAAAAATATTCAGTGTATTGTCAAATAATAAAAAAAAAAAAGGCTTTGGGATCGGATAGTATTATCATCAGTCGGTGTCATTTATGAAAAAATTTTTTTATTATATTTTCAAACTTGTTCGGGTCAAGAAAAAATTTGAAAACTAGGAGAGTAACCAAGATTTAATAAAAAAAGATTTGATCCGATTTGTCTTATCCGATCACAAGCAAAAAAAAAAAAAAAAGATGATATAGGAAATAGGAATTAGGAGATAGGAAATAAGAAAGCATACTATAATATACTGAGAATGAATATTAGAGACTTTCAGTTAGGTATTATTATTTTTAAAAAAAAACAAAAAAAAAACCGGTTTTCCATTTTCTGTTTTGGGTATTTTGATGGTGATGATAATAATTGATCAAAGAGTATTTTTTTTTTTTTGGAACGAAAAGATAATCTAGACCGGTCTTCTAGAATGTCTTTGGAAATGTAACAATTAAAGTAACAGCAACATTATTGTCAGCACGCCACGTACCCGTCAAAGCCATGACAAAAAAAAAATAATAAAATAACAACAAACCATTGGCTACTTGCCATAAAGAATTCAGTTCTTGGGAGAGGGGGGGAGAGAGATGAAGGAGAGAGGCTTTTCTTTTTTTTATTTTATTTATAAAGAAATTCTTAGATAGGCAATACAGAGAGTTTTTATGTTTCATTTAGAATTGTTTTCTTTTTTTTTCGCATGTGGTTGTGATATTAAACAGTAAGTTATGGCATCATGAGTATATATATATATATATATATATATATTTGTTGAAAAAAGAAAAAAAGAAAAAAGAAAAAAATCAAAAGAGACAAAGCAATCTACTTCGAAAGGTGAGAAACAAAAAGAATTCAAACAAATTTAAGAGTTAGTTGGCAAAAGAAACAAGTATGTGATGATGACTATTTTTTTTTGTTTTCTTTTCTCGGGAGCAGATTCCGGAATATTGAAAAGAGGATAAAGTGAGAAAGAACCATTGAGAAAAGCAGGAAATAGAGAAATTTAAATACGTCAGAGGGTAGGTTATGATGAACTAAATAAATATATATATATAAAAAAAAACGATATGCATGTTGATGAAGATTGGATTTTATATACGATTTTAAATATTATATTTATTTGGCTATTTTACACTGTGAACAGATTGAAGTTTATACTTAATTTCTTAATTAATAAGGAATGACCTTTTTTTTTTTTTTTAAACGACAGAGGACGTGGCATTTCAAAGTTCAAGATATAAATTATGCAAAAAATCTTTTGAGTTTCCAAAAGAAGTAATTGATTGATTATGCAAGAGATTTGGAGGACCAATCAGAATGTTGAGAGGGTGATGTATGCGTTGAGATAAAAAAAGGGGGGGGTAATGTTACGATGATATAGATGGGTATGAAGTTTATATAAACTTTATGGGATAAACGTGGCATTTATACGACAGAAGAGCATAATAACTGGATGAAAATGGAAGAGGAGTAAGCAAGTAAGCAAGTAAGCAAGTAAGCAAGCAAGTTAAAAAGAGGAATTTGAAAAGACTTTTTGGGTCCACTCAAGAGAATTTTAAAAACCCAGACTTTGCTTTATGGGCTTGTTGGTGTTGGGAATTTTGAAATGTGCATATGTCAGTCAACAAACAACACGACGCAATACGGGACAAAGAATATTAAAAAAAAAATACATAATAAGGAAACAACAGCGTTGAAGAGATTCTGGTGACCAATCAAAATGCAAGAGTTTATCTGATTGATCAGATACGTGGCTAAGTGTGATCTGTGTGTAATACGAGAGAAAAAACAAAAATAAAAAAAAAAAAAGGCCCACAAAGCCAAGTTTTGGGTTTAAAATTCTGCAAGCAGCTTAGAAAATGTTGGTTTAAAAATTTTAAAAAACCAAAAAAAAAAAAAAAAGAAAAAATAAATAAAATAAAATAATTTTTTTTTATGATTATTGAAATAGGGAAATAAATATCATCATCATCATCATCATCATCATCATCATCATCATCATCATTATCTAGTTGATATATTAATTTAAGTTATTGTCGTTTTTTCTCGGGTTTGAGATTTCAAAAAAATTCAACAATATATATTGAATACACATGGGAAATATCACTTGGTGTTAATAATATTAATCTCCATCTTTTTTTTTTTTGTCATTTTCGTATTTAATCACTTAAAAATATTATTACAAATAGCCATTATTTGATTGGCCTCTTTTTTTTTTTTTTTAATATTTTCACTTTTCCTAGTTTGGTTAAAATCTTTTTATTTAAATCTGATGCAATTTCAAAAAAAAAAAAAAAAAAAAAAAAAAAAAAAAAAATAAATATTTATATATATATTTTCTTTTTATTATTATTTTTTCTTCTTCTTCTTCTTAATCACAATTTCCTAATCGGGGCATCCACGCATGGACCGGCACGGCTACGGCATACAGACAAGTCTGCCAAACTCGACATGAACACACTTATGCTTACAAATGTTGAATTCCAAGCAATTCTATTGGCCAAAGATAGATTTTGGCTATATTTTTTTTTCTAGGAGGGGAGGCTGTGTGTGTGTACGGCAGAACCAACCCCGTGCGCTTACCTAATTTCATATTGCTCGGGATTCATGTGTAGTACTGTAGTAAATTGTTTCATATATATAAATACACACACAAATTAATTTAATAATTTAATAATTTATTTCATAATAATTTATTATATAATAAATCAATATTTAAAAAAATAAAATATCATATAAATCCTTGTTATTAATTCTTTAATATTTAAATAAAATATAAATAAAAAAAATAAAAAAAAAAGCGCTTTTCTTTTTTGCCTCCTCCGTTTTTTTTTTATTTTTTTATTTTTTTATTTTTTTTTTATTTTTTTCTATTCAAAAACCTCTTCTTTCCTCTTCTCTTTTTGATTTTTTTTTTAAATTTTTTTAAAATTTTTTTCAAATATCTAGCTTTTAATATTATTATTATTATTGTTATTATATAATAACTATATTGAATTCTTCACTCTTTAATTTTTATTGATATTTCTATTTCCAAACCCCCCTATATATATATATACATATACATGTATAAATAGAATTCAAAACCTTCCTTTATAAGATCATCACCATCACTTAAATATGATACAACCTCAAGACCGTACAGAGTCCCTCAAACGGAAACTCTCGTCATACACTTCCGATCTTTACCCAAAAGCCCCCATGGCTACTTCATCATCATCACCATCTTCTTCTCAAAAAGATATATCTTCTTCAAAACAACTAAATAACTCTCCAGTTAACTCTTCATCCTCTTCTCAAACATCTCCAAAACAACCACAGCAACAGCAACAGCAACAGCAACAGCAACAAAAACAGCAACAGCAACAACAACAACAACCTTCTGAAGTCATTTCTTTTCTATCATCTTCATCCTCATCTTCATCCCCTTCTTCATCAGCTTCTCCATCACCAGTCTCTTCTCCTCGCCCAGCAAAAATCAGAAAACATAACAACTCCAGCTCACCTCCTAAAGGAACCTCGCCACAACCAATAGCCATTGCCCCTGCTCCTCCATTAATACCCAACCTTGTTGCTAATACTGGTACTTCTACTTTAGCCTCGAAAAGAAAGCAACCAAGTTACAAACAAAGCGCTCCAAATGCTTTTAATACCTTTTCTGTAAAAATTGCAAAAAATCCAAAGCAATCTCAACAACATTCCAATTCTCCTGACATTAAACAAGAAACTTTGAGCCGCAAATCTTCTCCTCAACCACTTCAAATTGTTCACCACAACCCACAATCATCCACCACTTCGTCATCTTTATCTTCGTCTTTATCGTCACCTTCATCCTCAGCTACTACAAATCCTTCTTTGAAAAAACCAAACCAAACAATTTCTTTTGTCGCAAACGGCTCACGTAAGGTTCTCGGCCAAGTCTGCTCAAATTGTGGTACGACCCGAACGCCGCTTTGGAGAAGAGCCCCAGATGGCTCTACCATTTGCAACGCATGTGGGCTTTACCTCAAGGCCCGTAACACGGCCCGCCCAGTCCATTTGAAACGCCCTCCTCAAACTGCTACCATTGTTTTAGAACAAGGCTCAGCAGCTTCTTCTTCTTCTTCTTCCTCTATACCAAACTCTCCAAAACATCCAGTAACTATTCTTCCAAATTTTCAATATAAAACTAATACTACTTCATCTTCATCTTCATCTTCATCTTCATCAGCATCAGCATCAGCATCTGTGGCTCCAACTAGCGCACCCGCTCAACCCCCGTCTGTTTCAACTACCTGTCATGAAACACAGGGAACATGTCCTGGTGATGGGCACTGTAATGGTACAGGTGGTTCAGTAGCGTGCTCCGGCTGTCCCGCATATAACAATCGCCTAATCAAGACTGTGCAACTTTCTCACAAGTCTGCTTCTTCTGCTTCTTCTGCTTCTGCTTCTTCTTTTTCTTTTTCTTCTTCTTCTTCTTCTTCTTCTAATTTTAATGACCCTAACGACCCCCATATTAATGACCGTAATGACTCTAATGACAACAATGAATCAATTTCATCGATGAATGACTCCTCCTCTGATATCCAGGAAGAAAATGCATCTACAACAGCAACAGCAACAACAACAACAACAACTACCACCGTTGTGATTGCATGCCAGAACTGTAACACAACAATCACTCCTTTATGGCGACGAGATGAAGCTGGACATACTATATGCAATGCTTGCGGACTTTACCACCGTCTACATGGCGTCCATCGACCTGTTGGTATGAAGAAAAGCACAATTAAACGACGCAGGCGCATTATTGGGATTCCGCAAGCTGAGTTTCGATATGCTACTTTCCAGCAGCAACAACAAACTGGGCCTATTCAGGCCGTTATTGCAGCTCAATCTGCAACAAGTGCGACCGGTCCGACAGCTTCATCACCAAATGCTTCATCAGTAAATTCTTCTCCGATTATCGCAGCAACTGCAGTTGCAACAACAACAACTGCTTGCACAAATGCCGATACCGCGTCATCAGCTGCGCGCTCACCAGAGCATACTGTGGAATCTCCTCCCTCAAGATTGATAGCAACAGCGTCATCAACTTCGCCGGCCAGTCGAGCGCAATCAACCAGTCCGGCTCTTTTACCTGCTTTGCCGGCTGCTGATGCTAATGCTGCTACTTCATCATCATCATCATCTTCTTCTTCTTCAAAGACTGCGCCAAACAGATCTCTTGTCACAGGTACTTTGAATGTTTCTGCTACGACGGGTACGAGCTCGGTGAAAGTGGGGGAGAGTCCGATTACGACTCCAACTTCTTCTTCCCATCATCATTCTCTCCGAGTTCTTCCTCCTATTGTTCTTTCCAAGCCTGATTCTTCTTCTTCTTCTTCCTCTTCTACCTCTCGACCTCCCCTTGATTCTATCTCCTCTTCTGATTCTCATTATACTTCAACAACTTCCTCTGCCCCTGTTGTTACTACTGTTGTTGCTACTGCTGCTTCCCCTCAGTCTTCTACTAACTCTGCTCCCACTAGTCCCAACATTGCCCCTCCTGCAGGTCCTATAGCCATTGACTTTACACATTCGTTCCGGTCCTTACCTAGACCTTGTCCTATGGTTCATTCTCCTTCTAATCCAGCAGCTTCCAACATGCGTTCCCCTTCACCATCCTCCTCATCCACCACTGGCTCCAAACCCATTGGCTCTCCTTCTGACCTGGCCCAGTACCATTATCCTGACTCTTCTGCCCGGTTGCCCAGCATTAGCTCGATTTCTTATGAATCTGTTCAGGCTACAACTACAACTACAACTGCAGCTGCAACTAATTCTACAAGCAATAAGCAACGTCAAAATACAGTGGGTTCTCCTTCACAAGATGATGCACCTCGTGATCACTCTTTGAGCATCCGCTCGATTCTTAACCAGGAACCATCGTCGGGAGCCATTCCTATTACTATATCAAGAAATGGTGGTAGTAATAGCAATATCGGGGTGGTAGGAACTACATCTTCACGCTCAGCAAATCAGGGTACGAATTCGTCATCTCTTAGCAGCTCATTGAGCAGTTCTGCGTCGTGGCATGAGAGTCCTGAGGGAGTTTTTGTGGCATCTTCGTCTTCTTCATCTTCTTCATCTTCCAATCACCACCATAACCAAGCTGGGACAGGGACAGGGACTGGGACAGGGACAGTTACTGGAATTACTACAAATTCCGTAGCTGATGCTGCTGCCAAGGATGCAATTTTGTCTGACATTCCATCTTCCATTTCGCCAGCTCATGTACGTGAGATTCTGACAATCAAGAAACGCAAGCTTGAAGAGAAGCTGGCCAAACATCGTCGGCGTCTTGCAGACACTGAGCGGTTGCTTGCTGCTTGCAATGATAAGCTTGATGAGATTTCATAGGAGGAGTAAACTTTAAAGTTTTGTGTATTTTTTTTTTTTTTGTGTGTGTATTATTTATTGTGTACTTTTATTAATTAAAAAAAAAAAAAAACTTGTTATACATTTAAGAATTTACAAGGATTTTCCATAAGAATTTTTTGTGGCTTTTAGAATTCCCGTATAGAAGAAGAAGAAGAAGAAGAAGCACAAAACTAGAAGGAAAAGCACATTTACAGTTTTTGTTGGCCAATGTGCTTTAAGTATTAAAGTGGATACTTAAAAAAAAAAAAAAGAATTTCAGATTATCGAGATTAAATAAATGGTAAAGGAAAGGAAAAGCCGGTTGTCCAATCAAAAAATGTTAAACGACGATTTTTGAAATTTTTTTATTTTTTTTGATAAAGCGGATTTCTCGGAGTAAAAAAAAAAAAAAAAAAAAAAAAGGATTTTGAAAACCCTAGAATGAATTCAATTTAACAACGTTGTTAACAACAACAAAAAGGAGAAATTGTCACCCATTCATTTAGTACAAATTAATAGTAAGGTACACGCGGGAATTATGTTTTTTTTATTTTTGAAAAAATAACTAAAAGGTAACAGAATTGCAATACGAGAAGAAGGAGGATTTTTAAATTCAAGCTTTTTTATTTTTTTTTGGTTAAAGTGTGTGAGTGTATGTTTATTTAAAAGGAGTATATAAGGTGAGAAGTTTTTAATTTAGAGATGAAAGAGAAATAACGAGGCTTACAAAATGATCACGTCAGGATTATTAAAATAAGGATTATCGAGATAATCAAAAAAATCATTCCTTTTTTATTTTTATTTTTATTTTTTTTTTTTTTTATTTGGTGCACAACAAATACGTATTTAATTTGCTCATTAAATAAAGATTATCTTAGGTAATTTTTAAATTAAATATTATTATTATATTCTAATTAATAATTAATTACTTTTATAAAAAAAAACAAAAGAAACATGTCTTTTAGTGAATATTAAACGAGCATTACAACTGCATGAGGATAAAAATAATTAAGAATATATATACGATCATCATCATCATAATGTTTGAACTTTTATAGATATATATAGATATAGATATAGATATTCATAAAAATAGAAATTATAGTTCCGGATGACCGAGCACTAACAACAATACCCTAAATTACGTTTGCATTTAGTTGTAGAAGATACTTTGTTTTACCTCCTTTTTTTATAAATATATATATATATATAAAAGGTTCAAGCACACAGATACTAATAAACCAAAAATTAATGGCGGTGTACTAAATACGGGATTTACTGAATGCTAGGTTCTATTTGGGGAGGAAATGGATTAGATTAGATTTGGTTGGTTGGTTGGTTGGTTGGTTGGTTGGTATTTAGGAATTGTGAATTCTAAATTTTTTTTTTTTATGTAATGGGAATTTTAAAAAATTTCAGAAATTTTAAAAATTTTTAAAATTAAAATGTAATATAGATTGATTGATTGATTGATTAGATTATCAAAGTATCAAAAAAAAAATAAAGATTTTTTTTATTAGGCAACCACAATTTATTTATTAGGTAAGATGATAGTGTCCAAATACATGGTATTAAAAAAAAGGACTTTTAAAATAGTTAATCTGATAGAGTTATATATATTATTAGATCAAAGATTAAACAAATTTAGATTTAAAATTTAAAAATTTAAAATTTTAGAATGTTGGAATGTTGGAATGTTGGAATGTTGGAATGTTGGAATTTTAAGAATTTTTGCCAGTCTGAAATGAAATGAAACAAAAAAAACAAAAAAAAACAAAATAGACGTTGAGGAATTTCAAAAAGTAAAAGTAAAAGTAAAAATAAAGAGTAAAATTTTGAAATTCATTGTAGTTTAGTGCTTACGACGAAATTATTAATCGTATTATTATGAACAAAAGTTTGACAACAAAAGTATAAAGGTGATTTTAAAAATGACTATAATAATAGTAATAATATGTTAGAAAAAAAGAAAAAAAAAAAAAAAGGAATTTTAAAATTCTTGATGATGAAATTCCTGATAAAATTATAAATTTTTTTTTTTTTTTGATTTATTTATTTAATTTTTATTGATTTTATAATTTTGTTAGGTTAACATACGAAATACGACAAAACTTTTTTTTTTCTTTTTTTTTTTTTTTAAAAAATTTATTAAGAAAAAAAAAAAGTATTTTATTTAATTTTTCTTAAATCTGGTTGATATGAATTAGTATCCTATTTAACTAAGATCGTATATATATATAAATACTTGATCAAGTATTATAACTACCACACTCCATCAAATTCTTTCATGTAAGCTGGCGGTTTGTTTCTGGTGATGAATAAATTGAATAGGTTTGTTTGTTTATTTTTCTTAAAAAGTCTTGGCATTTAATGCGTGTTGCCGCACAATTTTTTTATTTTTTTATTTATTTTTTTTTTGTTAAACTCACTAAATGGGCTTTGGAAGGATTTTCTTTAGAAAAAAAAATAAAAAAGGAAATTATACGCGAGTAACAAAACACAATTTTTTTTAAATTTTTTTTTTAAAATAAAATTTGTGTTTTGTTACAACTTTGTAATTACAAACACAAAAAATGTAACATAAATATTTAAGAAAAAATGTAATAAAAATGTAATATATATATTTATTTGTCACAAATTTAAACCTCCATTCACAAGCTAAAAAAAAAAAATAATAATAATAATAAAAGGGGGGTGGGAGGAAAAAAAAAAAAAAAGAACCAGTGGAAACATTTATAATTCCAACAACAATAAGCATAAATTTAATATGAATTAATGTGATATATATATAACTATATTTACAAGATTTTTTTTTTTAACTATACAAATAACAGAAATGTGGGGGAATTATTTAAAACAAGCAACAACAACAAAAAGACACTTCTTCTCATCTAAATGCCTAAAGGAAAAAGTTCTTCAAAACAACATCATGATATTCTAATAAAAATGCATAGTTATTTTCTTAAAGATATTAGAAGAAGAAATGATTGTTGTTTATATAAAAGTGTATATAGGAATGAATAATAAAAAAAATACAACGTCCTTCTATATAGTTTCATGAAAAAAACCCAGCTTTCTCCTAACCAGACGTTAACCTCTTTTCTCTTTTCTCTCTTCCTTTCATACCTTTATTCTTACACATCCCGTAGCTCGCGCTGATCACGAACCACAGACATTTGTCTTTGAATCTCGCCAAATGCAGTAAGTCCCTTTTCACGCATACGTTCCATCACGTATGCCATTCCGCGACGTGATTTTTGAACGTTTTCTCTGAACTTAGATAGCGACCATGATTCGATTCTATCTCGGATACCCCATCGGCCAAAGTTACTGGAAAACAAAACGTTATAAGTAGCTGCTGTCATCAATGCATTTTTGTTGTTATTATTGTTATTATTATTATTATGATTACTGCTGTTGCTATTGCTAATATCCGTAGGTACTACTGCCTTGTATTCTGTTTGCTCCTCCACTTTTAAAACTCCCCGATGCTCCAGATTGCTGGTCCATGTCTTCATGGTTTGATTAACGGGATCAACCACTGAGTACTCCACAATCCATGACTCCGCCACCTTACCTAAAAAGGGCATTATGAACTTGGGGAGTCTTCCATTCTTACGGATTAACCGAGTAGTATACAGTTTCTGATCTTGAATCTTTTGAGATATTGTGTCTGCGGAAATGACATGCGTGGCATAAGGGCTTGATTGATTGAATATGTGTTAATAGAAATAGAAATAGAAATAGATGGAGTTTTGGGTCATCATTATTATCATTATTAATAATAACAAGGGACTTACTTTGGGTACCGATTGAAAAACGCCAGCGTAACGGTTGAAAAGTTATAGCTAAAAGAAGAGATTAGAAAAAAACAACTTATTTTGATTTTGATTTTGATTTTGAAGAACTTGAATGACTTACTTGAATTCGTGGAAAGTAGAATATGTAAGAACCATTTTTAAACAAAGTCGGTAGTTTGAAAGTATATGGGTATTAATGCTTGTTAAAAGAAAAAAGGCTGGTTTAAAAAAGAAAAAAAGAAAAAAAAAAAAAAGGTAAAGAAGATAAAGGACAAAAAAAAAGTGCAATTGATGGAGCGTTTTTTTTTTTTTTTAAAATATATATATATATCTTCTTCTTTTTTTTCTATAATTATAAGCGGAATTAAATCACAAGTGAGTATTTTTTTTTTTTTATGTTTCTTCAATCAATGAGATTCTTTCTTTCTAAAACTTATCATCACCCCACCAGGTAGGTACTTTTTTTTTTTTTTTTTCTAATATGGAATAGAAAAGATTTTTTTTTTTTATTTCTTTTTAGGTGGTGGTGGTTGTAAAATTCTTATATATACAAACTTACACACACACACACAAAAATTTATATAAAAAAAAAATTTCCATTTTGCGCAAAAATATTTTTTGCACGGGATTTGCAAGTTTTTTTTTTTTTTTTTTTTTTGCGGTCGCTGAAAAATATTAAAAAATCACTTACACACACAAATATTTTTAATTTTTGATGGGCCACTCAGCTCTTGTGATTAGTCAGTGTGCTTGAATTATGCGATACCCCGCCATGCCTTAAAATACGCATTAAAGTCTGAATATTACACATCTGATTTTATTTTAGATAAAAATAAAATCCAACCAAATTCATCCATTTGGCCCACCACCCAACATCTACAGGTTCTCAAAGCTTTACAAAAAAAAAAGAAGTAAATAAAAAACATAGATTAAGTAGTATAATGTTATAATATTATCATTATTATTTTATATTTGTTTATATCTTTAAAAAAAAAAAAAACTTAGAAATGTTTCTCAATGGCATGTGCACATGTTGTATATTAAAAGTAATCAAAAAAAAAAAAAAAAAAAAAAAAAAAATTGAAACTGGTTTATGGGGCTTATAGTAGCTCATAAGAAGTAAAAAAAAAAAATAAAAAACCACATCACCACCACCAACTTTGAGATTTAATCTGATACACACATAATATATATAAACAACAACTTAATATATAATCCCCTAAAATGCCACTCTGATCTTCTTTTTCTTCTTCTTTTTTTTTATTTATTTATATTAAAAAATTTTTTTTTTTTTGATTGACCTTCCTTTTTCTCTCTCAAACTAAATCACTTATATCATTCTTTTTTTATCCAAAATGAAGTTTGGAAAAAAGTAAGATATCCCTCTTAAACTGTCTTTAATTCATTCCATTCATATTAAACTAACATCATCAAGTCTTTCTCGTAATCAAGTCCCCGAATGGAGGTTAGTAAAACTCTTTAAATCAACACATTCTCTTTACTAACCTTCCTTAAGTTCCCATTATATCAATTACAAAGAACTCAAAAAACTCATCAAGCAGATCCAATCCCAGCAAGAATCCTCCGGAACTGCTGCTCATGACCAAGATCTAGCCCGTAAGTGACCCCCCCCTTGGTCCTAGCACTTGGGTGGGGCCCCAAATATACCACAAACGCGCCTTTCCTCTAACATTAGATACCCTCCCCCTCTCTTCATCCTTTAATCTTCAACTCTTCCTTTCCCTCTCTCCCCCTTTTTTTTTTTTTTTTTTATCATCAATTTTGATTTATATACAGCCTTCTTCTTTGCACTCGATAGAAACATTGAGCTCGTCGATGAGTTCTTTAATACAAAGTACGCAGAGTATGCCCGAAGACTCTCCCATCTAGCCGACCGATATGGCTTAAAAGAACAACTGCCTTCACAAAATGGCACCATTGTAGGGCCTTCCGCAGTCTCTCAAATGGACCCAGAAGAACGGGAAGATCTTTTTGCCATTCTTCTCGAACTTAGAGCCCTTCTTCGTAACCTCCAATGGTATGCTGAAGTCAACAAGCGAGGTTTTGTCAAAATTCTCAAGAAAATAGACAAGAAGGTTGGTGTTAAGACTCAAACCCGCTACCTCAATTCAAAAGTTCTCATCCTCCCCTTTGCAAATGCTTCTTCTGTTAATCACAAACTCGCCCTTGTGAACTCCTTTATTGATGATCTTGCCTTAATTGAAGGCTCTTTTGATGACACTGCTTCTATAGCAAGTAGTTCTTTGAGCTCATACGGTGTCCCGGAATTGGGCTCTCTTAAAGAACTTTCATCTGAATCATTAACTCTTCTTCGTCAAATGCTCCCAGCTGATGACTCAATTAAAATGAAGGCCTTTATTGACTCATCATCAAGACCATCTGCACAAGTTCTCCTATCTGTCCTCTACAAGGCTGTAGGGTTCCATGCAACTAAATGCATCCAAGTCCTTCTCAACGTTGTCACTTCTCTTTCAGACCCATCAGATCTTAATGGTCGTAACCTTTTCCACAAAATCGTCATTTCCTATTCCCGTCCTCGCCCTGAACCTGTGGCCTCCAGTAATGCTTCCACCTCTACCCAAAGCTCCAATGTTGATCAACAATTTAATGGCTCTCTTTACATTGCCCCAGCAATCTCTCCTGCCCCTCCTATCCGCAACAACACCGTTCCAAGAGCAGGCCAAGATGGCATCAACTCTAATAGCGACGATAACAATCTAACCGTTTTAACCTTCATCCTTGACCGCCTCAACCCAGCCCTTAGACCATGCCTCATTGCGAAGGATGCATACAAGCGCACCCCTGTCCACTACGCTGCCCAGGCCGGACTCAAGGCACTCACTAAGCTGCTTGTCGATTATGCCATCAAATGGGACCTCGTAAATACTGATTCACCCTTTTCTGGACCAGATTGGCAAGATAGTGAAGGGTTTGTTCCACTTCAGCTTTCCATCAAGGGGAACCATCCGCTCACATCCCGCGTCCTACTCGATGTTATGCTCAAATCCCAAGTCGAAAAGCTCCCCAATTTGCTTCATGTGGCTACCCGATTAGCCTCTGTGCCTTTGCTCCAAGTTTTGTTAGAATTTGGCTTAAATGTCGACCAAATTGCAGACTCAGCCTCTAATGAAACGTGCCTTTACACGGCTGCAAAACTCAATCTCCCGGAAATTGCACAGGTTCTCTTGGCGGCTGGTGCAGACTTGGAAATCCGCGAAAAAACTTATGGTTGGACCCCACTCTTTGCTGCTGCCATTGAGGGCTTTGAAAAAGTTGTCCAGATCTTGGTCGATCATGGCGCTGATATCTCCAAGGTTGATTTCTCCGGATGGACGGCTCAGGAGCATGCATGTCTCCGTGGTCACTTGTATTTGCTTGATCTTTTGCAACTAAAGGAACAACCCTCTTCTGGATTGTTTTTCGGAAACAATGGCTCCCAACTTGGCCTCACCACTGCTAGCTCAGAAGAACCCAATGGATCCATCATGACTAAAAGTGCCACCCCTGAACGTTCAAAGTCCCCCCCAAATACCCTTGATCCTATCAAGACTTTTGGCCACAGGTACCTTCAAGAAAAGTCTATGATTCTTGTTAACCTCGGAAGCATGGACATTAGGGAAAAGCGGCCAGCTGTCCAGCTTGACCGGGTCCCCGTCTCCAAAGCTTCTTCCACTCAGCTCGACACGGCTCTTTCTCTCATTATTTCTGCCAAAAACTGTGAAGGTGAACCTGTTGTCATTGACTTACCTCTTGGCGAGGGACAACACACTGAGCAATACTCGTTTTATTCAAGCAATCCAGAAAATGCTACCCTGTTTTTCGACTTGGTTCCTACTTATGCTGGCAACAAGTCCAAGATCTTTGGGCGTGCCGTTGCTCTTCTCTCTGACTTGACAAACAAGGTGGCTGAAAATAAAGTCAGTCTTTTCCGCACAATCACTCTCCCAATTTTGGAAACATCTACTCTCGAGGTCTTGGGTAAGCTCCGGTTCCAGTTTCTTGTAATTAACCCCTTCCACCATCCAAACATGGGCATTGAAAAATCAGCCACCTACTGGAAGTCTCTCATCACCACCCGTGTCATTGGTCACCGTGGGTTAGGCAAAAACTCCATTTCTACCCAAAGTTTGCAGCTCGGTGAAAATACCCTCCAGTCCTTTATTGCAGCTGCCAACCTTGGTGCCAGTTATGTTGAATTTGACGTTCAACTGACTAAGGACTTGGTTCCTGTGATTTACCACGACTTTTTGGTTGGCGAAACTGGCATTGATAGCCCCATGCATGATCTGACTTTGGAACAATTTCTCAACATTTCCGAAATGCAACAAAATCATCACCGCAATATGACGGATATGCTTATGAATTCCCCCCAAAGCCGTACCCATTCCCCACAACCCCGCCGCAGATTATCATCCGGCAAAATAAGCACTAGCATCAAGGGTGATCCCACGTATGAACGGACTCGCTCTGTTTCGCTTTACGGCACGGATGACGATTACGCGTTGATGGAACAGCGCATGAAGTACACGCGTGATTACAAAACGCGAGGGTTCAAGGCCAATGTGCGTGGCCACTCTATCCAAGCCCCGTTTACCACTCTTGAGGAGGTTTTCAAGACGTTGCCTAAAACAGTTGGTTTCAACATTGAGTGCAAGTACCCTACGCTTGACGAGAGTCAGTCGGAGGATATGGACAACTTGGCAATTGAACTCAACACGTGGGTCGACACAGTTCTTTCAACTGTGTATACGCACGCCAAAGGTCGTGATATTATTTTCTCGAGTTTCCATCCAGAAATTTGCATCATGCTTTCTCTCAAACAGCCTTCCATCCCGGTCTTGTTTTTGACCGAAGGCGGAACTTCGCCCATGATGGATATTCGCACGACATGTCTCCAGGAAGCCATTCGTTTAGCTCGCCGCTGGGACTTGCTGGGACTTGTTTCAGAGTGCACACCGTTGATTCGGTGCCCACGCTTGGTCAGTGCCGTTAAAGATAGCGGGATTGTGTGTGTGACGTATGGTACCAAAAACAATGATCCGGCAAATGCGCGTCTTCAGATGAAACACGGTGTGGATGCTGTCATTGTGGATTCTGTTCTTGCCGTCCGTAAGGGGTTGACTGAGGAGGATACTGAGGAGGAAACCGCAGTGCCTGAGTTGAGCAAGTGAGTAACTTTAAGTATAGTATATAGGTTATTTATAATAAGTTTTGTAAAGATTGAAATTTTGGTAACCTGTCATTTTATTTTTTTAAAAAAAAAAAAACGTTAAAAAAGGAAAGCCACGTAGAAACATCTTAACCTCCTTTCCTCCTATACATCATTACACAACACACAATATCATCACATCATGGTAGGTAAAAATCCAAAAAAAAAAAAAAAAAAAAAGTTAAAAAGGATTTCATTTCTTTCCTGCTCTCAAAAAATGCTAACATCCAGGATTGTAGGAAACTGAAGAAGAGCTCAACGGCGTCCGGTTTTCATGGAATGTAATTCCATCCACGGCCGAAGAGGCCAAAAAGGCCATGGTGCCAATTGGTGTCATGTACCAGCCACTGTTGGACCGCGAAGATCTTGCGATATTATCACAGGATCCCATTGTATGTCGCAACGAAGCGTGCAGAGCCATTCTCAATCCGTATTGTATGATTGATGCTCGTGGCCACAGCTGGATCTGCCGGTTCTGTGGTAGCCGCAACGCCCTCCCTCCCTCGTATAATGTCTCATCTCAGGAAACACTCCCGCGCGAACTTCTCCCGACAAACACGACGGTCGAATATGCGCTCAACCGCAAAGCCAATGCACCGCTCGTGTTTCTCTTTGTAGTGGATGTGTGCCAGGATGACGAAAACATGCAGGCCTTGCGCGACACCCTCTTGGTCTCGCTTTCACTGCTTCCACAAGACGCTTTGGTCGGCCTTATTTCTTATGGTAAGCATGTCCACATCCATGAGCTCGGGTATGCAGATACCACCAAGACTCTTGCATTCAATGGCAAGAAAACATACTCGGCAAAGCAGATCCAAGAAGTTCTTGGGTTCTTGTCTCCTGATTTGAGAGCGAAAAAGAATCAGGGCCCCAACACTCGCCAATCGTCTTTTGCTCAGCAAACATCGGCCGCTGAAACTCTTTCCAAGTACCTGTTGCCACTGGCCACTGCAGAGTTTGCTCTCACAAACACCCTGGAGCAGCTCCAGCAGGATACCTTTTCCGTCAAGGCCCACAACCGTCCACTTCGTGCCACAGGCCTTGCTCTCGACGTGGCCATTAGCATTCTTGAAACTGCCCTCCCCCATACAGGGTCCCGTGTTATGCTTTTTTCAGGAGGTCCTTGTACTACCGGCCCTGGGTTGGTGGTAGGATGCCCCCACAAGGAAGCTATCCGATCACATCATGACATTGATGAAGACGATGCTCCCCACTACAAGGCTGCCTGCAAGCACTACGAGATGCTGTCGCGCCGTGCATCGCGCAACGGCATTGTGGTTGATATTTTTGCTGGCAGTTATGACCAAATCGGTCTTGATGAAATGAAACCCTTGAGCGACCATACAGGAGGCGTCATGGTGCTGACCGATGCCTTCACTACGTCCATCTTTAAGCAAAGTTTCTTGCGCGTCTTTACCAAAAATGATGATGGCACTCTCGCCATGGCCTTTGCTGCCAACTTTGAGGTTAAGCTGTCGCAAGAGCTGCGTGTATCTGGACTTGTGGGCCACGCTGTGGGTCAAAACAACAAGACAGGGTACGTTGCGGAAACAGCTATTGGTATTGGTGGCACCAGCTCATGGAAACTGTGTGGGCTATCGCCCCGTAGCACCTATGCTCTTTACTTTGATTCCGTGGGGAAGACTCCGCCACCCATTACCAATGGTGCACCACCACAAGCGTTTGTACAGTTCATCACGCACTACCAACACTCGAGCGGTATGTTTAGATTACGTGTTACCACAGTGGGCCGTGCACTGTCACAGCCCAACCAGGCCAATGTTCTCAAGCAGTCGTTTGACCAAGAGGCTGCAGCAGCGCTGCTGGCGCGTTTGGCGGTGTACCGCCTAGCTACCCAGCACGAGCTGATTGAGAATATCATGATGTGGCTGGACGCTACTCTGATTAAAATGTGCAAACACTTTGGAGAGTATGCACGAGATGATCCTGGGTCGTTCCGGCTGATACCCGAACTGGGCTATTACTTCCCGCAGTTTATTTATCATCTGCGTAGAAGCCAGTTTTTGCAGGTGTTTAACAACTCGCCGGACGAGACGGCATACTACCGCCACGTGCTGCTGACAGAAGATACCAACAATTCGACGGTCATGATCCAGCCTACATTGATGGCCTACAGCATTGAGAACCCGACGGAGGGTACGCCTGTACTTCTGGACTCGACATCGCTACAGCCGGGGCGGATTTTGTTGCTGGACACGTTTTTCCACCTGCTGATTTACTACGGAGAGACGATTGCTGCTTGGAAAAAGGCCGGGTACCAAGACCTGGACGAGTATGCCAACTTCAAGACGATGCTGCAGCAGCCGCGCAAGGACGCGAGCGAGCTGCTGGTGGATCGATTCCCACTGCCACGGTTTATTGAGACGGAGGCCAAGGGATCTCAAGCACGATTCCTCATGGCGCGGTTGAATCCGACGCGGTCTGTGGGGAATGCTACCGAATTTGATTACGGCTCAACAATGGTTCTGACGGACGATGTTAGTTTGCAAAAGTTTATGGAGTATTTGATCAAGTACAGTGTTTCATCGAAACAGAAGTTTTAGTTTATATATGCTTTGATTAGTTTAGTATAAGAAGAAGATGATGATGATGAAGAAGAAGAAGCAAAAAAAAAACAAAAGGTTTAAATTCCATCTGTTTCATGCTTGAGGTAACTGATGACAGCAGGCCCCCATTCTTCGGCAAGCTTGTAGTGGGCCATGGCAGGTGGGAGGTTTTCGATGGCGGCAATCATGTTTTCTGAGTTTTCTGGGGGTTCTTGGTTGCGGATTTGGGCGAGCGGGGTGAGATAAGTACGGATGGTGAAAAGAAGGGCTTTGGTTTGGGGCAGACGAAGCAGACACTGACGCTCGCAGCGCAAAAAGACACCATTTGTAAAGTCGAGTTTCTCAGCATCGATTCCCAAAAGCGAGTAGTCGAAATCGTCGGGTTCGTCTTCTGGGTCACATAACATTTCACCTGGAGCTGGGTGATTTGATTCTGGGGCATAAAGGTCAGTATGGGTTTGAACCCCCCAGTTGAAGCGCTGGACCCAAGCTCCGGGTTTAATGCGGACGAAAAACTTGTCCATAGCCGAACCGATTTTCTTACGGTAAAAGGGGACGGGTTTATGAATTTCAGCCAATGGGGTGTTCATTTTCTGTGCCGGGTCGAACCCCGTGGGGAAAGAAAAGGACCCGCATCGTAAAATGTACTGAGGCAAAGAGTCGGGTGTTTGAGCGTCTTCACGAATCAAAATTAAAAAATCATCTTCCATCGTACGAACAAGAATCCGAATCAAGTGCTTATAGGACTCCTCAGAATGCGGGTCGTCCAGCGTAGCCAGGTATGCTTTGGGATCTTTAGGGATGTATTCATCATGGATTGCATTGTATAGGCATGGGTATGGTGGCATTTTTTCGTCTATAGATTGATGAAGATTTTTTTCAGCATCCATAAAGTATTGAGGATACCGCATTGTCAAATAATCCAAGCAAAAAGTGTAAGCCTCGACCAAAGCGTCACGAGCAGCGCCACTCATGAGTACCGTATGAAGTGGGTTGGCCTCCGTCACGCGCCGTTTCTCGGTGGTCAAGCGCACATATTCGCGGTCAAGCAACAGCCAGTCATCTGTAGGCAATTTCTGAAGTCCCATCGTCAGGTGGAATGGCCCACTTTTGTATGGCCGGTATGGACGCGGCGGTTCGCGTGACCAGTCAAATGACTGGTCTACAGCAGGAACCGTAAAGGGTGGAACAGGGGTGGTGGCATGAGAGGAAGTAGGTTGGGTCAGGGGACGGTGACGGGCGGTGCGGGAGATGTAGCGGGAGATTAGAGCAAAGAGGAGAGCGAGAGATGAGATTAGAAGAAAGTATTCAACAAGTCCAAGCATTATGATGGTGGGATTAAATGGTTAAGAAGATGCGAGATGCGAGATATTTGAGAATTGGAATGAGAATAGGAATGAGAATGAGAATGAGAATGAGAATGAAAATGAAAATGGGAATGGAGGTTTTTTTTTTTTTTTTTTTTTTTTTAAATGTGTGTGTGGGATTAAAGGAATTTATCTAATTAGATAAGAAAGCCTATAGAAGCAACTACAGCCGCATAGCATGCCGCCTGGGCATGTGTGCAAAACAAGGCAAAATGCCTTTCTTATCAAAGTGCACTGGTGCGGCGACACCCCTCGGTTTCACGCTTAAGGAATGCAATAACACCGGGTCCCCATTTATCAGAACCCTTATGCATAGCCATGGCCGGCGGCATGTTTTCAATGGCAGCGACCAGGTTTGCAGCACACTGGTCACCCTCTGAGTCGCGGATAAAGGCGATGGGTGTAAGGTAGGTGCGGATTGTAAAGAGCATGGCGCCGGATTTTGGCAGTCTCAACAGACCTTGGCGCTCGCAGCGCAGAAATACACCATCGTGGAAGTCGAGCGTCGAGGGGTCCAACGGGGTATCAAACTCTACATCCCATCGGTCCTCCGGTGGCACGTCCTGCAGACCATCCGGGTGTGGGGGGAGAGGATGTGCCGTGGGGACACAGAGCTGGGCGTGTGGTTGGACGCCCCAGTTGGTACGTTGAACCCAGGCGCCAGGTTTTGCACGGGCAAAAAACTTATCCATAGGGGTTGCAAGCTTTTTCATATAGTAGGGGATGGGAGTATGGATAGCGGCCAAGGGCTGGCCGATTTTTTGAGCCGGGTCGAACCCTGTGGGGAAGGCAAAAGACCCGCCGCGCATCACATACCGGTCACACTGCGGGTCATGCTGCACCACTATAAAGTCTTCTTGAACGTTGCGTGTCAGCAGCCGCACCAGCTGCTTGTACGTGTCCTGAGTGACTGCAGCTTGGGCTGCAATGAACTGGGTCGGGTCTCTGGGGAAGTAGTCATCACGAATTGTATTGTAGACCAGCGGGTATGACACTTGAGGAGCTCCCAGGAGTTGTTTTTCCGAAAGCTTGGTGACAAAGTATTGAGGGAACCGCTGGATGAGATACTCGACCATAAATGTATATGTTTCAAGAAGAGCAGCGTTGCCTTCTTGTTGGGCAAAAACGGTATGCTGGGGGAGAGTTTCAGTGACTCGCTTTTTTTCTGCTGTTTGGTGGAGATATGTATTATCAAGTAGCAGCCAGTCGTCGTGTGGGAGCGATTGGATGCCCATGGTCATAGTCCAAGGCCCTGGTTTGTATGGGCGGTATGGGCGTGGGGGTTCATTTTCCCAAGAAAAGCCCCGGTCGATGGGTCCGACATCTGGATAGAAGGGCTCATTGGATGGAGTGGCAGATACATGAGAGACAGCAGAGCGGGTTTTGACAAGATGGGAGATAACGCGATGAGCAAGAATGACGATTGCCGCGAGAACTGGCAGGACATATTTAAGAGCAAGGATGTTGTAGGACATTTGTAGATGGAGGGGGAAGAGACTAAAAAATAAAAAATAAAAATAATGAAAAAAATAACAAAAAAATAATGAAAAGAAAATTAAGGAATTGGTGAAAACATTGAAGAAATCTGAAAAAACCCCTTGTTATTTATACCTTTCCAAAGTCGTTGTCATTCCAAAGGCTACTCCTTCCAACAAGGCTTGCAGGTTATCGCAGCATTTCTTATCACTCAAGTGTGTGTGCGCGTGTAAATACCGTATGGGGGAAGTTTTTTTTTAAAGAAAGTTCAATCAAACAATCAATTGCTGTGAAATGATAACACACCTCCCCTCAAATACCTCCTGCCTCAACTTGAGGTAACAAGCAACTGTTTTCCAACTAGGCGGCATCCTCATTCCGACAAAAAAAAATTTAAAAAAATTAAAAAAAAAAAAAAAAAAAAAAAAAAGAAAGTCAATTTCAAATCATCTTCTTTCTGATACCCGCCCGCCCGTCCGCCGTTGAAGAATAAAAAAAATGCGCATGTCGTTGCTGATGATCCCCGTGTCTTTCTGCACTTGGCAATTTTGACAGCGGTCGCAACACGAAACAAAGCTTTCTTCTTTTTTTTTTTTTTTTTTGGCCTTCTTCGTTTTCTTATTCTTCTTTTTTATCAGAAATAAATAAAAAAAAAATGCCCACCAGCCCTCATGCCTATTAATTCGTGGCCCCAGAAGCAGCAGAAGCAATAGTAGGCGCACTCATTAGTTCGCCAAATTCTTCTCCGTCGTCATCATGGTTGCCACTAAAATTCTCGACATTGGGTTTTATAGTGTTGTCTTTGACTTCACCTCCACCGTTATTTTCGTCCACCTGTAAAACAGACCCTTCAGCCGTTGGCCCAGATTCCAATTTTTCATGCATCTTATCTTTCAAGTCTTCGCTTGAATCAATTGGCCCCTCCTTTATCTTCCCGCTTGTTTTCGCTTCATTCTCGTCATCATCATCATTGACCAACACCTCGGCACTTTTCGTGCTCCCAGGATTACTCGTACTTCCATATACAAGAGAACTTGCAAAGTTGTCGCTGACCATCTGTGCATCCGCACTCTCAACATCGCTCAAAAGTTCCCGTCGTGACCGATACGTCTCTGAAGACTGCACCGATGATTTGGTCGACGACCTTTCGCGTGTCCCCATCGTTCGGAATAGGTCCTGTGACCCCCCATCGCTTTGAGACCAAGATCCATGCCGCGGCCATGACCCCCGTCGCTGCTGCTGCGCCTCGAAAGATGCCTGCGCGGCCCGTACCCGGGTTTTCCCCCGGGCTTTAGCGCTTTTCCGGCTCTTAGATCCAGCGGCTGAAGATCCACTCCCTTGGATAGTCCCAGTTGTTTGTTGTGGATGTCCGAAAATCCGGGTCCAAATAGAGTTTGATGTAGTTGCCCCGTATCTATTTGTTGTGCGAGAATTTTGTTCTTGGGGGCCTTGAGGCCCCAGCACTATATGGTACTCAAAATCATCTTGAGTATCATCAACTCTGTTGCTATTCTCAAGAACTCCCGTGCTACTCGTTGAGTGATTTTGCGGCCATGTCCACCACCAAAAAGATGATTGTGGACTTGACCCGTCATCCCCACCTGTATTCGTATTACCTATACCACCACCACCGAAGCTTCCGCCACCAGTGCCAGGGCTTGATGCAGATGATGCGTGACTTGGAACCGTGTGCTTAGGCGGAAACACGGTTTTCCAAAACTCCGTGATCCGCGACTGTGATTCGTGTAGTAGCCGCTGGTGCGGCGGTTGCATGTCAATCATTTGGTCTTGCAACGGAGGTTCCACTGCCATATCACGGTGATGGTGGTGGTGACGGCGATGGTTGCGACGGCGGTGACGCTTAGGCTGGTTCGTCTTGGGTGGTTCTGATGATAATGATGATGGTGGCTTTGTGCCGGATGTTGACATTTCAGATTTTTTCTGCGGCTGCGCTGAAATCACTCCGTGGGGGGTATATGGCGCACGCGGGGGGGCTACCTGTTGCTGCAACGGGATCCTTGGAGCTTCGCTATTTTCTTCATTGTCGGTTAAATCATGATAACTTTCTCCATCCTCGTCATCTTCTTCATCATATTCATCATCTTCATCATCATACTCTGAAGAGTATTCACTTTGAGAGTTGAGCAACCGTTCAAGTTCATCACGCCCAAACATTTCATCTGAATCATAAGTATCATAAAATATATTAAACGAGTCCCGACGTCCCCGATTGAAAAATTCATCATTCCCATCATCTCCAGGCCTAAGCTCTCCGTCTCCTCCAGACACGCCAACACCAACCCCGCCACTCCGACTTAGTTCATCAGGCAGCCTCGAAAGTAAGCTGTTGCCACGTGTCCGCGCTCCTCGCCGGCTACTGCGCCGCCGCCGACGATCAGGCTTGTGTCCAAAACATACGCGTACTCCGGTTCCGCACCGGGTCGCACAGGTCGTGGTGCTGCTCCAACATGGACCCACATACGCGCGCTGAAACCGGGTCCAAGACGAGTATGCAGACCCAACGGCGGTTTCTAAAGAGTCTTGAGTTGTGCCCCAGACCTCTCGCAAGCGCTCATTCGCCGGGGAAATCATTTGTGTGTGTGGGTAGTAAAGATTATGAATGTGGTGATGGTAATAATGCGTGTTATTGGGTAGATGTTAAAATAAATATAGTGGAGAGAAATGATGTGAGCGTGTAGATGGTCTTTTTTATTTTTTTTTTGGTGGAGCAAAAAAAAAAGTTTTTTAAAAACACATGTGGCTATCATGTGCTTGGTTAAATGAACCACTAACAGCCACAATCAACAAAGTCGATTTGGAACCGGGACACTCGGAACCTGGGAACTCGGAGCCAAGTAACTGGTCCAGTCATCCAACGGTACACTTCCTTATTGCTTTAAAAAAAAAAAAAAAAAAAAAAAGGCAATTAAGATATCTACAACAATAACTCAGGTTGTACCTTTGGGTATTTGCTTCTTCTTCTACAGAATTCAAAGATATTCATAAACATAATATACACAAATAATACATAAGAGAGGTGGGGTGATAAATGGGATTTAAATAGGATAACAACAGAGGGGAAATACAAGGGAAACAATAGTTGGTCATTAAAAAAAGTCATAAATGAAATTATTACTATTACTTAATAATAAAAAATAAGTGAATAATAAAATAAATAACACAGGTGTAAAGGTAGTAAGTATAATGATAAATGCAAAAAAGATCCGGGGGAATAAAAGTTAACAGATAGGGAAATTGGGAATGGGATTTGGAAGGGGAAAAGGAAAAAGCGTGTAAACTAAAATAACAGATGATAGACTAGACATAATAAACAAGCATCGTCAAGGGAAATTTAAAAGGGGGAAATGCGACGAGCTAGGAAGGAAAGGTTTTATTCATGATTGATGAAAGAAAAAGAAAAAAAAACATCATTTCCTTCTTTTAATTTCTTTAAAAGTTAAAATTGATGTTTTGGTCCTGGTTGGCATTAAAAGAAAATTGATCATCAAGAGCCTTTGGAGCAATGTCAACATCCTCATTAGCCTCATCATCATCGCCACTAAAGTATGTCTCAATAATCGTGTAAGCCTTGTTGTAAATGTACTCATTGTGGTTGTTTTGGCAAGCATGGATTTTCTCAAGACCCTCGGCAGCTTCAATGTAAAGAGCATATTGGTTCATGGCAAGACCATTCTGTTGCTTGTCAAGCTCGCCAATCTTGAGAATATTTTCCAAGCCATCCAAAGAAACTTGGATCACACGATTATCTGGGCTCACAAGCATGTCGCAAAGAGGCTTTATGCAGCCCTGGTTGACAATGTATCTGATTTGCTCTGGTTTGGCGAGACCTCCCGATGTAGCATTAGAAATGGCCCAGCAGGCTTCCTTCTTAGTCTTAAAGTCCGAGGATGAAAGAAGCTGGATGAGTGGGGGGACCAGATTGGCATCAATGACGGCTTGAATCTGCTGAGAGTTACCGGCAGTAATGTTAGAAATGGTCCAGCATGTTTCCTTTCTGATATTGTCGCGCGGGGTGTTGAGAAGACCGAGAAGAGCAGGAAGAGCACCTGCATTAAGAATAACTTGTGTCTGGACATCATCGCCAGTGACAATGTTGCCTACAGAACGAAGAGCAGGGGTCTGAATAGCTGGAGACTGGGAGCTAAGAAGCTCAACAAGACGGCGAGGAATGCCAGCATCGATAACAGCCTGGATCTTTTCATCAGCACCATCGGAAAGATAAGAGACAGCCCAGCAGGCGTCAATCAAGACTTCCTCATCGTAAGAGTAGAGGAGCTTAGCAAGGGTAGGAATTGCTGTAGAAATGATGGACCAGTCAGGCTGGGGATTTTTACCGCGGCAAAAGTTGGAGAGAGTCCAAGTGGCGTTGCGGATAAGGGTAAGCTTGCGGGTATCAGTGAGAAGCTCGAGGAGGAGGGGAAGAGCTCCAGCATTGAGAACGGCATCACGGCAAATGGCCGAGTCACCGGCAATGTTGCCGAGGGCCCAGACGGCTTGTTCGCGGACGTCAGCTTCTGGGGACTGCAAAAGACGAACAAAGAGAGGAATGGCGCCAGCCTCAATGACGACCTGGGTCTGGTCCGAGTTGCCTGAAGCAATGTTTGTGATTGCCCAAGCAGCTTCAAATTGGAGCAGCGAGTGTGTAGAGGAGAGGAACTCGACAAACTTAGGGATTGCGCCGGCATCAATGACTTGAGAAATAGGTGGGTTGCGTTCTTTGGAAAGGAGTTTACGGAACTTTTTGGTTGCTTCGAGTTGGAGTTCAACGTCGTTTGAATTGAGAGCAGCAAGCATATCTGGGAGGTCTTGAGCAAGCTAAATAAAAAGTTAGAAGAATTGATTTGGAAACAAAACAAATGTATTACTTACTTGCTCCTGAACTTGAGCTATATCATCATACTGTTCTTGCTCATCATCACTGTCAATGATTGAGGCAATGGCATCCATGTTTCGTCGCTTGGTCAGATTTTCATCACGCTTTTGTTTTCGGATTTCGATCTGGGCTTCTTCACGGCGACGACGCAGTTCATCAGCCTTAAAGGCTCCGCGGTTCTTAAATTTTGTTCTTCGGTGCTCAGGCACAAAGCGGGAGGTGGAGTCTTTGTCCATTGTGAGGTAGTTTTATAACGAACGGGTATATGAGAGTTATGAAAGGTTGGTTGGGTTGTAGGAAAAATGGAATTGGGTGGTGGTGAAGAGGGAAAAAAAAAAAAAAAAATTTTTTTTAGGTGGTGGCGATAAAAAAAAAATAAATAAAGAAGCTTCAAGAAAGGAGGAAGACATTCAGCCATCCACTTAATATAATTCAAAGCTTTAAAACTATATATATATATATATATATTCCAATAAAAAGCCTAAACCAAAGTCAAGCTCTTAATCTAAACATTGAGCCTAAATCACTCCCAGTTTGTAGCTTTAACCCCTAGCTAAACCGGCGTCCCGACAAATGTTCCGATCAACCAGCAACTTTAGTGTTGCTTTGCTTTGGGGTTAAGAGGGAAAATTTGCCACCACCAAATCAAAATATATAATTGAAGTTGCCATGGTGATATGACTAATGATTAGTCATATATTAGATTTGGTCCCGTGACTAACGGCTATCCTGGTTGAAATCTCAAACACCCGACTCTCAGCTGTTCCGGCTGTAACAACAGCTAACGACAGCTAATGGCAACTAACGGCAGTCAATAAAAGCTAATCATCATCATCACCTGTCAAATCAACAATATCCAATCGCTCCTTCTTTACAGCAGCCTCAGCAGATGCAATCTTCTCAAATCGAGCCCTAGTCTCTTCAGGTGCATTGCTCGTCCCAGTGATCTCCACATCGTCATCGCCATGGTCTGCCATTTCAATCTTAAGCGTAGCATAAGCACCGGGTTTTATTCGTGTTTCTAAAACCCGAAGATCATCATCTCTAAGTCCGTCGCTATTTCCTTTTTCTTTATCTTTTTCTTCATCTTCATCTTCTCCTGTTTCGCTGTCATCACTCTTATTCTCAGGGAATACCAACCGTTTCTCTAAAGCCGCTAAAATCAAATTCTTCATCTGCTTTCGGTTGTTCCGTAATGGTTTTACTCGGGTATCACTATTACTACCAGTACTGCCACTGCCGCCTAATCGTCGACCTGTCCCATTAAATGCCGATTCAGCCTCTACCCGGCCAACACCCATCCTCGATCCGTTTTTGTCTCCTGGAGTAACTCCCAATCGTTTCCCTGTGCTATAGAACCCAGATCCAGTGAACCCCTTGGCCATTCTTGCCTCAAGATCCGCCACCATTCCCCTCCAATACCTATTAAACGCATCGTTATGTGGACCAATCTTATTATGAGTCAACTCGTGTAACATAGTTCCTAATAAAGACCCCAACGGCAGAAACTCGTTTCGTCTTGCTGCCCCATTATGTCGAAGTCGTAGCCACACTTTGGCCCCTCGGTTCATGTTCATTCCTAAAAGCTCTGGCCGATCAAACTCAGCCAAGTGTCGCACACGAAACCCGTGCTCTCGCATAATAGGCTCAACCATGCTGGCAATCTTGTGGAGCAAAAACCATGCCTCATCCTTGCGCCCAAAATCTCGACCAGGCATAATGGTGATTTTGTCCACAAATTGGTTAGTATTTTTAACCCCAGGAGAACCTAAAAACACACCATCCCGAGTGATCTCCTTGTTGTCGATTCCTCCGGCTGCTGGGTTTCTGCGCTGACGCTGACGTTCATGCTGTCCAGCTCCAGACCCGGCCGCTCGTGGCATCTTTTTTGTTTGTTTGGGAGGGTATGTAAAATTGCTTGTTTAGGTAATAGAAAGTATCAAACAAAAGGTGTCTGTACAACAACAATAACAAAATATTTTTCCTTATGGATCAAAAAAGAAAAAAAAAAAAAAAAAAAAAAAAAAAACAGCCTTTGTCACAGGGTTGGGGTTAATTGCTGTTGTTACTTCCTGCAATATGCAACTTAAAACCACCTCAGTTTCACCCGTTTAAATTTTTTTTTTTTTTGTACTGTCTAGGCGACCCCACGATTTTTTTGTTCTCCCCTTTATATATAACACCAAAACCAACCATCAATCAATCAATTAAAAAAAAAAAAAAAAAAGAAAACAGCCCACTTGAGCATCTTCCCAAAACACTTAACGACCCAACTGACACAGGCCACGCTTATATATACCCTCCTTATATATATATAGCTAGTAATAATCCAAGCAACGCTCTCTCTTGAAAAAAAAAAAAAAAAAAAAAGAATCCTCCCTAAAAGACACTCTAAAAATGACTTCTTTGCCTCCAAATGACCCCGTTGCTATTGTCCTTGACAAAATCTCCGACCTCAAAGACGGGACAAAAGCCGCCGTCTCGCGCATCGCAGAAAACATCCCTGCACCGCCTGTCGATAACGACCAGCTCCGGGATCTTGGTGCAAAAGTGGCCTCTGGTATCGACAAGACTGCAGCTTGGGTCTCATCAGCTGCAGGCTCTGGTGTTCAGCTCATCACAAACGTTGCATCAAAGGGTAAACTCACCTTCCAAAACACCGTTCAGCAACAGCAACAGCCCCCTCCACCACCACTAAAAACCTCTATATTCTCTATTAATGCCGCCTGGACGGCCCTTTGGGACTGGGCTACAGCTAACAAGGCTCTTGCTGGTGCCCTTGCCGGTCTTATTCTGACCGGATCCGTTTACTACCTTTACCGCTTAAATCTCGGGTACATTGCGGGCCCCAGAGCACTCAAGTTCTGGCGCCGTCGTAGACTCGCTCGGAAGGCCCCCAACGGTGGCCGTTCTGAGGTTGTTGTCATTGCTGGCTCTCCTGCTGAACCTCTCACCCGCACTATCGCTGCCGATCTGGCCCGCCGTGGTTACATTGTCTACTGGACAACCTCATCACCGGAAGAAGAAGAAATCGTTGAACGTGAAGAATCAGAAGACATTCGACCCCTTCTTATCTCCCCCAACGATGTTGGTTCAGTCAGAGCTTCTATCAAAGCTTTGGCATCTGTTCTCAATGTTCCAGCAACTGCCTTCCCAGGTGCTATCCCTCATATGCTCACTCTAGCAGGTGTCATTGTTGTCCCAGACTTGTACTACCCCACGGGTCCCGTCGAAAGCATTTGCGTCGACGCATGGTCCGATCTCGTCAACTCAAAGATTTTGGGTCCTATCTTCCTTCTCTCAAATGGTCTTCTTGATCTTGTTCGTGCCCACGAAGCCCGCGTTTTGCTTCTCTCTCCCACAATCATGGGCTCTCTAACCCCAGGGTTCCACGCAGCCGAAAGTCTTGTTTCCGCAGCCCTTGATGCTCTCTCGTTGGCTGTTTCCCGTGAACTGGCCTCTCAAGATATCCCCTTTGTCCATATCAAAATGGGCTCTTTTGACGTCAGCCATGGTGGCGCCGCACACCATGCAGCCCGCGCAAAACAGCGCGAGCGAGCCGTCCAAAACCAGGTTCGCGCAGATATCCTTGCTTGGCCCGATCACCTTCGCGCAATTTACGCCCGCACTTATCAAGCCGCAGCCACCGCTCTTCAGTCTGACTCGAGAATTAGAGGTGAACCTTTGCGTCTATTAAACTATACCATTTTTGATGCTCTTAACGATCACAGACCCTCGCGCGTTTACTACACTGGAAGAGGTGCTTATACTTATAGTGTACTTCCCAAGTTTATTCCAGAAAACCTCATGTCATGGCTTTTAACTCCTAAAACCGGTAATATTGTTCTTTCTGAAAAAACTTGGGAGCATCTTTAAAAATAAATATATAATTCTTGGTTGTGTCTTTTAATATATATATATATATATATATATAAAAGCTTATAAGGGATTTATATTGCGCCGGCGCAATCTATAAAAAAATAAATAAATAAAAAAGAATAGCCGCTATTAACTGATATATCAATAAATAAAGTTATTTTTGTTGCTTTCTTTATCTTCTCATGTCACAGAAGACCCAGTCGTATTGGAATTGCTACGACGACGACGACCCGTCCGACTCGTCACAGCTTGCATAGTCGACCCAGAAGCCCGACTCGCCGTGGTTCCATGTCGCTCCAGTCCACTGTGCTGGGCGCTTAGCACTGTGGTCAAGCTATTTTCCTGCACATGCGGTCTTGCGCCTGTAACTGAAACAGGTGACGCCACCGCGCTCGACACCCCAATGGCTTTTCTTTCTTCTTCCTCTTCTTCTTCTTCTTCCTCTGGAATAATACTAGTAAGTACACTTAGCTTGGGCTGAGATGGTTCTCCTTGTTGAGAAACAATAACAACGGGGGGCTCCACCGGCGAGGTTTGAACACAATCTTCACCATACTCAATAGCCGCCTGTTCATCCTGGAATCCCATCCGTGCACGTCGTTCTCCCAAGCGACTCATAAACATATCTTGGTGTTGGCGACGGCCCGTAATCCCACCAATACGCCCCTGTTCCAAAACTGACCTGACTTCTCTGGTTGGATTATTAAAGGGCAGTTCGTTATTATCTCTTCCATTGTTGTAATACATTGGCAATCCTGGATCTGTCGCATTGTCTTCACGGCGCGGCACATGCAAATTCAAGTCATGAATACATCTACCCACAAACCGAATAAGCTTGTTGCGACGCTTGGAATACAACAACCCGTCTGCAAAGTTTGATCGAAACACCACGTTAATTGTAAGCTTAACACGGTCCAAATCTGGGTACCCGGTGCAGTAAAAAAATGGGGTTGCGCCATAATCGCGCGAGTTTTCTTCGCAAAAATCAACCATTCTTTGCTCAAAACTTTCCAGTTGCGACATGGTGGTTTCAGGCAACCCCAAAATCAAATCAAACTGGTAGCCCTGAGGCCCAGATCGACTAACATTGTCAATCCACAATGTATTCAGCACCGAATTTGGGGCCTGCACAATGGTTGCATCTAACACGCGAGTAAACACAGTAGAGAGCAGGGAAATCTCTTTAACAACATAAGCAACGCTCAAAATATCAACGCGGTCGCCCACATCAATCGGGTGCTTGACAAACAAAAATACGCACGACGCCGTTATTTCCTGTGCCGTTGTTGAAAACATAAACGACAGCCCTAAAATGGTAGTTCCCAGCGTGGCCAGCACTGCAGTGACACTCGGAGAAAGCATGCCGATGAAAATGATAACAATGATGATGAATACAACAAACAAAAGTACAGAGTGAAGTTTGGCAATCGCAGTGTCCACGTCTTTGAGCGAGCGATAAATTGACTTGCGCTCGTGCGAAATTTCACGCACAGAACTAATCATCTCATCCAATGTCAAATCACCATTACCGTCAATGTCAAGTGTCTGGAAAACAATTTCATAATCGCTCTTTTTCTCGGGACCCAAAACTTCCTGTAAATCGTTCATTGTCAATGCTTCCTCATCCTCAAGAACCAAAGATAGCCAAATGCGCTTTGCAAGGGTTTCTGAGAGTTTTTTAGAATTGACAGCATCCGCAACAATGTTATTACACCATGTGCGAATTTCTGTGTCACTCTCTGCAACAACAGGCGAATGCGAGGTTGCTGCTGCACCTCCAGCGTGGTGGGTAAACGGTGAGCTCGCCGCATCTACCGCGCGGTTAACTCTGCCAAACAGTTTTTGAATTTTCTTGTTGGTAGCAATTTTTTTAGAAATGGTCGTGTGGCCATCCGAAATGGATGAATAAAACTTGCCGCTCTGCAGCTTCATATCTTCCTCCATAAACTCTGGTGAAAAGGGCGGGAACACCACGCATGCTGCACACAAGAGCTCAGACAAGACAAAAATAGAATGTTTATTGTCTTTGATGCGATTTGCAAACCGCTTCTTGTGGAAAGATACCGAAATCAAATGGATAATTGTGCGCTCTGCACAGTAAACCAAACTTGAAATCAAAGTGGCAACAAGAATATTTTGCACCACTGTCTGCCAAGTTTGAGTTGCATCCTTTTTGCTGGCATTCTTTTTCCACGTCATCACAGGCATAAAAGTTGATACTGCAATGAGCGAAGAAAAAACAAGCGTCACAGGGATTTCCATGGCCTGCAAAACGGAACAGTATTTTTTAAGTCTGGGCGCAAAAATCGAAGTGAGAAAGTAGTACCCTACGGGAAGTAAGTGTGCAACAATGCGGGAAACAAAAACAGCAGCCCATACTACTTCTACCCAGATAAACAACCACTTGAGAGGAACATGGCCAATGGATGCATCCTTGCGACCCCAAGCGCCGACCGCCAGTGGAATGAAAAATGCAATGGCTAATGGCAGCCAGTAGAAAAAGCAACGAAAGAAAACAGACATGTGGAAAACTTTGAGAAAGATTTTGCGAAAGTACCGCACAGCCTTGTTGTCGGACTCGTCTTTCTTTTGACTTAGCGACGACTTGGTGGGTGTCAAGCTGTGCCGGTGGCCTCTTCGGCGCCGTGCACGCTCATCTGAAATGTGGTGTTGGTCGCCGTCCGAGTCTGAGTCCTCGGTTTCTGTTCGGCGGAAAGTTACGGTTGTTGCTGCACGATTTGGTTGTAGTGGCACTGCTGCATTAGCTTGGAATGGAGAGTGTGAATCTTGCGGCGAGATTGCTTGGCCGTCATCATTATCATCACGACTACCGAGCGTACCCTTGTTAAGTTCTTTGGTAATATTTTTTGATTCGAGAGAGCCAACAACTTGGTTCAGCGCAACAAGCTCGTCGTCGGAACTATCTGAGCTATCAGTCAGCAGGTCATCTTTTTCGCTCTGGCGATCCTGCTGTGGGGCTCTCAAGGTATCTGCAGTACTATTATGGCTACTGCTGTTACTTATAGTAGAGCCAGACGTTGCTTGCTGATTGTTTATACTTGGTCGACTGGTATTGCTGGTGTTACTCGAGTTGCTACCAACCTGGTGCAAGGCCGAGTCCTGACGTTCTAAGTCGATTTCTGAAAGAGGGATATCTGCATTTGCTGGGGAATATAACTTTGGCATGATTGTGAGATATAATACTTAGAAAAGCAAAGCATGGTATTAAAAAGAAGAAGAAGAAGAAGAAAAAAAAAAAGGGTATGATAGTTGGAGAATCTTTTATATTTATAGACTTGAGATTGCTTCTTGGGTTTGCTTCTTGGGCTGTTCCAAGTGCTTCTTAAAAAATTTTTTTTTATATTTTTTTATTTTTTTTTATTTTTTTATTTTTTTTTTTTTTTGCATCCACAATCTAATTTTAGTGGTGCGGCAAGACGTTGTGCGTTTGACCTGCGTAATGCCCAAACCTCCCTCCCCCCCCCTTAAGTTTGCCCTGCCAACGGTTTTGAACTTAATCAAATAGACATTTATTTAACTTCTGACTACAAGCAGCAACTATTACCTAAAGGGAATTTTTATTCCTATAGGATATAGCTATATAATATATTATGATGAAAATGGAAATTGAAATTGTTGATGATATCATATGGCTATACGGATTCATATATTCATATATATACATTTATAATAATAGACAAATTGTAGCCACCACTTACTTACTAACTAATACCAAAAATTGTAGGCCACGGCCGCTATAGCAATCCCAGCACCATAAATGTACGGAAATATCCGTACCAGCCGGCCTCCGAGTCAAGATCGATCATGTCGGGTCATTCGCCGACCAATTTCGCTTCGCCACCCTCTGGCCCGCTCAAACCCATTTTTGCGTCCGTCATAGTCTCTAAGTGCTTGAATCACTTGGTCCCGAGACGACAGCACAAACGGACCATGTTGAATAATCGGCTGCTCCAACCTCTGTCCAGCTATAATTGCAACTTGCGCAGCTTCTTGTGCATCTTCCCTAACACCTACCACAACGCCATCACCCTCGGACCCCAGAAATAAGTTGGTGTACTTTGGGTACACCTTGCCTGCAACCTCCACCTCGCCCGCTAATATGTACACAAACGCATTAAACTCCAGAGGAAGCGGCTGCTCCACCCGTCCACCTGGCTGTATAGTCACATCGAAAAACCAAACAGGTGTATACGCAAGATCCTTCACAGACTCTGTTCCGTGCGAAATCCCAGAAATCACCTTGATTTGGACCTTTGGGTTTGGTGTGATGGTTGGAATCTCCTCTTTTCGCAGATCGCGATACCGCGGTTCTGTATTTTTTAAATTCTCAGGTAAATCAACCCATAATTGCAATCCTTCAGCAACTGAAGTGCTACTGTCTTCAGGTGCGACTCTTGGCATTTCCGCGTGTACAATTCCGCGCCCAGCTGTCATAAACTGCAAGTCTCCAGGTCCCAATGTCCCAGCCGACCCGGTAAAGTCTTCGTGGTCCATGTATCCTTTGAGCATGTACGTTATGGTTTCCTGGCCGCGGTGTGGATGGTCGGGGAATCCTGCATTGGGGGAGACGTAAAAGTGGTCAAATGCAACAAAGGGGGTAAAGTTAAACATGCCTATGATGCCAATCGATCGACGTACCCGGGCTCCTACTCCTTCTGTATGTTCAATTGCTGTAAAAGCTTTGTGAATGGTTCTTGATGTGAATTTCGACATTTTTTTTTGGTTAATTGTTTGTCAAACTCTGAGCAGAAAAGCATGGGACTTATTCTTATATATATATATTCTTATAAGGGTCTATGGAAGAGATGGTAATCAAGATTGACTTGATTTGTAAAGATTGGTCATATTTGAGATTATGTAATATTCATTTCAATTTATGGGGAATGGTCGTCATGCGGCTTGTATCACCACTCAAGGCCTGTTGTGATTTAGTTTTCAACAAGATTGAGAAATTAAAAACAAAAAAAAAAATTATAAAAAACTATAAAAAAATTTATAAAAATCCTTTAATATCCATTTTGTTTTTTTATTATATCCTTCTTTTTCTTAACATCTATAACTTTTTTTTTCTTCCTCATCAATGACTACTATACAGTATTCAGACCCTTCGATCTCCGGCTCTACTACACCGGCACTCCCAAAAACCCCAGTCTTGGGACCTACCGATGCAGAGCTTTTGTATTTGCAAACTTCCCCTTTATCATCTGGAACTGTTACACACCCAAACTCTGCCAATGGAGTTGCAGTTAAAGCAGATGGCGATATTAATAAAGCAATTGCAGCAGCTACTACGATGATTACTACGACTACTGTTGGAGCTAGTGCTACCACTGATACAGAATATGACGATGATGATATGCCTCTTTTTTCACTAGGCAATAGATCAGTCACTGTGGCTACTTCTCGTTCGTCTCAAAAATCCATGGAAGATGCTCCAACCTCCGATACATTAGTGGCAAGCCCTGGTGTAGACCGGAAGATGTGTCTAACCAAGGATGATTTTGTTTCGGTTCATGCCCTAAGCCAAGAAGATTTGGTAGATGGGAAAAAAGAAGATGATGATGAAGATGAAGAAGAGAAAAATGTTGAGTGTACCACCAATGATGATACCAATTCAAAGGACACTTGCATCACAAGTCCAAAGTTGTCGTCTTTTGGTACTTACCCCCTTTATGTCGGAGACCTCCATCCAGATGTGACAGAAGCCTTGTTGTACTCTGTCTTTGGTGTGTGTGGTTCCATTTCGTCTGTTCGAATTTGCCGAGATGCTATGACTCAAGCATCTCTGGGCTATGCCTATGTTAATTTCCAAACCAAGGAGGCTGGTAACGCTTGCTCAAAGGTAAATGAAGTATTTTAAGACTTTTACTAACGTTTCTTTTTTTTCTTTTTAGCTGACAAGGCACTTAAAGACCTTAATTATAGTAAGATTTTGACACGCGAGTGCCGCATTATGCCTGCAATTAACCGCAGCGAAACCCAACACTTGCCACCAGGATCCAACATTTACGTCTATCACTTGCATCCTAGCATTGAATCAAAAGCTCTTTATGATCGGTTTTCACAGTATGGTAAGGTTGTCTCGTGCAAAGTGGTGCGCAATGTGCACACTGGCCAATCCATGTGCCGGGGATATGTGCAGTTTGGCACAAGAAAGGAAGCCGACGATGCAATTGCTGCAGAAAATGGGAAATTGTTTTGTGGCGGTGAGATTCGTGTTGATAGCTTTTTGTCGCGTGAAGAACGGCTCTCTACATTTACTTCAAAGAAGGCACCAGCTGGGATTTTAAATGTTTGTGGTATTTCACCTCATTGCACCGAGGCTGAGCTCAAGAAGGTATTTGGTATGTTTGGATCCATTCACTCTGTTTACTTTACGCTGAATTTCAATCCTCGGTTTGTGAGTAGCGGTGGTGGTTATGCCATTAATGGAGGGACTGGATGGGGGTACGTGAATTACTATGAGGCGAGCGCGGCTCGTGTTGCACGGTCGGTGTTGAATGAGGTTATTTTGAAGGGTGTTAAGCTGTCTGTTATGGAACGTCATGATGCTGGGTTTCATTCTGATGAGCCGTTGCAATTTACAGTTGTTGTGCGGACATTTGACAAGACAATTGTGATGGAGAACATTGAAGATATGGTGAAGGACTCTGTGCCATTGATTGAGATTTCGTCCGCCAGCTTTAAGGTGTATTCTCGGATAGAAGGAGCTAGTGTGCAATGTGCCACGATTACTGCGCTGTCTTTTGACGAGAGCGAGGCTATTATTTCTGGAATTAATGCGCCTTCAAGTCCATGGCGAAGCTTGGTTGCGTGTCATGCAGGGCAAGAGGCAATTAAGTTTCGGCCACGCTATGGGTATTATTACAAGCATGACGAAGAGCTTGGTGGTGGTGGTATCAATGGTGGTGACGAAGGCCGACCAGTTCGTGGGGTAAGATTTGGACGACAACAGCAGTATCAGCAAAATCAGCAGCAGGTTGTGCAACAACAACAGCAGAGACGGTTTGATGATGGTAACAACAGTGGCAGCAGCAGCAGCATTAATAATAACAATGGTAACAATAATAGTAACAATTACCATCGCAACGGGAGTATTGGTCGGCGGGATTATTATTCACGCCGTGGTCACTATGGCGACAATCATAATCATCATAACCAGCATCATCGGAATTGGCGCAATAAGAATGATGATGGTCGTCAACAACAGCAGCAACAGCAGCAACAGCAGGCTTCAACAAAAGATGAACTAGAAGATGGCCAACCACCTCCAACTAACCGGCCTGTGTCGTTGCCACCCAAGCCTCGAGAAGAATTGGTGGCAGCATCTAGTGTTTGTGCAACAATTGTTGAAACTGCTGATGGATTTGTTGAAGGAGAAGTTGGGCCACCCAAGGGTCCAGCAGCTCAGCAGACCAATAGTGTCGTTGCTGCTAATACAAGCACTGGGTTAATTCCAACTCCAGTTTATGGAGGAGATGCAGGATATTTTGGAGGATGGCCAATTGTTGATGGTGGAGTTGGAGCGGGAGCAGCTGCTGCTGCTGCTGTTGCTGCAGCGGCGGCAGCCACGACGAGTGCCTATTATGGGCAGTATGCGGCCATGTACCCCCATCCCCATCATCACCACCATGGGTATGCGGCTTATTATCAGTACCCGACTCAGGAGGCCTATATTGGGTTTCCCATGGGCAATAGTGGTGGTGGTGGCGTCGCCGGGGGAAGCGGCGGTGACGGAAACGGCAACGGCAATGGTGGTGGAAGTGGAAGTGGAAGTGGGGTTGTTTGTAGTGGTGGGACCACAGCCGTGGGAGGAAATGACATCACTGGAAATGCTTGTGATGGTGGTGGTGGGTACATTGGTGGTGGAAGCCATCAGGCACTGATGATGACGCAACTTGGACAACGTTATCATCATCATTATCAGCAGCAGCAGCAACAGCAACAGCAAGCTAATGTGAGTGTGAGTGTGAGTGTGAGTGGAAATGGAAATGGAAATCGGATTAGTGATGAAGCAAGCACGGAAGGAAACGGGCAAAAGGAAGAAGATGATGATGGTCATTGTGGTGAAGAAGCAGAAGATGATGAAGATAATGAAGAAGAAGAACAAGAAGAAGAAGAGGGTGAGAGGCAATTGGAGGAGGACCCAGAAGAGGAAGAAGATGATGGATGTGCTGAAGAAGGTAAAGGAAAAGGAAGATTAAGAGTAAGAGGTGGATTTTGTGGGAATGGCAGCAAAGGAATAATGATGATGATGCAGGGGCATCAAAGACATTACCAGCAAGGGCAGCAGTATTATGGTGGTGGTCGAAGAGGAAGTTGGAAAAGAGAGGAGGTAATTTCTGACGAGAAGATTCCCCGAGAGCCCAAGGTTGCAGGAGGAGGAGGAGGACGATATTACCATAATAATCATCACCAACATAATCATCATTATCATCATCATCATCATCATCGTCAATATGAGAAGCGGCGTGGTCGTGGAGGTGGAGGTGGAAGTGGAAGTGGAAGTGTAGAAGGAGCAGGAGTAGTGGCAGTCATGTCTACGGGATCGACTGCTGGTGGTTGAGAAGGATGATTTACATGGATGGGAGGAAAGAATGTTTGATTGAATATAAAGTTATTTATATTAGTTTATAATAATAATAATTATAATGGAGATGTTTGAATTGGAAGAATGGTTTTGGATGGTTTTTGAAATAAAAAAAAAATAAAAAAAAAATTTGGAAGAGAGTGTCCTTATCGGTTATCGGGGGGGGTGTTGTGATTGTTACTGTGGAAAGTCGGTTGTGGCGATAAGACTTTTTGTATTTATTTTTTTGTTGTGTGGGTGGTGAGACATTTTTTTTTATTATTTTTGATTCTATTATTACTGTAAGACAAAAAAAAAATACCCGGACAAAAATAATAATAACAAAACGGAAATTTTTCAAATCATAGAAAAAAAAAAACAAAGAGGGAATTATACGAGAGAGAGAAAAAGTGTGTGAGAGGGGATTTTTTGTTTGTTTTTTTTTATTTTTTATTTTTTATTTTTTATTTTTTTTTGTAATTTGTAATTTGTGTCTCTCTATTCATCTTGTTTTCTTCTTTCTGCATAATGGTATGTGAAAAATTCCTTCCATATCTAGTTTAAAAGCTTTTTTTTTTTTTTTTTAGCAGCTGGTGTGAAATAAAATTAAAAATATTTAAATAAAAAAAAGAGAAAGAAAGAAGGAAGGATTAGGTGAGTTGTAATATATATATATATATATTTTGTGGGTCAATTGGACTGCCATCTTTTGTCTGTCTGTCTGTCAATTCCCTCTTCATCTTCTTTATCTTCATCTTTTTCTTATTGCTCATCATCATCTTCATCATTTTCATATTATGTTTGGTTGATTAGTTAGTTATTTTTTTTTTATATGACAGTGTAACCACCATCAATAATAATATCCGAGCCCGTGCAAAATGCAGACGCCTCCGAAGCAAGCCAAATGGCAGCCCCACTAAGTTCGTCTGGGTCACCGAGACGGCCAAGAGGGGTGCGCTCCTTCCACTCATTGAAAAGCGTAGTATAAGCACGGTTCAACGCGGTATCCATATATCCTGGTGAAATGGAGTTGCAACGGATCCGATGGACGGCCCATTCTGCAGCCAGCGACTTGCACAGGTGGCGTACACCAGCCTTGGAAGCATTGTAGGCACATTGGGGCTGGGGCCAGTTAACAATGGAACCCGACATGGAGGCAATAAAAACAATGGAACCGCCCGAGCCTTGAGCAATCATGTGCTTGCCAACAGCCTGTGCTACAAGAAAAGAGCCGTTAAGGTTAATGTCAATGACTCTACGGAACTTTTCTGGGGGGTAGTCCTCTGCATGGGTCAAGTCTGCAACACCGGCCGAATTGACGAGAATGTCGATACGGCCAAGGTCTCTCACAATCGAGTCAATGACGTCACCAACAGAGTGTTCGTCTCGGACATCCACCTTATAGAACTGGGCCTTGACTCCGTAGGCCTTGTGCAGTTTAGCAATAGCATCGAGACCCAAGTCTTGTTGGACGTCAAGAATAGCGACACCTGCGAGGCCTGCAGAGCACAGGCCTTCAGCCATGCAAAACCCCAGGCCTCGGGCACCACCTGTGACGACTGCGACTTTTCCGTCTAGGCGGAACTTGGAGAGATAGTTTTTAGCGACAAATGGAGGTTCTGGGACGTTTGCTGCGGCCAAGTCTATTTTAGAAGGAGGAGCAGGGACTGTGGCAGCCTTGGCAGTGTTGATTTTGGCTTGTGCACGGACAGCAGCAATGGCTTCTTCAGAGATTTCCTCGTCGTCTGTAGGAGCAGTAGGAGGAGGAGGAGCAGCAGCAGCAGCAGCAGCAGCAGGGGTGGTGGTAGCAGGAGCAGTATCTGAGACTGAGAGGGTAGCAATGCCTTCAGTAGCAGCAGCGGTAGGGTCAGTCATTATTATGAACGAGAGTTAATTGTTGGTAGTGATAAGATGATTGTAATAAGAATTATTAAAATTCTTTAAATAAAATAAAAAAAAAAAAAAAAAAAAAGGAGGTATAAATAAGAGAAGGAAAAGAGACCAACTGGATGGTGTGAGGATTTGGAATTTTGGTGATATAGAAAGAAGGAAGAAAGAAAGAAAGGAAGGAAGGAAGGGAAAAAAAAAAAAAAAGAAGGAATTTTTTATTTTATTTTTTTTTTATTTAAAGAATTTCGAGTACAGCGCAATAGATAAGCAAAGCCAAAAAAAAAAAAAAAAAAAAAAAAAAGAAACTTGTCAGGGGTTTATGGGAGTTATTTTAATTGTGTATATAAATTTATATTTATTTATAAAAAATACTCAGCCAGGCTACGTAAGAATTATATTTTAAGTCAGCCGTACTGCAATTAAAGTTAGTTTAAAATTAAAATGAATAATATTAATTAAATTATGTAATATCAACCTGATTAGTTAACTACAAGAGCCAGTTAAATAAATAAGAAAATAAATAAAAAAATAAATAAAAAAATAAATAAAAAATGAATTAAAAAATGAAATAAAAAAGAATATATATAGATTTTTTTTTTTTTTTTTTTATAACTTAGATGACGATTTGAGTTATTTATTTAAAATGTTTGCTTGCTTGTTTGCTTGTTTGCTTGTTTGCTTGTTTACTAAAGATTTTTAAATGTTCAGTAGATAGATTTCTTCAATATATAGATAGATAGTATATCTATATATATATATATTCTTTTTTTTATTTTTTGATAAACGTTAAAGTGAAGACCTAATTGATGAAATATCCAAAAAAAAAAAAAAAAATCATTATTCTGTGTATATCTAATATTTTAAATATATATATATATATATAAATAAATGATTTTACTTTAAATAATCTTTCAATTGAATTCCTATTAAAAAAAAAAAAAAAAAAAACTTTTTACAAATTTATCAAAACTTTTCAAATTTTCATATTGCCATAAATTAAATATACACACACACACACACACACTCATTCAACCTTTAATCTCCAATTCAAACCTTTTAATTCAAAACGTGGGTTCCATTAAATGGAATCCTCTCTTATCCACCCCTCCAATCACTTATATAAGATCTAAATATCAAAATCTAATTAATCATTTCTTTTAAATAAGTTATTGTTTATTTTTCTTCAATATATATAGATATATATATAATCAATCACGTCCAACTTCAATATTAAGGTCCCTTCCAAAAATCAAACCCAAAAAATAAAAAAAAATATATAAAAAAAAAACCCTGTCCTTCACATCAATTCAACATAATTTGCAGGGAAAATTCCCTCGGATGCACCGCGACGACCAGTCCACCAATCGTCCTTACTTTCACTGCGCTTCACAATCGTAATCACATCTCCCTTCTTAAAATCCAAATCTCCATCTTGTTCTCCCTTAAATGTGTAAAGAGCAACTGCCTTGTCACCCCCGGCAGATGCTTCAACCCGGCGCTCATCCTCACGCTGGCGTTCACTGCGGCGCTGCTCGTCGTATCGTTTCGGAGCCACACTGCCACCCACTGTGTTGCGGCGAGAGACTGGGCGTCGGTACTCCACATCATCATAGTCGTATTCATTGTCGTAGTCTCTGCGGCGGCTACTATATCTGCTGCTGTTATTGTTGTCATCGTCGTAAGTGGCGGCTCGTGAGGGTCTGCGGGATTCTGTTTCGTCAACCCATCTTGGTTTTGGGGCTTGGGGACGTCCTGGGGCATGCGATGAATAACTGTCATTGCGAATGTTGGAACGGCTCATTTGGTCACCAAGACGGTCAACACTATCGTAGTCGTCGTCATAATCTCTGCCACTATTTTCACGAACACGAGAAGAAGTGGTGCCACGTCTTCCTAGGCTACTGCTATTGTTATTTGGGCGGTCATAATAATCATCTTCCCAAGAGTTGTTGCTGTTGCTGTTGTTGTTGTTATTATTATTCCTGACGCGTGAGCTTGAGCTTCCTCTACGGTCATAATCATCATAATCGTCATAATCATCATCATCATAATTGCCACCACGTCTACCTCCGGAACGAGACCCAGAGCGACCAACATAAGAGCTAGAATCAGAGAAGTTTTCTGGAATATCATCGTAGAAGTCATCTTCGTAGTAATCTTGTCTTCCGGTGCGGAAAGCGCGCGACTCCAACACGCGGAATAGTACGTCAGCTTCTGGAGGGGGTTCAACTCTTCCGGAAAGAATTTGCTTGGCAGTACAGTTTGGTCCGTAAAACTTACGGTTAGCTTCGCGACGTTCAACCAGAACTGAGCCTTCGAGTGAGACACCGGCAAAGAGACCTTTTGTCTTTGAGTAAGAGAAGATGGCAGCAACAGAGCCACGGGACGCGGAACCAGCGACTTCGGCGTTACGACCCAGAGGGCCAGCAGCAAGTGACACGTTACCACCTAGGGTGATTGAGCCAGCATGAGAAAACGTGTCGACGGCTGCTTGGGTGTTAAGGATGAAGACAAAGTCAGTTAGTTCTGCACCGATTTGTCCTCCGACGCCGGCACCTGCAGTGACGAGAGCGGATGGGGCAGACCATGAACCATCTGGGAGGCGGGCTACGATGACACCGGAACCAGCACGGCCCGAGAACAAGAATCCTGCTTTGAGCTGGGTGATGATTGCAAGACCCTTTGCGTTATGGAGTACCTCTGGTGGAATGACCATATCTTGGCCCAAGAGCTGGTTTGGTTTGACAAAGTTTGCGAGGATACGGGCAGCCTTTCTGTGTGGAGTGGAAGATTAGTTGTTGTTAGTATATATTGTTGTGTTATCAATATATATATATATATATATATATATATATATATTTGTCAAAAGGACTCACCTGCACTCGGCAGACAGACTTCTAGGGACAGGATTGTTGATACCCATTATGACGTGATAATAGTGGTGGGTTGAATTGAATGTTCAAAGGGTAAGCCGAATGCTGGATGTTTTCAATAATAATCAAAAAAAAGGAATGATTAACTTAACAATGAATAATTTGTTTTGAAAGACGTAATGAGTGAAAAGTTTTTTTTTTAATTTTTAATTTTAATTTTATTTGGTGGTGGCTGTGAGATACAAAAAAAAAAAAAAAAAAAAAAAAAAAACGAGGGAAAATGCGATTTTTTTTTTTTTGAAAGAAAAAAGCGAAAAATGAGCATATTATTATTTAAATATTAAGACTTGAGTTATAAATACTAAATACTAACTACTAAATAATAATTACCAAGTCTCAAGTAGTACCACCTTCTGATGTTCACACACACTATATTAAAAAAAATAAAAAAATTAAATTACCGCATTAACGTCCTCCATTCACAAAAAAGCCGCTCTTCTTTAATCATTAAAATTTCAACTTTTTTTTTTTTTTTTTTTTTTTAACTTTAAAAATCATATATTTTTGAAAACCTCCAATTTTTTTCTTTCTTTCTTTCTTCTTTTCTTCCATTCATTTTAATTCATTTTAATTTTTTTTTTTTTTTTCAAATAAAAATGGCCCTTTTTGCAAGATTTCTAGCAAAGACGGCCACTCGTCCTACCACTATTGTTACCACTACTACTACTACAGATAATTTCATTACTAGGCCTTTATTTCGTTCCATCTCAACTACATCAACTACATCAACAATTTTAACTTCTTCTTTAAAACCTTCTTATTCTTCTTCATTAACCTTTCAAAAGTCTCCCTTCCCAGCAAATTTTACATCAGCTAACGTCAATTCCTCAGTCTTCCCTGTAAATTACTATTCTTTTCACTCAATTACTTTGAAGCGCTGCCACCTTTCACAATTATGTCCAACAACCATCCAAACCCGTCTTTTTTCAACCTCCAGATTTCTTCATAATAATAACAACCCCAAAACAAACCCTCCATCTCAACTTTCCCCAGTCAAATCAACCCTCAAACTCTTTGAACTCAAAACATGGCAATTCTTTCGTCTCATTCTCCAATCAATTGGTGTCATTGTAACCTCCGTAGCTGCCCTTTTCTTTCTATTCTTCCTCTACGATGCTACCACCTATGCAGGTGACGATGAAAACTCGGAAAATGGTTCCGCGGGCAAAACAATCCCAGTCCCTTACTTTGCACTCCACCCACAACGCGGAGGCCCTAAAAACCTTCCTATTTTTGATGCCTGCCTAGATGATTTGGATACCCCGGAAAAACAACTTGAAACTACCCGTCCCAGACTCGTCGTCCTCGGAACCGGATGGGGGACTGTCGCCCTCCTTAAACAACTCTACGCGAACGATTACGACGTCATTGTAGTCTCCCCTACAAATTACTTCCTCTTCACCCCACTTCTACCCTCAGCTACCGTAGGAACCCTCGAAACACGCTCCCTAGTCCAGCCCATCCGTGGCATGCTCCGCTCCATTAATGCACATTTCCTTCAAGCTGAAGCAGTCGATGTCCTCTTTAACGAGCAGCTCGTCGAGGTCGCTGCCACAAACCCTGAAACCGGTGCTAAGGAAAACTTTTACATCCCTTACGATAAAGTCGTCGTTGGTGTCGGTTCCATCTCAAATAAACACGGTGTCGATGGTCTCGAACACTGTCTCAAACTCAAAACCGTCGACGATGTCACAAGCATCCGTACTAAAATCGTCCGCAATATCGAGGCCGCATGTCTCCCAACTACCTCCGACGAAGAACGTAAACGTCTCCTCTCCTTTGTCATTTGTGGCGGAGGCCCCACTGGCGTAGAACTCGCTGCTGAACTCTTTGACGTGGTCCGTGAAGACCTCACCAAACGTTACCCCAAGATATTGCGCTCTGAAGTATCGGTCCACATTGTTCAATCTCGCTCCCATATCCTAAACACCTATGATCAAAGCATCTCCAACTATACTGAAAAGCGCTTTGGAAAAGATGGTGTAGACGTCATTACAAACTCGCGTGTCAATAAAATTCTCCCCGATAGAGTGATTTTCACTCAAATCAATGAAGACGGTACAAAAACTCTCAAGGAACTCCCCTACGGTATCTGCATCTGGTCAACAGGCGTCGATAAGGCCCCACTCACACGAGCAATCACTGAACGCTTGGGCAAACCTCATCAACGTAACCACAGAGCAATTGAAACTGATTCCCATTTGCGCATCATTGGTGCACCTCTCGGTACCGCTTATGCCATTGGTGACTGTTCCACCGTCCGTACCTCCATTGCAGACGAAATCGAGCGCCTTTTGCGTGACGGCGTTCTTAATTCCAAACGCTACTACCAAATGGAAATCGAAGATGCCGTTGCAATGCCCGTCACTAATCGACCAGTCACTTCAGCTCCTGTTGAAGAACATCTCGCTCTACCCATCACTGCCCAACCCGTCTCTAATACCTCACAATCTTCTCCCAATTTAGACAAACTCGGGAATCCCTCCGAAACAACAATAACCCAAGACCCATCCGCAAATACCCCCCATCATTTACAGCCCCGCCGTCATATCCATGCAATCGAAGATGACAAAGATCTAAGTCAATTGAGCCTCACTTTTGACGACTTTTTGGTTCTCGCACGTACCATCCGCTCTAAGTTCCCCCAAACCCGTGTCCATATCTCGCGCCTCGAGGAACTCTTTCGCCAATATGACCACGACGGATCAGGCACTCTTTCATACGCAGAACTCGAGGAAATGCTTGCTGCAATTGACAAGAAAATCACCTCTTTACCAGCAACTGCCCAGCGCGCATTCCAGCAGGGGAAATACCTAGGCCGCAAAATGGGCCGCCTCGTCCGCCTCTCAGACCGCTTGCGCGTCGCAGATGTCAAGTATGGCGACGTCGATGCTTCTATCTGCAAACCCTTCATGTATCACCATCTCGGAAGCCTTGCCTATATTGGCAACGCTGCAGTTTTTGACATGAATGGCCATAGTTTCTTTGGCGGTATCCTCGCAATGTATGCCTGGCGTGCCGCTTATTTCGCTCAAACAGTCAGCTTCCGTACCCGTGCTCTCATCTGTATGGACTGGCTCAAACGTGGCCTTTTCGGCCGCGATCTTTCCGGCGTTTAATCTTAGTCTCTTTCTTTCTTTCATTTTTTTTTAAATTTCTTTAGGCTTATTTTATACATGATTTATTATCCCACATACACTATATTTAGTTGGTATACAAAAAAAGAAAAAAAAAAAAACAAAGCACTTACTTGTTTTAAAACCACCACTGCCCATCATCCATCCATTACAACCCAAAGGCCTTGGCCGCTTCGGCTGCTGCAGCTGCCGCATCCTCCTGGTTAATCACTTTGTAATCCTTGCTAGCAACCGCCCGGTGACCTCTTTTCCAAGGTGATGCAGGGGTCTTGGGTGTTATGTTTTCTCCACCATCAACAACAACAACCGTAGTAGCCCCTCCGTTATCACTATCAACAGCAGTAGTCGCATCAGATGCCAATGAACTTGACGAAGATGGAGTAGACCCAACCCCAAGCGATTGTGGCTTTTTCGACAATGGCGATGAGACCACCGCTGTCGCAGCTCCAACCCCATTCACGCGCTTCCCCGAGGCACCTCCGGTCCCACGAGCATTACCTCCGCGCCGATAACTATTCTCCAATCGTTTTGAAGAATGATAATGATGTCCTCCAGACCCTTCCCCTTCATCATCAGCCCCTGCTCCTGCTTCTTCAGAATTCTTTGTCTCACTCGTTGGCGAGGGCACATAGTACGATGTTGCCGCCCCGCGGAAACTGTGATGGTAGTTAGTGTACCCTCCTCCCGGTGACTTGATTGATGATCCCGTGGTGGCAATATTAGGTGAATGCATGGAGGCCGAAACCGCAGCTGGAACAGGCCCACCTGCCCGCGCACTATAAAAAAAGTTCGGGTACCCGCCCAACAGCGATGACGCTGTGGACCCGTTGCTGTGAAGTAGGTTCAACGAGGTAGGCAAGTGGTACACCGGTGACCCCTTGGCCGGCGAGTTGCTGCCACTGGTGTTGCTGCCACCAGTGCCCGCTGTAGATGCAGTCACAGATGAAGCCAACGCAGGTGTTGACAATACTGACGATGACACATCACCCAAGACAACAGACGATTCAGACGATGGTCTAGTGCCATCGGTCGGCGTAGATGGAATAGATGCAGAAGATGGCGATAACGCAGCAGGGTTAAACATCAACGCACTAGCTGGGTGCCCACCAAGAGCACCAAACGTAACAGAGGTCGATGAGGTAGGCGTAGTCACAGTGCTTTGAGACGAAGCAACATGACCATGGGCCAAAGCTGGCTGTTGCAGTAAATGACGTGACGGGTTAGCACATCGGTCCTTGCCAAAATTAATCTTAAACTGCTTATACTCCTCCTTTTCCTTAATACCATCAATGGCCTTGATGGCATTGGCAATGTTTGTGAAGTTGACAAAGGCACACGACTTTTCGGGCAAAAAGTTGATTTGTTCAATCTCGCCATACTCAGAAAAATCATAGCGCAACTTCGACTCGGGCCAACTCTCGTCAATGTTGCCAATGTACACATTGCGAGACGCACCAGCCGTCACCGCCATCATAAGGGCCTGTGGTAGAGGACCTGAGTGTTTCCCCCACCCAATCTTCAAGCGCCGGTTGTGGATAGCAAGACCTTGGAGCGTGGCCAGAGCATAAAACTGGGCGGCAGCAGTAGGATCAACAAAAGTGATGAAACAAATATGCTTCTCAGGAATGTAGCGAATATTGTGGAGCAAGCCACCTCGCACAACATTACATATTTCCTCAATCGTGGTTTCCGGGTGAACTGCACCTAAGTAGAGTGTACGGTTACCAACATTGGCCGTGCCTCCTGCAGCGGCAGCAACTGCCACCGCAGCGGCCGACTGTTGAGCCAAGGCAGAAGAAATCAAGTCGCGGTCTGCAGTGGCCAGTATGTGTTCGTAGCCTGGTGCAATCCCAAGGTACTGGGCTGCATTTTGTTGTTGGGTCCTCGACACAAACGCGCAACGATCTTTACCATAAAAGACCTTGCGGGTAGCCCACTTTGTGTCAGAAGTGTCTTCATAGGCAAGTTTTTGGACAGCCTTCATAGCAGCGCTGATGCTTAAAAAATGTACAAACCCAATATTTTTGTCCTTGATAAGTTTTATTGTGTCAATGGCACCAAACTGAGACATGTCTTCGCGAATCTCTTCTTCGGTGATGTCGTCGGGGAGATTCCCAATGTACACGTTGCGCGTTGCACCGTCTTGAGATACAGCAAGAGCAACGGCTGCAGGGAGAGAGGAAGATTTACCCCAGCCAACCTTGATGTCATGCGAGTTAATGGAAAGTTGGCGAAGAGCAGCGTCTGAGTAAAAATGTGAAGCGGATGCGTGGTTGAGAAACGAAATGAATGCACAGTTTTTCTCGGTAAATATCTTTACAAATTCAATAACGCCTGAATGGACATGGTCGAGGAGGTGTTCAGCAGTGAGATCAGAAGGAATATTTCCAAGATACACGGTTCGTGAGGTCTGGCCAGCAGAGTCGATTTGATCAATGATGGGGGAGTAATAAGGCGAGTATTGGGCAGCGGCCGCAGCAATAGGGCTATAAAGGTCTGTGGCCGATCTAGCATTCAAGGGGGTGTAAGGGTTTGGCGAAGTTGGAGTTGATGGGAACGATTGGAACTGAGATGCAGTGTGGGGTGACAAGATGGGATTTGGAGAGGGCTGATAAGGTGATGCTAAAACCAAATGCGATGGAAGCAGATGGGAATACTGAAGATCGTATTGAGCCATTGTTCAGGGGGGAAATGAAAAAAGATTTTGCAAAAAGATTTTCGAGAGATTTTTTAGGGGTGATTTATTAGAATAATTTTAAGGAGATTTTCTAAGGATATTAAGGTTTTCTGAAGTCGGCAGATTGAAATAAATATCCCCTGTTTCAAAAATAAAAAAAAATAATAGGATTTGCAGAATAATGAGATACTCGATCAACGAGGTCTTGGAAAAGATGAATAGAAAGAAAGAATTTATCGAAAAAAAAAAATTGAAAAAAGTATTAAAAAAATAAGGAAATCTAAAAATGTCATGTTAATTTGTAAACCAGAGAGCTTTTCCGCAACCGAGCATATTTCAAGGAGTCAAAACAACTTACCCAAACAAAGATGGAGCTTCACGACAAAGAAGGATATAAAAAAAAAGAGACTTAGCGAATGACTAGGAATTGAAAAAGAAGAGAAAGAAAAGAAAAGAAAAAAACGAGCGAACAACAAACAAAGAAGTTGTTTCTTTTTTTTTTTCTGAACAGAATTCAAGAGCTCTAAAAGCAAGTAAAAAAAAAAAAGAAAAAGAATGGCAATAGGTGGGTTTTTATCTTAGGAGAAAAGAAGGAAAAGAAAGAAAAAAAAAAAAGGGGGCAGAAAATAAAAAAATAAAAAAAAAGGAATCTGGCGGGTCCTTTTGGTGTATTTTTTTTCTTCTATTCAGCCAAAAAAAAAAACAAAAAAAAAAACAATAAACCCAGCAACTGCCTGCACCATTAATCTACTCACGTGATAAGGGCAAGGGTCCCTCCTTTCTTCTTTCTCTCACTGCGTAAAAGCTGCTTCGGCAGCCCCACGCACACCGTCTTGTAAAAGTGTTGTAAAAGGCCTTTGAAAAACGCCTCCCATTTAACAATAATAATAATCAGTCTGTTTCGGATCCGTCGTCAAAATTATCGGTAATCACAGTTTTTTCAGAATGTGCTGCTGCTAAGGTGACCGAAGACTTGTGAACCATCATCTCCTCATCTCTATCATCTTCACTGTCATGACTGGTGTCTGTGCTTTCATCCGTACTCTCGTCATTCTCAGCCATAATCTGTTCCGGTTCCTGCTCTCTATCACCTTGGTTAGCTGCACTGTCATTAACAACAGATCCTTCACTCCCATCCCCACCCTCAACCTCCTGCTGTTCCTTACGCCGCCGAATAAACCGACGCCACGGAGCCTCTGGTGCGTTCAGTTCGGCAAGGCTCGCTTCCAATGTAGCAGTTGCATCTTCCATGGAATCACTTCTACCGTTGTCTTGTCTATGCAGGTCCAAAACATGCTTCTCGGGTAATTCTTTTTTAGTGGGTAATCCAAAAAGTGTTTCTGATAATGGTGCTGCTATTGGTTCCGATCCTAGTTCAGACTCTAGTGCTCTTGGGGCTGGTGACCCCATAGGCGATATTGAAACTAATGCCTGACTAGTACCCACCCCTTCATTATTTCCAACAGGCTGGCTGGCTAACTGCAAAACCTCAGGCCTTATGGGAACAACTCCTCCCTCCTTCATCCGCCCTTCGGTATCAAAAACACTGTATTCACCGACCTTGGCGTAAAAATCATACAGCGCAGCATCATCATCATCCGGAATGTCAACGCCTTCCCGCAATTGCTCTAGTTTCTCCTTCTTCTTATTCAAAAGCATCAGCATCTTCTCCAACAAATCAGCTTCTTCAAGAGCTTTGCTTTGTAAAAATTCCTCCAATTGGACTTCCAATTGTCGCTCATGCTCCTTCTGCTTCAAAATCTGTGTTTTGGCTCCCATCAACTGCGCTGTTCCTTGAATCAACATATTATGCACAGTGTTGGTACTCTCAGATCCTCCTCTATTCATGGCATGCAATGGAATCTCTCCAAGAAGCATAGCTTCATATGCAGACCAGTGAGCTGCTCCTCTTGCACGGTATCCTCGCCGAATTTCCAAAACTAACATGCCACTACTCCCACTATCACCATTAACTCTAGTAGTCAACCAAACGGGGGGTGGTCGCAAACTCTGCGTCCCAAACAACACCTGAACAAGTGAATCCGCCAACTCAGCCTGCCTGTATGTTTTTTCAGTCTCTGCAAATCCTTCTGCTAAAAAATATCCAATGTTGTGTTGTTTCACATTCGTACTAAACATTCTCCCGTCACTGGTAGCTGCCACTAGTGTCACATCGTAGTCTGCAGATTCAATGAGCCGCTCAATCTCTTCCACATAGTCAGTTATCATGTTATTGTTATCTGGGCTGATTCCATGAGCATACACTTGAAATACAGTTGTTATCCCCGCATTTTCCCCTGGAAGTTTGAATTGTGCGTGCCGTGATGCTGCAAATCGGCTGACTCTCTGGGGTTGTAGTGGAACCGTGTCACCAGGTTCTTCATGTTTGATCTGAGGATTGCATACTGAAAAGCTCCATAAAAGCTTTGACATTTGATGGTAAGAAAGGGAAGGGGGAGAGGAAGGAAGGATGGTGAAAGTTATACACCAAGTTTTTGATGAGAAAAAAAAAAATAAACAATAGTGAAAAGGGAGAGAAAAGTCAAAGAAAAATTTTGGGGTTGTGTGATTTGATTTTTAGCAATGGCAACAGTAAAAAAAAAAAAAAAAATATAGAGGGGTCACATAAAATACTGAAATAGATCTCATATAATAATTTAGGGTTGGGGTTTCCCTAAAAAAAAATTTTTTTTTATTTTTAATCGTCAGGCTTTTTGATTTCAAATCTTTTAACAATTCACATATTTGAAAAAAAAAAAAAATAATATGGTAAGTCCTTTTGATATTCATCTCCTACTCTACTAATATCATTCAAGTCTTCTTCAAAACAACAATATGGCTCTTGGAAAACTCCCAAGGCTGGATCTAAACAGCGCGCTAATGCTCGTAACCCCACCGGTTTAGGTAGAGCCCTGAAAAACAGCCAAAAAAAAGCAGGTAAACCTCAAGGCTTCATTGACGGCCAAGGCAACTTTCGCTACACAACTGACCTGCCCGATGGTGAGACTGTTAGAGAAAACGCATCTCAAAATCCTAATGAACCTGGCTGGGTCAAACTTCGCTCAGTCACCCAGGAAAACGCTCTTGATGAGTTTCTTTCCACAGCTGAACTTGCCGCCACTGATTTCACTGCAGACAGATATAACAATGTCAAAATCATTAGCCAAAATGGCGTCGATCTACCAGGTGGAAACAACATTTCTGGACTCCCAGTATCAAACTTTACTGCTCACAATCCTTACCTTCTTACAGCCCAACAGCGCGAGCAACTCGAAGCTATCCATGCCCAAAATAGAAGTAAACTTACTGTCCCCAGAAGACCAAAATGGGAACGCGGCGTAACTACTGCCACAGAGCTTGATCGACTCGAAAAAGAGGCCTTTTTAGATTGGAGAAGAGAGCTCGCTAATCTTCAAGATAACCAAGACTTGCTACTTACCCCATTTGAGCGCAATATTGAGGTCTGGAGACAACTGTGGCGTGTCATTGAGCGATCTGATCTTGTTGTTCAGATTGTTGATGCAAGAAACCCTCTTTTTTTTAGATCTGAGGATCTTGAGGCATATGTCAAAGAGTATGACGATGGAAAGAAACATAACCTTTTGCTCATAAATAAGGCTGATCTGTTGACTGTTTCGCAAAGAGAGGCATGGGCAAAGCACTTTAAACAACAGGGAATTAGATATGCATTTTTCTCTGCCTTTGCTGCTCTTCAAGAACAAGAGGCTGAAAAGCTGGAACAAGAGCGACTAGATGAGATTAAGAGAAGAGAAGAAGAGGAAAAAGAAGAGAACGAGGATGAAGAGGATGAAGAGGATGAAGAGGATGAAGAGGATGCAGAGGATGCAGAGGATGAAGATGATGAAGAAGATGAAGAAGATGAAGAAAAAGACAATGATGATGATGACCGGGAAAAAGAGGAATCCGAAGAACTCGAGGAAGCTGAAAAACCAGAACAAAAACCTCTTGAAAAGTTACCTGTTAGACAAATTCTTCAAAATAACCCAATCCACATTCTTACTGTTGAACAGCTCGAGGAGCTCTTTCTGACTGAAATCCCCGAGAAGCACAACGAACCTAATACCGAAGACGAAGAAGGTCTCGATGCTGCTACAAAAAATCAGCTCCACAAACGCGCTGCTCTCAATATTGGCCTCGTCGGATATCCCAACGTCGGTAAATCTTCCACCATCAACGCCCTCATTGGCTCAAAAAAAGTCTCTGTCTCTTCAACACCAGGTAAAACAAAACACTTCCAAACTATCAACCTCTCTCCTGATGTCATTCTTTGTGACTGTCCTGGTCTAGTGTTCCCCAATTTTTCCAATACAAACGCTGAACTTGTTTGCAACGGTGTCCTGCCCATTGACCAGCTTCGCGAATTCACTGGCCCTGCCGCTCTTGTTACCCAGCGTATTCCCAAATTCTTCCTTGAAGCCGTCTACGGTATTACCATTTTCATCAGACCGATTTCTGACGGTGGTTCTGGTATTCCCACCGCTTCAGAGTTGCTCTCGTCTTATGCGCGTGCTCGCGGTTTCATGCGTGCCGGTGTCGGCAGCCCTGATGAGTCGCGTGCCGCCAGATACATTCTCAAGGACTATGTCAATGCAAAGCTCCTCTACTGCCACCCGCCACCAAACTGGACAATCAACCCTGATCAGCTGCCGCTTGGCGCTAAACCTTCTGACATCCAGGACCCCGAGTTCATTGGTTCTCAATTTAACTCTCAACTTTACAAGCTTAGCAGTCTTCCAGAGTCCCGCCGTCAACAAATCTTGGCCGCTATTGCCAAGAATCGCTACGGTGACAATGCCACAATCCAAACTCTTTTCCAAAATGTTCAGCACGAAGAACAGGAAAAGGCCACAGATCCCTCTACTGCATCTAAACTGACGCTCCGTCAGGTTGAAGATACCATTGACCTTGCAACTGAGCTCGAGTCACTCTCATTTTCTCAACACGTGCCGCTCAACAAGTTGGCTGGAACAAAGAATGTCCAACTGTCTGCCGGCCGCACTGCAAACCTGCAAGCCGTTGTCAGTGCCGGTGCCTCTTTTGACCAGGATTTCTTTCAAAGCTCGTCAGCATGGGGACATCAAAACGTGCCTTTCCACAAAAAGGGGAAAAAGGGACCCAAACATGTTAACGCACCCGTCACAAACAGCTTAACCAAAAAGGAGGCCAAAAAGAAGAGACGTGCTGGCGCCGCTGCTGGTGTTGGTATCTATAGTGATGCTTATTAAATACAATGGGGATACAATATATTTTTATAACTATAAAATTAAGGAAAGAAAAAAAAATAATAGAAATTTTTTAAAAGATACTTTTTAATGCTTTACTGATACCTAACTTTTAAAATTACTAGTGTAGTATGTTATCATTCAGTAAAGAAATATAGATAATTGAAAATAAATACTAGGAATTAATTAAAAACAGAGTGCAAACAGGACAGATCCATTTTACGAACCTGGTTCTCCATATCAGGTGTCAACATGTCCTTATTTGCTGGGCCACCAAACTTGTGATAATTGTCAAAATCATATAATGCCACAAGACTATCAGAAACTTCTTCCATATTCATTGACTTGAAAAAGTTTATAAAAGAGGTTTCATCCTCGGTGGTTCCATCGTTTGGACTGAGGCATTTCAAATATGTCAAGTTTTGATTTTGTGGAATTAGACCAAAAAATAGTGTTCTAATAAGTCCGTCTGAAACATCCCATCCCTTTCTATTAAAATCAGGATTTTTAAGAAACGAAGGAAATCTTTGAACAATAGCAGCTTTTTCAAGAGACCCAAGAATAGAAGAATCCGAAAGTAGTTTTCTTTTTCTGTTTAAAATCTTTTGAAGACCCGGTGATAAATAAAATCCCCTGACCGTCCCAAAGACAAAACTTTTGAGTGATGGATGCGTATTCACAAGTTGAAACAAACCTTCATAAAAGGAAATTAACCTAGCAACAACAAAAAATGTACCATCAACCATAATAATTTTCATATGTTCTGAATCTTGAAGGGCAGTGTTGAATTCTAAAGGTTTATTAAAAATCGCAACAAGAGCTAGTTCGAAGATGAAAAACATTTTCTGATGATCTGCTGTGGACTGTCCAACTAAATCTAATATAGTATCCAAATCGAAAGGGAGAGCCTCGTAAAAGCTTGATATATCTAGATATGCTGCTTTAAAAGCTCTTTTAGTTATACCAAATTTTATGAACTCACGAAGGTCATCAAAATATTCATATGGAAAAATAGTGGTATAAGTCAGTTTAGTAAGATTAGTCAATTTCTCAAAAAAATTGTGAAAACCAGAAATAACTCCTGTTCCACTCTCATTTATTGAAAGTGAAGTCAACAAGTTATTGTTTATTGGTAAAATAATATCTTTTTGAAAATTTATGGATCCGCGATTGCGATCATCTGATGGATGACGATAATATCCTAGCTCAACCATTTTTGGAAATTTAAAAAACTTGAAAACATCATATGCAGTGACAAAATGAGTTATTGGTAAAAACACTTTATCAAACGAAGAAAGATTTAATAGCGGAGAGTGAAAAAAGAAAGTTAAGTATTTGTTCCCTGGATATGATATACCCGACTTTATTATGAAATAAACTCCACAGGAATCAATATTTTTGGGAATAGATTGAATTGTATCCAAATGACTTTTCTCAATAAAAATATTTTCAATTCTTTCTTCATCGTCCATGGCAATGATTGTGAGCTCAACTGTTAGTGAATGAAGATTTGGCATATTTTTTAGTTGTTTAACCATATATTCAGTATAACAAAAGGAAGATGCAAGAATTTGAAGTACCTTCAGATTTTTTAAACTAAGGTTAGGTGGGAAGTTTTTTACATCTTCTTCTTTTCTTTCACTCATTTTATATATTTGGAGCTCAGAAATATTATTAAAGACATTGGGAACATTGTTAAAAAGGTCTCCCATATATAAAAAAAGATTTCCTTTAGTGTTTATAAGACTAGTAAGCCGAACCTCAAAGTCAGTGTTTTGGTTGCCATTGGAATCGGTTAAATTGATAAAGTTATTAGCAACAGACTTAAAAAATTTCGATTCCAGATATGAGGGTCTCCAATTATGAAACTCTATGCTTTTCATAATTGGATAATCGGTTTTAAAAATTTGAATGTGTTTATGAGAGTTCCGAGTAATAGTAAATTTACTCATTAAACCTTCCAAGGTTTCTTCTTCTTCCTGGTTAACAATAACAACCATTGTTACATTGGAACTTAAAAACCATCCATAATTTTGGGGATTCCCAAATACTTTTCCAGAAGTTTGACGATAACCAGGATACTCTCTTTCATAATTTTCTTTTTTTTGAAAAGATTTATCAAAAAATACCAAGCATTTGTTCCAAGAAGGTCCTCGAAATATACTTTGTAGACAGCGGCTTGTTTGACTCAAATTTATAACACTTTGAGTAGGCAAAAACTTTTGAATTTCTAAAAGAAAATCTTTTGAAAGACCTTGAAGGTCAAGGTCATTGGAAGTAGACATATTTAGACCAGTTGAGTTTTAAGATAATAGAAAACAAAAATTATAGAGGGAAACTGGGCTTTTTATATTCAATTTTTTCAACTCAAAAAAATTGATGCTTGAAATTTTTGAATAAACTTATAAGTTTATTTAAAAATTTAAATTTACTAATTAGTAAATTTATGCAGGAGTAACAAAGTTGGATACTGTACAAAAATGGTTGCTAAAATGAGCATTTGGTAAATTATTGATCCTTGAGATAAGTTTGCAAGTATCAACCGATACTAAAAATTGCTTAATTACTTAGCTTAATAAAATGTAACTTTTTTCATAAAAATTTTTTTCATTTAAAAAACTTAAAAAAAATTGCTCCATAAAAATTCATTTGGTTTCCTTTTTGAATTTATTATTTTAAACTATAAGATTCAAAATTTTTGGTCATTTTTTTAAAAAAAAATTATAAAAGAAGCTTAAGGTTAACTGCCTGAGCTTGTTGGGAAGCCTTTTGAGCCTGCTGAGCAGCAACTTGAGCTTGGTGTTGAGCTTGATGCTGCTTAATGGATTCCTTAATCATCAAAATAATATAATCATCAAGATCAAAGTGCTTGTGATCGTGATCAAATGTAGCTGCACTGTCAACTTCAGCAGATTCAGAATCAGAACTTGAAGTCTCATCCCTAGCGTTAAGTTTGGAAGCCTGGGTAGCTTGAGAGGTTTGAATACGTTGGGCTTGAGCAGCCGCTTGCTGGGCCTGATGTTGTTTAATTGAATCTTTGATAACCATAATAATGTAGTCGTCAAGATCAAAGTGCTTATGATCGTGATCAAAGGTCGCAGCACTGTCAGAATCTGTAGATTCAGAATCAGAACTTGAAGTCTCATCTCTAGCGTTAAGTTTGGAAGCCTGAGCAGCTTGAGCGGATTGAGCACGTTGAGCCTGGGCAGTAGCTTGCTGGGCCTGATGCTGCTTGATGTGTTCCTTAATAGCCATAATAATGTAGTCGTCAAGGTCAAAGTGTTTGTGGTCGTGGTCATGGTCAAATGTTGAGGCGATATCGACAAGTTTTTGATCTGTGGAAGCATTGTCGTATTTATTGGAAAGATTTTCAAGTGCCGCCATTGAGTCAGTGCGAGTAAGAGTTTCAGCAGAAGAAAAAGCCTGTTCACCTTCAGCTCTAGCGTTAAGCTTTTTATTATCTTCTCCAGCGTTGTTTAAAGAGGCTTCAAGAGCCATGTGGTCATAACCCTTTTCCTTTACTGGAAAGGCCAAAGCTACAGAGGACATGGAAGAAATGAGAGCTGTGGCACCGAGAATAATGTTAGATTGAACCATTTTGATAATATTTAATGAAGTGAAAAGCTGATGGATGAAAAGCGAGTATTGACAGTAACGAAAGTTATAAATCGTTTAAATGATTGTGAAGATTTAACTGATAAGATATAATAATAAAATGAGAAAGAATGATAAAAAAAATTATTTGAAGAAAAATTGAGTACTATTTATAATGAAAATTTCAAAAGAATATCAAAAACTATTTCATTGATTTATTGAATAAATTCAAATTGTTAATTGCACAATCCATTGCCCTGCTTCATTTAAAAAAATGTTGAGAAAAACAAAACATGTTTAAGTTGTAGTTATCAATATTCACCAGCAATTGCTATCTGATGAGAAAAACAACATGTCAATACAAATAAAAGCGCAAAATATGTGACCCTGTAATAGCCAAATAAATTAAAGCTTTATTTTATATGAAAAGTAATGAATAGGAAATCACTTTTTTGAAACATTCAATGGAGCTTGATTCCGGGGATTAAACTTAATAAAACAAGCATTCATTTAAAGCTCATAGTAATTTTGTATTTTTTTAATATACCGTTTATTACAAAAAAGTTGTAAAATTATAACTAAAATCAACTTAAAAATATCATCACCTTTTAACTAATATTATGGAAAGAAGTATGACAGAAATTTGAGATTTTTTAAAAGTTCAAAGAAGGAAAAAGAAAATAAAGGTCCGCATAAAATAGAGCTTCAAATGTCTTTTATTTCCACATAAAAGATTATCTTATCTTTTCATTTATCAATGGAGCTCACTATATATAAACTGACAAAATACTGAGGTAAACGAGCATAAAACTGGTAAGCAAAAATAGAAAAGAAAGTTTTAAAACTTTAAACAGTTAAGGTCTAAGTCTTAACTTTAGATTTTAAATGAAACTTGTCAGGAAAGCACAACATAATTTTTTTAAAAACCGATTTTTTTCTTCTTTTAACTAGTTAGGTCATAACTCAATTTGTAATTAATTATTTTTAAAGTCTTACAACATCAATATATGACTCTTGCTATCATGTTCCAACAAATGATCTTTAATTACTTTAATAATCATATCATCCAAATCATAATGTTTGTGGTAGTAATCAAAATCAAAACTTGATGCAGTATCAGCTTCAGTGCTAGAGTCTGAGGCTGAAGTCTCGTCGCGAACTTTCAGATGGTGATCCTGAATTGCATCCTTAATTGCTTTGATAATCATGTCGTCCAAATCATAATGTTTGTGATCATGATCAAAATCAAAGGTAGATGCAGTGTCATCCGCTGTATTGAGCTCTGAAGCAGAAGTTTCATCCCGAACCTTAAGGTGATGGTCATGGATTGAATCCTTGATAGCCTTAATAATCATGTCGTCCAAATCAAAGTGCTTGTGATCGTGATCAAAATCGAAAGTTGAAGCACTATCGGCCTCAGCTGAAGCAGCCACAGATTCTATGCTTGAGCTCCCGTCACGAACTTTTAGATGATGGTCATGAATAGTATCCTTGATTGCTTTGATAATCATATCATCCAAGTCAAAATGCTTGTGGTCGTGGTCAAAATCAAATGTCGACGCTGTATCAACTTCTGTGTTAAAGTCTGAGGCTGAAGTCACGTCGCGAACCTTCAAATGGTGATCGTGAATTGCATCCTTAATAGCCTTAATGATCATGTCATCCAAATCAAAGTGTTTGTGGTCATGATCAAAATCAAATGTGGAAGCGGTATCGAGTGACTCAGGTGGTGAGTCCACAATGGCTTGATTGTCTTCCTTATTTGCCTCAACCTTGACATTTGAAATTGCCTAAGAATTCCCATTTACAGGATATGCAAATGACATAGTAGAAACAAATGCGGTTGCTCCAAAAATAGTATTAGCTCGAACCATTTTTTTATTGGTCGTTAATGAATGTGAGGTAGTTGTTATTAAGGAAATTATTGAGTTAGGATATAGAATAAGTTCTTTGTTAAAGAGTAAAAAAGTGAATGGTTAACAAAAAAAAAGATTCAAAAAGAGAAATTATCAATTATTTATAGATAATTCTTTTGAAAAATAAACAAAGTACAATGATATTCATTTGTTGAAAGCTACGGCATCTATTCCTAGAATATTGAGCTCTTTACAAATCCTTTGAAAACATCAAAACATAATTGAATACTTTCGACTAATAAACAAATTTGTGTTTTAGCTCTTAAGTTGCAAACCGAACTTGTGAGCCTTGAAACAAATCATTTCCATAGATAGACCAAAAAAAAATTACTGTGGGTAGGAGGTGAATTTTCCTATTTTGAACATTTCTTAATAATCGTGATTTGAGTATTTTCTCTTCCTCTCTTAAATTTTGTCCTCGTCTCTACAGGCATTTCAACACTTCCTAATAAGGAAAAAATCTGTTTAAAAATTGAAAGTCTCTGTTTATTTTACCATAACTAGGCATACAAGCAAGATATGTAAAAATGCTTAAGTCACAAGTCTAACTTAGAGAGGTAATGAAATCGAATTGGAATCACGATGATCAAAATCGGTTTGAAAAATAAAGCTTTGTAAATAATTTAGTTAAATTAAGTCATGATTTGATCAATAAAACATGAAGTCTGAAATTCAGACCTTTAATCTTGTTAGGCCATATTTAATCCGCATTCCTTTTAGCGAAATGAAACTAGAGACATTGTAAAAAATTAATTTATCGGAAACTCTTGAGGCAAAACAATAATCCTAAAATACTATTTTTGAATTTCTTTTACAAATCAAATCAAAAATTTTCAAAGGCCGTCCACTCTAGAGTATTTTTTTTTGCACAGGAATCCTAGTGAGACAGGCATTAGAAGTAGAAAATGGTTTAAAAAATGTAAAGTTGAGAGCATATTCACAACTTTATAACTCGAAATTTCGCTTAAAACCCAAGAATTTATGTTTTTAGACCCTTGAAAAGATATAACATAGGTTTCTAAAAAGAAAAGTTGGTGATACTATCATATGCCAAGAGAGCAGCAAAACATAAACCTCTTAATATTAAATTTCTGTTGATGGCAATTACTTAATTCAATCTCATTTAATGTTGTTTTAGTATCGTAGCTGTAAATATAATTTAAAAGGATTAAAAAAACTAACACATTAATTATCAACGGGTATTCTTTGAGCCCACCAATATCTTTATCATCTTTCAGAAATTACATGTCTCTGTTAGTTTCCATTAAAAGTTTAAAGCAATTTTTTTTACTACAGCAATAACAAACTTTTATCAAAGTATTTTAATATATAGCAATAAAAATTATTCAACTGAAAGGGGGTTTTAAACAACTAAAGAGGACAGGTGATTTTCAAGTGAATAATGGGCTTTTAAAAAGGTCAAGAGCTTGTTTTAGAATAGTTTATGTAATGGAATATGATAAAAAGGTAGTAATTAAAAAAATAAGCACTCCAAAATAAAGTGAATTCAATGATTTTAAAATGAAATGCTTTATTTTTTGGTATTAAAAACGCAAATCTTTTAACAGAGGCAAGACAATAAGCGTTCCATGTAAATCTAAAAAAGTGGCAATCTTTTCGAATGAATTTTTTTTTAATAAACACAAATAATTATTACATAACATTAATAAAATATTATGTAATAAAGATTACTGATCTCCAGCTACTTTCTTCGAGTTCACTTAAAATGAATCGAATTTATAAAAATTACATCACATCTTTAGAATGCATTAGAAAAATATACAATTAAATGAAAAGCCAAAAAAATAAATTATTCCCCTTTTTTATTTTTATTTTTTTTGTTTTAGTCATGACTAAGTCTAATTTTCCTTCTTGAGCTCATCAACAATGATGGACTTTATTAACTCAAGATCAGGCTTGTCAGCAAAGAGATTCTTCTTCTCTCTGCCAGGAAGCTCCTTAAACTCTTGAGGAAGAACATCATTCTCAAAATTGTATCCCTCCTGACCCTCAAGAGCCAAGTCAACAGCATCAGCAAACTTAGCAGGGTGAGCAGTAGACAGAGCAACGTGGTGGTGATCAGCAGCATCGGTCTTCTCAATGACGTTAAGGGCTCCGAAAACAGCAACTGAGGTGTGGGGGTCCAAAATGTACTTGGGAGAGATTTCTGTGTAAACCTTCTTGATGGTGGCAGTGGTTTCCTCATCGGAAGCACGCTCACTGGAGAACTGGAGACGGGCGGTGGCAAGAACCTTCTCAGAAACGCTGAACTTGCCAGTGGCCTTAAGATCAGTCATCCACTGATTGACAAGCTGGCCAGCCTCTTCGTTGGAATCAGTGGTAGTGCGAGCAGCGTACCAAAGGTAGCGCTCAAAGTTGGAGGAAACAAGAATGTCCATGGCAGGAGAAAGAGTGGCGTGGACAACAGGGCCAGCCTCAGCAGAAGCACTCTTAGAATAAACACCAGACTGAAGGAATCTGTGGAGAATGTCGTTGCTATTAGTGGCGACAGTGAGCTTGTTGATGGGAAGGCCCATTTGCTTAGCGTAAAAGCCAGCGAGAATGTCACCAAAGTTGCCAGTGGGGACAATGTAGTTGATCTTATCAGCGAGAGCCTGAGCACCGCCCTCAATTTTTCGGGCCAGAGTGAAGAAAGAGTGGAAATAGTAGGTGATCTGAGCAAGAATGCGGGCCCAGTTAATGGAGTTGACAGCACCAACGTGGTACTTGTCGTTGAAGGCCTTGTCGCCAAAGACTTGCTTAACAAGGTCCTGGCAGTCGTCAAAGGTACCTTTAACAGAAATGGTATGAATATTGGGGTCGAGAACAGAAGTCATCTGGGCCTCCTGGATAGGGGAAACTCTACCGGTGGGGAAGAGAATAAAAACGGAGACATTTTTCTTATTGCGAAGACCGTAAATGGCAGCCGAACCGGTGTCACCAGAAGTGGCACCGACAACGGTGATGGTTTCTCTAGAAGGGTCGGTAGGAGCCTTACCTTCATTTCTTCTGGTGAGGAAAAAGTCGAAAAGGTTACCGACAAATTGCAGAGCAACATCCTTGAAAGCGTAGGTAGGGCCGTGGAATAGCTCGAGCAGGTGGAGGTTGATGTCCTTGTTAAGAGTGGTGGTAGGAGTGATATCCTTAGAACGGAAGGTGCTGTAAGACTTTTCAATGATCTCCTTGAGATTATCAGCAGGGATCTCCTGGCGGGAAATGTAGAGTGAGAGGATCTCGAAAGCAAGCTCCTGGAAGCTCAGGTTGGCCCACTTGGTGAGGAAGTCCTCAGGAAGAGTGGGGATGGCGGTGGGAATGTAGAGACCTCCATCGGGAGCAAGACCAGTCATGATAGCCTCCTCAAAAGAGATGGCTTTGTCAGAGGATCTGGTAGAAAAATACTGTTGGCTAGCGACGACCATTGTTATATATTGGACTGTGTAGTTTTTCAAATGTTGAATGTTGTTGGAGAAAGGAAATGAAAGTTTTGTGGAAAAAAATTTGTTAAATTTTTTTTTTTTTTTTCGTGACACCTATATGGGCGTGATTTGTCCAATAAAGAGTCATACACAAGCACACCCACACATCACACTAAGTACTACCAGCAGTAACCTTGTCTAGTAACTTTGAAAAAAAAACTAAAGCAATCCTTGTAAAATCTACGTAAAAAAAGAAAAAAAAAAAAAACAAGATTGAATTTAAAGTTGTCATTATTATTAATAATATTATTATTATTATTATTATTATTATCAATATCATCATTATCATCGCTTTGTATTCAGAAACATATGAATTGTCTGATTCAGCACGTCATCGGTGTAAAAGTCCGACCTTCTAACCTCTTCTTCGTTGAAGCCCTTGTCACTCATAATCAAACGCAAATCACTGGCTTGAGATTCAAGCCACTGTGAAACAGTGTCAACAGGGTTTTTAGCCATTGAATCCATAAACTGATATTTGAGTCTGTTGGCATTCATGGCTTGAATGGTTTGTGCAATCTGATCGTCCAGGGTTTGGATTTCGGCCTGGTGTTCGTTCCAATTACCCAACAATTCTGCCATTTCCTCCTTCATGGGATGATCCTTCTCAATCTCAATGTCAAAAACAAAATCACCGATATTGTTTTCCTTGTCAACTTGAACGGTATAATCAATGATAATGGGGGCTCGTGGTAGCAAAAAAGGTTGAATAAGCGTGGGGATTTGAGCAAAGAAAAAGCTGTCGCATCCAAAAAGTTTCTTGAGAGCTGCATCACACTTGATTGTTCTTTTATGTTCAATATCCTGAAGTTTGTTAAACTTGATATACTGCCAAAGAGCAAAAACAACGCCAGTTTTTGTTTCTTCGTCTAACGCAATGATACGTGCCAACTGCGGTGAAAGCATAAATTTATCTGGGTACTCCTTAACCTGGAAAAGAATTTTGGCCTTAATAGGACGATCGCCATTCCGTCTAATGTCCAAAATATCAAACCCCAGTTTATTTTGTTGCTGTTGAGCCACTGCAGCCTGCTTTTCAAGAGGATCAGTTGTCTCGTGCCATTCGGCTATGGTTCTTTCAGATGGGTCGCTGAGATTCTCAAACTCGACAATTATGCTGGTAAAGTATGAAGAAAAAAGACGGCGCTTTGAGGAATCTAGAGGCTCTTTATTGTCAAGTAAACGGCCCTCGATTCTTAAATTAAAAGATGGAGTCGTACTGCTCCCATCAAAGACAAAGGTATTGCTACCGTCATCCAAACCAGCGGCCATTACTTGCCAAGGTTGGTCTTTCACAGAGTTGGAAATGAATATTCGCATAGTCTCATGCGTTCTCATATTTCTAGCCATTAGATCCTGAAGATCCAGCTTTTTACGGTAAAGTGTCGCGTCAATCTTTCGCTCTACTTCCTGCAGCTTATGATACATCTGGGCTTCGGGCAAAAGCTCGTCAAATAGCAGTGACAAGTTTTTGTCAGTAGGTTTATTATAAAGAGTTGGTTGATCTCCTGGTTGAGGCTGCTGCTGTGTACCGGGAGGCGGTGGAGGGATATTATACTGTTGCTGCTGTTGCTGCTGTTGCTGTTGTTGTTGCTGTTGTTTTAACAGCTGCTGCTGGTGTGCTGCGGCTTGCTGTTGTTGTTGAAGTAATTGTTGTTGTTGGGCAGCAGCAGCGGCAGCAGCCTGCTGTTGTTGCATTGCCTGAGCAGTGCTTCCACGAGGTCTTCCTCTAGTTCCTCTTCCAGTCATTTTGTAAAAGCTTTATTTTATGTTATGGGAGAATGTGAATTTGTTTTATAATACAATTTTATATATATAAATATATATATATTTTTGAAAAAAAAAAAAAAAAAAAAAAAAAGACGCGTCGGTAATGGAATGAAAGATTTCTTGGGGGGAAGTGCGAATTGGCGATTAAAGTGGAAGAAAAAAATGAAAAAAATAACAAAAATAACAGCATTTGTTACAATATTATGTAAGATATATAAAGTGTAATAAATCTTGTAATTGTAATAACAACCAGATTTCATATCATAAATAATTCCCATTTCTAATAAAAATACACTTAAAAAATTAAAAATAAAACCATTCTAAACTTAGAGTGAAAAGTCCTAAATACCGGATCGAAAAATCTGTTTACGTTGGTGTCGGAATTGAATTGTTTCTCGCCGCTCAAGCATCAGCAGAGCGCGGTCCAGCGCGTTTTGCTGGTATCTACCCGATTGCACAAACTCGTTTAGCAGTCGTTGATAAGACGTGCTCCACCCAATTGGCAACCGTCGTTTAAGTTCTTGTTCAATCTTGTTAACCTCGTGAACAAGCTCCTGTCTGGTTCCTGCTCCTGATTCTACAGCTGCCATTGTAGAACACTGGAATAGCCGCATAGCTTCCTGGACATGCTCCGTTGTAACGACAGGTGAGAGTCGCAGTTTGGCCAAAGATTCAGAAATACGAATAATAGCTTCCAACTGTCTAATAGTAATTGGAATTGATGATCTTTCATTTGAGTCCTGCTCTTGTTGTTGAACAATTTGTCGGATTTCAACAAATTCACTAGAAAGGGCTTGTGAAGCTTCTGGAGAAAGTCGCGGTGCGCACTTAGACTTGCAGTAGGCAATATATCTCTTCATCTTTTCAATGGGTATCTCACCTACTGCTTCTGTAGCTGCTTTATTCATGTGAATATTCATAACGTGATGAGCAATTTCTTTATCTCTTTGCTCATTGTGCTCGTCTTTAATAATAAAAATCATGTCAAATCTTGACAAAATGGTTGTTTGAAAATCAATATTTTCTCCGGGACTTTTCATCTCATCATATCTGCCAAAAATCGGATTGGCAGCAGCTAAAACACTTGTCCGTGAGTTAAGAATAGTAGTGATTCCAGCTTTGGCAATTGAAATAGTCTGTTGTTCCATGGCTTCGTGAATGGCAACTCGATCTTCATCCCTCATTTTGTCAAACTCATCAATACACACGACACCGCCGTCAGCAAGCACCATTGCACCACCTTCAAGATAAAACTCTCGAGACCCTGCATCTCTCTGCACAGAAGCCGTCAAACCAGCTGCAGATGAACCCTTACCAGAAGTGTAAATCGCAATAGGAGAAACCTTTTCCACGAATTTTAAAAGCTGAGATTTAGCGGTACCTGGGTCGCCCAAAAGTAAAACATTGATATCGCCACGAAGGCGCATGCCGTCAGGCAAAATCTTTTTCGAACCGCCCATCAATAAACATGCAATTGCCTTTTTAACGTCTTCATTACCATAAATACTAGGAGCAATACTTCTGGCAAAGATTTCATATAAATCAGGATTTTTGGAAATATTGATAAATTCTTCTTCTTCTGTTTCAGAAAAAACCATATTGCGCATGAGATCATGACCCGCATCCTGTTGTATACCAACGACCCGTAGATAAGGATGTCTTACAGCCACTGCATTAGGAGTTCCTTTAATATTGCTGGACTTTGAAAAAATAGAGTAGATGCCAATAACAGTGCATCGAGTACCAGGGGTGACCTGGTTACATAAATTTCGATCAACCGACAAAAGAATGTGCCGTGGCATTTCACCTACAGGGACCATATCGGGAGCTTCCTGTAATTTTAATGACTGCTGGTCAATAAATGAAGAATGTTCATGGAAAACAACATAAGGATTAGGCGGACAGCCTTGACGCTGGTTAGAATCAGAAACTGCCAAACAACGACTAGGCAAACTTATTCCTGAAAATCCGCTGTCCACTTCAATTCTATGAAGGTGGTTACATCCTCGACAAATAAGTTGTAAAGAAGTGGCTTTTGAAGAAAGAGTAGAAGCGGAAATGACAATACCGGGTATTTTTACTAGCTTCGATATGTAAGAAGCGCTCAGCTCTCGAATTGAAAGAGGATTCGAGTTAGATTTAAGAATAATCTGACACACAGGAATAGCAGAAATTGCTGCTTGAGGGTTGACATGTGTTTCATTAGAACCGTTATTGATACCTTCTTCGTTGGAACTTTCACCATTTTCGGCAGATGTATTTTGTGCAGCAATTAGGGAGGGGTAAACAATCTGTTTTGCAACGTCACGAATAGCTTTCTCAAAAAGAGGAAGAATTTCACCAGGTTGCTCAGAAATCTTTTGGCCAATATCTTCATTGTAAGCAATGATATCCTCCATGTTCACAGTCAAAGAGTAGTTTTTGGAGAGAACATTCTCCCTCAGTTGGTCACGATATACATAGCTATTATTGACCCAGAACTCTAAAATAAAAGAACGAAAAATGGCCTGAATATGAGATAAGTTCGGCTCATTTGAAGTTTCGCCTGGGAGAACAGATGTTGTTGTGATTCTTCCTCGATCGTAGGACATGTTAATAAGTTTTGTATTAACGAAAATTGTTGAAAAGGAAAGAAGAATTAAGGTAAACAAATAAACAAGTAAACAAAATAATTAGCACTGGAATTACAAGTAAACAAACAAACAAAAATAAACAATCACCTACCAGCATAAACAACGCGTCGCGTAAAAAAAAATGGTATTATGTAAACAGTCACGTTACCTAACTTATGTAAGAACTGACTAGTCTTATTTTTCTAGAACCTCCCATGAATATTGTCGTGAGAATTTCCAGGTGATTCTTCGCATCTGATTTAAAAACCACCCCTCCCCGCTCTTGAATTTTTTTTAGAGAACTACTCAAAAAATTATCTCTAATAGTCTATCAAATTTTTACATTTATATATCAACAAAATGTCTGACGCTGATTCGGTATGTTTTGGTAGAAAATTGGATTCTTTTTTATGTTCTAATGACTAACTTTGAACAGCTAAAAGCTCAAGGTAATGCTGCCTTCGCCAAAAAGGACTTCCCTGCTGCCATTGAGTTCTTCACAAAGGCCATTGAGGTTGCTCCTGAATCTACTGCACATGTTCTTTATTCAAACAGATCTGGTTCCTATGCCTCCATGAAGAATTACGAAAGTGCTCTCAATGATGCTGAGATTTGCGTCAAGCTCAACCCTAGCTGGGCTAAGGGCTGGAATAGAAAGGGAGCTGCTCTGTTTGGCCTTGGTGACCTTGTTGGTGCTCATGATGCCTATGAGACTGCCTTGGAAAAGGAGCCCAGTAACGCTCAGGCTTCCAGTGGCCTTAATGCCGTCAAGGAAGCCATTGACCGTGAGGCTGCAGCTGATGGCCAAAATCCTGATATTGCAATGACTAGCATTTTTACTGATCCAAGAACTATGGAAAGACTCAGAAGTAATCCCAAGACAGCTGAGTCCATGAAGGACCCTGCCTTTGTTGCAAAGCTTAATGAGGCTGCTAAAAACCCAATGGCTTCATTCAAAACCGCCGCTCCCGACACCAGAATTATGCAGGCCATTGCTGTGGCTTTGGGAATCGATGCTGATATTGATATTCCTGATTTTGGTGCCCCGGCTTCTGCTGCTGAGAATCCCTCTGTTCCTAAGGAAGAGCCTAAGCCTGAACCCAAGGTTGAAGAAAAGGAAGAGGAGGTTGACCCTGAAGAAGCCGCTAAGAAAGAAGCCAAGGCCAAGGCTGATGAGGCTAAGGCCTCTGGTAACTCTGCATATAAGGCTAGAAAGTTCGATGAAGCTATCGGCTTTTACAACCAAGCTTGGGAGCTCAACAAGGATATCACATACCTCAATAACCGTGCTGCCGCTGAATTTGAAAAGGGTGACTATGATAGTGCCATTGCTACTTGCCATGAGGCTGTTGAGTATGGCCGTGAGGTTTTCGCTGACTACAAACTTATTGCTAAAGCCTTTGCGCGCGCTGCCAATGCCTATCATAAGTCTGGCGATCTTAACAACGCAATTCTATATTACAACAAGGCTTTGACAGAGCACAGAACCCCTGATGTACTTGCCAAGTTGAGAGCTACTGAAAAAGAGCTTAAGAATAAGGAGGCTCAAGACTACATTAACCCTGAACTTGCCGAAAAGGCCAGAGAAGATGGAAATGCTAAATTCAAGGAGGCTAATTGGCCGGAGGCTGTTAAGCTTTATACTGAAGCAATCAAGAGGGCTCCTGAGGATCCTCGTGGCTACGCTAATCGTGCTGCTGCTTATCTCAAGCTCATGTCATTCCCCGAGGTGGTCAAGGACTGTGACACCGCCATTTCTAAGGATGTTAACTTCTTCAAAGCTTATAGCAGAAAGGCAACTGCGCAGCTGGCTATGCGCGATTATGCCAAGTGCATTGAGACTCTTGATGCTGCCCGACTCATTGATACTCAGAATAAGCATTCTGGTGAAATTGATGATATTTACAACAAGGCTGTTTCTGCCCGATTTGCTGCCACTGAAGGTGAAACTAATGAACAGACTTTGGAAAGAGTCAGCAAGGATCCTGAAATTGCTAGCATCCTTCAAGATCCTGTTATGAACTCCATTCTACAACAAGCTCAGAGCAACCCTGCTGCTCTGCGCGATCACATGCAGAACCCAGATGTACGTCGGAAGATCAACTTGCTCATTGCTGCAGGAGTTATCAAGACTCGATAAATATTATAATTATTTATTTAAAAAAAAAATAATAATGATGTAGGATTTTACGAAGAAATAAAAAAAATTTTGAATAATATTTACAATTTTTCAAGATTATTTTTGAAATAAAATTTTAGATTTGTGTAGATCAAAGAGGCAATTTGTTTTACTTTTGTGTTTGGTTGTTGCGTGACTTTAAAAATTTGTGTCTATGAAAAGTTTGTGGGTAAATTTTGTTTTTGGAACGTGGCAAATTTTTAACACAAATTTTTGATGAACAACATTTAAACCAAATTTTGTGTTCATTTAAATCACAATTGCCAAATATTAGTGTTTGTTTTTTAATTTTTACACAAATATTTGTGTCTTTCTCAAAAATAACTAATTTACAATTTTCCCACTTTTTTATTCTTTCTTCCCCCTTTTTTTTCAACTCATCAAAACGCCGGTTTAACAAACCAATCTCAATCTTTCAGGCATTGTCTCTTAACAGCAGAAGGCCAAACCCCCTTAAACCTCCTTTATTGCCATTTTTACTATTTTCTATTAGAAAACTTCACTTTCACCATGGCCGACGCACACGAAGCTGATCTCGAGTCCATTATCGATAGACTTCTTGAAGTTAGAGGCTCAAGACCCGGAAAGCAGGTTGACCTGCTTGAACACGAAATTCAATACCTATGCACAAAAGCCAGAGAGATTTTCATCCAGCAACCTATATTACTTGAGCTTGAGGCTCCTATAAAGGTATGTAAACTTGATTATCTGCGCGTTTTTTTTTTTTGAATAATATTCTGACTCTGTTAGATTTGTGGCGATATTCATGGTCAATATTATGACTTGCTCCGCCTTTTCGAATACGGTGGCTTTCCCCCAGAGGCAAATTATCTGTTTCTCGGTGACTATGTCGATAGAGGAAAACAATCTTTAGAAACTATTTGCCTTTTGTTGGCTTACAAAATTAAATACCCTGAAAACTTTTTCATTCTCAGAGGCAATCACGAATGTGCCTCTATCAACCGTATTTACGGCTTTTACGACGAATGTAAGTAAAAAGAATGGCATTAAAATCTTTGTTGAATACCATAACTAACTTTTTTTCCTCTAGGCAAGCGCAGATACAACATTAAGCTGTGGAAGACCTTTACTGACTGCTTCAACTGTCTCCCTATTGCAGCCATTATAGATGAGAAGATCTTCACCATGCATGGCGGTCTTTCTCCCGACTTGAACTCTATGGAACAGATTCGTCGCGTTATGCGACCAACCGACATTCCCGATATTGGTCTTTTATGTGACCTGCTGTGGTCTGACCCTGATAAAGATATTGTTGGATGGAGCGAGAATGATCGTGGTGTATCTTTTACTTTCGGACCAGATGTGGTGTCGCGGTTTTTGCAAAAGCATGATATGGATCTGATTTGCCGTGCACATCAGGTCGTCGAAGATGGTTATGAGTTCTTTTCTAAGCGTCAACTAGTGACTCTCTTCTCGGCTCCCAACTACTGTGGTGAGTTTGACAATGCTGGTGCCATGATGAGTGTCGACGAAAGTCTCCTGTGTTCTTTCCAGATTCTCAAGCCCGCAGAGAAGAAGCAAAAGTATGTTTATGGTAACGCCCGCCCTGTCACTCCATCAAAAAAGAATAAGAAGACCGGAAAATAATTTTAGATGGGCGCGTTAGCAGATGCATGACTTAATTATCATTATACACTTTTTTTCTTTATTTTCCCGTGGTTAATTTCTTATTTTTTTTGTTTTATTATTCTATGTAGTTGAAATGGTTTTATTTTTTTTTTACAAATCTTATTTTAACTTCTTCATATCATCACGCCATGAGATTAGTGATGATTTTCAATAAATCGCTAATAATGGGGCTTAACGTTTCAACAGATCCAGAGTTCAATGACAATACATCGTTGCGTATTTGTGTAAGTGTAGGCGCTACAAGCTCTTTGCTGTCTGTCCATTGGGCGCGTGCCACCTCTGCGTTCTCTTCTTCGTTAAGAATATCGTAATCTTCACCATCATTCTTATCAGCGTATCCTGAATCGCTATTTATATTGCTCAACGATACCAGACTATTAACCACTGAGAGTAAAGCAACAGCCCACTTAACTCGTTCAGCCAGAGATCGACGTTGGTCTGCAATCGGAGTATCAAGAGATGGGGCATTGAGAGCAGGGCTCACAAGGCAAGCAACGTATCCAAGAATTAAGAAAAAACGTGGACCGAACGTACGATGTGACCACTTCATGAGCTCTGGCAGAGTGACAGATAATGGCTCAGTCCATGCGTCTGCACTTATGATGAATGGCGTAGCAGACCCAGAAACCTTGTTATCAGTGTCTTCCAAAAGCTGCTGCTCTATCAGGGTAGCATTTTCGCTACCATGACTTCCTCCCGCCGCAGTAGTAATGTACATGGCACATGATAATAACCGGCCCAAATCGATAGGTCTACTGCTAGTTCCATTAGTATCATTGGATTCTTCTGGCGAACGGAAATAATGAAAAGCTCCTAAAGGGTCTTGTTGAATAATGCTTCGAATGATACCCCGCTCGCGTGTTGAAATCTCATCGCTCTGAGGTGGTTCAATTACTAGATAGCTTGTCTGAGCTGGAGGAGCCACTGGTAAAGATTCCTGGACAGATCCTCCAACCGCTGGGAGTTCAGGAAACGGTGTATCACTTTCACACTGAGGGTATGGAAGCTGTTGACTAGGTATGGTTGCCGCAGAAGGGGCTTGCTTTTGTGGAGTAAAAGGAGGTTGACTCAAAGGTGGAGAGACAAGAGACCGAAATTTTTCAGGTGGTGGCAACTCAGCTTGCGGTTGTTGAGAAGATAATTGCTGTTGCTGCTGTTGGATTTGTGATTGAAGTTGTATCTGAGGTTGCTGCTGTGTTAAGGATGGTTGACGATAGCTAGTGAGATTCGATGATATCGATCCTGTGTATGCACTAGTAGACCCCCAGATTTGAGAGGAATAGCCATTACTTTGTCCAAGAGTAGTGCCACCAATTGATAATCGTGAAACGCCCTTCTGTAATGGCACTGGGGATGTAATTGATGAAGAAGCCGGTGGAGATACAAAACTGCTTCGAAGATCCTGATATAATGCGTTTTGTGGTGTTGGTTGCTGGAGCGGGGTTGGTTTCTGAATAAGATCAAATGAAGTGGTGTTTTGCTGTTTGGGGAGAGCGTGTGACATACCATCAAAGCCAGGGGATGAAAAAGGACTTGTGAAGGCATTTGAAAATGCAGTTGAATTAGTTCTTGAAGATAGACCTGGTGGTGGGGGGATAAAGGATGCCCGTTTCTCAGTTCGTGATTCAGTTCGTGGTTCGGAACTAGATGCTTCTTCTAAAGAGTTGATGAGATCAGGGGGGATATGCTGGCCATTTTGTTCTTCAGAATCACTTTCTTCCTTAATGTCTTCCTTGATTTCTTCCTCGATTTCTTCCTTAATATTTTCTTTTGAGGGTTCTAGAAGTTTTATCTGCTCCGTTGATTTATTGAACGATTCTTTCCCTAGCCGCTGAGCAACAATTTCTGTAAAAACTTCTAAAAAGTCACTCTTTGAAAAAAAGTCTTTCAAAAACTGTGCATGCTCGTCACCACACTCATATTGGTTGTTTTGAACAAATCGATCAACACAAGCCATCAGCAATTGCTCAGATTTTGGAGGAGCAGTAACCGGAGTAGTTGGCTTTGACACTTTCTCATGCTCTGGCACCCATTCACGAATGACAACAGGAGCAATGGCAATGCCGCGAGAGTGATAAATGTAGAGGTCCACAACATCCTTATTAGCATAGTTTTCTGGTTCTAGTGAATGGAATATAGCACAATCAAGGACGTTTAAACTCTGAGGTAAAACAATCTTAATAAGACGGATAGAGATATCCTTGTCTGTTGGGAACTCAAACAAAATTAGGATAATTTTTGATTTATCATTGGAAACAACCATTGCCACTAGCAGAGTTTTATCGAAATAAACTGAAGAAAGAGAAGTTTCAGAAAGTTCAGAGCGTAAATCAATTGGAAAAAATGTGAATGTGTTATGAACCGACATTAAGCTAAGAACTGAATTATTTTCATAACCAATTAAAACATATTCTGAGGGTGAATTAGGGCGAGCAAAAAAGTTGATGGAGCATCCATTGGGAATGTCTACTGTGGCATTAAGGGTCGATTCTTGGCTTCTGTCAATGCGAATGCGTTGAGCTGGAAGAGCCACACGGTCATCCAAGGTTGGGATGCTAATAATATCAAAAGCAGGGCCAGCATAACTGCCACCGGGAGATTCGGAGAAAAAGGCCGCAATAGACTTAAATTTTGGAGAAACTGCAAAGCTTTCAATATTGTAATCAGCAAATTGAAAGCGTATATACTGCAGTCTGCTAAAAGATTCAATGAGAGCTCCTCGTTTACTTGTTTTTCCGCGAGAAGAGTTTTCTTCCTCAGTCAAGGGAGTAGCAGCAGCAATAGCTTCACGGTTGTCAGAAATGGTCAGAACATCAATATTATTTTTCCATGCAAAAGCAACATGAGCATCATGTTTCTTATAAGTTGTGAACTTGACCTCTTTGGGAACTTCAGTAATTTTTCTAGTCAAGACAGCGGGGAGACCAGAGTCGTCATGGCGCAATATCCAAAAAGCAAAAATGCCAGAGTCGCGCGAAGCAACTATAAGAAGAGACCTTGATGGATCCGAAAACTCTGAAAGTACGAGGTCAGAAATGCGGCCATTGACTTCAGCATCAAAACTGTAGTGTTTACTAGAATGCTGCATAACGACACGAATAGTGGAAAGCTTGGAAGACGTGTAAACAATAAGTTCGTCGTTGGCCACAACCAAGTGTGCGTCATACTTGGAAAACTTGGAGACAAGCATAAGGTCGCTATCATCGACACAATATGTCTCCAGCGATTTCTGCTTGACATCACACATGGTGGGTGGGGGAGAGAGTTGATATGCTTGGGAAATAGGTGGGGAATTTATGCTTGTTGGTAAAGCTTGTGAATGTAGACTCAAAGATTGCTGGTTACTTTGAGATTTTTTTTATGGTAGGCGAAAAACACCCATTGTGGGAAAGGAAATGGAGGTTTGGGTTTATTACAATAGCTTAAATGGTTTGTAATGGCCAAGTTGTAACAGGCGGAAAATCCTAATTAGGTATTATAAAGAACAAAAAAAAATTTGATCTTGGGACTTGAGATTTACCAACCAGACAGAGTACCATATATATAGAGATCATAAGAAAACTAAATAAAGATGTCAGCGACAGAACCAGTAAAAGCTCCTCGAAGGAGGTTTGTTGGTCGCAAAGCAGCTGGAAAGAATGCTACAGGGTCTGATGCCCCTATCACAGAAACACCTACAGATATCCATGACACAGGTGATTTGCTAGTCAAGAAAAATACTCCTAAAAAGACGATCCAAAGGTTCGTCAATCAGATTCCACCTGAGATCCTTAATGATCAAGAGCTTAATACTGCTATTTCGATTTTGCCTTCCAACTACAATTTTGAAATCCACAAAAGTGTGTGGCACATTCGCAAACACAGTGCAAAGAAGGGTATGTCACTGAAGGTGAAGGTGTTAAGGACTATAAATCTAACTTGATAGTCGCGCTACAAATGCCTGAAGGCTTGTTAATTTACGCGCCAATCATTGCTGATATCTTAGAACAATTTTGCGGGGTCGAGTCTATTGTCATGGGCGATGTGACTTATGGTGCGTGTTGCATCGACGACTTTACCGCAAAGGCCCTGGGTTGCGATTTTTTGATCCACTACGCACATTCATGTCTTGTTCCTGTAGATGTCACTGGGATTAAGGTACTTTACGTGTTTGTCACTATCGAGATTGACACTGAACATTTGCTCAGTACTTTGACACACCACTTCCCCGCAGGATCGCGACTGACTATGGTTTCGACAATTCAGTTTAATCCCACACTTCATTTTATCCAAAAACAACTCGAATCTCGAGGAATCACAGTCTTAACACCACAAATAGCACCGCTATCCAAAGGTGAAGTTTTAGGATGTACATCAGCCCGGCTTAAAAAGCGCGACAACAACAAAGATAATATTGATGACGACTCGTGGGATGCCATCGTATACCTAGGTGATGGTCGATTCCACCTTGAGTCTGCCATGATTCATAACCCAGAAATTCCAGCATATAAGTATGATCCTTACTCGCGCAAATTTACAATAGAAGAATACGACTTTAAACAACTAGACGATGTGCGGCGCGAAGCCGTAAATGTTGCTCGCAAGGGCAAGACCGCGGGGCTAATTCTGGGTTCCTTGGGCCGCCAGGGAAACCCTGTAACTCTCAACATGTTGTATGAGAGATTAAAGGAACGTGGATTAGATGTGGTGACGGTTGTCCTTTCAGAGATTTTCCCCGATAAGCTGGCTATGTTTGACGATGTAGACTTTTGGGTGCAAGTTGCATGTCCAAGACTTTCCATCGATTGGGGTTACGCCTTCCCCAAACCTTTGCTAACACCATACGAAGCTATGGTGGCAATGGATTCAGACGAGGACTGGAAGAAACTGGGGTATTATCCCATGGACTACTATGGTCGAGATGGTTATGGCCGTGGAAGTGTTCCTTCTAGGGTGTAACTTTTTTTAAAAAAAAATAATATTATAATGCATGTAATTTTATGGGAGTTAAATGTGATTTTGTATGTAAAAATCAAAACAAAAATCTTTTCGATCCATCACAATTTACCATGGGTGTCACAGTGTAAGTACCGCCTAAGAAACCTTGGCCTAACCATCATCCTTTTCATTCTAACATGTCCTAGTCTTTATCTTGTGTCGGCGACATCGCCAAATATAATCATTGATGTTTGCGATCTTATTGGAAATAAAATTCCCACCAATGTGGCTAAATGGTCTTTTGAAATCAAGCTCTTTAGAGAAAACCCGCATAGCATGGGTTCCGAAGCAGCAGCTGCCAATGCTGCCGTCAGTCAGCACATTCCTGGAGCTCGACCAGTTCCTTCGAACTTTCTTCATACGCTTATATTTGCTACAAACCCAAAGGAGACTGTTTGTTTAGTCAAGGGCGTGGGCACAGCGCTGACAGGCCCTTTTGACCAAATGCTTCAAACTAAGCTGCAAAGTTTGTGGCAACTACGGCAGTTTGTTCGTGGTGAAGGAACCGCGTTTGAGCTTGACAATGGTGCCTTTTGGGTCCGATTAGGCAATATGACCTTACAAGGAAACTTTCGTGGTTTGTTGATTGAGATTGAAGCATCAAAATTAGAGACTTTTTGGGAAGGCAGCGAGGACCCTCCAGGCTCAGATGTGACAAAATCTCCAGCTTTTCGCAAAATCAAGCCGGTTTTAGACCTTTTGACTGCGCAGGGCAGCCCGTTGCATGGTGCGGGTGGGCGTGTAATAGTGGGGCCTTCTCAACTAGTGACGCGAACCAAACCATTTACACGCGTGGAGACTGCATGGCAGTATGCTGAAGCCTTAGAAAATCGCTGATGGCCCGGATTCTGTCTTCCAATCGGTCCTGTCGTTTGGTTATAGAGTTGTTCGTATAAAAATAAAAATAAAAATACTGTATGTTACCGTTGCTTATAGCTTATATCATGTAACTTTTTCCGGTAACCTTTCCAGTAACTTTTTCCTTTATTTAGTGTTTCGGTCTCCCCACAATTTTTTTTAGCTCCACCAATATCGAAAGAAATAAATCCACGCATTATTTCCAAATATTAAAAAAAAAAAGATATATTATTTTTCATAAATACAATGATTCGTCTACAGAAGTTGATTCCGCGGACGCAAATTTCATTGGGATCTCGGACTTCATTGCTTCCAACAGCACGCCGCTTTGCAACTTCATCGTCTCAGATCCCTACACTCAAAAATGCTCTTGGATCCTCCCAAAGCCCTTTTCTTCGGGCGCAAGCTGGGTCGCCTGTGGCCTGGCAGGAATGGTCCCCAGAAATTTTGAATCTGGCATCTACATTCAACAGACCTATTTTTTTGGCAATTGGCTATGCAGCATCTCACTGGTGCCGCGTCATGAATCATGAGTCCTTTTCAGACCCAGCTATTGCCGACCTCATCAATGCAAATTTTGTACCGGTACGCGTTGACCGCGACGAACGCAGAGATGTTGACCTTCTCTATTCTATGTATTATGAGGCAACCACAGGCCAAACTGGATGGCCGCTGAATGTCTTTTTGGACCCAAATTCTCTGGCACCATTTTTTGGTGGTATGTACTGGCCGTCTGCCGCATCCGTGGAGCGTTTGGCAAGCACCAACCCTCAGGTAGCTGCACCAGCTTCCCTTGAGTCTGTGCTTTCTGGTGTGTCCACTACTTGGGCTTCCTCTGGTGACAAATGTGTAGAATCTGCAAATGCTATAAAGGAACGCCTTCTTGAGCTGTACCGACTGCAAAATGGTTCTGAGAAAGCTGATCTTAGCCTCTCTGTTTTTGAGGACGTCTGGAATCATTTTGACGATAGCTTCGACCTAAACTACGGTGGGTTTTCGCAAGCTCCTAAGTTTCTTTGTCCCCACAACCTTTCGTTTATGCTCAAATACTCACATTTGTTGACCCCTCCCCCTGAGGTTAGAGCTCAACAGCCAGAGTGGAAGCATAAGCACGACCTTGATGCAAAGGGGATGGCCAGCTTCACGCTGGAGTCTATTGGTAAGGGCGCCACCAAAGACCAAATTGGGCTTGGGTTCCACCATTATTCCGTGACAGATGACTGGAGTCTCCCCCACTTTGAGAAATTACTTATTGACCAAGCTCTGATTCTGTCGGCATACATGTACGCTTATCAGGCTGACCCTCAGAAAAATGCTTTTTCACTGGAATATATCCGCGACCTTGTGGATTACATGTCTACAAGCACTTCGGAAGGTGGACTTTTGACTCCCGATGGTGGCCTTGTAGCCTCCATATTTCCAGACAGCAAACCTATAGCTGGTGCACACCACCGAGATGCTGACGAGCTTGCGTCGGCAGCTGCACAGCACAGTTACCCCTTGGTCGAAGGTGCTTATTATGTTTGGCAAGCAGACGACTTTTCACGCGCCCTTCCTAAGCGCACAGAGAGCGACCTTGCCGGTGCCTATTATAACGTTCGCGAAGGTGGAAATATTAATGAACAATTCGATGTGCGTCATAAACTTGCGTACCAAAATACGCTCTACCGTAGTATGGACTTTGAAGAACTGGGGCGCTACTTTGGAATGCCAGCCTCCCGTGCAGAAAAACAGATCAAGGAAGCAAACGCCAAACTGCGCAAGTACCGCCGTGAAACGCGCGATCATCCAGAAGTTGACCAACGCGCGTTTGCCGGCTGGAATGGTGCTGCCATCAATTCGCTAGCCCATACCGCCCTGGCCCTGTTGAAAACACCAACTAAAGAAGGTTTGGAGACTGATGAGCTCGTATCTCTCGGCCAAAAGGCTCTGGGGACTGCTGAGACTATTGCCCAGTTTGTTTACGACAAGCTTTTTGATCCTAAAAAGGCAACGCTTCAGAGATACTACTTAGACGGTAAGGCTAGTTCGACGCCAGGAATGAACGATGATTACGCATACATGATCCAGGGACTTATCAGTCTTTACACTGCAACCTTCGACACACGCTACCTTGACTTTGCCAAACGTCTTCAGGATGCGCAGCTTGTCAACTTTTGGGATACCGAACGAGGCGCTTTTTTCTATTCTGATGCAACATTAGCCTCAAATTCGCATCTGTTCTTGCGCTTCAAGCAGAGCTTCGATGCTGCTGAACCTAGCAGTAATGGTGTTTCTGCTGAAAACTTGCTTAAGCTATCAGGCCTATTGCATGACACCTTTTATTGCAGCAAGGTTGGTGAGATTGTGGCATGTTATGCTAAGGACATTGCAGCGCAACCATTTGGTTATTGCTCAATGTTGGGCGCTGTTGCCGCACGTCTCCGAGAAACCTCCTCTTCTGGTGCTCTGACCAGTGTCATTGTAGTGGGCGGTGAAAACGAATCTGATCAGGACGACTTAGCGCTACACAATGTGCGCCAAAAGCTCTATGACATTTTTGCTAAAACAGAAACCCCAGGAGCAGAGGTTGAAGAGAAAGCTATCGATAATGCATCGAGCAATGATGCGGTCGTTCGTGTCTCGAGTATTGTCCCCACTCTCACCATTCTGCGTTTGCGTTCAAGTGATGTTGAGCGCTACTTCGAGCCATATGGAAATGCTCTATATGGGGCTCTGGCGGACAAATACAGTACCGGACCAGTCCACTATATTGTCTCGCGCAACTTTACACTCACAGACCCTGTTTCTTCTCTAGAAGATGTTGTTGAGCTTCTTTTTAAAAGTAAATAATGGACAGAAAGAAACGTTTTTGTTCCCTTCATCAAATAAATAAATACATGTGCAACACGTTAAAAACTATTTTACTACTATTACTATTCATTTTCAATTATTAATGTGCTTAAGAGCTTTTTCCCTCTTTTTTTTGTTCCTCCATTTTTTAACCGTTTTTTTTTTTTTTTTTTTTTTTTTAAATTCTCCAGGTAGACAGCCAGTTGAGATGCTTGTAGGGTTCAAGCTCGCCAGTCATGCCAAAAGAAATGGGTGCAAAAATCAAAAAGATGCCAATAGTTTCCGCATAGAGAGTTAGGAAAATGGCAGTCTTGATGTAATTGTTGGTAATGTAGCGTGTTGTCAGCATATCAATCAAGAATGACAGCAGCATCAGCGCAAAGTAAAGAGCGGGAAGGTAATGGTGCACGTATGTGACACGGGCCATGACAATAAAAGGTAGATAATGGAAAGCCCAACCAAGAGCAGGAATAATACCAGAAACAGCGTACTTGTCTAGTTGGTCCCAAGTGAAATCCTTGTAACCACGCTGCCAGCGCGCCAAAAACCACAAAGTAACAAGACCAAAAATAACAACTCCAGCAGAGGAAATCCAAGTATTGATAGGATGACCAAGCAAAAAGTAACGGACATTGGTAGGACCCCAGCCGCAGAGACGAAGACCAACGTGGAGAGTAGGCCATTCCCAGGCCTTAGAAGTAAGCTCATCTAGTTTATCGGGATCAGGGGTAAGGGCATTGTTAGATGCCATCATGGCAACATTGAGCTGAACAAAGTCGCGCAAAAACTTAGTCTTGGGAAGAGTACGGTTGACAGCACTGGGAAGATGAGGGTTCTCATGTGTCTCAATATTCCACCATGTGCGTTTGTCACGTCTAGAAGCTGACTTGTCGCAAGTAACCTCACCTTGTCTAAAGCCCCAAGCAGGGAGGCGGGCGCTTTCAGCAGCAAGGTAACAGTTCATAACCTGGTTTCTAAGACGAATTCCAGAAGAAAGAGGATGGACACGCGATTTGTTTTCAGTTCCCAAGGTTTCAACAATCTCGACAACCCAGTTGTCCTTTTCGTCACCAACAGTCATGTTGCCGTAACCAGAAACTTCCCACTTGCCCTTGGTCACAGGGGCAGGGACACTATGTGAGTGAAGATTGCGGCCAGTACCAGGATGAAGAAAACGGACAATACCACCATCAGTGACATACTGAACTGGGAGAGCAGGATTGTAGGAATCATTGTAACGGCCAAACTCTACGAGCCAGTCATTATTCATATCCTTATGGTGGTAAGTGGTGACCTGCTGTTGGCTAGAACCAGTGGGATAAGTCTGAATATGCGAGTGCAAAAGACCACCTCCAAGACCTTGGTTCTTGAGTGTAATACGGGAACCGTAAGCAACGTCCAAAGGACCGGATTTCATGTCAGATCCATTAAGATTGGCTTGGAAAAGGGAACTCATGTTGGAATCACCGGGGCCGGTACCACTAAGAAGAATAAAGTGGATTTTGAAGCAGAGAGCAAAAATCAAAATAGGAACAACAATAAGAGCAGCAATACGAGAAATCCAATGGGCGATGTAAGTCTTAATTGACATGCGGGTATCAGAAAACTTGATCCAGAGATCAGTAATGGTGTAAACACCAACCATAGCCGTGGCAAAAAGACCAACCATCTTCACACTGGTAACGCATCCAAGACTGACACCAGTAAAGAAGAGCCAAAAAAACCAGGGAAATGAAAAGGGTCTGTTTTGGTAGCGGTGGAAGGAAGCAAGACCTAAGATAGAAGTGGTGGTAAAGCAAGCAAGCATTGAATCAAGGAGGATAAGCTTGCCAAGTGTAATGTAAGAAGTTTCACAGAGCATGGCCAACGTGAAGAACCAGACAGTAGGAATGGAAAATCTCAATCGCTTAGCAGTAAAATAAGCAACAGGGACGCAAACAACATTGAAAAGTGCATTGAAGATGCGCATAGCGGTGTAGTTGACATACTCGGGGTACTCGGCACCCGATTCAAAGCCAAAGGAACCATTGTAGCCAGCAATGTATCCAGAGAGACCAACAAGCATCTTACCCAAAGGTGGGTGGACGTCAAAGTAGTACTCGTGCTTCAGATAGTAAGAACCAAACTTGCCAAAGTGAGCTTCGTCCCAGGTAACGGTTTTGGACTTGCCGATATGGTATAAACGTGTGAAAAGGGCTAACGCAGTGAATAGCAGTGGTGCAACAACAGCCTCAAGTGTGCGCCAATCGCTAATGAGCGAACCATCTTCTTCTGAAGCCTTCTTGTAATTGCTCGATGTGACAGAAGGCTTATCGATTTTCTCCTTGATGTCATTAAGTTCATTCTGGTCGATTTTTTCGAGAAGCGGTGCAGCCGACGAGCTGGACGGACCAGCAGCTCTATTTCTCAGTTCACGAGACGGAACACCTGATGCCTTAGCTGAGGAAGCCATTGTATGGTTCAGCTGAGAGAAAAGGGGTTTGATGGGTGTGGTTGGGAATTATGGTGGTGGGGATGAAGGTGAAGATGAAGGTGGAAGAAGCGTGTGGTTGGCAGAAAGGTTGAAATAAATTTTGAACAGGTGTTAGAAAAAAAAAAAGGAAGGGGGAGAATTTCTGGTGGCTACGTATCTTAATTTTTCAAAACACCCAAGCAAAAAACCAGCACACCTTTTATTTATTTTTTTTTATGACAATGCAAGACAACGCTATGTTAAGAACTTTAAACCTTTTCATCAGCACTCACCTTGATTGTCATGCATTTTTCAGGAAATAAATTGACCGAATCCATTAGATCAAACCAGCTCGATCACCATGCGTGGGCATTTTTTAGTTTGTGCTACCACTTAGTTCTCTAAATGCATGTAACTAACCAACGTGTACGTAATATAACAAGCTGTAGCTATGCGGCGATTGTTGAGTTAACACCCCTTTTGTGGGGTTTACTCTGTATTTTTTTAGTTGATTCCAATGGATTGTAATCTTCAATACTGCCAATGCACATAACATTTCCCGGACTTTGGTTTTTTTATTTTTCGGTACCTGCTCCGGCGACCGAGATTCCATCTCTTGTGGTGCCGTACTCTTTGATGGTTATTTTACATCATTTGTTCCCCTAACCCTGGGAAAACTCTCCATATATATGTTAATATGCAGGGACTAATCACGTGGTGTGAATTGTTGTAGAATAATTGCCACGACACCCTCAAAAGATTCGTCTGACAGACTTGAAATCCTTCAAAAAAAAAAACAATTTTAAATCGGTTTAAATTAAATTAATTCCAAGTTGTTCTATATATCTAAGCAGATACTTATAAATATTGTCAAATATCAAGCTTACCATTACCAATTATATATATAAGCAAATTAATATAAAGCGTCTATATTGTGAAAATAACAAAAATCATGGTAATTTTATGCTTTAGATTCAAGTAGCCCATAAGCGAAGATAATTCACGGAAATGATGAAAATTGATTTTCTACATCGAGATTTGCAAACAATTGTCATTAAGACCTGAACTTTATACAAACTGATGATATATTATTTACTAATAATTACAATGTGTATCAGTCAGAATGTTTTTTCAAAAAAATGAAACTTTAAAGATAATGATTTGGATTTGGATTTTGATGTGTAGAAAATTGCCAACGAAATAGTCGATACTTTAAAAAATTTCTAACTTTTTAGTTAAAGAACTATATTTAATTTTAACCTTATTTCAAAGGCTTCATCGGATCTTTATTGCGTTGTTCGCATTCGAAGAATTTCTAAGCTATTCACATTGCTACAACAAATTTACGCCAACTATCACCGATCACTCTATATATATATATATATATATATATTAGTCTTTGTTCTTTCACCTGTTTTTTCTTTCTAATTTATACCTCTATTACCAAAATTAAAATTAAAACTGAAACTGAAATAAATAACGCTTATTATACCTTCTTCTATAAATGCTGTAGCACACTGTGAAGTACCAAATCTACCAGAATCATCATCATTAAATTTACACTCACTTTACGAATAGATATTCCTACATCTAAAAAGTCTCCCAATTTTTCAATTAAATATCTAGAGAATTACCCCGTTAATTTTGATATCATTTTTCAAGAAACCACGGCTGCAATTTTTATTCAGAAATGTGTCGATATATTTTATGGTTTACTTCCCCGTTAAATAAGCACTAGTAAAGTAAATATCCATGTTCCCGTAAAATGTCTTCATGAAAGAAAATTTCCATATTTCCTAATTTTTCCTATAATTCGTGACAATGTTGACAGAAAAAAGTAGAAGATAGTTTCTAGTTCTTTACAACTATTTTTTGTCTTTTGTCTAGTGAAATCTTTTGGAAATTTTTGAGAAGAAGGTCTTAACGAGTTTCTTCATGAACAAGCTGTTACCCGTTTTATGAAATTCTTTTTCCTAATTGAGATTCACCCAAACTGTAAATATTTACAGTTTATCCATTAATGGATACAACAAGCACATCAGAGTTAATATTAGAAATACTGCCATCCTCGATAGCCCCAATGTTCTTTTCCAAAAATGGCATCTAGAGAAAGTTACATGAGTAGATTTGCAAAACGTACGACTTAAAGTTTCAAGCCCTAAAGACATGCTGGAGTTCTATCGGAGAAGGAAAAAAAAAATCATTTTCTTACTTAGAATGATAATATTATTCAGGCTATTGGTCAGGCTATTTCACATAGAAATTTATAATACAATAGCTGTAATACCATGATTTTGTTGAAACAGTGCAATATGACTCTGGTGTTGGACAAGCTCTCAAAAACTTGGGACAGAAAAAGAGTTGTACAATTTCTCAAGTGTGTTTTCACGGGCGAGATCGATACTGGTCTTCGAACCAGGCAACTTTTGACTGATTATAATCAGCCTGATGATGAGCCTCATCTGGGAGTCATTCTGCTGGCTCTTTGATGATTAGTTTTTATTATTGGAATATTTTGAAAACAACTTAAAACACCACTTTTTGTAATATATTAATTAGTTATATGTAAATTAAATCTCTCTATTTTGTTCTTTTATTTTATTTTATTTATCACCAATTTTCCATGTACTGATCCAGTCTAGGTATTTAAATTTACTGATATCACCTTCCATGCCAAAGCAAATAGGTGCAAAATGATAGAATATTCCAATTGTCTCTAAATATAGGACGAGGTAAATGAAGGTCTTGACATACTTGTTTTTAAAGTATGTTGTTGTGAGATGGTCCACCAAGAACCCTAAAACCAAGATAGCAAAATAAAAGGACGGTAGGTAATGGTGCACATAAGTAACACGAGCCATGATAACAAACGGCATATAGTGGAAAACGTATCCAATTATTGGGATAATACCAGCAACAGCATACTTTTCAATCTGCGCAAAGTTGAGGTCATCGTATCCACGTTGCCAGCGAATCATGTAGATAAATGTTGTTATGCCAAAAATGAAAATACCTGCAGTTGAAAGCCAAGTATTGATAGGGTGACTCATGAGGAAAAAGCGTATACGACTGTTTGTCCAAGCACATAAACGAAGACCAACGTGCAAAGTGGGCCACTCCCATGCACGCGATTCAATGGCCTTATAGCGGTCTGGGTCAGGAACTAAGCCATTGTTTGATCTCATCATTGCTGTGTAAAGTCTGATGAAATCAGAAAAAAATTTGGTTTTGGGATACACCCGGTCTTTCGCTATAGGAAGTCGCGCATTGGTGTGATCTTCAATGTTCCACCAGGTATGGGTATCACTTTTTTTCGCATTCTTGTCGCATGTCACTTCACCTTGAGTAAAGCCCCATTTGGGGTAACGGTTGTGACCACCCGCCAAGTAGCAGTTCATTTCCTTATGGCGTAAGCGGAAGGTAGTAGTGATGGGGTGCACAAGCGACTTGTTGACGTCGCCAATATTTTCTACAAACTCAATCACCCAATTATCCTTTTTATCTCCATGTGTGTTGTTTCCGTATGCTGAGACTTCATAATGATCACGAGTGACATGAGCCTTGATGTTATGAGAGTGCAAGTTCTTGCTAGAAGAGGGGTGGTTCAATCGGATGGTTTCACCGTCCATCACATAGCGAATAGTTTTGTTTTTGTTATAGACAGACTCCCATCGAGGGAACTCGATTCTCCATTTGTTATTGTTATCCCTTGCAAAATATGTCGTAATTTGTTGTTGTTTAGAGCCCTTAGGGTATCTGCTTTTGTGAGAGTGCAAAAGACCAGCACCACGTCCCTGACACCGGATTGTGACTTCAGATCCATACGCAACGTCTAAGGGGCTTGATTTTATCTTGGTGCCGTTGAGATGAACTTGAAACAAAGAGCTCATGTTAGATTCGCCGGATCCAGAGTTAGTCAAAATCATAAAGTGAACCTTAAAAGAAGCTGTGAAAATCAAAAAGGGAATAATAATAAGTGCAAAGATTCTGTATATCCAATGTGCCAAATAAGTCTTGATAGGCATTTTGGTATCGCCAAATTTGATAAAGAGATCAACAACGGTGTAAACACCAACAACACCAATCATAAACAAACCGACCATCTTAACACTAACGACGCATCCAAGATTGAAACCAGTAAAGATAAGCCAAAAGAACCATTGCTTGGTAAATGGCTTGCGTTGACAACGGTGGAAGGACATAAGACCCAGCATCGAAAGAAAGGTGAAACACACAAGCATTGAATCAAGCAAAATAAGCTTTCCAAGAGCGACGTAAGAGGTATCGCAAAGAAGCGCGAGTGTTACAAACCATACAGCAGGGAGCGAGAAGCCCATTTTTTTGGCTGTGAAGTAAATGGCTGGGATGCAGACCACGTTAAACATTGCGTTGAACTGGCGCATAGCGACAAAGTTCATGTCTTCTGGGTAGCGGAGACCGTTTTTGAAAGAGAAGGATCCATTGTAGCCAGCAATGTAACCGGAGAGACCCACAAGCATTTTACCGAGAGGTGGGTGGAGATCAAAGTAAAACTCACGCTTGAGATAGAAGGAACCAAACTTGCCAAAGTGGGACTCGTCCCATGTCACAATGTTTGAATGTCCGATTTGATACAATCGGGTGAAAAGGGCTAAGCCTGTGAAGAGAATGGGTGCGAAAATGGCCTCGAGTGTGTACCAGTCTTCTTCCCAAGACCGAGACTTAAAAAAGCTCTTGGCTTTCCCAAAGGTTGTAGTTGCTGGTTTTTTTTTTGAGACAAGAAGAGTATCGTATTCACCATCTTCGTCATCCTCATTTTTTAGTATTCCTGCAGATAACGATGGTTCTGAATCGGAAGTTGGGGGTGTTTGTGGAGGATCTGTCGCAACTGGGATGGCAGAGTGACCTGCTCGGTTCCGTAAGCTTTTGGGTTCAATGCCTGTGGCCACGGCTGAAGGCATGATGTGTATGTACCAGAGGGTGTGATCGGAAAGGTTATGCGAAAGTTAGATGAGAGGAATAAAGTTGAATGGAAGAAGAAGGCTGATATGAAGAAAGTGAGGAAGAGAGAAAAAAAAAAATTCCAAATAGGGAAACCTCCTTGGTAGAAAAAAAAATTGTAAAAGAATAAAAACCAATAATAAATGGGGAAGTGCTTGCAGAAGTAGTTAATATTGCACGGCACAAACTGTGTGTCAACGGCCTGGTATTAAGATCTGTCTGTATTTGGTGAAGTGTTTATAAGAGAAGTAAAGTGATTTTGCTTGATTCCAAGTCCAAAGATTTTGAGCGGAGAGGTCTTTGTCTATAGATATTTTTTTTTGTTGCGATTCTCAGTCTACGTTTTGGACAGGTGGTGGAAAATACCAGCTCATCATCAACGCTTGTACGAAGGAGTCTATGGATTCAACGCCTGTCACATATACACTAGTTACTAGGCTAAGTGTAGTAGTATCCCGCTAATTTCTGCTATGTTGCTAAAAGCACTGCACGTTAACCAGCTGGAAACCCCCTAACCCTTAAACCATTTGTCCCAACCAAGGAATTTGTTGGATTGGGAAAAAGGCATAAGGCTTCAAAGCACCAGAAACTATGGAAGTTAAGTTGTTTGGAGATGATGTTTGTTAAAAATAAAAATAAAAATTAAAATTAAAAAAAAATAAAAGAAGCTTAGAAATGGAATATAAAGTAAAGAGTAAACAGAAACGGCTTCTTTTCTAAAGAACAGTGTCTGAGATTTCAAACAGGCAATAGAATTCCCAAACAACCAACGTTGGTTGTTAACTGAATCATAACCTTAAAATAGTTTAGAAGTAGAATGAGAAACTTTTGAATGTCAATTTCCAAACAATAGAATTACTTGATGAAAATAAGACTTGGAATATTACATTATTTTGATTTCTGCGTGCCTTGTCAATATTGTTTCAACTACCCAAATAACGGCTTCCAAAACGCTTCATCCCTGTGAAAAAAAAAACTGGCATTAATCTTTACTCAATTCAAAGGTATTAATAATAACTTCAATTAATTGAAACTATGATATCGACCACTATCCATTTTTAAGTAATATGATTAAGATGTTCTGAAGTTACAACCGATTATGAGCCACATGAAAAAAACGCATAGTTCTCAGAAAAAAATGCAAATTATTAATTAATAATTTGCATTTTTTTGTTATAACAATCAGAAAAAGAAAATCTTTTTAATAAGTCACTTTCTCAAAAAAAAAAATAAATAAATAAAAAAAAGGAATTGAAATTTGTTCAAAGTAGGTCAAAATCATTTTTAATTACCATGATGAAGGAAAACATGAAATTAAGCTTTGATATCAAGATATTTTATTTTTATTTTTTGAGAATTTAAATACAAGTTACCCGGTCGTTAGGTGCCAAATTTATCACAAACAAATGTCCGGCCAAAAATGTACTAATCGTACACCCGTTACCGATATTCATTCCTTGTGAATTTTAATTGTAAAAAAAATCGTAAATGTATTATACATAAGTTTGCGAGTGTGGGTTCTATAAGTAATAGGAGCGTATGTCTTATTGTTTTTAATGATGCAGGATATGCTGGCAAATTATTAGTTACCAGCTGTAATTAAAAGAAAAAAAATCTTCTTCTTGAATGGGTATAGATGTGATTATTAAAAAAGAGTGTGTATCAAAGTCTGGAAGAACTCCATTATTTGTTCATACCTATATCACTGCTCCTTTTGTTTTACTCCAGTCGGTCTAACTCTTCCAACCGCCTCAGAATCACTTGCTTGGACGTCTCTTCAATTTCACCAGCCAAGAAAACTTCATCGAGAATCGTGTAAACCTTGTAAAAGTTAAACACGAGATCCAGCTCGCACACGTTGCGGAAGTATGTATCAAGGACCTCCACGAACAAGTGAATGGCCTCAAGATAATATAGTTCATTGTCAATCTCGTCCACACATACACAGAAAAAAAGCCCTGCGTACCGCCGGTATATTACTTGCGACTCCTTAAATTCCACAAAGTTGCTTTGAAACTTCTGGTCGCGCGAAGCTACCAGTCTGTGAACATCGCCTTTTAGTTTAAGCTTTTCAGAATCCTAATATGGTATGTTAGAAAGAATGTTGAGTAGTCGTCAAAAGATATTTGAGTGGTTTTTTTCTTGGTCATTTTAGGACAAAAAAATGAAAGGTCGTCACTTACAGAATACGGCGAATACCATTTGGCTAACCGCGTCTTGCCCTGACGATTTTGTATTAATATGAATTTGAGAACCATTATTATACATATAATGGTATGGATTATGCAGAAAGAATGAATGAAACAGTCCGCAGCACAAGGTGTTGTGGGTTTAAAAACGTGTGATTGAAAATTCAAAAAAAATGGAGGGCAGTTTCGTAAGTATTGTTTACTCTACGCAAAAAAAAAGCTCTTGAACATACAACTACTGAATAGCTTTCATAACTTAATTTTTTTTCAACCAGTTTCTTTAACTTCGCATTTAATTTACGCCTACAATAGGGATAATTTCTTTTAATCAAAGCAAAAAAATTTCCAAAAACTAAAGCTCTTACAAATTTAGTTTGTTATTTTGGAATCATGAACAATTTGTATTAGTTTTTTTAAAAGACATAAAGCACATGTAATAATAAATTCATCATTAAAACGATATACTTTAGAACTGGAGAGCCTGACCCTTCTGCTTCTTGTCACCACCGAGCTCGAAGTGCTTGCATCTCTTCAAAGGAAGCTGAGCCTTGGCCTTGCAGGCAACGCACTCCAGTCTGAGGACGACCTTCTTGGTAGTCTTAGCCTTCTTGTGGAAAACCTGCTTGGTCTGACCACCGTAACCACGCTGCTTACGGTCGTATCTGCGCTTACCCTGAGCGTAAAGGGAGGCCTTGCCAGCCTTGTACTGGGTGACCTTGTGCTGGGTGTGCTTGCGGCACTGCTTGGAAGCGCAGAAGGTTCGTCGGGTCTTAGGAATGTTAACTATAGACACAAAATGTTAATGATGAACATTTAAAATGAAATAAAACAATCAAACAAAAATGACGGCAAATGATTTAAAAAAAATGAGAGTAGCGACTTTTACTGAAAAATGTTAAATCAAATATTTGTAAAAAATTTTCAACTTTCAAAACAAAGAAAACTAGTGGGTATAATAGCCATTCCATGGTATCATTAAAAACGCATCGCCGTGATAAACAAGATTTAATCGTTTTTTATTTCAACAAGCCATCATCATTATAATTATCATCATCGTCATCGGTCGTCTGTATATAGAGTGTTCGCACTTACCCATTTTGACTGGGTTCTATGTCGACTAAGGTTGGCGGTGGTGTCGTAGTAAAAGGGGTGGGAAAAAGGGCACAAGCAACAATAGCAAGAAAATCGAGAGGGGGGACCCAGGAGGTTTGGAAAACTTTTGCCTTGGTGTGTGAAGTAAATTGTGTAATACAATGACTAATATATCTGATATATATTGACTAAGCACAAATAATAAATTTGTTACATATTTGAATTTTTTTATTTTAAGACTCAATTTCTTGCTGTTGTTATTACAATTTTGTTTTTGCTGAAGCCGCTGGCCTCTTTTTGTTAAAATTTTTTTTTGTTTGTTACAAGTGCTGAGAAAAGCCATCATTATCATATATACTCGGTATGAAATATTCACAAAAACATAAACATTGTGACTGCTTAATTAACATATTTCCAAAACAAGAAATAATTTAATATTAGATAATGATTAGTCATAAATAATAAAGTTTAATCCATAAATAGTGATCAGCGTTAGTTTTTTGTTTTTGTATTTTGTACTGTACAGTTCTTGGAAAGATAGTGCAGAATTCTCAGATTCAAGGCAAAAGCAGGTTATGAGCTTTTCTCAAAAGATTTTTTTAAAAAATAGGAGAAATAACCAGCTAAGCTGAATGAACATGCAAGATAAGAATTTCATTTTAAATATATTTCATAATATTAAAAAATCTTTATCAAAAAAAAAAAAAAAAAGCATTTGTAGATTGCTTTTGAAGCAAGTCCTTCCTAATAATCAGTGATAGCGCTAAACTTGATAAAACAAATAAATGTACAGGTTGACATACGAAGCACCGATAACGCAGTCATGTGCTTAGCGCTTGATAAATGCAATATTGATTAAAATGAGTTTCCCAAAATAGAATATTACACACGTGGGGCTCAAGCATGTACATTACGTGGTATACTAGGGTATCTTTTTTCTATCTTAAAAAAACTAAAGAGACTTGGCTTTAGTATAGGCTTTTAATCATGGGCATACAATGTTGGGAAAATTGAATACATGGAATAAAAAAGGGGATTTTCACAAACTAAAAACTTTTCATTAAAAAACTAAAAAAACTCTCAAAAAATCATAAAAAATTATAAAAAATCTATAAAAATATTTATAGATAAAAAAAACCTGTCAAACACATCAACAAAACTGATTATTGCTTCTTCTCAAGGTCAGAAAGATCCTCAGTCATTAAATCACCACTGGAAACTTGAGGCTTGCCGATAATTTCAAGAGTTTCAGGTCCCTCATGGCTAAGCTCTTCAGGATGCTCGTTCTGCCATTCTTTAAGCTTGTGAGACTGGAAGGTAACATCCCAATAGATGCCGCGGATAGTGTTGATAATCTGGTGCTTACCATCCCAGAGAGGCAAGAAAACAACAATGAAACCAGAGCAGAAGATCCAAATGATACCAACAACGACCCAACCGGTGAAGAACTTCTTGCTGAAGATGTAGTGAGAACCATACATGGGCATGGGCCAAATAACCAGGAAGCACACAGCCATCACAGAGCAGATAATGCGGGCCCACTTGCCGTAACGTTCCAGCATTGCGGTTTCCTCAGGGTCCACATACTCATAGGTTTCTTCCTCAAACTCCTTGACGACTTCTTCGGGTTCTTCCTCATGAGAAGGCTTGTCGATAACTCTCTTGATCTTCTTAAGCTCCTCAAAGTCAAAGTTAGAAGGCTTGAAGATGAGGGTAAGAATGGGGATGTAGAGAGCGGGAGATAGAAGAGCAACAACATTACCGGCAAGCATGGGCATATCAGCACCAGTGGAATCGACAGTAAGCTCACCAAAAAGGCACTTGGCAGTAACGAGCCAGGTAACAAGAGCACTGATAAAGCCAAGAACAGGGGAAATAGTAGCAGCGTAAAAGTTCTGGCCCTTCCACAAAAGAGTGAGAGAAGCAGGGATGACAGCAGCAGAAATAATGACACCCATAAGCAAATAGAGGTAACCCATACTGATTCCAACGTAGTAGAGACCAACAGAGAAACCGGCCATGGAAAAGGCAAAGAAAATGAGGGCAGAGTGGGAAATAAGGATAAGGGTCTTACCAGAAGCCTTAGGGTTGATGTAGGACTTGTAAATATCATAAGTGGCAATTGAAGAAGTGGAAATCAACTCACTGCTAAAGGCAGAAGTAACGGCCATGAAGACGAGCAAAAGAGCACAAGCAGCACCGCCCTTACCCATAAGCGCGACGGCAGCATTGGGAAGCACAAGACCGGCAGAAACTTCTGCGGATGTCATGCGGTTAGGGTAAGTGGGGAAAATGGGGGAATCTTCAAGGGCCAAACAAGCCAGACCCATGGTGGTAGCAGTGAGCCAAGGAATGGCAAACCAAGCAATACCACCAAGAACGTAACCGGGGAAGGCAGCAGCTGGTGAGGCAGCAATGGCCTTATTCCAGTAACCGTTGTCGAGGAAAACAGTGCCAAAGTTGCCAATAATGTTGATGACAAAGAAAATGGCGCCGGAGTGGGATCGCATGGTGAGATAGGAGCCGCCGGCATTGCCCTCAATTGGGGTCTCAATAGCGCGTTTTACAAGGGCGTCCCAAACAGCACCAGGAGAGCCAAGCGCATCGGATGTGGCATAAGTGGTGAAAGCAAAGATCATGATAATAACAATCAAAATGACTGTGTGGATGTAATCAGAAAGGAAAGTCGATTTGAGACCACCGGCAAGAGTAAAGATAGAGACTGAGAGGGGAATGAGGAAACAGGCGGCAACAGTGTTCATTCCAGTGAGATCACTAATGACAGCGGAACCACCAGTAAGAAGCATGACAGTTACAAGAATATTTGTGCAAACGGCGAAAAAGAGATAAACACCGTGACCAATGGGGCCATAACGGACTTTGATAACTTCGAGGTAGGTATGAGCGCCAGGAGCCTTTTTCTTGAGCTCAATGGCCAAAGTTGCAAAAAGAATAATTTGAACGGTAGCACCAGAAGCGTACCAAAAAGGACCGGAAACACCATTTTTGTAAGCCTGACTGGTCGATTGAAGCAAAGTGGCAGCCCAAGTCCAGGATGAGACAACAGCAGAAGCAATAAGACCTTTGTTAACTGATCTGCCTGCGGTGTTGAATTCTTCAGAGGTGACAATTTCTTTTTGGTATCTGCGAAGAGAGTATGTAAGACCAATCATGACGATTGCAAAAGCGATACCAAGACCGACCACAATACCGTAGCCGGTTCCTTGAGAAAGAGGAGCCGTTGTCATTTTTTTTTGAGGGTGTATTTTATTTTTAAAAAAAAAGGGTAAAAATAAATAAAATATTAATCAAAGCCTGTTTGATATTAAAGTTGAAAGAATAGAATATGATTTAAATTTAAATAGTTGATTGAAGAAAGGTATTGTTTAATAGTGATGATGTTGATATAGAAGATGATGAAGAAAAGAAATAAAAAAAAAATGGAAACCTAAGTGACAATGAAGATTATTTATATATTCATGATTTGAAAAACAAAAGAAAAATAAATTATTGAAATCTATTAGATCCATAAACTTTTCATTTTTCGGTTATAGTTTTGATGATTGTTAGTAATAAGTTTATTCTGACTATTATTTTGGGGGTTATCGATTGTGGACTTAATGTATGGTGATTATGCAATGTCTTTTGCTTATCAGGCTTTATCGACAAATGAGCGACGGGCCTCAACAAGTTTTTATTTTGCACACTTGCAGAAAGCTGTTAAAAATTTCATTTCTTTTTATGGATCTGGGTAAGGGGAACTTTTCTTTTCTGGTTTTATGTGCCCATCGGCAAGAAAAAAGGAGGCGAGAGCAAGTGGGAAGGTGGGAAGTATCCGTTGCAAACAAGTTCGGAGTTCGCTATATAGGTCTGTAATTGTGAGGGTGTGGGTGTGGGTGTGGGTGTGGGTGTGGGTGTGTGAGTGTGAGTGTAAGTGCGGGTGTGGGTGTGTGGGCGTGTGGGTGTGGGTAGCTACTATTAAGTTTATTACTACTACTGCTATACACACTTTTTTATTCCTTCTATTTTCTTGCTACAATGACACGGCATATCTGGCCTGTTTAGGAAAAAGGAGGGCGGACTGCCCGCGTGTGCTTAAGAGAAATAAAAATAAATAAATAAATAAATTAAATAGAATGGCCGCTCACCCGTCGGTCGGCTTCTTTACATGCAGCGACCGAGCAGAATTACATTTTTCTATTAGAAGCTGCTTCAGAAAAAGGGCTTTCGGGGGAGTACTTATTGAGCAGACAAAATGAAATGGTGGGGTGGTCCTATGGAGCGACCCTAAGTCTCAAATACAAGAAAACCAAATATAAAAAAATTTCACCGAGGGGCTGCTAAAGTTTGTAGAATAATAATAAACACAAAGAAGGAATATTTTAATGTTCTTATTCTCTTTTCTTCTCTTTTCCATGGATTTTTTTTATTTCTAATTTCATTGCAGACCTCAGGCCGAAGTATATATATCGTGTTTATTTATTTTATTATTTCTGAGATCCACGATTGGCTTGCTAAAGAGAGAATATGGTGATGGTACAGCTTTAGCATGGATACTGACTGGTCTTAGAAACAGCGTAGACATATTAAGACATAGATCATCATCAACAATTACATTTCTAACGGCTCTTTTTACTGTATTTAGGCAGCGTTAAAACTTTGATAAGAATGCCCTAAAAAATAAATGAGAAAAGCTTACAGGAGCTGATTTGGAATATTCCAACAGCTCCAATTCGAATTGAAATTGACAAACTTGTTTAAGCTAAGAGTCCCAGAAAATTGCTGACACCAAAAAAAAATTGAGGCTTCTACTAAATGATATAGATATACATCATCATGGTTACCCCGGGCTTGAGTTCTAACAGGCAAGGCTTTATTTAAATGTCGCCTTAAAGATTTCTCAAGGTACTACTACAATACCATACTTCAATTCACTATTATATATATATATTATTATACATAATTATGTATGATACTGCAATGTCTGGCAATACCAGTAATATATTGATAGCTGAAGTTACACTTATCAATCACCATTTTCCCAGGAACTCAAACCGTTGCAGAATCTTCAAAAAATTTAGAGGTAGACACACAGTAAAAAAAAAATAAATAAAAATAAAAAAAGAAATTTATTAGTCAGAATGCCCTAGTGTAAAGTACCGACTGGTACCGGTGCAAGCTTACAATTTTTTTTCTTTATTTTAATGAAAACCTCCCCACTTTAAAGGTACTTTCGCGGGATTGTTTTATTTTTTTTACAAATAAAGAAAGAAATATTAAACGTGGCTTTAAAAAAAATTCAAGCAAATGTGATATCAAAGGAAGTAGCAACAACATTAAATATAATGAACTGGTTTTTTTTGCCAATCCACCAGCCAATTCTTAATATCTTAATTTGAATGTCTCATTCGCTGATGTTTTAGTTTCTTTACCTGATGTGGTTTACATTAGGCGGATCGATACCTATCAAAAAAAAAAAAAAAGGAACTTTATCGGAAAAACAAGAGAGATGTCGGAGCAAAAAGAGTGAATTGAACTACTAAGCTTGGTAAAAGAAGCAGCTATATACAAGCCCTTGTATCAAAGACAAGAGATTCCCTTCAACATAGACCTATTTTGGAGAACTTCGTTGAGTCAACGCTGCCATAGGCCAATTTGATAGCAACCTTGAATGTCTCCTTTTCCTAAAAGAGAAAGAGTTGCTGGAGAAAGAAAGTCTTGCTTCAGTAGAAGAAGAAGACACGCATACTGGTAGTCTATAATAGGAAATAAAACCGGCGTATTTGGTTCTCTAGCCCGTGGGTACATAAAAAAATTTTAATAAGTAGACTATGAAAAGGAGGAATAAAAAAAATGAAGAAGAATCAGAAGAAGAAAGGATGGTGTATAATACCAATAGTGTAAAGTTATACGTTAAAATTAATTTTGAATTAATGTACTCGGAAAATGAAAAAAAAAAAATTTTTTTCAATATGGAAATGGGGTAATAGAAGAAAAAGGAAGAAAAAAAGCAATTTTTTCCACTCGTTTAAAAGCCCTATGGGCAAAAACTGCAAAAGCAGCCAGCTGTGCCACACCATGGAATTATTTCTTCGAATGGCATGTTTGTTAACGGTTGAATGTGGCGTTTGATTGATGCTTGTGTGTGCTTGTTAAGAATAGTTAGAAAAATACTTAAATAGGTTATCTCGTATCGATAAGCGATAACCCTAGGTACTACAACAGCAAAAAACATCAAAAACAAATAAAAACAAGCAAAAATCAGTACGGTTCCTAAACTGGAGAATCACTAAAAGCTGGATAACACATCGAAAAGAATTAGGATAATGAGAGGAATGAAAAAAAAATTGTTATGATTTTTTTTTTTTGTAATATTGACACATGAGTTCCTATTAATCCATGTTAGGCCCATCGGCCATTAAGTCTTAAGGGATTAATAAATTTACCGGTTTACGTAGTATACCTGCGTGAGAACTCACTAGGAATAAAGAAAAAAAAAAAAAAAGAACCACGGGCAACTTTATTTTTTAAAAACTTAATTGATCCAGAGACCTTTTTTTTTCATGGCCGAAGGAAATAAATTTCAAACGTTTATTCATATATAAACAAATATATTAATTAATTAAATATATATATTTTAAACACGCAACTTTTTTTTGCTAGATTGATAAAAAAAAATTAAAAATTTCATGAGCCATCAATTAAATATTTTAGAAGTCATTCCTCTCGGGCTCATGGAATAATATGGCTCAATGCATTAAGAAAACTTATATCTGTTTTATGCACTTGTTGTGGTATCATATAACCATTCTGGAGAAATCAAATTAAACGTTTAGGTTAAAGTAGGATTCTACTTTGTCCGTTATTAGTTGGGGGGAAACGGGACTTCGGGTAATAGTAGAACAAAAATGGTTGAGATCGATTTCTGTTAGGGCTCAAATTGAACGGTTGGAATCTTGTCATTTTACTTCACACTCAAACTTTCCACAATAAAAAAAAAAAAAGAAAAAAAAATAAAGTGAATTTTGTAAGATAAATGGGAACTTGGCAACTTTTCTATATTTTTCTATTTTATTTTTATTTTTATTTTTATTTTTATGTATATCGCAGTCTTTGATTATTTGGTTACGTTTTGCTCCATGTTTTTCCTGCACCTTCTCCAACGGTAACCGTTGAACTATCAAAAGTTGTTTGCAGCAATAATATATTGCTATATATATCAGCCTCGGTGCAACTCCAGCAACCAGACTTTAATTTTATGATGGCTATTTTATGAGTCTATGTAAATGTAAATGACATTTTGTAACAACAACAACAAAATAAAATTTTAACTCCTATCAGATTTTTTTTTTTTTCTAATCTTTTTTGTTAATCTATTAAGCTTACCAAAATAGGCATAATATTGTAAAAATACACACTCGAGTATAACCGAGCTCGGTTATTACCATTAAAAAACATCCCCCCATAATTAAGCTTACCATGACTGAATCTACTAAAGTTTTGGAATCTGTCAAGTTCATCACAGAAAACGCTAAAGATGTTTTTATTCAAGAAGATAAGTGTCGTGCTGCAGCCACTGAAATCTACAATGCCATGCTAAAAAACAAATACTCTACAGACACATGGTCTTCTCATGTCCTTAACCCCAAGACAAAAGACTCAAGTACCATTGATTGGATCTTTACCATTGATACTCTCAACTTTAGTTTCTGGTCTGACATCGATAAAAAGGACACTGGCAACCCTGCATCAAAGTCTTTTGCCATTGAGTACAAGGGAAATACATATACAGGCTACTGGAGTCTTTGTGCAGCCATCAACAAAGCCCTGGACAATGGAGTACCAATCACAAGCCCCAAGTTTTGGGCATCAGATTCATTTACTAAAGATACCCTTGCCCAAGTATTCAAAAGTGCATCTAATGAAAACATTTTCCTTCTTGATGAGCGCTTCCAAGTTTTAAAAGAGGCAGGTGAAGTCTTGACAAAGGTATGCATGAACTCAAGAAAACTACGAGTTTTTTTTTTCTTCAACTAACTTCAAATAGAAATTCAATGTCAGCTCGTTTGCTGAAATTATTCCTCTGGCAAATAAATCCGCAGTTAAACTCGTCAATCTTGTTGCAAGTAACTTTGACAGCTACAATGATGAGTCCCTCTATCTCGGTCACAAAGGTAAGTCTCAACTTTCAATTAATTATCACAGTCTAACTCTTTACTTTAGTCCGTATTTTGAAACGTGCACAAATTCTCATTTCCGATATATGGGCCTGCTTCAACGAACAAGGCTTAGGTGAATTCACTGATATTGATTCTATTACTATGTTCGCAGACTACAGAGTGCCCCAGATCCTCCACAGTCTCGGCTGCATTGCCTATTCTCCAGCCCTCACAAAGCACATCCAAAACCTCCAACCACTTGAACATAATGATCCTCGTGAAATTGAAATTCGTGGACTGAGTATCCAGGCTGTGGAAGTCATTAAAAAGTACATCCATGAAGCACACCCGGAAACAAAGATTAATGCAATCTTGATTGATTTTTACCTATGGGACACGGCAAAACTCATACAAAAACAACTCGGTGGCATAGGCGATAACATTGCAATCCACAGAACACGATCAATATACTATTAATTGTCTTTTGGTGGTGGTCCTACAGGACGAATCATACTCTATAATAGCAAGTTAGAATTTTTTTTCTTCCCTCTGCACATATATACAACTTACGTCCAAGAATCGCGCCTTGGTGACCGCATGAGGCTCTCCAAGAGCAACTGAAAAGTATGTCAAAAGAGGCGGATGACCCACGTAGGATGCCAAACTGTCTCTTTGAATATTGGCACGCCACTCGCTAAATTCATCATATATGGTTAGAAAACCAAGCACAGGTGAGCCAGCACAAAATCTCTACTTACTGTTTAGTGGTATCGGGATTTCCAACTCCAATAAATCGATTTTGCAGTTGCTCATACTGCTGTTGATCTCGTAGTCTGTCGGCCTAAAAATTCAGATTAGATGGTTGACAATAGTCATCATTGTATTGCTAAACGTACCATTGTTTCTTTGTTGCGGTGCGTATATGTGTGTGGTTCAATAAATGATTTTTGGTGGTTGAGATTTTTTTTTAAGGGTGTAGCATCAAAAAATTTTTTTAAAATTTCCAGTCATCACCACCATTACACTCCAAAAACATTTCACATTTTTTCAAATCAAAAAAAAAAAAACTCCCCTCCCCAGCAAAAAGCAACCAGAATTGGATGCCTGGTTCTCAGGTTATAAAACATTCAATATATTATAATATTTTTTAATAAATTAGCAGACGCTATTAAGTCAGCAGTTCTGCAAATTCCATCTATTTCAAAATGTCTGGGGCAAGCACGTCTCCCCTTCCTGGACCTCTGCCATCTTCACGACCAGAGTCCAGCCCCAGCGCAAACTCCGCTACAACACCTTTAAATAACTTCAAGATACAGTTTTTAACCGACACAGAAATTTCATCATGGGAGTCTTCTGGAAAAGCCAAAATGTAAGAGCTTCTATTTTCAACAATTTCTTTTTCTCTTTCTCTCTTTCTTATTTCTAACGATATCTACTAGCCTTTCTATTGCCACAGAGGCTGCAGAAGGTCACGATCTGGCAACAATCATTGCCATAATACACGAAATCATAACAACATGTGCAGAAGGAGTGTTACAACCACAATACGCTATTGATTTTATGAATATGTTACTCAGTATGCCTCTAGAAAATATTGATAAGCTCTTCCTTCACGCATTTTCCCTCCACGAGTTAGTTGAGCCGCTCAAGAAATTAATCCTCTCTCTCAATATCGACAAGTCATTGCTACTTCTACTGCTTGAACCAAATACCCTCATTGATCTTGGTTTGACAAACAAAATGTTTGAGCGCAAAATTGTTCGCACAAACACAACTCTTCTTTATAAACAAAAACGGTTCAATCTTTTGCGCGAGGAATCTGAGGGCTACTCCAAGCTCATTGCCGAAATTTATTTGGCTGCATACTCTAAAAACAATCTTCAAAAAGTTGATAGCACTGCATCTACCATTGTATCACTCATTGGCTACTTTGACCTTGATCCCGTAAAAGCTCTCGACGTATTTTTGGACATTTCTGCTTCAAATCTTGTCGCACATTCTCAGTTTTTCATCCATGTTTTGAAAAAATCCCCTTGGTGGCCATCAATCTCGTCAAAAGCCAACTCTATAGAGGATATTGGATCTGGCGGGAATAGCATGGCTGCACAACTTCTTGGATTTAAGCTCCACTCTATATCTTCCTACAATGAAGTGACTCCTGAAAACCTTTTGATGCTCATTGCTGTTCTCATAAAAGAAGGATTTTTATCTCTTGGAGCAATATATTCATACTTAGACCCGCCAGACGAGGTCTTAATCAAACTCTACGACCAATGGAAAAGTGATATTGAAGACCGCGCTTTTATGGCGAACTCATCTGCTCTTGCTATGGCAGCACCATTAACTGACGACGCACCCCCAGAAAGTAAGTCACAAAATCATTCTTCAGAAACTCAAGATCAAACCAAAAAATCTGATGGCACAATAAAGTATCCAAATTACCAAAAGACTGGGCTTCTTCACTCTCTTCTGGCTGTCGGCTCTATTTATCCAGCTCTTTTTATGCTTTCTCGCTATCCAAAAATTGTGGATCCTTATCCAGAGATTGCGGATCTTTTACTTAAAATTGCCAACTATGCCATTGATCCACTTTACGCTCAGCATGGCAAACCTTTAATACAGGAGAATATAAATATCGCTGTTCCAAAACTGATACCCACCAGTATTCACGACGATTTGACACTTGCCATACCCCACCATGGCCAATATAGACGCGGGTTGGTGCCTATTCGTCCCATTACTGATTCAAATCCTCCAAAGTTTTTTTACGAACAATGGTCTTCAGAAGTCGTTGTTGCAACTGATTTAGAGGGTCTGCAGCGAATTTCTGAAGTCTTTATAAGGCTTGCTGGCCCGCTTCTTTCCAGAAACATTGAACTTCTGGTCAAACTGTGTCGAATCGGTATTGCATTTTGTCGTGATGAACGGGAAAATAACAGTCCTGTTTTGGAGTTTTGGATCGATTATGCTCGCAATTATATTCTTCCTACAATTTCTCTTTTGGAACCCAACCCTGGCGCCATTCAAGAAATTTTCAATCTATTCCGTCTGTTCCCGTTTGAAACGAGATATTCCTTATATGGTGAATGGCAAACAGTTGTCCTCAAAAGCTCCCCTCATTTAAAATTTTCTTCCTCCAAGGCAGAAAAAGACACCAAAAATGTTCTTAAACGACTTTCCAACACTAATGTGCGCGAAATGATGCGTAAGCTTGCAAAAGTATCATATTCAAACCCCATTTCATGCTTCAAGGTCTTTATTGGCCAAGTTGAAAGCTACGATAATCTTGCTAGTTTAGTCGTCGAGGCCGCTCGCTATTTTACTGATATGGGTTGGGATGTGTTTCCTTTCATTATTATGATTCAGATGACGTCTGGTCGCGGTACACAACAAATGGACGGTCTCAATGACCGTAAATGGATTCAATCACTTGCTAGTTTCACCGCAAAACTATGTCGCAGATACACCTACATGGACCCACGACCACTTCTTTTATTTTTACTTCGCAAGCTACATGTCAATGACTTGTCTTTTATCATTGTTTTGCGTGAGCTTATTACACAGATGGCAGGTATCGCTCAACTGTCCAATCTGACCACGGCACAAGTTGAAAGCTTGGGTGGTGGGTCTGTACTTCGTTCCAAGGTCTTTGAAGCTATTGACGACGAGCGTGAGCTAGTGGCCAAAGCCGGACGTCGTCTTGTGGAATCATTCACTAGCTTGAATATTTTTTCTGAGCTATTCATCCTCTTAAACCAAATCCATCAGCGATTTATCCATTTTGTTCCAGAGGACAAGGCCCATGAAAAGGTCTTGGCTTCACGATACGATGACCTCACTCACATTTTAATCCAGTTTATTGAAATGACTACTTATTATCTTGATATTAAAGTCTTCAAGGCAAACATGAAACCTGTTGTTGAGCTTTGCATTGATTATGGGATTGATGTTGCTTATGCGTTTGGAATTTGGAGACAATACCTTGGCGAGGAAATTCGGGGATTTGGTCCTTCTAATGCTGACAGCAAGGCAGAACCTGGTGAGCTTGAGCATTGGCACCCAGTTTTACGGTCGCTTATTAAGGATATTTACAATCTTTATCCCGAAGAAGAGTGGAAGCACCTCAAACCTGGATTTTTCGTTACATTCTGGCAATTATCTCTTTACGATATTCAATGCCCAACTGAAAAATATCAACAAGCAGAGGTCAAAATCAAGGAGAACATTGCCACTATCGCCGACCGAATCCGGTCTGCAGAAAGCTCCAATAGTAGAGAAATCAATCAAACAGCCAAGCAGTATCGTTCTCAACGTGACCAACTGTCTCAGCAGCTTTCAAAGCTTGTTGAAGAGAGCCAACGTCACGCCCTTCATTTTGGAAACTCCAAGGCCCGTCTGCGCAAAGAAAAGATTCATTGGTTCAATTATGACAACGACACGAGTGTAGTCAACAAGGGTTCTTCACTGCGCCAATCCATCACCAAACAAATTTTAGCGAAGTGCATTCTGCCACGTGCATTGACTTCGCCAATTGATGCCATTTTCTGTGCTCGCTTTGCCCAGCTCTTGCACTCAATTGGTACCTATAACTTTTCTTCGTTGACATTTTACGATCAGTTATTTTCCGATGGCATTCTCTACGGCACATTGCTGACATGCACTTCCTACGAAGCTGAGAACCTTGGCCTTTTCTTGTCGGAACTATTTGCTAAGCTCATGCAATGGCGCGAGAATGAAAAAGTCTATGAAGATGATGGTCTGGGAAAGCACTACGTTGACGATAAGGTGACATTTTTGCCTGGGTTACGTTTTATTGACAATGGGGATGAGCTTAATGAAACTTGTCTTTTGGACCATAAAAATTTCAAAACGGCTTTGGAAAAATGGAACAGCTGTACAACTCGTGCAATTGTAGATTGTCTCAAAAGTGACGTTTACATGCATCGCCGTAACGCCATTACTCTATTGCGCAACATGATTGAGGTGTTTCCAGCCATCACTACCCAGGGTTGGGAAATTACTAATGCTATGGAGAGAATATCCAAAAATGAAGACCGCGAGGATCTTAAACTTGCGGCCAACGCACTCCTGGTACACCTCATGCGCCGCTCCAAGTCTTGGATTGAAATGTATGACTTTATGGTGGTCAGTGCTGAGCGTCGTGAACAGCTCATCAAGCAGTCTGCTGAAGCCAAGCGTGAGCGTGAAAAGAAGAAGCGTGGAACCAACAAATCTTCCTCATCATTGCCCAGCAATGTAATCTCGTCTACTACCTCAACAGCTGTAACAGTGCCTTCATCTACAGCTCATTTGCGTCGTGATTCGCGGTCCATATTGCCTGCAGCTGTGCGTCGCGAGGAAAAGTCGTCTACACCCAGTTCACTTCCAGCGTCGTTACCAAAGATTCCTTCAGGCCCTCGTCGCAGTGACGACTCTCGTGGACCATCCGAGTCTCGCAGTGGTCCAGCCCATGGTGCTACGGAGGCTGCATCACGTCAAATACAAGGCCGTGAAAGCAGATATCCACGCACAGGACGTCCTGCCGAGAATGGCCGAGCCTACCACTCAACAGCCTCAGATTCCAAGGCTAGAAATAGCGGAAATACCAATGGAAGCGGAGGAGCTGGAAGTGGTAATAACAGCAAGGCTTATGATGACAAGCGGAGCCCATTGCCATTCAGTGGACAATCAGTGCCAGATCGACGTGGCGACGAAAATCGGTCAAGATCTGGCCGTGCGACGCCCGATAACCGCGCTAATGATGATATACGGTCATCGGGTGGCAGTGGAAGCAACAAAAAGCAGGATTCTGAGGAACCGATACGCTCGAAGAGCAATTTGAGACGAGAGACGTTGGTTTCTGAAGATATTAAAGAGCAGCGCAAGGAGGATAGTCGACTATCGAGTCGTCTTAAGGAGGATTCTGGACCTGCTGCACGGTTTAATAGCCGCACGTCGCGCGACTCTCCTCGAGACTCTCGGGACTCTCGGGACTCTCGTGATTCTCGGGATTCCCGTGACTCCCGTGACTCCCGTGACGCGACACCCAAGGGTAACGAAGACGAGCGCAATGCGAGCCGGCGGGAGCGAGAAAGTGAGCGCGAACGCCGAAACAAGGAACGTGAGCGCGAACGTGAAAAAGATCTGCGGATGCGTGATCGTGAACGCGAGCGTGAACAACATAATCGTGAACGTGAGCGTGAGCGCGAGCATGAGTTGAGGGAGCGAGATCGTGATCGTGATCGCGACAGAGACCGCAGTGGTGGTGGTAGTGGAGGCGGGTTTGCAAAACCGTTGCCGGCTCGTGGAGGTGGAGGTGGAGGCCCCAAGCAGTCGAAACAGGGCGATCGTGGAAACAATAGTCGTCCTGGAAGCGGCGGAAACAACGGGCCAGGAGGATCTAACAGCAAGTCTGGCGGCGGTAGCTCGTCTTCAGGTGCATTTTCTCAGGAAAACAAGGCTCGTGGTAGTGGCGGCAGCAACATTAGTGGAAATGGCGGAGGTGGTGGATCTCGAGGATCAGATGTGCGAGGTCCATCCGACGAACGCGGGGGGAACCAAGAAAAGCGGTTTAGTAGTGGAGGCAGTGGAGGCAGTGGAGCGCGACGAGGTGGAAGCAACAGTAATAGCAGCGGTCCTAATTCTGGAGCTTCTGATCGCCGCGACTACGAAAGCAGTGGACGCGGCGGTAGCAGTAGTGGTAACGGGCCTAGCGATTCATCCTCGTCACAAAACTTGCCGCCACAAGTTCCGCTAGGACCTGATCGCGAGAGGCGAGGCAATAACGCGGACCACCGTCGTGGAGGAAGTAACAACGGCAACAACAGCGGCGGCGGCAGCGGTGGTGGCAATGGAGGAGGTAGTGGCGGCGGCAATGCACGCAAGGGTGGCAGTAACAATGGGCCTGCACGGGAGCGTGGTGGTGGCGGAGGACCCAGCGGTGGTAGTAGTGGGAACCTGCGGGAGTTTGGACCACGCGGCGGCAGTAACAGTGGAGGTGGTGGCGGACGCGGACGCGATGACGGCGAGCGCGGGCGTCATGGGCCTCGCGATGACCGCGATGACCGGCGCAGTGGGAACGGGCCAAGTGGAGACTCTGGAAGCCACGGCGGACGCAAACATATGCGGAGCGGTGGTGGCAACAATGGTGACCGGGAGTCTAGCGGCGGTGGTCCCGACAAGCGTCGTCGGATGAAGCGATAAAAGGGAAAAAATATTATTAATGTTATTATCAAAAAAAAAAAACAAAAATAAATCGTATTTAATATTTAATCATTAAATGTACTATAGTATATACTACTTAATGGGCAAATCTAAAATCAAGCCGTTTGTTTCCCTTGTCAGTTGTAGTTGCACGGTAATGGTGCTGCTCCTGAGGGGTCATTGCGCTCCAAACCTTTTCACGAGAACGGTTTTTCCAAATATAATAGGCTTTTGTAAAAAGAAGAAGAGAAAGCGACACAAAGGTGATACCAAACAGCACTCTGTTACCCCTACGGTACTTAGGAGCATCATCCTTGCGGTAAATGTTGGAAGCTGTGATACCACCAGCCTGCACAAACATATTGTAAACGGCAGCTGAAACAGTACGGGTACGAACCGTATTTGAATTTCGGGAGCACCAGCCCACCAAAATAGCATGGATGTAAGGTCCGGAAAGCAAAACAGTAAGCAGTGCGTAAGTCCCCCAAACATCGGTGAGGGACCCAGACCAAAAGGCAAGAGTACCAATGCAGGGCAAGATCCAAAGAGGTTGGAGAGTTGCACTAAGAGAACGTTCGTTAAAGTACTCAGTGAGATAGGTTTGCACAAGAAGAAAAACAATGTGAACTACATTGGCAGGAATGGTAAGTAGGTTTGTGTCAAAAGTCGAGAACCCAAGTTGGCGCAAAGTAAGTGTCATATAGGCGCTGACAGTGGAAGTGGGGATATATGCAACGAGACCAATGAGATAAAGAGGCCAAAGATCGTAATCAATGAGGGAGTACCAGAGTTGTTTTATGGAAACAGCTTGACGGTTGTGCATATCGCCTTTAGAGGGGTCATCACGGAGAACTCTATTGACAATAATTTTTTCCTCACGCTCAGTGAACCAGCCTTTAGGTCTCCAAGGTGCGCGAGTTTGGACTGGAGAAGCAGGCATTTTGAAAAAGGAAGCAATGCCAATTAACAAGGTGAGCAAGCCTTCGAGCAAAAAGAGCCAACGCCAGCCGCCCCAGCCAGCAACTCCGCGCATGCGTAGAATTCCAAATGCTGCCAGAGAGGAAAATATTTGAGTAAGGGTGAGGGAGGTCCAAAAGAAAGACAACCGGACAGGTAGCTCTGTGCCTGTATAAAAGTACGAGAGCCAAGAAATAGTATCTGCAATGAAACCACCCTCAAGAAGCCCAATGATTGCACGGGTAGCATAAAATGAGCCTTTGCCTGAAAGTTGAGACTGGCAAATAGCAACAATGGACCAAAGAGTGATTTGAGCAGGGATCCAGCGGTCGGGTCCCAGTTTCTTAGAGACAAGTTGGGAGGGCAGTTCAGCGGCAAGAAAAGAAACATAAAAGATGGTTTGACCAGTATTGTAATCATTAGTAGTGAGGCCAAGGTCATTGAGCATATTATCTGAGAGGGCCTGAGCAATGTTTCCACGATCGAGCTGAAGGGCCATAAACATGATACAAGCCCAAAAGCAAGCTTTCCATTCAAGACGACGGACAAGAGCTTTTTCCTCAGCAGGTTCCCAGGTGAATTCGGGGTCGAAATGGAAACGGCCTTCATAGGTAGCCTTCTCGTAAACTCCGCGGTAATAGTCAGCCACTTCAGGGTCCTGGAAAATATGGGACTTGCCGTAGAATACACGCAGGCCCTTGTGATCGGAAACATCGTCACCGAGCTTTTCAACGTCGGACGAGCCAGAGGTGGGCGTGTGTTTGAGCACAATGCCACTTTCAGTAATGACATTGCCAGACTTGGTAACGATGTCTCCGTCACGAGGGACATAGGATCCATCGGGCCCGTATGCTTCCTCGTCTACATGCTCTTTGGAATCAAGAGACTTGGTAGTGAGGATTATATCGTCTTTTTTAGTCATAATAAGAGATTAATGAATTTTTTTTTGAATAGTTGAGGGGGGATTAATGAATGAATAAGAAAAGAAATGTATTTTTTTATATTCTAAAGAAATAAAATAAAATAAAAAAACCCTTTAAAATGAGCATGAACTATGGGTATTTATATCTTATTAAAAGACTATTTAAAAGTTTTTTTTTTTTTTCAATGGTTGGATTATAAGAGAGCCTGGCATTTTTTCACGAAAAATTGTGAAATCAAGGGAAATCAAGAAAAAAAGCCAAGAGACAAAGTCTTGGGTAGAATAACACACGAAAGTAAGAAGAAAAGAGTTGGCCAAGATTGGAGGCTTTTTTTTGTTATAAAGAAAAAAAAACTCTTGGGTGTATTGGAAATGAAAAAGATCTTTGTGGGTATCAAATGTTTATTAAAAAAAAGTTGAATATCAATTTCTTATCAATTCAACGGTATTTTGAAATTGGATAAAATTTTTTTTTCCATTTCGCTCAACTTCCGATAACAATGCTTAAATCTATGCTTAAATATCACATAGATACGTAGCCACCATTTTCTTCACCTGAAATGATAGGTAATTTCTTCAGAAGCTGCTCCACACATTTGCCACATTTAGTTATTTCCCTGTGCACGACTTTTTTTTTTTTTTTTTTTTTTTTTCCTTTCTTTGCCTTGTTTGCCAATGCGTGTGTGTGTGTGTGTGTTGGCAGTAATGGTGATGCCATTTGTACCCCCAAATTCGCAAACTAGCTAGTAAAGCCGCACATCGGATGTCCTTTTTTCAAGCCACACACAAGAACCAAATTTGAAAAGCAATCAAAAACCAAAGCGACCAGCAGCACTTAAATGTTGCCGTCACCAGTCGCAGTAGCAGCTTCTCGACACGCACGCGCCAATACCACAGCGGTCGGGCTCCGCAAAGGTGACGACGAGCTCGACGACGAGGACCCCGGTCCACCTAATGCCAATGGTGTCGAGCCTTTTGTGGCTGACAATGACGACGTCGAGGGTGATGATGAAGAAAACGGTGAGTTTAAGCCAGAAGACGTCGAAGCCACTACTGTGATGGTCCCCGTGGTAGTTGCCGTTGTAGTTACCGCTGCAGAAACAGCTGCAGGAGTTACCGCGCCACATAGAATGCCTCCATTGGCAGACAGCAAGCTTGAACTGCGCGGGAAAGCACCAAGAGTATTATTGCCAACTCCACTTGCAGAGCTCGATGACCGCGACCGTCCAGGAATCGCAATCGGTGCAGAAACAGCGTGATTGATGCTGCCATTGCTACCATTGCTGTTTGAGTTAAACCCAGGACTCTCAGCAGAACTTAGTTTAGGTGACAGCCCAGACGATCCAGGCGAAGCAGCACCATGGAGCGCTGAGCCAATACGGTTAACCCCTCCACTGCTCACTACCCGGTTTTCGCGTGCACGGGATGCCGATCTTGGTCGATCAATAGTCTTTTTACGTCCCAGACCTGGCGAATTGTTGTTGTTGCTGCTGCTGTTGCTGCTGCTGCTACCACTGCCACCACTGCTCATATTACCATTACTTGTAATCGCGTTTGAAGAACTGGATGTAGTCGGTCGTCGAATATTAGAAGACGAGCCCTGCGTCAGCCCAGCTGAGGTCGCAGACGTTTCCGATGAAGTTGCAGTTGCTGCGGCTGTTTTGGAAGTACCCGATGTTGTCGAACCTGTTGTAGTTGCCCCAGATTCACCATTAGATATCGATGGTGGAGCCTTGGATACCCAATGCTTCCATCCTTCAAAGTCAATCAAAGCTTGCATGCACCCCCACTCAATTGTCTTTTGCCACAACCATTTGAGATTTACGGGCTTGACCAGGTAATCATTGCATCCAGCCGCCAACGCATCTGTTTTGTCTGAAAGTGCAGACGACGCAGTCAGCGCCACAATAATCACAGGGAATTTAAACACCTTGGTGTCAAGTATATCTTCCGGTGCAATCACACTCGTGCTTGTTGTAGCTGTTGCTGCTGCTGCAGAGTGACCGCTGCTACTGCTGCTGCTCTCGTTTGTTGTAAACACACCAATCCGATTAGCTTGCTCCAGCCGCCGAATTTCTTTAGTTGCCTCAAGTCCACTCAGCTCAGGCATCTGGATATCCATCAACACCAAATGGAACCCACCCTGTCTCCATTTGTCAATGGCCTCGCGTCCATTTTTTGCCCAATCAGACCGAATGCTGCGTTGCCGCAAAAACCGTTCCAAAATCCGCATGTTGATTAAATTATCTTCAACAATAAGCACATTGACCTGTGGAACAACAGTAGTATATGTAGATAAAAGTTTTGTGGTTGGAGGATGTGCTTGTTGTTGCTGCTGTTGTTGTTGCTGAGATGACTGACCCTTTTGCTGTAAATACAAATTCATCGACGACCGGGTTTTAGGCAATGACCCACCGCCACCGCTATTCCACTTGGCTCGCACCTTAGTTAAGCTAGCGCTCGAGGGAGTTCGCGAAAGTCCAGAAGGCCGACCGCTTGAAGGACTAAACGATCGTGTTGAGCCGTTGGAACCGGAAGCTCCCTGCGCCTGCGCAGTAGCCACAGCTATTGAGCCTCCACCTCCACGTTTACTGTGATCCCGTCGCGCGCCAACTGGTGAAGAGGGTCCTGAATTGCCTGAGGAAACTGACGTCACGCGCTGGGCTGCAGCTGCAGCTGCCAATGACTTTGTTCCTCCGTGCTCTCCACTACTAACAACTGAGCTACCACGTTTCCCAGAACCTGCACTTCCTGACGATGGTACAGTTCCAGCACCTGCAGATCCCCCCATCTGAGCTTTGAACTTGTTGGGTATTAGAATCACACCACTCTTCTTGGTGCTTCCAGCACTGCCACTGCCGCCGCCTGTGACGCCTGCAGAACTAGTGCTCCCAGAACTCATGCTGCCATGCTTACTTCCAGTCTTGTTTGTCAACGTTGCTATCGGCGTCAGTGTAGAAGTATCATCGGCATCACCAAATGCTCCACTCATAAATGACAAACCACTGGCCGTGCTTGCGCTACTCCCAACACTATCTGTCTTTGTGTGTGTGAGAGGTGCAGCACCGGTTGCTGCTGCTACTTGTGCCGAATTACTCATCAACTCTGGGCCGCTTTGTATTGACGATCCAAAATCAGGCGAATCTGGACCACTACTCAATGTTGTTTCAATTTCTTCACTAATACCACTTTGAAGAATATGATGATGCTCTACGCCTGCATCCTTTGTTTCGGATTCTTCGGAAACATCGCCACCGTTGCCGCCGCTGCTACTCTCCTGCTGTAGCTGACCAGATACTCCAGCACTTCCACTGGATACAAAATTAGGGGCAGCGACAACCGCAGCCATGATGGTGGGTGTTCCAGGTGTCACGTTGAGACTCCCAGGCCCCGCAGAAACAACAGGTGTCAGCGGAGGGAACCCGTACGTGGGGGTCGCAAGACCCACAGCATTAGCACCTGTGACCTGCAACGCAGGGCTCTGAAGCCCCCCTCCTCCTGGTTGAGATGCCGTTGCAGGCACAGCCACCGTTGAAGTAGTAGCCGTTCCAAGCTGTTGCACGAGTTGCGGTATAGGCGGCTGGGACAATACCAGCGGAGAAACGGCCGGCACGTCTATGAGAAACGCAGCGGTTGCGGGCATTTGTGAGCCGGAAAAATGTTGTTCTAGCACATCAAACACGCGCATATCGGGAGCCAAAGCAACCCACACATCTTCCTGAGCCTGTTGTTGAGGACTCTGAACAGGACCCGTAGGTAACAAAGATGGCGCAGGGGACCCTGGTCTGTTTGAAAGCCCAATGTTGGGTTGCGACATGGATTTCGCGTGGCCCTGTGATGCTCGAGGCTGTCTACCACCACGGGCCTGCGGGATTCCCAAAGACTGTTGTCTAGTTTGAACCGGTGTAGTTTGGCTACGAACACGCACTACAATGTCTGCAGGATCTAGTGCACGCCCAATCGATTGCGGGAACCTTTGGTACACCAAAGTCTTCAAATCATCTATAAACAAACCCGTTGACGTTTGTGTTAGTATTCTTTTTTTCTCTTGTCTTCTTCTCTTTATGTGTTTCACAATTTTTTCTCTCTCTTTTTTTATTTACTCACCAACTAGATCATGCTCTAATACAAACACAGAGGTAGCGACATGACCGGCTCGTTGAACCCAAACGCGGCGCACTTGCGAGGCAGAATTCTGCAGAACACTCGTACCGTTAACGTTATTATTGTTGCTATTATTGTTGTAGTTGTAGTTGTTATTACTGGATAATGTCGTTGTGTTGTAAGGGGAATACGTGTTGGGCTGTTGCTGTTGCTGTTGCTGTTGCACGCCTACCGCAGCACTTCCGAGAGGCAAAGACCCAAGTCCAGGAACAATACGCAGAGATGACGGCGGCTGCAGCGGTGGCTGCACAAGTGGCGCACTTCCTGAAGCCGCTGCTGCTGCTGCTGTTGACATTTGATGATTGTGATTACGTTTTAAAAGGAATGTAAGAGTTTGGCGGGAAAGGAGAAAACAAGAAAGAACAGCATACACATTAAAAATGCTTTATGGTGGTGGTGCAAATTTTAAAAATAACACAGGTTAAAGTTACCCAAACAAAGTTTAACGCTAAAGTTCTTCAGTTCCCTTGTCCTTTGTTTTTTATTTAATTTTACCATATTTGCAATTTTAATCGTTTACTCATTACTAAAAAAAAAAATTCTACTTAAAAATACTAAAAATAATAAAAAAAAAACAAATCAATTATTGAGTTCCGTAACCTTCATCAAGGTCAGACTCGTAGCCGCCAAAAAACTTGCTCATGGCAACAGACTCGCCAGCCAGATACCTCAGACGGTCGAGCGAAATACCTTCCTCGGCACCGATATTTCCGCCCAGCCAGATACGAGCAATGGCTGCCAGGTCTTCCAGCTTGTGTCTGTTGTCGCTCATGTACTTGCGCTCGTACATTTCTGTGAGCACCTTCCACAAGGCCACGAAGCCCAACAGACCAATGCTCTCGAGCTTGTTAATTTCCACCTTTTGCAGCAGCTGAAACGCTGGGCCGCGCATGTTGCGCCCCAGATAACACATGACAAGCGAAAAGCGAATGCCCAGTCGCGAATCCTGCGATACTGCAAATGGTGTAGAAGAAGACTTGACAGAAGTAGACAAGAAAGCCACCCTGTCACCATCACGCTCAGTAGAAACAGAAGCTTCTGATTCCGAAACGTGGTCTTCAGTGTATTGATTACTGCTAGTGTTGCTCATGATGCTTTCGCTAGAGCTAAACAGGCTCTCTTCTTCCTCATCAATCTCACTCACAATGCCCGCACTAAGAGTGACTGTGTTGATGGTGTGGTGGCTGTTAGAGCGGCTGTGAGAAACGTTGGAGGAAATTTCGCCAAACTCGTGAACGCTTGTCAGCGTTGGGGGGAATGACGAGAGCTCGCGGTTAATCCAAGCCTGTTGGTTAAGTTCTTCCTTTAACATTTCCATGGCATTCTTGGCATAAGAAGCATCCTTAGGACCCAAAAGGAGGGCTTCAGCAATAGCGACGCGACGGGCAACAATTGATCGTGGGGGCGAAACCTTAGCACTGAGCTCAAGCTTGCGGAAGTCAATTTCATCATTCTCCAAAACACCAAGAAGAACTTCGTGAAGAAGAGAGTTGGCGTGGAGAGCAGCCAAAACGTCATGGGCAGAGCAAATGGACTTGTCAGTAAGGACGGAAGCATAACCTTCATCGTCATCACCAAGAGGGCATCCTTCAGAAATAGGGTTGCCAAAGGCGACATTGTAGAGGCGCTGGTTAGTGCGAGGAGTAAACAAGTTATCAGATTCCAAGAGTGCAACAATGTGTTTGGCAACGTGAGTGCCATCATCTTCTTCAACCAGTGAATCCTCTTCCAAAGGCACAGCAGTGGCGCGGGCCTTACTCAGAAAGTAAGCAGACAGGTGAGCGCCAATCATATCAAAAATGGGGACATCATGGCACACGACATTAATTTGCATAGCCTGAGTGAAGTAACGAACTGGAGAGGGAGAAAGCAAGAAACTCTGGCCAAGAGTGTAGAGAAGAGAAGATCGAGTAGTACCCTTGTTAACAATGGCATCATTATCACCACCGCAAAGCTGAGCATCAATGGCATCACCAAGAGAAGAGCGCTTAGCAGAAAGGGGTTGTTCAGTAGAGCCAAAAAGCATGTCGTAACCCTCAGGACCCATAATGGCAATAGAAAGAATTTGAGCCAAAGTGCGAGCATGGGCAGAAATCTGTGAAGAAAAAGAGCTAGCAGGGAGCTCAAGGTAACGGGAATTGTTAAGCCACGTTTGTTTTCGAATGTCAGAAAGCTCAAAGTTAAGGGTTTGAAGCTCATTTTCGTCATCGCTTTCTTCGGCATAAGCAAAAGTAGGAGAAGACTCCTTGGTCTTTTCAGAAGCAGAAGAGGAAGAAACGAACATGGGAGCAAACACGTACAAAATGGTACCCAAAATGAGACCGACCTTGACAGCGTAAAGGAGGGAAGATGAGTCCCAAGAACCAATCTTAAAGTTAGAGAAGATGTTGGCATAAGGAAGGATAGAAAGACCTTGGGTATCAGAGCCCTCTCCCATGAGACCAGCACCCATAAGACCAGCCATGGAGCACATCATGACCTTTGAAGCAAAGTTGTTCCCGTTAAACATTTGGCGAATGTCTGGTTGCTGTTGTTGCTGCTGAAGCTGTTGGCCATTAAGCGAAGGATAAGCTTGCATAATAGGCATGTTTGCAAGGCCAGCAGTGGAAGCCATGTCGTTAGGACTATTGGGACTGCCACTATCCGCACGGTTGTTACGTAAATCACACAGTTCTTGGAGCAGGAGAGCATTGCGCTTTTGCAGGTGAAGAATATACTCGGTAGCCTTGGTCAAGACTGTAGCCTTGTTAAGCTTCGAAGCTGGAGTCAAGCCTTCAAGTTCTTCAGCAGTGCGAGGAGTACCATTAACGACACAGCGAAGAGATGGCACGCAATCGCGAAGCGCGAGAATCTTATCGTTAATGTTTGTTCGGTATCGCTTTTCAATCATATTGTGGGAAGTCTTTTCCTTCTTAGGCTTGGTAATTTTGCTGCCCTTGGTAACTGCGCTACCCTGTCGTTCACGTTTTATAGAGTTTTTGCGGTTGGAGATAGAGGAAGAAGTGTTGAGAAAGTCATCTTCATCTTTAATCTCACTGGGAGATTGAGGAGAGCCAACCGATTGGGGTGACTCAGGCGATTGATGATTGTTAGCATAAGAGTGAGGGGAAATTGCCTGGTCATCCTTGCCATAAGAAAATTGAGAACTAGGAGCGGAATTGGTTGTATTATTTGGAGACGCAGTTGCAGGAGTAGTTTGCTGTAAAGGAGCCAGTGAGCCAATAGACAGGTCAGGGTAGACTGATCGTTGTGACATAAGCTGAGTAGGTTGTTGAGGTTGTAATTGTTGCAGCTGTTGTTGCTGCTGCTGCTGTTGTTGTTGTTGTTGTATTATAGGACCTTGTATCAGGTTTGCAGATAGAACATCAGCAGAGGGGCCGACTGAGGAAGGAAGGATACCTGGGTAAACAGCATTGGGGTTACCACCAGCGGCGGCAGCTGCAGCTGCAGCAGCTGCAACATAGTCCTGATTAAAGTCTGGGGACCCTGAGTCACCGGCATCGGAAGAAGTGGCGGAAGGAGCCGAAGGGTATGGAGGAGTGATTGGGTATGCCACTGGGGTTGAGGAAACAGAGACAGGACCAGTAGAAGAGTAGGCCAAGTTTGAGATTGCCATGGTGTTGTTATAAATCATGTCATTGTTGATAAAGCCTGCAGCAGCAGCGGCAGCAGCAGCAGCCTGAGGGTCAGGCATTGAAGCGACTGAGAGAGGAGAGGAGAGAGGGGTAGAGTTGTTAGAGTAGGGTTGGGGTTGTGAGTGTAGGAGTTGTGGTTGGGGTTGTGATGATAGAAGTTGTGGTTGGGGTTGGGGTTGCTGTTGTTGTTGCTGTTGCTGTTGCTGTTGTTGTTGCTGTTGCTGTGTGGGTAAGGGTTGTTGTTGGTGGTGCATATGTTGTTGTGGCTGTTGCTGTAAAGTGAATGGATCGGCAGAATAGATTGGACCGCCACAAGAAGGCGAATCTTGAGAAGGCCAAGTCGTTGGAATGACCGAAGGGTCTGTAGAGACGTCGCCAGGAATGGAGACAAAGTCATTTATAGAAGGTTGGCCAATCATTATTGGATGTTGTTGTTGTGGTTGTTGTTGCGGGACCGTTTGTATTGGGAACGTTGCTTGTGATTGTGTGATTGGAGTTGTTGATATTGGCGACGACGACAACGAAGAGGTTGACGAAGGCGATGCTTGTTGTTGAAGTTGTTGCTGTTGTTGACGCAGCTGTTGTTGCTGAAGTTGAATTTGTTGGAAACGGAGAAGGTCCGATTGTTTTTGAGAGAGAACAGTAGTCGAGTTATCGTCTAGAGAGGCGAGAAACGCATCACAGTCTGCGAATTCAAATGGAATGATGGGATTTGGTTCTTCCATTTCAAAAAAAAAAAAAAAAAAAAAAAAAGAAGAAAAGAAGAGATTTTACAAGAAAATTTTCAAAAAAAAGAGGGATTTTCAGGGAAAATGAATTTCAAGGCCGAGGTTGATGTGTTGATTCTAGTTGGTTGGATGGACAGAAAAAAAAAGTGGTGTGAAAACTTGAATATGATGTTGGTAGAAAATAAAAATAGTGAGGAAAAAAAAAATCACGCCAGATGGGAATTTTCTGTAGAAGTTTTGTATAGTTTGTTATAATTTGTGGTAGTAATGATGGTGGTAGTGGAAAGAAAAGAAATGAGAAAGGAGAGAGAAAAAATAAAATAAAAAATAAAATAAAAAATCAGGCGATATTTTCTACTATGAGAGCCTTTTTTGTTTTTTTTGTTAGGTCAGTTGCAAGAGAACCACTAGAAGAACGAGATTAGTCAGAAATACACTAGTAGGGGGGGGGGGAGAGGGGGAGTTTAATAATAAAATAAATAAAAATCAGACCACATTTCTTATTTTTATTTTTATTTTTAATTTTTTTTTTTTTTGCCTTCACGCATCAATCAGCCAAGCCATTTAAAAACGTGACCATAAAATATTAGCATTTATGCCTTGGTTGTTAATTTTTAATACTTATAACTTGTGATTTGGAATTTGGAATTTGGTATTTGGTATTTGGTATTTGGTATTTGGTATTTGGTATTTGGGTATTAATCTGTTTCAATCCTAGTCACTGGTTTATTTAGTCGTCTTTCCCTTTTGGTCCACATACACTAGATTTATTTTTTTTATTAATCAGCACAACCCTCTTTGGTTGTTGTTGTTATTGCCTCTGCTGCATGTTGCTAAAACCGAATTAGAACCGTTTTTTTTTTTGGGAGATCACTCGAAACTTGTGGAAACTTGTGGAAATCGTAATACCTTGTTGCTGATAACTTTGTTTTTTTTTTAAAGGGTATGCAACGTATTCGTAGGAGCGGTCTGTCTGGTCGTTGCAACTTCTATTCTCCTCTCTTTCAAAATCTACTTAACAGAAGAATATTCCACACTTTTTCTGGAAAAATTAAGCCAGAAAAAAAAAAAGAGGGGTCACAGGGTTCAAAATTAATGATAAAAAACTTTTATCTTTTTTTGTCAAGGTAAATTGGTGGACATGAAAAAGGCTAGATTTCGATAATCACGACTGGCTTTGGCTGGATGGCTTGCTTGCTGGCTGGCTGAATGGCTGGCTGAATGGCTGGGTGGCTGGCTTGCTGAATGGCTTGCTTGCTTGCTGAATAGACAAATAATGAGTACTTTTTTGGAAATATGGAAATTTTGATATAAAATGTGGGTCTGATTTTGATTTTTATTCAATAAAAATAAATGCTTTTGAATGGGACATTTTCAAAATAAAAAAAAAAGATAAAAAAAATGCATACCTTTTCTTAGTTTTTAAGAGTATAAAATTAAAAAGATATTGTTGCAGTTATAAAAGAAAGATGAAAATTGCCAATTTTCAAAATCGTTTCTTGTTGATTATTTGCTGAAGTGATAGATTTCTAAGTATATATATGATTGTCCGAGATTTGATTATATAGATTTTAATTAAAAATCTTTTGATTTTTATTATTCTTTTTTTTTTTTCGTTATTAAACTTATTATACTAATCTTTGTTCAAATTTTTCTTTAAGAAAAAAAAAAAAAGTCCCAGTCTTTCCCCTTATATATATATATATACCTTACGTCCTCTACCTCACACACAAATTTTTCCTCCACAATCCTTTTTTGGGTAGAATTTTCTTCCCCAATGTCCACTTTTAGCGTAATAAAAAAAAATAATAGTTAATTGTGAAAATTTCTTAAGAAAGTAGTACTTTAAATCATATAAATTATTATATGAATTGTTTATTCACATAATTATAACCATAACCACAAGTTAAGTATTATTATTAGTATATTATTAAAATATATTATTAAAAAGCCCCTATTTAATACACGCTCTCATTCGTAAACCTTTGCCTCGTTAACAATTGCAATTTTCGTGCTTTGTTTTCGGCTTTTATTCTACCTGCCGCATAAAAAACGGCAAGCCGGACCCGGTCCTTCTTTTCGAGTTCCGCACAATGTTTCATAGCCATAATTCTTAACTGTCTCCTCGTTATGATAATTATCGTTTCAACATTTCACAGACTTTTAAATTTCCACAATCTTTCTTTTTCTTCAAAACTAACCTAAACTTTACTTACATTAACTTTAAAAAAAATTTTAAATAAATAAATAAAAAAAGAAATCAATATCCCTTCCATTTTCAAGTTATTTTTTTTCTTTGTTCACTATTTTAAAACCACCAAAAAAAAACGTTCTCCCGTTGTGTCAAATTGCCTCCCTACTCATACCTTAGGTGTTGTATTGTATTGTAATACTAGGGATCAAGTATATAGGTCCTCCTCCTCCTCTCTCCGCTCCGGTGGTACGGAATAGCCTACATTTTATTTTTTCACTTTAGATCATTGGGCCATGGGACCCAAACTTTGAAGCCCGTCGAAACTTTTTTGTAGCACAAAACCAATTTCTTCTTTTCATTCTTTCAATCAAAAGAAAAGATTAAAAAAAAAAAATTTTTTTCCCATAAAATAAATTGTTAGAAACTTGTTCCTATCAAAAAAATATTATATTTTCTTCATCCGAGGCCTTTTTTAGTTTCGCCATCTTGAAATTAGAAAACTGAAAAAAACCTTTATGTCCCGAGGGGTTTTCTTTTTTGTAAGCTTCTTTTTTTTTTTTTTTCCCCTAAATAAGCTTACTACTATCGATAACTACTGCATTTTAAAATAGAATGTACTAGCATGCACTACCAAGTTACCTCTCATAAAACCAATCAATAGCATGGCATACCGCACACAACCTAATGCATGGGTTAGGGCTTGTAACAGTTTCCATGAGAAGACACAAGCATACCATGCATGTGGATTAAATTGGCAGGCGGAAGCCTTAGCCCTATATATATACATGAAATCTGTGGCTTCTCCCCCCACGATCGGGTATTAGGCTAGTTCTATGCTTACGTGAATAACATTTTATTGAATATTTAAGGTTTTGTTTTTGTCTCCTCTTGTGAATATTTCTGTATGGACTCATAAAAAATCTAAGAATCTAATCTCTTGAAAAACAGATAATCCTATTAATTATAAGTAAACTGTAACACCTGGATATCTATATCATTGAGATTTTTTTTTTTTAGAATCCTACAAATAAAAAGAAAATGAAAGACGTTTATGATCTACTTCAATCAATGGTATTGATATTTCAAAAGATACAAACAAACCATTTATTTATTAAAGACAAAAAATTTGAAAAATAGACTTGTTGAAAATCCTGCTCTAATAAATTCCAAAATACTATTTCTAATTATCTACTCATTGATATGCTGCTACCCACGATAAAGAAATCTGCACTATTATTAGTCGTAGTTTGGAGTAATAATAATAATACCAAAAAAAAAAGGCTTGGTAAAGTATTTGGCCTCATGGACTTAAATACGACAATGAAGAATATAATAATTTCATAAACTGCAAAGTCATCATTAGTAAAAATAGTTCAACATTTAAATTAATATACTGAATAAAAAAAAATACACTTTATCAAGATTTTTTTAAAAATGAATAAAAAAATATCTATGGCGAATATTAACAAGTTTTTACAGTCAATTCCATACCATGCCTACTCAAATACCATATATATCATGTTTAAATACTCTTTGAATATTAAATAAAAGACCAAGGATTATATTAGTTACAACAATAAACAAAAAAAAAATAGGAATATTTGCACCAAAATGAAGGTTTGAGGGACGGAAGATGAAAGAGAAAGGAAGAGTTTTTGAAAACAACAAAACAAAAAGTTAACTCAACTAGTATTACTAGTATTAAAATATTGTTTAAATTGGAATGTAGACAAGAAAAAGAAGGGGGTGTTATAATACTAAAAAAGAAAACAAACTTTCAAGTTGATTTTTTTTTTAAACAGAAAAATTGAAGAATCACAAAATACGACTTTGAGTATCATTGAAAAGCGAAAGCAAAAGTGAAAGCAAAAGAGAAAGCAAAAGCGAAAACAAAAGCGAAAGTGAATCTTGGCTACTAACAATTTTGACGCAGAAGAGAACAAGAACAAACAAGAAAAAATTGAAAACGTAAGCTAAAGCAGTCGAGTATTTTAGTCTTGAGATACCTCAATCATATGTAAGATGAATGAGCAGATTGAAAAGATGATTGAACAGGTAAACTTATTCCATTCATTTAAATTGAAAATAAATTAAACAAATCAATTATTTGATTAATATTCTATACAATTTATTTTTCAATTTATGATAATCTGTTATTACAAAAAAAATATATTTTTGAATTTTTAACTCAATTCGTAGTCAATTTTTTTTTTTGTTAAACTTGGGGTTGGCTTTGATGCAGCTGCTGCAGAAGTAGTTGACGATGATAAATAAGGGTTTTAGGGATTACCAAGTGTGCCATATCATACTCCATAAGTGGTAATCCAAAGCCGAATTCCAGCATGAAACCACTACAAATAATAAGTAAACAAAGAGGCCATACTCTATTATAGAAAAGGACGCAGTGAATTAAGTTTAACTGGAGCAGCTCTTTTAACCAGGCTGATTTGTGAATTCATTAACAACACTTAAAGCTTAAATTGTATTCTGAAACAGGGGCAAAGAAAAAAAAAATATATATATATATATTTTCATTAAAAAATATCCATTAATCGAGAGCCTTGTATAATGAATTTTAGTTTTGCATGCTGGTGTGCACTGCTGCAAAAGGGTTGGGACAGAGAGGCACAATATGCGTGGATTTTTTCCTTTATTAGGGTCGTGGAGATAAATTATTACAGCTAATTTTGAGTCTAGACATTTTAATTTTTTTTTTGAAAAAAAAAAAAAAATAATTAGGAATGGTTTAGGGGAAAAATAATTAGTTTCAGAGATTGGGCGGGGCAAAAAAAAAAAAAACCAATTATTTCATGGATAAAATTAAAAAAAAAAAAAATAAGGGCAAAGACCGAGGAAAAAATAATTAGAGCCAATCCGTATTATATAATCTCAATACCAATCAGTACAAGGTTTGCTTATTCCCGGTCTAGATGACCATTTGCCGATATCAAATTTTAGTCGAGTAATTACTCAACTAATCACTTCTTAAAAGAAGTGATGAGGAGGCTGAGGGAAAAGAAAACTAAAGAAAGAAAGAAAGAAAGAAAGACATTTCAAGTAGCTTAACTAGTCTAAAAGTAATAATCAACTAGATAGATGATGATCAAATATCCGAAAGCCTATTTCCTATAAGCTGCTTAGACTAAAAGCATTTTATGCTCAATAAAAAAAACACTCATCACATTCATATGTTAAATATAAAATAATTACAAATCAGGTATTAGTCAAAACAAGCTATTATCTATGTTTTTTTTCATCTTTTTGTGATAGAAGGTCCAGGTTTGGGACTTAATTAAAAACAACCTTGTTAAAGATATCTTTTGAGGTGGGGAATTATATTAAAAGCATCAAATCATATGCAAAGGATGTAATAACAAATTCCTAACAATTACTCAGTAATAATGTCTATGAACAAATTAACCAATGCTACCAAGGAAAACAAATTCTCTTAATCTTATTTTTTTAAAGCAATTGAACCCCTTATTGGTGATAGTTTGGTGAAAGAAAAGGAGGTTTGTTGGCTTAAATAATAATTTTTTTTTCTGAATTTTCAAAGTAATATATTCTTACTTAACAGTATCAGGTATACGCGTCCAGCAGTATCAAAGATACGCACTTAAATTTTTGTATTGTAAAATATTCACAAAAGAAAATTCTCCAAAATCATCGCGTATTAATGAACCCTCAAAGTAACAATGTTTCAAACACCCAACCTCCCAATAATTCTTCTTTAGAAGAGAACTTTTATTCTAAAATTGAATTTGTTCTTCAATTTTCACAGGATCGAAGGGAAAAAAATAGCCCGGCGTATCATACTTATAACCGACTAAAACAAAGAGCATATAAGAAACGTAAGAAAAAAGCTCAAGCCTTCGCTTTACTGGCTGCTACCTCTGGTCTTTCGAGTCCTCATACTCAAGAATCACCTCATAATAAACCAATTTTATCAAGTTCTTTACCATCATCTAAAGTTTCAGTGAAATCTTCTTCCTTTCCTTATTCTTCTCCTTCTCATTTATCCGGTCATTTCAAGGCCAGTCATCCATCGATTGATTCAAGAAACCATTTTCCACCGCAACTTCCTCCTCTAAATCCATGTCCTTCTAATCAACAGCCATTACTTTTTCAAAACCCAGTTCCTCAAATTCAACAGCAACGTTCTGTGCCCCAAATTCAACAGCCGTATCCGGGGTCCCAAATTCTTCAGCCATATCCGGGATCCCAAGTCCCACAGCCATATCCGGGATCCCAAGTTTCACAGCCATATCCAGGGTCCCAAATTCCTCAGCCATATCCAGTACCCCAAATTCCTCAGCCATATCCGGTATCTCAAATTCCTCAGCCATATCCAGTATCCCAAATTCAACAACCATATCCAGGATCCCAAGTCCCACAGCCATATCCGGGATCCCAAGTTTCACAGCCATATCCAGGGTCCCAAATTCCTCAGTCATATCCAGTATCCCAAATTCCACAGCCATATCCCATTTATACGCGACCTCCATTACCGATCCCAGAGCCTGATGTTCAACACTATCCTATTTCTTTAAATACACAGCAAAAACCCACACCTGAAATTCGACAAACAGTTTTACCTTCGACTTCAGAAATATACTCAAATTGTAACAGAAACTCTATGCCAGCTGTATCCAGCGCTCATGGTAATGATCCATTTTTGTCGTCTAATCTTACAAACATTCGAAATCAACATCAAAACGAACAATTCAGAACATCCCCTACATGTAATCAACATAATTACTCATGTATGGAGCTCTCCAAGACCACTGCTCAGCAGAATTATCCACGGATGGAGTCCTCCATGATGCCTACTCAACAGAATTATCCACGGATGGAGCCCTCAATGACGACAACTCAACAGCCAACCAAGCGTGTTGTTATAGATCTTCGTCACATTGATTTGGATGCAGAAGATTCAAGTTCTGATGGTGAGTTTTATTTTTGGATTTGATTTTTTTACTAACTTTTTTAGGCTCTTAGTACCCTTGAGGAAACAACTCAATGTATTAATTTTATTACGAAGAAAAGGACGAAGAGAAGAACCAGATCAGCAATTCAACTGTAATTGAATCATCTGATTGCCAAGATGCCATCTTTGAAATTTACGATAAATTTAACGCGTAATATATTCACGAGCGAACCAACCGAGAAATTGGTCTGTTATTGCTCCTGGTATACACATGCAACAGATTATAATGTAGTTCTTCTTTTGTCTTCTCTTTCAACAGAATTCATAATCATGCTTATGGAATTTGCCTTAATGTTTTTTTCAATGAGTTAGATACACTAGACAAGATGTATATGTTACTATGTTTGTAATCCGTATATTGCCTGCCAGATTGATGGCAATGGTACTGCTGAAGAGATCCTAACGCGAGATCTGGGGGTCGAAATCAATGGGTGTTTGCTACGACACTTTGATTAAGAAGAAGAGCATGAATATCTTGTAGAGGAGGATGAGTTCTATTAAGAAATTTAATAAAAAACGTTTTGCAGTTAACTGCATTATTTTTGGCTACCAACTTCAGATGAAAAACTTCACTTACTGAAAATATAGTTACTGGTAAATAACAATTAACTTTGTTTTCCCATATTTTTCATTACATAATCAACTTACCAATTTGGGCTAAAAAAATAATAAAGAAATACTTGCATCTCTCTATGCCAGTCAAGCCAAAATATTTTTTTTTTTTTAGATTTGGTCATCATTTTAGCACGTTTCACGTAGTAAATTGTCTAAGGTAACAATATATAGTAAATGGTGTGCATGGCGAACAAATTTTCACCACTAAAAATTCTTAGTATTTGAATACCAAAAATTTGGTGCCCTCAAAAAGTTTTAGTAAATTATATATTCGGCTGTCCATTAAATAAAAAAAAAGGCGCTCAAAAGCTTAATATTAGACAGATCAGCTTAATTTTAGTACATGAATTTACACTTAGATTTAGGTTTTGTTTTAATTTACAAGCGTATAAAATTTTTTTTATTATAAAAAAATTTAACTTAGCTTTTCAACGTTTCTTCTTTATTTAATTATTGGACTCAAACTAAGAAGAAGAAGAAGAAGAAAAAGACTAAGAAAATATCTCATAAAAACTTATAAAACTTAATTCACCAAAAAGAAAGAATTAGACAAGAGACATTATTTATTTTATTTTATTTTTTTTTTTGATTTGACTTTTCATTTTTCCCTTTCGTTTTTATTTTTTTAATTTTAAAATATGATATGCATAGACTTTACGTTACTACATATATCTAACTATTAATTTTAAATTTGTCCTTTATCTTCATTAAACTATGATTACACCACTTATAGTCATTAATGAATCTTTCTTTTCTTTGATGAATCTCATATCTTTCCCACCATCTGGAATTAAGCATTTTTCGGTTTGTGTATGACAGAAACATTTATTTTATTTATTTTTTATTTAAATTTTAATGTCTGAGATAATGGAAAAATAGAAAAAAAAAGGTTAATTTATATATAAATAAATAAATTAATTCAAAACGATGTTTTTGGTGATGATAAACTTATTGGATGAAGAAAGCATTCCGTACAAAAAAAGAACAGAGAAGAAGCTCTTGGGGAATCTAGTTAGTTAAAGTTAAATTAAAACCAACCAGAAAGTTCCTTTTATTTATTTTTTATTTTGTTATCTTTTTTTTTTCTTTAGTAGATCTGAGAGATTATCAGTAAATTCATTACAAAAAATAAAAATAAAAAATCTAGACAATGCTGGAAAACGCCGCATAACACCCGATTAGGAAAACTATTATAGAAAGCCTCTTTATTTAGGGCTTAGACGGCTGACAGGTGTCCATCATGATGTTGTTTGATCTGAGATTTAAAGGCATATTATTTAATGTGCAAAAAAAAAAAAAAAAAAAAAAAAAATTCTGACATGGATTTGAAATATTTCAACTAGCCAATTTAGAAGAAGACATGGGGTTGAAAGAATCAACATGGAAAAAAAAAAGAAAGAAAAAAAGAAAATTCATAAATGGGAATCAATGTTATGAGGTTTCTTATAGCCATAATTAAGTCTAATGGTATTGACTAGAGAATTATCAATTTATTTTATTTTTTCTTTTCTTAAGATCAACCGCCATTTAAAATTCTAAGCTTGACATATTCGATTTGATGACTGAAAAAAAAAAAATAAATAACAATAAAAAGAATAACTGGCGCTTCTTTTTTATTTTATTTTTATTTTTTTATTTCTTCTTCTTCTTCTTCTGCGCACAGAAATTCCACCGTTTTATCATCATCATAATCATCATCATCATCATCATCATCATCATCATCGTCATCGTCATCGTCATCGTCATCATCATCATTGGGTGGTTGAGTGTTCCACCCCCTAAAGGCAAAAACCAGCGACTTGCGGATTTTTTTTTTTTTTTTTTTTATTTTCAACACACTCATGTAAACGGCACTTTAAAATAAAAAAAAAAAACATAAAAATATTTGAAATTTTCATAAAAAAAATATGAAACTCATTTATCATATAAATTGAAATAAATTCAAAAAAAGAAAAAAAAAGTTTTTATTTTGATTTATATTTTTCATTAATAAAGTCCAGTTCTGCGGGCATTTAAACGACTTTTTGTTTCTTATACAGAGCCACCATTAAGCCTAATGGAGATAATGCGGCTCAAATGCGCCGCCGCCGCAGATAAGCCCAAATTGCCAACACCCAAAAAAAACACACACACACATACAGAATTTTTTTTTTTTTTATGTGCCTGCGCGCCAACTCCTGCACTTAAGGGTCTTAATAGTCTGCGATCTCCATTTTACGATCTCTCTCTCTCAATCAATTAATCAATCATTAGCCCAACTACTACTGAAATACCCTCAGTTTCAAAACTATAAATATCCATCAATTTTCTCTTTCTGATCCAATTCCTTCCTTTTCTTTTTTTTTTTTTTTTCTTTCTCTTTCTCTCTCTATCTATTTATTTCAATAAAAAAGTTTGTATATACCAGAAAAATACCAACTAAATCACCTAATCCTTCTTCCCATCTATACCCCCTCCCATCCTAATAAATAAAACAATCACAATGTCCTTTGACGAAAGATTCCCCAAACGCCAGGTCCAAATCATCTCGGCCCCATTTTCTGGAGGCCAACCCCGTGGAGGTGTCGATGAAGGCCCTCAGCACCTTCTCGAGGCAGGCCTTGAGACTGTGCTCAAGGACCTTGACTGGAACCCCTCGTTTGATGGTCACCTGGACTTCCCGGTACCAGAGTCTGGAGACGAGCCTATTGGTCACGTCAAAAACCCACGCCACGTTTCTAGTGCTGCCCACAAGGTCTTTACACATGTCTCAGAGGCTGCCAAAAGTGGCAAGTTCCCATTGACCATTGGCGGTGACCATTCCATTGGCATTGGTACCGTCGCAGGTGTCATGCAGCAGTACCCGGATGCATGTGTCATTTGGGTCGATGCCCATGCTGATATCAACTCTCCTCAAGGCTCTGAATCAGGGAACCTTCACGGATGCCCCGTCTCATTTGTTTTGGGCCACGATGACCCACTGCCCTCTGATGATCCCAAAGAAGCTAATCTTTTCAACTGGGTCCCTCACTGCCTGGATCCCTCGCGTATTGCTTACATTGGCCTCCGTGATCTCGACAAGTACGAGAAAAATATCCTCAAGGAAAATCACATTGCAGCTTTTACTATGCGCCACGTTGATCAGTACGGTATTGGCAAGGTTGTTGAAATGGCCCTGCGCGCCATTAACCCTCACAACAAGAGACCTATCCACCTCTCCTTTGACATTGATGCCCTTGACCCCTTCTTTGCACCAGCAACTGGTACTGCTGTTCGTGGAGGTCTTACCTGGCGTGAGGGCTGTTACATTTGCGAGGCAATTGCAGAGACTGGCAACCTTGTGGCGATGGATCTCGTCGAAGTTAACCCCCATCTGGCAGAGACTGAAGAGCACGCCAAAATGACTACAAACGCGGGCATTTCTCTCGTCAAGTGCGCTCTCGGCGATGTTTTGCTGTGAGTTGAACGAGCCAAAAAAAAAAAAAAATACATATAAATACATATATATAAAATCTATTCTGTACTTTTAGCTTAAAACTACTTGCTGTTGTTGCTTTTCTCGTCTATGATGATTGCTTCTTAAAACACGGTCATTGGCTATAGGCACCTCTCTCCCTCCATCAGACCGACCCTGGTATAACCGCCATTCCCGGTACACAGAATCATCCCCCCAAATATCCCGCCCTGCAACCAGCCCGCGCTCTAGCCACCTCGCAACCCGCTCGCGTTCCTCTCCACTAGCTCGCGCAACCCATGCGGCTGCGGGCCCCGACACTTTGCGCCTTCCGCTTAAAGCCCCACGCACCGACCCCACGTTCCATCTCCCGCGACATGCCCGCTCCAATTCATTCGCCACAAATGGGTTACCAATATCGTACTTCTGGTCTTGGGTTTCTCCACTAGGGAATTCTTTCCTACTACCTAAAAGCCCCGTCAGGTGTGCAAAAACCCCAGTGGCTAATGCCTTGTCAGCATACCCGCCTTCCAGCACCGACAGAATCTTAATCTGTGGTCCAATTCCAAACTCATGTCCAAGTTTTGTAGCCATTGAAACAATGTCTGTAGTCACACGCTCGAAAAACTGAGTCGGCACGCAAGCACCATGTCTTCGCATTCCAGCAGCCTCATGTTCTGATGCATCAAACCCAGCAGATACAACCACCAGTGGCTGAAATTCTATGTTTTGTTGCTTCTCTCCAGTTCCACTACTATTACCTCTCCAATACTTCATGTACTCGCGCCTTAAAAACTCTTCAGCCTGATCCACAATCTGCTTATATTTGGTCTCGTAGGCTTCCCAAAATGTAGACTCTCCAGCTGCTCCGCCTTGAGACCCCCATGGGTCCAAGTGCACGTTCCACACACATGGCCCAGACCCTGTTGCTCTTCCATCACAATCTATAGTGTCCACTTGTTTTAGCGATGCTGCTGCAACAGCTTCTAGTCCTTGGTCTTCCGCTGGAAATGACTCGATATCATGTACACTGAAATATCCCATTATGACTCTACCCTCTTCATTTTCCTTTTTCGCCAGCTCAAAACATAACGCCTGAGTCCCATCTCCATGGTGTAAATCAAAATCAATCACCGCCACATGTGTAATACCATAGGTTTGCTCAGCATATTGAATTCCCACATGAACATTATTCATCACACAAAACCCAGACGGCGTCCCGCGCCGCGCGTGGTGTCCCGGCGGCCGCACTACAATAAACGCCCGATCTACCTGGTCCTTATTCTCATCATTGTCACCATCAACATCAGCATCATCATCATCATCATCATGATTACCGTCACTATTTTTTTCTGAATCACTAAACAGCAAGTCAACACCGTTTTCAAGTGCACCAACCACATTTTCCAGCGCAGATGCAGTCCCCGCGCACAAGTACATGTCACCACAGGGCCATGCTGCAGGCACTTCAAGTGTTCCAGAGGCCAGTTTTGCGCTTGCTGTTTCACATAGTGCGTACATATCGTGTGCCCACTGGGGGCCATGAACTTTAGCGACGTGTGTACATTTGCGCAAATCCACTTGTCGCACACATGTTTTAACCACCACATCTGGAGAACTGGCCAAAGATGACAATGATGGTTCGGGGGGAATAGAACCTATTCCAGACTGGCTTGAATAATGTAAAGAAAGTGCAGCACCAATCCCAATACCGCAAGCCACAAGCCGCTGAGGACGCTCAACAACTCCGCGTCTTGCGGCCGCCGAAACCCACGGCCGTGCAAATGTGTGTGCAAATGTCTTTGGTGCGAGAACAATGGCGGTTACTCCTCTGTTTGGATAAAAGTACCTCAGATACTGCTGTTGCTGTTGCTGTTGCTGTTTGGCCTGTTCCTCGAGAGTCAATGCACATAATCGAGAGTTGAGGGGGGCCATGGGTTCGCAAAATTTTTGCAGCGGGGTTCCAAGAAACATACCTTGGCTTTGGAGCGAATCTTGGATAAGTGCCAGGTCGTCAGCGCTCAGTTGAGCATCCCAAGAAGATGGACCTCCTGACAATGTTGCACTTGAAATTGGAGCTCCAACTAATCCAGGAGAGTCGATGATGGTATTTGGCCACCCCCAGGCGCCCTGTGGTGCCGACCCGGAATCACTGGACACCGGGGATTCTGGGTATTCTTCCAAATACAATCCATTCATTTGTAGTTTTTTTTTTTTTTGTGTTAAATGATAACCAATATCGTTCAATAACGAAAGAACAAGAAGAAATATTTAGAGAAACAAAAAATAAAATAAAATAAAAAAAAAATTAAAAGATAACACCCATAATGTAACTTAAAAAAGAAATATTGATATTAACAAAAAAAAAACTATACAAGACCCTAATTTATTAATTTTTTTTTTTGCGCTCTTTTTTTTTTATATATATATATAACAAAAAAAGTTTTCTCATAATTTCCTTTACAACCCATACTTGCTTAAATCCAAGTCCTTCAAACTCTTTAAAATCTCGCCGTGCCCAGAAATCAGCTCCTCAGCCTTGTCATTGCCCATGGCATCGATGGCTCGCTCATCCGGGACCCACACCACCGTAGCTCCAGCCGCAATTCCAGCCGTCACTCCAGGCACACCATCCTCAAACACCAGACACTCTTCAATCTTGATGGGTTCAGTTTCTTCGTGATTCTCCAACATCTCCTTATTGAGAGATTCCAATGCAACATACCAAATATCAGGATGAGGTTTCCCACGCCCGGGCGCAACCCGCTTATCATCACCAGTCACAATGTGTTTTTTAAAAAATGCAAACCCAGCATCGTGCAGGTGCCCTGTCTTGAGCCGGAACGTGTGCGCGTGGGACGACGTTGCAAGTGCAATCGGAACCCCGTGTAAGTCCAAGTATGTCAACAACTCCCTGGCACCTGGCAAAAATTCAGCTGTGGGGAAAAGCTCTTCTAGTCGTCGCGTGGTTTCTGCGTAATACTCCTCAGGAGTGTAGGGTAGACCGGACCATGCAAGAAACCGCTTTGCAGACTCGGTGCCTGGCAGACCCATGAGGGTGATTTTCACTGACCATGGCATGGGGCCCTTGCCGTGCTCTGCCAGCATGGAGTTATGAGCAACAGTGTAAAGGTCTTCAGTATTGATTAAAAGCCCGTCCATGTCAAATAGACAGGCTTTGAAGTGCTTGGTGGTGGTAGTCATTTTTTTTTTTGGCAATTGTTTATGGTAATAATGTTGGTGGAGAGCTAAAAAAAAAAAAAAAAAAAAGTAATTCAACATAACAGCAACAGGAAAAAAAAAGGTACAACAACAAAAGAAAAAAGTGTTTTAACATTTTGATAACAATTTATACTTTAAATTTCGAAAATGAAAAAAAAAAATTAAACTTACAAATATCCTAAATGAATTTACCAAAGGCTTCCATAATAAAATCAATTTTTTTTCCCCCCTTGTTAAAGTATTTGTATACCCCTGAGTTCATAGTCGAGATTGGTCTCTTTTTTTTTCAAGCTATTCCAAAAAAAAAAAAAAAAAAATTACGAAAATTTGCCCATACTATTTGATTTGATATTGAACCCCATTTTTCCTATGATGTTTTCATTGGTACAGATAATTCTTTGAAATCCTACATTACTTGTACCTTTTAATATAATTCTAGTTGTTTCTATATATGGAAACTTCCATGAGTAAAATTTCCTGCAGCTTGTCTGTAAGAAGTGATTCAAAACATTAGAAGGGAAAATATATATATGTGCTAAATCTTTTACAACTGACCAAGATTCTAAATCATTTTCAATTAAACCGAAATAATTTTTGAAAAAAAAAACCAAAAAAACCAATAAATGATTAAATCTCATTCTTTTCTGTTCTAATCTTAGGATTGCAAATGGACTGTGCTAGTACCAATACCCTTACTGGAAAGAATTCTGCGGTCTGATTTTTTTTTTTCAAAAATTAAATAAACTACATACTGTGCTGTGTCTATATTCAAAACATTAATGTTAAGCCATTTAAGAAACTTTTTTTTTTTTTTTTTTTTTTTTTTGTGATTCTTATTCAAGGGTCAAATTACGCTCAAAATCATTCACAAACCCCCCAAGAAATTTAATACACTTTTTTGGCCTCAAGATTTCATTCAAAAAATTTTTTTATCCAAAGAAATACCGGTCAAGTAGTTGGAATTTGGTAATTTTAATTTATATTTCTTTATAAAGAAAAAGTAAAAATATATATATATATATATATATATTGTGGTAAAATTCTTCTTAATTCATTCATGTTCAAGCTTTCCCACATCCTAAGCCGCACAATATTACCCACATTATTTTCTTTTCTTTTCTTTTTTTTTTAATTTTATTTTATTTTTTTTAAAAAACCTCCAAGACATTTTCCATCAATTCAAATGCAGTCCTGTAATCTGCCCGTTGCTGTGTCTTGCTCAGACGATACTTATTACGTGAAGGGTCTGGGTCTGATTTCCAATAGAGAGCGATGCGTGGGAATATACCTGTGGAAAGAGCGACACGGTTTGTATGAGCCATTTGGCGCCATACACGCAGAAATACTTCTGTAGGGCGTGCTCGGAGCTCGAGTCTTGAACGGAGCTCTGCTAGAATCCATGCACGCACACATTGATGATGGTACGATGGAGATATCTGGGATAAATTGTCTTCATCTGCAGTTAAACTATCGCGCAGAAAGACAGTGTAATATTCGTATATGGAACTTTGCTTGTCTTCTTGGATTACAGAAAGAAATGGAGAGATGGTTTCATAATCAGTATCAAGACCAGGAATTTGATTCAAGTAAGAAGCAAAGAAGCGGATAGTTTCGGTGACAAAGGCATGACCTCCGCGGAAAATGGCTGAGGACGGTGTAGATGAATTATTGACAAGAATGTTTGGGGCTACAATACGAGCTTTAATCAATGAAATTACACGACGGCGTTGTTCTGGGGTTAAACAAGAGACTGCAGGAATAGAGTGTTTGGGAGCATCTATGGAGAAAAGGTTGCAATTGAGCCAGTCTAGGGCCAAATCCGGTTCAGGGTCAGTATGGTCGTCAAGATCGTAAATTGGGAAGGGACTAGCTCGTGGGTCTTGGGTAGAATCATTGTTTGTATTTTTGGATGATGAATTAGTTATAATTGCAACGGTGTGGCACATTGCCAAAGCTTCGAGGGCTTTAGGGGTTACATTTTTTACAAATTGGTTCATAGTGGTTCGGTCATGGGTAGAGATTGGAGTATTATTTGGTTTGGTATATAATAATAATAGATTTTCTTCAGAGTGGGATATTGAAGATTCTTGTAAGGTATTTGATGAGATTTCTGTAAAATCATCATCATCATCATCATGTTCTTCTTCTTCATCATTTGAAACGGAGGATGATCTGGATGAAATGACAGACGTAGAAAGACCCGTAATAGCTTTAGAGATTCTTGAATTTTTAGAATTAGGTACAAGATGAATTGACCCTGAGTCTGTGTTAAAGTTGACTACTTTACGACGAAGTTCTGAAGATACACTCAATGCTTGTTCAGGGGTTGTCTGTGAGGGGGTATGTTTATTTATATCTGGGTGAATGGGGGTTTGTTGGTTAGCTGGGGTTGGATTTTTCATGTTTTCATAATCTTTAGAACTTTTTGAAGAAGAAGAAGAAAAAGAAGAAGAAGAAGAAGGAGCAGGAGTAGGAGCAGCAGAAGTAGCAAAACAATGTGATTCTGAGCATAGGTATACAGGTCCATAGTTTGCTTGGTTGTAAACGGCACATCCTGAGACATAAACAGTTTGATGGATTGTTGGAGGGGGGAATTTAGATTCTTGGTTCATTTTTATTATTGATGAAAATGAAAAAAAAAAAAAAAAAAAAAACTAATTTCAATAAGAAATGGTAGTGAAGGAAGAAAAAGAAAAGAAGATTTTTTTTTTGGAATTCATTTTTTTTTTTATAGGCTTTGGGTTGATGAAGATTTTGACAAAGCTTGAGATAGAAGTACAGATGATGAGGAAATTGACAAGGTGATAAATAAATAAATAGAAGGATGATTTGAGCCGCATAAAGTTATTTTCCTGATACCTGGTATTTTTAAAAATTATTAATAGTAACATAAAGTAACATAAAGTAACTTATATAAATAATTTTTTTTTAATTTTTTATTTGTAGACTCATTTAATTACTTTTCTTGTTTATTACAATTGACTCATTTTATTTTTATTTTATTTTTATTTTTTTTAATTTTTTTTTGAATCTCAAAAAAAATAGCAATCTTTGAATTCAAATGAACAAAAAAAAAAAAATTTTTTTTTCTCTTTTGATTGAGTCAATTTATAAAAATTTATATAAAAAAAAATGATTATCAATAAAATAAAATAAAAATTTAAAAAATAAAAAAAAAAAAACAAAAAAAAAAAACTTTCATTTCCTCGGACAAAAAAAAAAAAAAAACTTTAAAAAAAAATGCCACAAAATTTTTTTTTTTTTTTTCTTCTTTTTCTTTCTTTTACCTCCCCCGGAATGCAGTGCAACAAAAAAAAAAAAATTCATGCAACCAATCGTCTTTTAACGATAACCACAAGGAAATCCAAACTGTAAAACTCAAATTTATTTTTTTTTTTTTCATTATTATTATTATGATTGTTATATGATTATGATTAATTTTTTTTTTTCTGTAAAATCTCCAATTGATATAATATATATAATTTTTTTTTTATAATTCTATAGTAATAGTAAAAAAGAAAACACATTTCGTTAAAAAAAATTTTTTTTTTTTTTTAATTTTGGGGATGAACTTCAACACCAACACGTTCCTTAGCAAGCATGTCAACAAAAAGAGGACTGGGTCGGGTGTTAAGAGATTGCTTAAGCTTATACTCCTTAACATCTTCAATGTACTTATCAAACAGGAAAGCTGAATCAAGAGGACCACCCTTAGCCTCAGGGTGGAATTGGGTAGAGAAAATGGGTCTGGAGGTATGAATCATACCCTCATTGGACTGGTCATTGAGGTTGATAAAGTAGGGCTTAAAGTCAGCAGGGAGAGTGCTAGCATCAACAGCATAACCATGGTTCTGGGATGTGATGTGGCATCGACCAGTCATGAGATCGAGAGCAGGGATATTGTGGGCACGGTTACCGTATTTAAGCTTGACAGTCTTTGCACCAGTGGCCAAGGCCAAAAGCTGGTGGCCGAGACAGATACCAAAGATGGGGCCCTCATAAGTGTCCATAGTCTTCTTAAGGTTGTAGACGGTGGACTGGCAGTGGGTTGGGTCACCGGGGCCGTTAGAGATGAAGATACCATCAAAGTGGTGAGCAATTTTGTGGATAGGGTAGTCGTAGGGGAAAACAGTGATATCAGCACCACGAGAAACAAGTGAACGCAAAATATTTTCCTTAACACCGCAGTCAATGACAGCGACATGGGCATGTGCATCAGCACCAGCGGAAATATGGAAGGGAGACTTTGTAGAAACTTTTTGGACAAGGTTGATGGCACCAGGGTCAACAAAGGCTTCATCTTCGTCGGCATCATATTCCTCACCAATGGTGATACGAGCAAGAGAAGAACCACGTTCACGCAAGAAGGTGACAAGAGCACGGGTGTCAACTCCAGTGATGGCGGCAACACCTTCACGCTGGCACCATTCTGCAAGAGACTCGACGGCAGTCCAATGGGAGTATTGCATGGCAATGTCAGCGACGACAATGCCGATGCACTGGATGTGAGGGGACTCAAAGTACTTGAGAAGGTTGAAATCGTCACGGGCGGTGGAGGAGGGGACACCATAGTTGCCAATCAAAGGTTGGGTGAAGACAATAATTTGGCCACGGTATGAAGGGTCAGTCATTGACTCCGGGTAACCTACGAGAGAGGTAGTGAAGACAGCTTCGCCGGAGACGTTAGTATTTGCTCCAAAGGATTTACCATGGAAGACGGGGCCATCGCGGATGGTAAGGGTAGCACGGTCAAGTGCAGAAGAGCCAATGGAGGAGGTTGAAGTGATTGGTGAAGCTTTGCGGAGGATAGAAGCAGCTGAGAAGTTTCTGCGAGCGATAGAAGCTCCAAGTTGAAGAGATTTAGCGAGACGGAACATAATTTTTTTTTTCTTTTTTAAAAATTAAAGTAAGAAATATAAAAGAAAAAAAAAAGTGAATAAAAAGAAGACTGTAGATGGGGTATTGGTGAAGGTATACGATAAAAATTTTTTTTTTAAAATATAAATTAAAAACTGGTTGGGAATTTTTTTTTTTTTCTAAGGTTGGTTGGCTTTCCAAATATGATCTGAAAGATAGTCCTAAATAAATATAAATATAAATATAAAAATAAATTTTTATTTTATTTATTTATTTATTTTTTTTTGGTTAGCAAATGAAAAGAGGAGGGTAATTTAAACCATTGAATTTATTATTATTATTATTATTATTATTATTATTAGTACTTACGTGAGAAACGAATTGGCAAAAAAGGTTCATCAATTGTTTATAAAAAAAACAAAAACCTGGGGGATAAGAGAAATAAAAAAAAGAAAAAGAAAAAGAAGAAGAAGAAGAAGAAAAGTTGTTGAAAAAAAATAAAAAATTTAAAGAAAAGGAAAAGAAAGAAAAGAAAGAAGAATAAAAAAAAAAATATTTTATTTTAAATAAATATTTTATATATAAATTATAAATTTTTAAATAAAAAATTTTTTTTTTTTTTTTTTTTTTTTTTTTTTTTTCAAAAACGGTTTTCCGTGACTCATTTGCCTATTAAAGGTATTTTGTGAGGCTCAACTACACGTGATTATTATTATTATTATTATTATTATTATTATTATATAAACGTTATAAAATATAGCAATCTTAAAAAAAAGAAAAAAATTATAAACACCAAACATTGGGGAATTTTATTTATTTATTTATTTTTTTTGAATATCTAAAATACTTGAAATATCTGAAAATAATAATAATAATAATAAGTTAAAATAAAATAAAATAATAAATTAAATTAAATTAAATTAAAATAATAAATCAATTTTCAATTCCTCGCTCTAAAGCACTAATCTCTGTCTGACTCAATATCTCATGTGCCCGCTTACCCTTAAAAAAAGCCATATTGTCCCGATACGCAACATACTCACTATCCGCATACCCTAAAAGAGTCTCAATCAAACTACTCTGCTCTCCTCTAATCCTCTCAATCTCAACAGAAGAATAATTCACAAGTGCCCTTCCAATCAATACTGGCTCCTCAGATTCATCCACCTCTGCAACTTTACTCCCATCAGCATCATCACCACTAACTTTCCGCTTAGCCGCATATACTTCAACACATTCAGAAGTATGAAAGTTCCCCTCAACCTTTAATATCCCTACTGGTAATAACCCTGCCTTGTTAGAACGAGTAATCGCCCGGTATGCACCACGATCAACATAAAGCTTGCCATGACCTGTTAGACCATGCAAAATCCAAAACTCCCGGTCTCGAATAGGATGCCGCTTAGGCAAAAACCGTGTAAACAATGGCACATCTTCCTTAGACAAACTCTCTAATACCTCCTGCTGTACCTTCTCACTATTCTCCAAATCACCTTGAGTTTCATATCCTTCCCGTGACCTTTGTCGTGCAAGTGTTAAAGCCTCAACACTATCTTCAATCGGACCCAACCGAGGTGAATCATGACCTTGAATATACCTCACAATAGAAAATAAATTGCCAGGAACTGAAGACTTGCAAATAATCGTAGTCACTCCAGCACTCGTCGCCAGTTCCGCTGCAATCAACTTCGTAGTCATCCCTCCTGTCCCCACTGTACTCCCTGGAGATGAAACATCCACCCGCAGCTTCGCAATATTGTCCACAACAAGAATAGGGCGTGCATCAGGATTAACCCGTGGATTATCTGTATAAAGACAGTCCACATCTGTCATCAAAAACAAAAAATCAGCATTAACCATCCCTGCTGTAATTGCAGACAATGTATCATTATCACCAAAACGAATCTCATGCACTGACAATGTATCATTCTCATTAACAATCGGCACAACTCCCATATTAATTAGCTCGTTCATCGTGTTGGCCGCATTCAAATATTGCGTCCGATCAGCAATATCAGATCGCGTCAACAGAATCTGAGCAATCGGTTGCTGCAACTGTCGAAACATATCGTCCCATTGCCCAATCAACCGGGCTTGACCAATGGCTGCAATAGCCTGTACCGCACTCAAATGCTTGGGTCTACGAGGAAGCTTCATCTGTCTCAAACCAACGGCAATACCTCCAGAGGAAACAATAATTACTCTATGTCCATCACGGCGCAACTTCACAACTGTTTCCACAATTAAAGCCATATTGGCAATCTTGGGCTCATGGGTCTTTTCATCGCACAGCGAAGAAGTTCCTAACGTTGTTGTGGTTAGAAGTTGTCTTTATCCGGTAACCGGTTCTTCCATTTTTAAACTCACCCAACTTGATTACAATAGTATACAGCTTTTTCTTGTGATGATTACTGTAATCATTAAATCCAGATTCTCCAGAGTGACCCATTATTATATTATATCCTAATGATGTATGGAAAAGGTGTTTGGATTATTATTATTATTTTTTTTCTTTTTTTCAGCAAATAAGAAAAATGTTTAAAACGAAAGGGTAGTCAATACGCTTATAGACAAGTTTTAAAACTCGTGAAAAAAAAAAAAATTAAAATTCAGTCATACACACACACATTTTTTTTTGATCTGTCACTAATCACATGATGATTAGTCATTCATGACTAACATTTGCCTCAAAGAAAATTAAATTAAATTAAATTAAATTAAATAATCATTTTATAAGGGTCCTGGAGTCGGTTACTGAATATAAGTGGAATTAGTTAAAATTAAAAGTTATTTATTGATTTAAAGGAAATAATCTACTTACATATATCCTGATTTTAACAGTTCATACTATTTAATCTTTAATCTTTAGATAAACTTGATTTTTTCTCTTTAATAATCTCTTAAGCCTTAGAAATACTGTATATACAACCCAATCTACTTTGACTTTAACATAATTTCCTTACACAATCTTTCTCTGGGTCCTTTCTGAGTTAAAAGATTTCTCATTATTGTAGTATTTCTTATATATATATATATATATATATATTTTTTGAGTTTTTTTTAAAAAAAAAAAAAAACAGTACTACCAAAAATCAAATACTATTTTGAACTTTCTCATTACCTCATCTGAAAAGAATCAAATGACGCTCTGAAATGAGTCATTGAAACAGGCCTCAACTTTTAGCAATTCATCAACCAATTCCTCCTCATCTTCCACATACTTCCTCAAATACATATTAATCTATATAGATTTTCTTTTTTTCGTGCTTCTTTTTTTGCTTACAAATAATAAATTGTAATTTTTTTTTATCTGTATTATCTGTATCATCTATATTGTCAACTTTAATTTTACATCCCTTCATCCTTGTCACTTGTTGAGTTTGTAGTTAAAGGTGAATCACTATAACCCTAACCACTTAGATCACGGGACCCCCATACACACCAAGTTACAAAAAAAAAAAAAAATAAAAAAATAAAACGCTCCTCATTTTTCTCCACATCACCAACAAGGATCTTTCTTATCTATCCATCCCTATCATATCCCCCCATCAATAACAAATGGTCCACCTAGTCACTCTAGCCACCTGTAACCTTAACCAATGGGCCCTCGACTTTGAGGGTAATCGTGACCGCATTATTGAGTCTATCCGCCAGGCTAAGGCTCAAGGTGCCATTTTCCGTACTGGCCCTGAACTTGAAATCACAGGCTATGGCTGCTTGGATCACTTTCTTGAGCCTGATCTTTACATGCATGCCTGGGAAGTCTACCGTGACATCCTAACATCTCCAGAGGCTCAAGACATGCTCATTGATGTTGGTATGCCTGTCTACCATAAAAATATCCGTTACAATTGCCGAGTGGTTGCTTACAACAAGGAGATTCTTCTCATCAGACCTAAACTCTGGATGGCCAATGATGGCAACTACCGTGAACTCCGCTACTTTACTCCCTGGCGTGGCCTTAATCAGTCCGAAGATTACTTTTTGCCTAGAGCCATCCGTGATGTGACAAAACAAACAACTGTCCCCTTTGGCGATGTTTGCCTCCGTTCAAACTTCACCTACTTTGGCTTTGAAACTTGTGAAGAACTCTTCACCCCAAACTCCCCCCACATCAAAATGGCCCTGGGTGGTGTAGAAATCTTTACAAACTCTTCCGGATCCCATCACGAATTACGTAAACTTAACACTCGTTTGGAACTTATTACAGAGGCAACCAAAAAATGTGGAGGTGTTTACCTTTACTCCAACCAACGTGGCTGCGACGGCGACCGTCTTTACTATGATGGCTGCGCACTCATCATTGTCAATGGAGAGGTTGTAGCCCAGGCCGCTCAATTCGGCCTTAAGGATGTTGAAACTATTGTTGCCACGGTGGATCTTGACACGGTTCGTTCTCACCGCTCTTCCCCCTCTTTTGGCATGCAATCCCAAAATACCCCAGAAGCCTCGCTTAATACTGTGGTCAAGTACTCTGCCTTTTCCGATGGAACTAACCTTGATTACGACCCAACAATTGTTCCTACACCAACAAGACCAATCCGATACCACTCTCCAGAAGAAGAAATCGCTCTTGGCCCCGCATGCTGGCTTTGGGACTACCTCAGACGGTGTCGTGCTGCAGGCTTTTTTATTCCTCTTTCCGGTGGTATCGACTCATGTGCAACCTCCGTCATTGTGCACTCCATGTGCCGCCTGGTTGCCAAAGAAGCAAAAGAGGGGAACCAACAGGTAATTGCAGATGCTCGCAGACTTGCCCGTGTTTCTGAAGATAATGAGCCTGACTACTTGCCTACAGATCCCAATGAGTTTTGTGCTCGCATTTTCCATACCTGCTACATGGGCTCTGAAAACTCGTCACAAGAAACTCGCGACCGTGCGCGCGATCTTGCCAAGGCAATTGGTTCATATCATGTTAACTTTAACATTGACACAGTCACAACTGCCATTCGTGTACTTTTTACCACTGTCACAGGGCACACCCCCAAGTTTAAAATGTTTGGTGGCACACCCACAGAAAACTTGGCACTTCAAAATATCCAGGCTCGCATTCGAATGGTGCTTGCATACATGTTTGCGCAACTTCTCCCCTGGGTCCGATTCGGTGGTAATGCTCCCGGTGGTCTTCTTGTTCTTGGGTCAGCCAATGTTGACGAGTCGTTGCGAGGTTATCTGACCAAGTATGATTGCAGTAGTGCTGATATTAACCCCATTGGTGGCATTTCTAAACACGATCTTAAAAAATTTATTGCCTATGCGCGTGATGCTTTTGAACTTCCAATTCTAAATGAGTTCTTGACTGCAACACCCACAGCCGAGCTTGAGCCCATCACCGAGGACTATGTCCAAAGCGATGAAGCCGATATGGGAATGACATATGATGAACTTAGCGTTTTTGGCCGGTTACGCAAGGTCAAAAAGTGTGGACCCTATAGCATGTTTTTGAGTTTATTACACGAGTGGAGCCCGCGCTTGACACCTGCTGAAATTGCAGTCAAAGTCAAGCGCTTTTTTTACTTTTACGCAATTAACCGTCATAAAATGACAACAATCACTCCAGCTTATCATGCAGAACAGTATTCTCCTGATGATAATCGATTTGATTTGCGCCCGTTTCTTATTTTGCCTGGATTCCCCTGGGCTGCCAAAAAAATTGATGAAGTGGTTAAACGGTACTCTGAAACTAAACAGGATTAATATATAATTAATTTATAAATATATATATATATATATATATATATATTAATCTTTACGGAATGACCCAAATACAGGAACAATACTTTGAGAACGCACATTTCGCAGATAAAAGTCGTAGAATAAATGGGCTGTTTTATATGGTACATCTTCTTGAATGAAATGACCAGCTTCTTGAAACACTACCAATTGGTATTTACCCTGCATCTGGCCAATCATTAGGTCCTTGTCCAACCTATCAGTTCCTGCAAGAACCAGTAGTCTTGCAGCGGGGACACGTAAGAACCGTGCCGAAAGCCCAGTGAACCATCCTCGCCAAAACGGTTCTGTTGCACGCAAATTCGTGACCCATTCCCAACGTCCGCCAGCCACAGCTGTCCCACCCTTCCCGCCGAGATTGGGTAAGACTGACCAGGATGGGTAGCCCGTGGTAGAAGAAGAAGAAGAAGAAGAAGAAGAACTAATTTTGGAAACTGAGTGTTCTGGTTGGGGTCTTAAAAGACATGGGACTGAAATGCAGGCACTTTCAGGGTTGCGCAAGGCTTTGGAGCGCAAATGCCACTCAATACCCCTTTCAATTGATGGGAATGTAAGAGGCCGCGAGTCGAGAATCATATTCATGGTTTGTAAGGATTCAATCGCAGTGCCTTCAACAACATCTAGAACAGCAACCCCAGAAACTGACCCAGGCAGGTGTGGCAAGTCCTCCTCTGTAGTTTCTTCACCTGTTTCTTCACCTGTTTCTTCCTTCTTCTTTTTTAGTTTTTGGATATTTCCCGCGGATTCTGTGGCTACCGAGGTCACAACAGATCCTCCAAGTGAGTGACCCACAAGAATAAGGGATGGGTTAGGGGTGCTCTCGTCTTCTTTCTTGCCCCAACCCTTTGTTTCGTACACCTTGTTGATTACATCAATCATATCTCTTGTAAGAGTTTCCAGAGACATGTCCATTTCTTCAAAAGGTTCTTCTACAAGATCTCCAGTCTCACTTACATTGTAAACCTTGGTAGAGCCATGGTATCGTGCATCAAATGCAAAAACACAAGGTGTTTCGCCATCCTCCACAACAGTTTCTTTCTTTTCATTTTCAGTAGTTTCTTCATTTTGTAATATTTCGGGTATTGTAGTTTCAATTCCGGTATTTGCTACTCCAGGAGGCGGTGGTGGTTGAGCAACTGCTGTTGGAGATCCAGGATACACTGTTGCCGGGATTCCAGACCCGGGCAATGGAATCATTCCAGACATGATTGGAGTCATCATAGGTGCTGCTGAATATGAAGATTGTTTATATTGGGGTTTCGAGGATGGGCCCACGGGGAGTGGAGCAACTGCTGACAATGAGCCAATGCCCATTCCAGGAACAATCCCACCAGGGGATGAAGAGATGGTAGCAGTTTGTGATAAAGGTTTTGGAGCCAAGGATGTCGAGACACCACCAAAGGCTGAAGAGATTGGACCAACCTGAGACTGTCCCTCTGCACCATCGATACTAGGAATTGCTCCTCCCAAGTTGTTAGCTGCTGATGGTGTTGCAGCACCATGAGCTTTAAAAGTTTGTTTAATGTCGCGGGCCGCACAGGCAAAAGACAATGCTGAAGAACCTGCACCATGGTGGAACACAAATGCAGGCATTTTCAGCGGGTCCGAGGGTGCAGTGAAGTAAACGGTAAAGTCAATTTGCTTATCTGCGCGATGCACGCTGATGGTAAACCGCTCATCAAAGTACCCATCGGCCCAGTCGCGGGGTTTATATTTGCTTGAACGAGGAGTAGTGGATCCATGCGGAGACCCAAACAGTGATCCAGGACTGCTAGTTGCAATACCTTGAATTGGTTTAGGGCTGAGTTCTGATGGAATTCGGATAGGTCTGTTTTTTTTTTTTTTTTTTTTTTTTTGTTAGTTTTATATATAAACTGGACTGTTTGTATGTGTAAGGGCTAATTTAGTATTTTGTATATATACAAACACAAACAACATTGAACTTACGGTGGTTTAGGCAGGTCATCAAGAAAGTCTGAATCTTTAGGGGTTGAAGATTTTATAGTTTCATTGTTTTTATTTTCATTTTCTTCTTCTTCTTCCTCTGCAAAAGGCGTCAGACCCATTCGCTGGAGTTGGTTTTCGCGATCTTGAATCTTTCTACGAAAGAAATTTCGTTGTAGATCCGACATAGTGATTGTGTGGGTAAGGCAGGTTAAGTTTAGTAGGTAGACAAGCTGTCAGGCTGAGAGGTAGGCTGAGAGGCAGACAGGTAGGCAGGCAGATTTCTTTTATTTTATTTTTATTTTTATTTTTATTTTTATTTTTATTTTTTTTTTTTAAAGGGCTTTGTAGGCTAATAATAAAAAAAATATAAGAGCAGTCCAAAGAAAAAAAAAAAAAAAAAAAATCATAGTAGTTATATTATATAATGATTATATAATAGATTAATATCACGTGAATATTTATTTACTTAGTATTTTTTATTTATTTATTTATTTATTTATTTATTTTTTTTTTTTTTGCTGAGCTGGTGTTTATGTATGAACATGGACTAGTCTAACTAAACAAACACCATACGGTGCACAGAATCTTCTAACTTTAAAGACAGTTACAGTTTTTCAGAGAAAATATAATTTTAAATTTTTTAATAATAATAATAATAATAATAATAATACTAATAAATCAAATTAAATTAAATCAAATAAAATAAAATAACTGCGTGAAATTTTAGATTAAAATAAAGTAAAAAATAAAAAAAAAAAAAAAAATTTCTTGTTTCAGTTTGAAATGACCAAATTTATTAAACTCGTAGTTGCTTTCAAATTTCTTTGTAATCTCCGTCAAGTTAACTATAAATAGCAAAAAAAAAAAGTTAACTTAAAAAGTCTAATTGGCGCGCGCACACTCCACTTTCCCATTTTTTTTTTTTTTTTTTCTTATTAAATTTTTTTTTTTTTTAATTATTTTATTTTATTTTATTTTATTTTATTTTTCCTTTCTTTCCTTTCTTTCTTTTCTTTCTTCTTTTATATATTTATTTTAAAATATTATCATCACCTGTGGAAACATTTCACTAACAATTTTTTTTTTTTTAATTATTATTGTTATTAAATATATATATATATAAATATATATATTATAGATTCTTTCCATTCAAACACGGGAATGGCTTTAAGTCATTCAATTAATTAATATTTTTGTTAAAAAAAAAAAAAGAATGGAACAAAAACAAAAAAAACTTCAACAATTAAACACACAAAAACAATTGCCAGGTGCCGATGTCAATGTCAATGTCACAGTCAATGATAAGGACATTGACACTAGGCCACCTTTGCCAATTGTCTCACAGTCAAGACAACCTCCACTTCCTCCTCCACAACAACAGTCTTTGGCTGCGACTCCGTTACCCCATCTCCCACATAGTACGCGCCGACCCAATTTTAGTGAGCGCGTGTTAACAGCAGTGTTCCAGTCTATGGCCCAGGATCTCGAGCGCCGCCGATTGCGTCGTCTAGACCCCATTGGATGGCACCGCGTTCTTGTTGCTGCCAACACCGCGTTGGCTGCTGAAGGCCAAAGTGGTGGTGCAGACGTGCAGTTGGTTAAAAATATGTACAACAATAACAAGCGAACTTATGCCGACATTTGCGCAGCAATTGGAGAGCGACCTGAATCGTTTGTTTTTTCACGAGGACGCGTCGTGGGCCGCATGGAAACGGTGGAAAAGTATCGCCATGAACACCCTGGAACACGCGCGTTTAAACCGTTTCCATATTACGAATTGTTTCGCCGAATTGCAAAGTGTGGCCGTGGAATGTATTCCAAAAAGGGTGAACCAGGTACTGAAGGTTATGATGAAGAAGGAGATGAAGGGGATGAAGGGGATGAAGAAGAGGGTGAAGAAGGTGAAGAAGAAGGTGAAGAAGGAGAATATGAAGAGGGTTCAGTAGAAGACAGAGCAAGCCAACAAGCAGAACAACAGCACCATGAACAAGAAGATGAAGATGAAGGGGAAGAAGATGATGAAGAAGAAGGAGAGGGAGAAGAAGATACAAAGACTCAATTGTTGGCGACACCTAGATCCATTGGGTCGCGTGTGAAAAGTCCTTTGAATAGAAGCCCTGCAGTTTCTCGAGGTTCTATTGCTGCAATTAACAATAACAATAACAGCAACAGTAATAATAACAGTAATAATAACGCTAATAATGGTATCATTAACAATAACACAAGTAACATTTCCAGTAATAACCTTAACCATAACCAAAATCATAATCTCCTCAACACTAGTAACAATAGCCACATTATAACAGCCACCCCAACACCTCTCACTACAGCTACCACTACGACAGCTACCATCAACCCTCTTACCACTATTAATCCTATTACTGCTTCCACTACCACAACCACCACAACAGCCACCATTAGCCATGCCAATAAGCTACCTTCAAGATTAGCAACCCCGGTGACTCCTAATGTGCGGAAAATTCAAAAGGTTTCTCTTGCCGAAGCCATTTGTCACAGCAAATCTCTTTCAAAAAATCAAGCTGGGAATTTGGCTGCTCATCTTATTCATCGTGGTGGAGCAGCAGACCTGCGCGCGTGTTTTAATCAAGACATGAATGTGACACAAGCTCGCATGGCTGAGGAGTTTTTCGCCTTGTATGCAACACATTTGAATCAATTAGCAACCGAAACATCTTCGCCTACATTACCGTCATCAATATCACAACAAAGACAACAGTCGTCCTCGTCGTCCAAAGGGGATGGAAAAGTGAATGAGGGTAGTGTTGCTAATGTTGCAAATGCTGCTCATACTGCAAATACTGCAAATGCATCTATTAATCCTGATGCCACAACTACTTCTTCTACTACAGATGTGGCGATTAATGAGACTGTTGACACTGCCGCGACGGTGGAGACGGCAAAGGCGGCGACAGAACATTTGTGGCAATCTACGGAAGAAGAATTGCCTGCCACAGCAAATGGTAAAGCAGATGATATCATAGACGCGTATGTTGCACGCCAGCTGGACCAGGTGTATACTGGTGAGCATATAGAAGGTGAAGAGGGCGAAGAAGAGGATGTTGGGGGGATTGTGCCGGTGGAAGAGGAAGGAGAACAAGAGGAGGTAGGAGGTGAAAGAGGCGGAGGAGGAGGCAGTGAAGAGGCAGGAGCAGAGGCAGGAGCAGGGGCAGGAGCAGAAGCTGAAGCAGAAGCTGGAGAAGATGAAGTGGCCGAGGAAGAGGAAGGAGAGGAAGAAGAAGAGGAAGAAGGACATGTTCATGACCAAGATACTGATGCTGATTTGGAGCATAAGGTTAAGCGACGGCGCTGGTCTCCTACAGAAGCTGCAGCTGAATGAAGAAGAGATGATGGAGACATGTGTTTGTAGTAGTTTGAAAAACGTGTTTGATGAGATGTATATTAAGGATAGTACAAGCTCCTTTTTTCCTTTTATTTTTTATTTTATTTTATTTTATTTTATTTTATACTTTTAACAATTTATATTTTTTTGCTTATATATATATTTTTTTTATTAATTTTTTTTTTTAAAAAAGTGTATTTGAAATAACTTTATATAGATATATCAATATATCTATATATATAGATGTTACTATCACTCACAGTAAATAAACTTTATCAAGTTAAAAAGAAACAAACTGTTGCACTGATTGAAGAAGATGCCGAGGTTCCGTAAAGATTTTATCAATGGTTTATAAGCCAATTATTGAATTTGATGAGTTATAACTATATAAATATATATATATATATAGTTGATAATAGTTTTGTATGTTGTATCGAAAGTATTGTTTCTAATTTGATGTATATATGTAAACCGTTTACAAGTAATGTTAAACAAAAGACCACATGGGAGCATTCCCCGCATCTCATAGAACAAATCAAAATAAATAAAAGCGTGTGTGGCGCATATACTTCCCAGCTTAACAGATCAACACAACAACCCCACGCGACCAAATGACGGCGTCCCCGTGGCCAAATCTTTATGGGCTTGTCATTTTATTTCATTTCATTTTATCTTGTCTTTTTTTTTTTTGGTCTTGCAAGTTAGTTGTTATTGTTGTTGAGCCTTAAAAGTTGCCATCGGCAAATTAAAAGTTTTCTCCCCTTTTTATGGGTTTTTCCGATAATAAGAAAACGTGACACCAGGCTGTGGCATATATATCATTATTACTTTTCTTTTTTAAAAAAAAAAAAAAAAAAAGCAACCAAAGAAAAGAAAGTATTAATTTATTAATTTATATTTATTTATTTATTTTGTACGCCATGGTGAATATGAAGAAGAAGAAGAAGAAGAAGAAGAAGAAGAAGAAAAAAAAAAAAAAGAAGATATTTTTCAATATTTTTTTTTTGTAAATGTCAGTTTAAATTTAAATTTAAATTAAAATGAAAATGAAAATGAAAATGAAAATGTAAAATAACCCATTTTTTTTTTTTTTTTTATAAAATGGAGGTTTCTTCGTACCATTTTTCCTAATATGGAAATTAAATAAACTGAGGCTCAATCACATGTTTATTACATAAAAACTGAGTCATTATATAAAGTTTCCATGAAATTTTCATGCCAACAAAACGAGGAGGGGAGAAAGGGAGGGAAGGAACAAACAAACAAACAAACAAACAAACACAACAACAACATTTAAAAGCCGTCGCAGATCCGCTAGAAATTTTCAACTTTTTTTTTTTTTTTCTTCTTTTTTTTCTTCTTTTCTCGTATTTCAAACATCCAATATATCAAAACCTTAGAATATTTACAACAACAACAACACCAACAACTCAAAAAATATCATCATCTCTTTAGCTGTATTCCAGAGATTTGTTCTTCTTACATATTTTTTTTTTGTCTGTCTGGTCTACAACTATTTTTGCTTTTTTTTTTTTTTTTTTTTTTTTTTAATACCTTCTTCATAAAAAGTCGCCCAAAATATCCAGAATCATTGAGCTTCCGCTGCTTTTTTCAGCAGCTTCTTCGGCTCTTTTGGCCACTTCAACTCCTGCAGTTACAGCATTCACATCTTCTTCTACTTGTTCAGTTTCTCCTTCATCCTCCACTTATTGCTCATGCTCAAATAGATACTCTGCTTTCCCTGCTAGGGCTTTTTCGTCGTCGTCAATTAGAAAAGATACAACCCAAAAACCAAACGTTACTACTACCACTGCAACTGCCCAAAGAACAAAACAAGCCCTTGAAGACTTGCGTTCTTCTGTTCAAGATGCTTGTGCTAAAATAGTCCCCGTGTCTCTGGCAGGCATCAACCAACCATCTTCTTCTTCTTCTTCTTCTTCTTCTTCTTCTTCCCCATCTTCCTCTCCCTCTTCCTCTATTCGGGAACCTACGGAACACGCCCATCACGACGTTAAAAATTACCGTCCTCCTACCCCACCAACTGGCATCCCTCTCTCTCGCATCTTTTCAAACACCTTCCCCCTCCCCCTTTCTGAGTCTTATGAGCAATGGACCAACCGCTCAAAGCTCAGGGAGAGTGAGGAAGCCGTGCTCTCGCATCTACCCTTTTTCCCTACCCCTGACGCTACCCGCAGTGCAAGATCCCTTCAAGTACCCGTCAAGCTCCCAAATAATCCATCTTATTCCTCACATGACCTTTGGATCAATGAGTTTGAAATTACCCCACACAAGTTCGAGGCTGGCAAACCAGGTAACCATGAGCTTGTCATGCTCCATGGTTACGGTGCCGGCCTCGCTTTCTACTACCGCAACTTTGACGAAATCTCGGCTTTTGGCGACAACTGGCGTATCCATGCCCTCGACCTTTTGGGTTATGGCCGCTCTGCTCGCCCAAAGTTTGTTGTTAATGCAAAGAACCCTTATGAAAAAATCCACGAAACTGAAGACTTTTTTATTGATGCTCTTGAGGACTGGCGCAAGCGTCGCAACATTGACACCTTCACCATGGTCGCCCACTCCATGGGTGGTTACCTTTCTTCTGCTTATTCTCAAAAGTACCCTGGCCGTATTAACAAACTGGTCCTAGTTTCCCCCGCTGGTGTCCCCCGCTCCCGCTATTCTATCCAAGCTATTGAACGTCGCAAGCTCGGCGAAATCGATACAACCGTCCCTAAAACTTCGGTCGAAATACCCGCTTGGTTTAACTTTTTGTGGGAACAACATGTATCGCCCTTTTCTCTTATTCGCAATACGGGACCTCTTGGCCCTCGCTTTGTTTCTGGATGGACTGCCCGCCGTTTTGCTAAGCTCCCCAAGAGTGAGGCTGCAGCTCTTCACCGTTACGTTTATACCATCTTTAATGCTCCCGGGTCTGGCGAGTACGCGCTCAACTACCTTCTTGCGCCTGGCGCGCACGCTCGGTGGCCGCTGGCGGAGCGCGCGGCAGACATTCCCTGCGACACGGAATGGATCTACGGTGCAAACGATTGGATGGATGTTTCTGGTGGTATTGAGGCCATTTCCAATATCCGTCGTGCTCGTGGCGTTGCTGCTAGACCACCTCTCCATATTGTGGAAAATGCAGGCCATCATATTTACCTTGATAACCCAGCCAAGTTTAACGAGCTTGTTATGAATACCATGCGTGAAGTTCAGGAGAAGACGAAATAGAAAAAAAGAAAATGACGTTTTTTTTTTTTTTTTTTTTAGATTTTCTTTTAATCTACAAATGACAGTTTATGTTTTTAAAAGGTTTAATTAAATCTTTCTATATAATCTCCATGTACCGTTCAATTTCCCAATTTGTGACGGCGTCGTCCCAAAGCTTACACTCATTCCAACGAGTTTTCGCGTAATGGTCCACAAACTCATCTCCCAAAACCACCCGCGCTAAAGAGTTTTTGGCCTCAAAGCGTTCAGTTGCACTGTGTAAAGTACGAGGAAGCATTTCAAACGGAGTATGATCATTATCCTTGATTGGTGGAATAGTAAGCTCCAGTTTTTGCTCAATACCATATAAGCCGAGTGCAAACAGTGCAGAAAGCGCCAAATGTGGGACCACATCTGCGCCAGGAGTCCGGACCTCGAATCGAGTACTTTGAGGGGCCTCTGGATCAATTACCAACCGAATACTAGCCGAGCGACTCTGCCACCCCCACGAAACTGATACAGGAGCCCAAAACTCGGCAACCAGTCGTTTGTACGAATTAATAGTAGGCAAAAGAAGGGGCGTTACCCATGGAAGCCCGGCCAAAATACCTGCCAGAAAATGACGCCCCGTATCGCTCAAGTACTCAATATCGGGCCATGCTGCCAAAGTGTCACGTTCTGAGCGCCCAAACAAGTTATGAAGGCTCTTGGATCCGTCACTGGAATTGGTAATAACTTCCATAAGGGAAATGTGCATGTGACCAGAGTTTCCAGCATGTTTCTGGTCAGGCTTGGCCATGAAACAGGGGATAATTCCATACTGTGCACCCACAGTTTTGGCAGCCAACTTGAACATGGCCATATTGTCGGAAAGCTCGCGTGCATCACAGTACCCAAGTGCAGCCTCGTAAACGCCTGGCCCAGACTCGGTGTGCCATGCCTCGATCCCTACCCGCAACTTCTTTGCGGCCTTGAGTAGTTCACGCTGGTAGTCCAAGTTGAGTCCCATGCGTGTTAAGGAGAAGGCATGTTTACCGTGGGTCAATGGTTCCAAGTTGACAAAGTTTTTGGAGACCAATGACTTGTGGGTTTCGAGGTAATGTAAGATTTCAATTTCAATGCCTGCGTATGGGGCCACTACTGACGAATTGGAACATGTAAAAGCTGTAGAAGTAGCAATTCGTTTGGCAATTGTGTCAATCAACGTGCGTGGGTCTGGTACCATTGGTTCACGAGTTTTTGGATGCAACATTTTGGCCAAAAAAAGAGGCATGTTTTTCTTTACGGGAGGTTTGTCGTTTATAAGATCTTCAATGTTTTCACTTTCGGAGTACTCCCAAGGGATTCTTCTAAAGGACTTGAAATCAATGACTGCATGAGAATCAGGGAACCCTTGATTAAAAAGTTCAGTTAAAGGCTGGTCTTCGTAAACATGATCATGCGAATCTAATCCATAGATTGCCGAGCACATTCCAAATTGGTCATTTTCTTTGGAAATGATCGAAAAAAACCTTTTTTGAGAAAAAGTTTTGCCGCGTAGCAAGCCGTCATTGTCAAGAGCTGCAACCTTGATGTAGGGATCGTCACGCAGTTCGTTTAAGAAATAGGCTCTAAGAGCTTCAGTGTCCATGGATTGCAAGTCAGCCATTGTGTAAAGATTTTTTTAGAGAATAGATATTCAGTAGGAGAGGATTGAAAAGAAAAAAATAAAAAGAAAAAAAAAGGAGGAAATACAGTGACATTATATTGTTTTCTTGACCTCTACTATATATGTTGTTATTTATTTATTTACTTATTTTGTTGTTATTATTATTATTTATTTATTTATTTATTTATTTATATATTTTGTTATTATTATTTTTTTCATTAAATATTACATAATTATGTGAGATAGGCTATTTTTGATTTTTCAATAAAACTATCATGATAGTTTTAAATGGAAATAAAACAAAACACGTTTTTCTGAATGAAAACTACTATTCACCAACATTTCATCTTAGTTATTATAATGAAAACAAATCATATTGAAATAAAAGGTTTTTATGATTGGTTTTTTTTTTTTTTAAAAGTGGATATTGAGTTTTAAAAAGCCCTTTTCATTGATCATCACAAAGAGCTATCAAAATATCCCAGTTAACCAACGACCAATTTTACTGCATACATACAAACTTATTTACCTACATACCTTTAATAGGAAAAAAAATATGTACATATCGATCATATTTTGAAAAAAAAAAAAAAAAAAAAAAAAGATTTCATTTCCCAATTGAGCCAACACCATCCTTCATTTTGGATTCAGATCGCTACTTGGTCCTTGATCTAATATTTTTTTTTTAAATAATCAACAATGTAACTCAACCGATTCTCCACAAAATAATTATTATTCATATGAATGATCTTTTATAACTATATTATATCAAAAAAAAAAAAAAAAAACTTGTAGCGATCAGAATCCTAAATGCAAATTGGTTTTGGCTCAATTGGGAAATGAAATCCTTTTTTTTTTTTTTTCTCGAATTACACTGAAAAGTATTACATCCAAGTGCGGCCTCGACAAGAATTCGTCGATAACTTGGTGTTATAAGTGATGTGTATTACCAAAATGATAGTGTTTAAATTACCTGTTGTTATATCGGTACCCTAATCACACAGTTCACAGTGTGGCTAGAGTTCTGGCATGTCTTGTAAATATTGAAGTTCTGTTTTAGGTAAAAAAAATATTAAAAAACAAAACAAAACACAACCAGATCTTGTTTCTTTATTTTCACCTAACTAACAATATTATATATATATGTATATATATATATATATCAATTGTACTGTCCAACTGGTACTGTAAGCTCTAAGCCTGGTCTAGTGCCTAGACCTAACGAGTCTGACCGGCCATATACTATTAGATTCCCCCCATACTCTTCATCAGTGTCTTCTGTGACCCTTTTAACCATAAATATATTCTATCCTTGGCCCGCCTCCTCTATTAATTTCTTCTATATCTATAATTATAGATATAGATAATAATCATAATATATGTTCTTCGCTAGTCTCTGAATTTTTTCAACAAATTATGCACCGTTTTTTTTTTTTTTTTTGACGCATTTTCCTTTCTTTGTTTTTTTTTGTTTTTTTTTTTCTAGAGTCGCCAAATCAGTCTGTCAAAAACTTTTGGTCCAAGATTTTTTGAGAGAAACAAAACTTACCACCCCCTCCATTTAATATTATCATAGTCAAAAAAAAAAAAAATAAACAAATATATATATATATATTTAAAAATTTCATTCATTTTTTTTTTAAAGGAAAGCTACCAAGATCTTTACTATGACTAAAGGATATATTTGTAATGCATTATCTGAAACTTCATCCTTGTATTGATTGATGCCAGTATATTTGGTTCTTATGGAACTTAGTAAGGATAAATCATTGGACCGTTCATGAAAATATACCATAAAAAATGACATACTTTTTTTCAAGGAATATGGACATACACACCTGCATTTTTTTTTTTTTTTTTTTTTTTTTTTTGAAATGGATGGACCAAATTGTTTAAAATGCTTGGCCAGCATACTGAAAAAAATAATTAAAATTTTGTTTTATTAAAGCTGAGAAAACATATTTTTTTTTTCTAACATTCTATTAAGGTACCATTTTATTGTATAGCCGTGCACATACCAAACGGCTATTTCCAGTAACCTTCTTGTAAATTGCCACCCTACCGTATTTCTCATACCTACCAGCACACCACTCTAAATAAGCATTTAAGAAAGATGAATTACAATATTAACATCTCCATCAAAGATCCATTTTAAAATATCAAAAATATAAATGGCCCCCTTTTTTTTTGTTTTTCAGTCTAATCTTTTATAAAAAAAAATGTAAATACTTAAATCCTTCTTATATAGTCTCAATGTATCGCTCCACCTCCCAATTGGTCACAGCATCGTCCCACTCACGGCATTCGTGTAAACGAGTGGCTCCATAGTGATCTACAAAGTCATCACCTAAAACAACGCGTGCAAGCGAATCCTTGGCCATAAACCGTTCAGTAGCTGCTCGGAGTGACCGTGGCAGCCGCTCAAACTGAGAGGGATCAATTTTACCAGCACCCATGGGAGGAATAGTGAGCTCAAGTTTTTCTTCAATACCGCGCAAACCCAGCGCGTAAATGGCAGCCAAAGCCAAATGGGGTTGCACATCTGCACCAGGCGTGCGCACCTCAAACCGTGTGCTTTTGGGTGACTGAGGGTCACAAATCAAACGAATACTGGCCACGCGATGCTCTAGACCCCAAGAAACTGTAACTGGGGCCCAAAAGTTTTCCACCAAGCGCTTGTAGGAATTAATGGTTGGAGCAAACAACGGCATTACCCATGGGAGACCGGCCAGCACACCGGCAAGGAAATGACGACCGATATCACTAAGGTATTCAATGTCAGGCCATGCGGCATTAGTATCACGTTCTGTACGGGTAAACAAGTTGCGTTTGGTAATGGATTTATCTTCATTTTGAATCGATTCCATTAGCGACACGTGAATATGTCCCGAGTTTCCCGGTAGACCCTGTTGGGGTTTGGCCATAAAGCACGGCATAATTCCATATTGTGCACCAATTGTTTTGGCGGCAAATTTAAAGAGAGTAGCATTATCTGCCAGTCTGCGTGCGTCACAGTACCCAATTGCTGTTTCAAATACACCGGGCCCAGTTTCTGTGTGCCAACCTTCGAGGCCGACTCCTAAGCTTTCACATGAATCAAGCATTTCACGTTGGTACTCCTTGTTAAGTCCCAATCGTGCCACCGAGTATCCAAACATGCCTGGAGTCAGCGGGGTTAGGCCCAACCCACGCTTTTGATAAATAGTGTCGTGTGTTTCGCGGTATTGGAAAAATTCAAACTCCATTCCAGCAAAGGGAGCGATTGGGTTCAGATCTTTAAAGGCAGAAGAGTCTGCAATTCTTGAAGCCATGGTGGCTAGGAGGGATCGTGGATCAGGGGCAATGGGAGCATGAGTTTCTGGGTCGCAAAAGTGGACAAGGAAGAAGGGCATTTCATTGGAGCCACCTCTTAAACGGCCATTGGTAGACTCCCATGGGATTCTGCGGTATGAAGTCAAGTCAATGATGGCCAGCATATCACGAAACCCATTTTCTTCATTAGAGATGGCAGAGCGGTGGGCATATGTTTTGTCATGCATGTCCCAGCCAAAAATGACTGAGCAAAAGCCAAATCCGGCGTCAACCACAGAGAGGAATTTTGCTCGGGAAATAATTTTCCCCCGCAAAATACCATCAACGTCCACACCAGCCACCTTGACATAGGCATCTTCACGCAGTCGAGAAAGAACCAGGTCTTTGACTTTTTTTTGGTCCATGGAAAGAAGATCTGACATGATTATATGATTTGTTTTTTTTTCTTTAAAAGTATGAAAGTATGAAAAAAAAAAAAATTTTTAAAGAGGGGTAAGGAAAAATGAGCAAGGTGTTAAAAAAAGTTTAGCAAAAAAAATATAAAAAAAAATTAATGATTTTTATAAAAAGGGAAATACAACGGGGTGATGGATTGTATTTATAATAATAGCCAGTACCAAAAATATTCAAAAATATTCAAAAAAAAAAAAAAAAAGTCTTTCCAGTATTTCCAGTATTTCTTTCTTTCTTTCTTTCTTTCTTTCTTTCTTTCTTTCTTTCTTTCTTTCTTTCTTTCTTTTTTTATTTATTTATTTATTTTTTTTATCTATTTATTTTTATCTATTTATTTTTATCTATTTATTTTTTATCATTTTATAAAAGTACCACCACTATTGTCTTGAAGTCTTTCGTATGAAAACCTTATCGCTGTTACTGCCGTCTCCGTGTTACACACCAACGACGATTCTATCTCCATGCGGACCGGGTCACGCCGGATCCGGCAAGCGGTTATTTAGTGACGTCAAAATAAAGGGGAGAGAGAGAGAGAAGATGGAAGGACTACATTGCCTTTTTACCAGAGAGAGAAAAGTCCGGGGTTTTGGCGTGGCTGGGTAATAAATAATTAACATTGAGTTCCCGTGTAGATTTATTTATTTATTTAAATTTATTTCATTTAATATATTAAATTTATTTTTATTTTTGTTTCCTATTTGTTTCCAATAACATTTTAACCCCTCTCCTTTCGCTATCTCTAATCGCCGATTGCGCCTGTGGTAGTTGCCATGCTTGCCGTCTGGAGTTGCGCAAACTGTCTGATTCCCAAATTGGGATATACATGGGGATCAAGAAAATGTCGATATCAGTGTATATATATACTCGGTGCTTGAAAAGATATGTGTCTTCCCGAGTAAATCAAATGTTTAAAAAAAAAAAAAAATTAAGACAATCTAATTGAGATCAAAATGAGTTGATTTGAAATAATCCTATGAATTTATAATAAAAACGTTATAGAGGATAGGGGGAGGGGGAAAAAATCATGAGAAAACTAAGATAAAGTCAATTGATCATTAAAAAAAAAACTTATTTCTTTCATTTCTTTCAATATTAATTTTTATCTAAAGAAGAATTTGCATGAATCATTAAAATCACATTAAATTTCTATCTATATTTACTAAAAAAAAAATTTTTTTTTTTTTTTATTTATTTGCCAAAAACCATGTTTTCAGGGCCAGTGGGAGGAACACCCAAAGAAGTAACATAACTCTTGGTCAAACCACCATCAACCATAAAGTCCTGGCCAGTAATGTAGGAAGATTCATCAGAAGCCAAAAAGACAACAGCCTTAGCTTGTTCAATGGCCTCACCAAAACGGCCAGTGGGAAGATGAACAGTGCGGCGAACCTTCTTATCCTCAGTGTCCAGAAACTCCTGTAAAAGAGGAGTGTTAAGAGGACCAGGGCAAAGAGCATTGACACGAATTCCCTGTTTGGCGTAGCAAATGGCAAGTTCATGGGTCATGGCCAAAACAGCACCCTTAGAAGTAGTATAGGCAATTTGAGGAGTAGCAGCGCCCATGAGAGCCACAAAGGAACCAGTGTTGATGATAGAAGCCTTAGTTTTTCCATTAGCAAGAATAGAGCCAATGGCATACTTGCAACCGTAAAAGACACCCTTGACATTAATAGCCTGTGTCAGATCCCAAATCTTGTTTTCAGTATTGAGAACATTATCATCAGCAGGGTGCATAATACCTGCATTATTAAACATAACATCAACACCACCCCAAGATTCAACGTGTGCCACAAGAGCCTTGACTTGCTCTTCATTTGAAACATCGGCAACCTTGTACTCGATTTTAAGAGATTCCTTGAGCTCGGGTGTCAAAAAGGACTTGACTTGTTCAACAGCCTTTTGAAGACCAGCCTCATTAATGTCAGAGAGAAGCACATTGGCTCCCTCGATAGCAAACTGGATAGCAGTTTCGATGCCAATGCCGCCAGCAGCGCCAGTAATGATGGTGTTCTTGCCTGAGAGTCTGTTAACCATTGTGATATGTGTCTAGTAAAAAAATAATAATAATAGATTGATTTAATAAAAGATAATAGGAATCTTTAGAGCTTGTTTATTTAAAATGAGAATATAAGGAAGTAATAATAATAATGATAATAATAATAATAATAATAATAATAATAATAATTAGATTAAGTTTTATTTATTTATTTTTTTTTTCTTATAAAAACCACCTGGCACTGGCTCTCTTTTATATACCCTCCCTCCTCCTCCTCCTCCTCTTTCTACTCAAAGCCTCTTTTGCGCCGCCCCATGGCAAGCTGACCTATTTGGGCAAAATCCCCGAGTAGTGATGGTGGTGGTGAGCGCTTATTAACTATCAATTAATCAACAATTTTAATCAACAATTAATCAGTTAATCAATTAATAAAAAAAAAAAAAAAATTAAAACCCCACAAGAAAACCCAACCAAAAAGAAACCAAAATTTCAAAATTCTTCAGTATTTATTGCTCAATTCGTAAAGTCCTTGCTCAAATAACCGAGTCAACATCACCGAGTCATATACTCGGTTCTATTAGATATAAATATGTATATATTTATGATAAGATAATAATAATGATAATAATAATAATAATAATCATTCAAGAATTTCCATTTTGGATTCGTTTAACAAATTCTTAATCAACGGTAGGGGAGTTCTTTTTTTTTTTTTATTTTTCCCCCCTTGTATATATTGCTCTCAATTCTTCATTTAACTCTCTTTATAAAACCGTCTTTGTCCCAATATTTCTTAAAAAAAAAAAAAAAAAAACTTTTTTTTCTTCTTCTTCTTCTTCTTCTTCTTCTTCTTCTTCTTCTTCTTCTTCTTCTTCTTCACATATACCATAAAATTCTTTCTTTCCCTTTCTTAATCATGACTTCAATTCATACAATCTCTCCTGTCACAAACTGGGAAATCCAAACTACCCCAGAAACTACCTGGACTGATCTTGTTGGATCTATCTTGCCTGCTTCTGTCTCTTCCCAAATTCAATGGGCTGCTAACCCTTTAAGCACTCGTGAAAAGGTTCTTTTGGCCTTTGCTGATCTACTCGAGGCTGCTGCAGCTATCAACCCACAAGATCCTCCTGCTGGAACCTCCCAAATCCCTCCCAATCTCTCCCTGCTTATGGGTAGACCCTCCAAATACTACGCTGCTGAACTCAAGACTGCTGCACTTCGTACACGTACACTTGTGGCTTACGCAGCTTCCGCGCTGGCACCAGTCGCAGCAAACCATGATGTTTCTGATACCACCACACTCAAGTTTGAGTACGCTAACCCAGAAGACCCCTCTGGCCCTCAGTTTAAGAAATACCTTACTCGTGAGGCCCTTGGTACTGTACTCATTGTTTTCCCCTGGAACTACCCTTACCTGACTTTAGTCAATGCCCTTGTCCCTGCCCTGCTTGCTGGTAATGCTGTCATTCTCAAGCCTTCCCCACAGATCCCAGCAGTTGCCACTTTTGTCATTGATCTGCTAACCCAAGCTGGCCTCCCCGCTGGCGTTGCGCAGGTTGTCCAAGCTGGCCCCCCAGATATTGTGACTCGCTTAATCAAGGAACGCCAGGAAATCAAGGCTGTTGCCTTTATTGGCTCAGTCGAGGGTGGTCTTTCAATTCAAAAGGCTGCTGCTGATGCCGGTCGTTTAATTCCTATTAATCTCGAGCTTGGTGGCAATGATGGAGCATACGTACGCGCTGATATCGGCAGCAAGACTTCGGCTGATTTGGCCAAGATTGCTGATGACATTGTCGATGGTGCGCTGTTTAATTCAGGTCAGAGTTGCTGCGCCATTGAACGTGTATATGTACATGAATCCATCTGGAAACCCTTTGTGGATGCCGTGGTGGCTATTGTCAAGAGCTACAAAGTTGGCGATCCTCGTTCACCACAAGTAGCCATGGGTCCTGTTGTCTCAGCAGCAAGCGCTAAGCGTATTCGTGCCCAAGTCTCGGAGGCTATTGAAACTGGTAATGGCAAGCTGCTTGTTTCTGATGCAGACTTTGCCTACACAACAGCTACGGATGGCGAGTCTACAGGAACACCACCACCTGCTTTTGTTGCGCCTCAGGTTGTGGCTTTTGAATCCCCATCCAACTGCACCCTTCTCAAGGACGAAACTTTTGGCCCCGTGGTGCCTCTTGTCAAGGTTTCATCTGATGAGGAAGCAATTAGTCTTATTAACGACGATAAGTATGGTCTGACAGCTTCAGTGTGGACATTTGACGAGTCTGCAGGCGAAGAACTGGCAAACAAACTCGAGGCTGGCACTGTGTTTGTGAACCGTGCAGATTACCCGGATCCCAAGCTTGCTTGGACTGGCCATAAGATGAGTGGCCGTGCTGTGACCCTTTCTCGTTTTGGATTTGACGGTTTTACGAAACTCAAGTCTCACCACGTTAAGAAGTTGTAAAAGAAAAAAAAAAGTATAAAATATAGTATTAATCGTATGTTGGATCAACAAATTAATCAGCATGACCGTTTGGGTGATGATTTGATTTTTTTTTTTTTTTTTTACGTGCCGATCAGTGCGGCTGATTACTTGTGTATGTGTACGCACTAGGGTTTCTTAGTCAACGGCTGGCTGGTAGATTACTCAGACAAAAATAGCAATTATCATGCGTTTTGCGCAAGGCTGACTTGTAACCGCGGAAGGGCCGTCAAGGGCGCTTATAGAGGAGAGTAACGGGGAGATGATTCTTTAATAAATCCTTTTAAAATAATTAATATTATTTTCTAATAAATTTCCATGAATGAAGTCAACAGAGAATACAAAAACGAAGAATAACGAAATAAAAAAAAATCATTTAGTAAAGATAGCCCGGGCCGAGGAATCAACATTGAATATGGATTTTATGTGAGGAAATGAGGCGAAAAAAAAAAAAAAAAAAAAAAAAAAAAAAAAAAAACAAGAAATTCAAAAGCCTACGTTATTAGGTGTGTAACTCATTATGCAATTGTATAACGGTGTTCCATTTCTGGATAGAGAGGCACCATCGTCATCATCACCGGGTTGATTTTCAAAAGTTTGACTCCGCAGCGCTTAAATCTTCCATTTATACTTCTTTGGGTAGGATTAAGGCCTCAGCTTTAGATCATTGGCCAGTTGAAAATCACCGTATGGAAGATAAAAAAGCAAGATGGTTCTCTTTCTCTCGTTTTATTTTTATTTTTATTTTTATTTGTATTTTTATTTGTATTTTATGTTTCAAAAAAAAAAAAAAAAAAAAAAAAAAAAAAAAAAAAAAAAAGAAAAGAAACATTCATTCATTCCTTCCATCAATCAAAAGAAATCAAATAACAACTGAAATCCGAGTCATGATACCACCTTTTAATTCATACAAATATTCCAATTGCTACATAAACCTTCAATAACATGCATGGAAAAGCACCATGTAAAACTAGCTCACAAGTAATAACAGTTTATTTTTGTTTTAATTTTTATTAGCTAGTTTCTTTGTTTCCAAACTCCGAGAACCCTGTAAATTTCAATATCAAACCTGTCACCGAGTTAATTCAAACTAAAAGTTTTTTTTTTTACAATAAATACTATAGCATAAATCTTTTCATATCTTTATATTCATATATCTCGATACTACATTTTGATATCTTTAAGTCCCTGAGTTTGTTATCAAGATAACGAAATGAAAACTTGTGATAAAGTCTGAATTGAAGATAAATAAAAAAAAAAGTTTTTTCATCAATATAATGTATGAAAAGCAAAAAAAAAAAAAAATGATTATTTTTTTTTAATAGCTTTAATTCGACTATTGTAATCATAATAATTTCTTATTCAGTTAACAAATGACTATTGTTTTTAAAACAATAAAAACAAAAGCATTGATTGACTCAGCAGATTCTACATAATTATAGATTTGAAGAAAAAAAAGGTCTCAAAAGGGTTGAAAAAAAAATTATTTCATTTTAATTAAATCATTAATCTCTCTATACTGCCCTTATTTTTATTTTATTTTATTTTAATTTTTGATTTTTCAATCAACATCACTGCCAAGCAATGTTTCCCAGAAAAATGGGGGATAGTTATATCATAATTACGATAGCGGGGGATAAACCATTTAACTACTTGGCTTTTTTATCGGTGGGAGGCTCTTCTGCCGCCGTCAGGGATGGTATGAACTACTACTTTGGTGCTTATGTTCCCGAGCAAAAATGGTTTTGGGCCTTGTAATAAAAAAAGAAATCACGGCGAGTAAATGTCCGCTTGTCATTATATAAATAACATCTCTCAAATCATAAACTAAGTTTTTCAAAGACCAGATAATAAATATTTTAAATTTTACGTAATGACATAAAGTTTGAAAATAATTATGGGAAGAAGAAAAAAAAAAAAAAAAAAAAAAAAAAAAGAGAGAGAGAGAAAGAGAACCTGAATTGATAAGTTTCCCGAGTAACAAGTACCGTGCCATTTCTTTCTTAAAGCAAAAAGGGGGTTTATATCTACATCGGGCAAATGACAAGTTCATACTTGTAATGGATAGTATCTAAAACAAACTCAACCCATAAGAACAATAATAAGCTTATTTTATTTTTATTTTATTTTATTTTTCTTTTTTTTCTTAATATATAAAAGTAGTCCATATTCCTTTCAAAAAGTCTTTACCCCTCTTTTTGAAATTATTCTTCAAACCTCCTTTCATTTACTTCCCCATCTTTTCATAATGCCTGATTCTATTTATCATCCTCAAACCGATTCTGCAGAGCTTCAGCTTGCAGAACGTGGTTACAAACAAGAACTTCCTCGAAAACTTTCCATGATGTCTATTTTGGGTTTATCTTTCGCCATTATGGTATGTTGAATAATTTTTTTTTTTTTTTTTTTGGCTTATCTTTGTTGTTGTTGTTGTTGTTGTTGTTGTTTATCTTATTTTTACTAACATTTTTTAAAGGCTGTGCCATTTGTATGTTTGCTCTATTCACATTAGGTCCACGTTTCTTTTAAATCCTAACTTTATGTCTTTAGGGTATTAGTACAACTATGAGTATCGGTCTCACAGATGGCCAATATGTTACCATCTTTTGGGGCTGGTTTGTTGTTTCTCTTATTTCGATTTGCATTTCTGCTTCTCTTGCTGAAATTTGTAAGTTACAAAAAAAAAAAAAAAAAAAAAATTAAAGTCATTTTGACCAATCTTGTTTTTCTAACACTTTTATTAGGCTCTGTATTCCCCACATCTGGCGGTGTATACTATGTATGTTTACATTTTTTTTTTCTTTCAAAGTATTCAAAACTCTACATCTTAAAAAAATACTAACATTATAAATTAGTGGGCTGCTATGATCTCACCTAAAAAATGGGCTCCACTTGCATCTTGGGTCACTGGTTGGCTCACTCTTGTTGGAAACTGGACCGTTACAACCTCTATTTGCTTTTCCGGAGGCCAGCTTATTCTCTCTTCTATTACCCTTTGGCGTGAAGATTTCGCTCCCAATTCCTGGCAAACTGTTTTAATGTTTTGGGCTGTCATGCTTGCTTGTGCAGTAGTAAATTACTTTTTTTCCAAATACCTCGATCTTATCAATACTGCTTGCATTTATTGGACTGGCTCATCGGTAATCATCATTCTTGTTGTTCTTCTTGCCATGGCTGATACCAGAAATTCCGGTAAAACGGTTTTCGCCCATTATGATGCTTCCGCTTCTGGATGGAGACCTTCTTGGGCTTTCTTTGTAGGTCTTTTGCAAGCTGCTTACACTCTCACTGGCTACGGTATGGTTGCCTCAATGTGTGAAGAAGTTCAAAACCCAGAACATGAAGTCCCCAAGGGCATGGTTTTATCAGTTGCAGCTGCAGGCCTCACTGGAATTATTTACTTGCTTCCTGTTCTTTTTACTCTCCCCATGGATAAAATTCAATATCTCCTTGAGGCCCCCGGTGGCATGCCCATTGGCATTTTCTTCAAGCTTGTTACTGGCTCACCTGGTGGTGGCTTTGGTTTACTTTTCCTTCTTCTCGGAATTCTTGCCTTTGCTGGAATTGGTGCTTTGACTGCTGCTTCCCGTTGCACTTATGCTTTTGCTCGTGACGGTGCCATTCCAGGCTCCAAGTACTGGAAGCATGTTGATCATCGCTTTGAAACTCCCTCTGGAGGGTTGGCTCTTTCTACAATCATTTGCTGCCTCTTGGGTCTTATTTACTTTGGTTCTTCTGCTGCATTCAATGCCTTTACCGGTGTAGCAACCATTTGTCTTTCTGCATCTTATGCTCTTCCCGTTTTTATTTCTCTTGTGCAAAAACGTCATGCTGTTGCAAACGCTCCTTTTAAATTGGGAACTATTCTTGGCTACTTTGTCAACATTGTCACAGTCTGCTGGATTCTACTTGCCACAGTTTTATTCTGCATGCCCACTGCAATTCCAGTCACCAAGGAGACTATGAATTACGCCAGCGTTGTGTTTATGGGCTTCTTCTCTATCTCAGCAGCTTGGTACGTTGCTTGGGGTCGCAAGAACTTTCACGGCCCTCCAGAAATTGCAAACGCAATTAAGCATGAAATTCATGAATTTGATGGCATTAATACTTTGGGTGATTCTGAAAAACTTGATGCTACCCAGGAAAATGTGTATGTTGTTGAGGGCTTAGCTCCGGAAGAAGAAGTCACACGTCACTTGTCAAAACATTAAAGTGAATAGTTTTTATTTTTTTTTTTTTGTATGTTTAGTTTATTAATGAGTTTTTTTTTCAGTTTAAATAAGTCTAGTTTTAATTAAAAGTTGATGTACTTTTAAAAGTGTGATGATTTAAAATTGAATCATTGGTCACATATTACTCACCATTTACCAATTGAGGAAAATATTTTCAAATTTGCTCTTATTCACAAATATAGTTTTCCGCTCATTCTAAAGTAAATTGTAAATAGAGAAAAAAAAATTCCTTTACTCAAAGTAGATTTTCACTTTTCTTTCATTTAGATACAGTTGGGCAAATTAAATGCACATCAACTTTTAATTAAAACTAGAATTATTTAAACTGAAAAAAAAAAAAAAAAAAAAATTCCATTAAAATTTCAATAACTCATAAAGCTAGACAATTTTTTTTTATTCTTCAAATCTAAATGTAAATTTTAATATTCTATAAATGAAGTATAAATATACAATTACTCATAAATAAAACGGACCATAGCTTTGGCCAGGGTATTTCCATCATTTGTGTCACCAGCACGGGCCAAACCATCAGCCACAAACTCATCGGTAAAAAGACCCTTCTTATGACGATCAACAAGTAATTCCTCCTCAATAAACTTGTCAAACTCAGGGTGACCTTGCAACGACAAAAAGGTCTTAGGTTTATAAAGTCCTTGAATCTCGCAAACGTCTGTTGATCCCAAAATGTAAACATCTTCACCAGCATTGGGAGGAATGTCAAACACAATGTCTCTGTGCATCTCCATAATATTGAAATATCCAGCTTCGGCAAACTCTGAAAAAATCTCCTTGCCCTTGTCAGAGAGGGTGATCTTGGTGCTACTGACTTCCCAGCCCTTAGGGTTGGGCCCAACCTTAGATCCCAAAACCCGGCCAATAATCTGATGACCATAGCAAATACCAATCACACGAATGGGTTTGTCGGCAGGCTGCTCAAACAAACACTTGCGTGCAAATTCAACAAGAGCCACAATCCAATCTGTGTCGTCGTAAGCATTGAAGCGAGAGCCAGTAATAAGGATTACGTCAGGCCGCTCAGGTGAATCAACATCCAGAGAGGGGTAGTTTGTAGGGTTTTCGACAATGTTGTATGACTTAATAGTAGCAGGTCTTTCAGTGCTACCCAGGTCAATGCCTCCAATCTCAAGAAGGCGTGAGAAGATATTGCCATACGTGCCGTAAGCTTCGTAAACCTTATCGGTAGGAGTGTCAGGTTCAATGATGGCGATTTTGGTCATACTGAGAAGAAAAAAAAAGGGAATATTTAAAGGGAGGGAAAAAAAAAAGAACTATAGACAAAGATTAAAGGTTTTATTATTTGAGAAAATAAAAAATATAAAACAAGAAGGGAAAAAGAAAAAGATGCGGGAAATTTCCCAGTATATTTATAGCGGGCGCCGCACAGTATGGGAGAGTGGATGATGGCCACGAGTAATGGTGATGTGGCCGTGGTTGACTCCCTCAGAGGCAGGTAAATGCGCCGGTTATCAGTAGCTCGGGATTTTTTTTTTTTTTTTTTATTTTGTTAATTTAATTAAGACCCGAGTCAACTTTTTTAATATGGTGACTGTTAAAATTAGGGTTAGAAATATAACCATTAGTTTAAGTACCAAGTACTATCTAAAGTATTGTATGAATACGCGTACGCCTACGCGTACACGTCGCGATTTGATTTGTTTTTGTTTTTGTTTATTTTATTTTATTTTTTTATCTGCTATTGTTTACTTTTTTGAAATGCTTCTCCTGAAAAAAAAAAAAAAAAAAAAAAAAAAAAAAAAAAATATATATTAAAAAAATAAACAAATAAAAAAAAGAAAACATTCTGTATAACTGCCTTGTTTTTTGTTTATTTACTTTTCTTGTTTATTTTCATATACTGCAACTTTAGAATAAAACATTTTTTATTTCAAATATATCTCTATTCAAATACCCAATATCAAAACATATATATACAAGACATACCAATATCACAAATTAACCATCACCATCACTACTGCTATCAATTCTTAACTAATATCATAATGGCTGATCCGTCCCAGGGTATTCCTGCGCAGATTCCTATGCCAGCAACTTTCCTTATTCCTAATACCTCTGGGTCAGATGCTCCAGCAGCTGTCGTAAAGAAAAAGCGCGGCCGAACACCTAAGAAAGTACTGGAACAACAAAAACAACAACTTGAACCAAACTTCCAAGCCCAGCAAGTTCAAAAGAAACCCCGAAAACAACCCACAAAGGGCGACCCAAAAAAACCAAAAGCTCCTCGTACATCTCGCGGGTCAAAAAAGGCAGCTAAAGAAGCGGCAGCGGCAGCAGCAGCAGAAGCAGCAGCAGCGGCAGCAGCAGCAGCAGAAGCAGCAGCAGATGCAACTGTAACAGAAACTGAACCAGAAACTGAAAGCTCAACGACAACATCAAACTCAGCCATTCCAATTCAATCTACAAATGCTCCAGTTTTGGTTCCACTCTTCAATCAACCATTCATTAACAATCCAGTCATGGCGCCAATGAACTCATCTTCTTCGCCAACTAATTCGATATCTCCATATCGTAATGACACACCACCTTTAACTGCACCCCAAATGGTTGTCGGAGGAGGTGTCAACAATGCCAATTTTGGAGCTGGTGTTAAGCTGGGTACAAACATTCTTTCGCCATCTTTATTTTATCTCCAATCGTCACCACCAGCAAACTCACCATGGCAAAATACAGTTGTTAAACCCGTTGGGAAGCCAATAATGGGCTTTGGAGGCGAAACAAATAACTACTTTATGGGAATGGAGGCACCAGAGCCTATGCTTGGACAGCCTACTCATGGAATGACGCAACCTGGGCGTGGGTCTCGTATTATGAACTCGCTTCGCATGCATTCACAACAAACAGACCAGCATGTTAATCCAAATTTACTTTTTTCGACCAAACATAAACCATCATTAGCAAGCGAAGATGATATGATGTTGCCACAACGATTTTCCACCCCTCCTCCACCACAGACTGTGTTGTCGGGACCTTCAGATATGCCTGCCATGCCTGCCATGGCTGCCATGCCTGCTATGCCTGCTATGCCTGCCATGGCTGCTATGCCTGCCCCTATTGGGCCTCCTGTTGAAGCAACAAGACCAGTAGCAGCAGAAGGCCCATCAACACCAAAAACTTTTTCTTCAATTATTCATTCATCCCCTCTTTACCCGTTTTTTTATTCTTCACCTGCTGTTGGTACTGGCGGATTTGACGAGTCACCTGAAGTTGACAATAAACATGAGACAGACTCACCGTTAAATGCGTTTATGCCAAATACGTCGTGGGAATCCGTTGACTTGACGGAAAGAGTTTCAAAAGGCTACAAAAGTCTTTGGTGGACCTCGCCTCTTGGAAATGTACGCAAAACAGGGTACAGTGTGCATCTTACGGGAACACCAGCAGCAGTAACAGACACTCCGGTGAATGCAGTTGGTGAGACACCGAAAAATGAGCTCAACCTGGGACCAATCAGCAGTACAATGGCCATGGACCCTAAGGATACTTCTGAGCAGAGCTCGCTGTTGTCACCTTTGCCTGAGCCTAAGGAGCCTCTTCCTCCGGCAACAAAACCTATTCTGGAGCGCGCATTTGCTGGTATCAAGCGCCCGGACTTTGAGACGATTGCCAGAGCTTTGGAATGGGCTAGGCTGGAACGTCGTCGACTAAAAAAGATGCGAATCCACCGACATAAGCATGGTCGGAAAAGAACTGCAGAACCAGCTGTATTGCCATCGATAGATGCGGCTGCGGCTGCGGCTGCGGCCGCAGCTGCTGCACTACCTGTGACAACTGAAGCTGCCGCTCCTGAAACACCCAAGCAAGCATCGAGACCTGCTCCAGACCGTCTCCAACATGAAGTTGTTCGGTTTATGTTGGCGAATGATGTGCCTGCGTTTAGTGTACGGAACCATCGCTCCCGGGTGCTAGATTGTAGTAGCAGTGGTGGCGGTGACGAAGCCAAGGACGTTAGCTGGGCCAACTGCACATTAAATGGCCCATTTGTGACACCAGAAAAGAATCACCAGGATCCCGAGCTCGCAAGTTGGTCAACAGATTATGCGAGACATTACAAAACGGCACGGTCGGTGGTTGAATCAGGTCCACAATATAGCGATGCCTATGGGGCATTGGTTAGTGGTCGTGCACCTTTATTTGGCCAGTTCCCATTGTCAGTGACTGGATCTGCACGCAAGTTACGTTTGAGTGTGAGTGAAACTGGTCGGGCTGTTTTGGATGAAGATGATGGTCCTTCTCAGTCTGTACCGCAGTCTCAGCAACATGTTCAACAGCCTTTTTTGCTTCGTTCCGGAATCCGGTTCCAGCGCAGAAAGAAAGATTCGAATGGTGCAGCTAGTGTAAGCCGGCTTGCCTCGAGTCCATTGAAGAATAAACGACAGTTGGAACCTTCAGAGTTGTCGGACGTGAGTTTGCGTAAACGCAACAAGGTGCAGTCGAATAAAAAGCTAAAAAACCCGAGTGAAATCACGCGATCCGATTTACCACCGGTATTGAAAAGTAGACCATTAAGGGGGGCTGTTGGATTGGATGGAGAATTGACTCAAGATTTATGCAATACTAGTACTAGTAGTACTAGCAGCAGCAGCAGCAGTAGCAGTAGTAGCTCTGACTCGGAGCTGAGCAGCTCAGACTCTGACGACGATGAAGAGAACCAAGCTGAGCTGGACCAACAGATGGTGGCTATGGGTCAAGGTCCTGTTGTGAACCCGGCCATGACCCCTGTACGAGCGGTGGTGAGAAGCCGTGGAGGCCCTGAAGTAACTCCAGCATCTCTACCTTTGTTATTTCCTGCAGTGCCAGGCAAACGACTTGGGTCGCCATTTCGGGCGGGCGCATCATCAACAATTGCTGGCAATGGTGGTTGTGCAGAGCAGCAGCAGCAGCAGCAGCAGTAGTAGTGTTTAATAGCGTTTAATCTGATAAAGTTTTATTTGATTTTTAGGCGAGAAATTTTTTTTAACTATAAATAAAGCCGCTCTCCCAACATTCCTTTTCTTGCCATTTCATTCATTTTAAAAAAAAAAAAATTGGCACACAAACCTCCTTACATACCACAAGACCGAAAAATATAAATAGTAATAAAAATTTAAGAAATTCTCCTTTTCCCACCATCACCATCACCACCACCAACTAAACCCACTTAATTTCTTCATATACATCATTCTCTTGCCTGATAAATGGCTTATTATGATCCACCGGCGCTTTTGACGCCAGACTCGGGCTCTCCAGCCTATACTTCTCGTCACACTCGTTCAAAATCGTATTCCCACAGACCCCAGGTGGTTACAGGACCACCACCATCACACCTCGGAGCCCCGCAGACCGGAAATCGGTATCTTGCAACTGCAAATGAGCCTCCGCAAACCCCAACCGTTTCCGGTACAGTTCCGCTGTACCGCCGTCATTCTAAAAAGAAATCGTCTCAGATTCTAGTCGAGCCCATGGGCGCTCAGCACCAAATCAACTACATGCCAATGTCTCCCACAGTTGCAATTCCGCAAGGTCTGGAGAATATTATCCAGCCACCTCCAATGACACCAGTTTTCCCGCAGCATCAGTATCAATATCAATCTCAACCTCATCCTCAATCTCAACCTCAAAATCAAAATCATGGAAATTCTCTTACAGTATTTACAACTGGACATGCGGGGATGCACCATCAGCAAGGGATGCTCTCCCCAGCTTCAGCAGCCTCTAATACACCAGGGTCTAGATATATTGCATATGGCTCGTCTCCAACAAGTGCCATCCATCCTTCTTTCCATCAAGACCCACCCCCAGCTATTCAACTCAATAAGCCTACCTCTCTCGAAATCAATTCAACTGCTAGCTCTCTATCCTCTTCTTCTACTTTTTCTTCTTCTCCTTCTTCTTCTGCCTCCTCTTTTTCAGTTCCAGTAACCCCGGCCTCAGCGGTAGAACATCTGCCCCTGACAAGCGTTGAAACTACCTCCTTGTCACAACCTCAGCAACTCCATCTAGGACCCTCATTACCGTTCCCCGTGATAGATGGATCTGTTTCATCATCAGCTAACATCAAAAATGCAACGGTTTCAAGGTCTTCTTCTTCTTCTGCTTCAGGGTTCCGTAAAGTCCATGGTCACAATAGAACCATCTCTATGGGCGAGTTTGATCGCCATTCACGATACGCCCCCCCTCCACCATTACCACCTTTCCCCGCATACCTAGGCTCTTCACCATCGCCTGGAGCGTCATCTCTCAAGAGTTCAACAGTTGCGTCACAAATACCCAGTGGAACTGCGGCTACTTCTCCCAGTGGTGCTTTACCATCAATATTATCAAATTCCTCTTCCGGTCCTTTAATCACTTCTGGCACCACTAATACCAATACCGACTCGGGGATTCCTGGGGCTGCATATCTCCCTACAAATTTCCAAAAACCGCGCACTCACTCAAATGCAAGCTCAAAGTCTCTTGTCTCCGGATCCGCATCTCCCATCTCTATCCACAGCTCTCTTGCTTCTAGTCCTATTATTCCAGCGGCTCCTCCTGTTGACGATAAGCCTTTGTCCCGGAGCTCCTCTGTCTCGTCAACAAACCTAGAAAATCGGCAACAAGCAGCAACCCTTGCCGCTACAGCTACAGATCCACCGTCATCACCTTCTTCTCCATCCCCACCATCACCTACCTCGAACAAATTTTCCACAAACACCCTCACTTCTGGAGCCTCGGTTCTCATTGCTGGCCAATTTTTCTCAAAACTTGTTACTTTTTCGCTCAATCAGCTCATTTTCAGATTTGTGGGTCCTGAGGTGGTCGGAGCAAACTCCCAACTTGAACTTTTTGTTTCAACCATCCTTTTTTTTTCTCGTGAAGCTATCCGTTTGGCTACACAACGTCAAACTCTTTCAGGGAAACGGCCTGACGTATACAGATTTGAGGGAGGGGTTGTAGAAAATACACTTTCAGGAACCGTTCAAGAAGTCATCAATATTGGCTTTTTACCAGTTCTTATGGGTATTCCCCTAGCCGCCATTCTTTCATTTACATATTTGCATTACAATAATACCCCAGATGACTCGCGCACTATTAGCATTGCTGTGGCCATTTTTGCTCTTGCTGCCATTATCGAGCTTGCTTCTGAGCCTGCCTTTTTGCTTTTCCAACTTAAGCTTCAGTTTAAAAAGCGTGCTTCTTTCGAGTCTATTGCTGTCACTTGCCGCTGTATCCTTACCTTTTTCATCTCTCTTGCTGACCACCGAAACAATGTTGTCAACTCTATTATTGCATTTGCCGTAGGCCAACTTGCCTATGCTTCGGTTCTAACAGGTCTCTATATTTTTGAGGGTCTCAAGGAGGCTCATGCTGGCCAATATGAACTAACATACCCTAGACCCATTTGGAAAGACGTTGCTTCAGAAAAGACTACTGCCGACATGCTCAAAAACGGCAATCACCGTGCTGCAGCTACGACGACTGCCTCGTCAACTGTTTCTGTGGGCCAAGAAACAAAAACCTACTTTAATGCATCAACTATGCAACTTGCGACCTCTATTTGGCTTCAAACTGTTTTTAAACATTGTCTCACTGAAGGTGATAAGTTTCTTGTTTCCCTCTTTTTGCCAATGGCTGATCAAGGGGTTTATGCTGTAGTTGTAAACTATGGTTCACTAATTGCCCGACTTGTTTTCCTCCCTATTGAAGAAGCCCTTCGCAGCTTCTTTTCCAAAATCTTATCCAATGATGCCGAAAACATATCTGCTCCTGATATGGAACTTTCCATTTTGGTCCTCTCAACACTTCTCCGCTTCTATTCGTACCTTTCTCTTTTTGCCCTCACTTTTGGCCCAGTTGTTGCTGCATACCTGCTCCAGTTTCTTGTTTCCAAAGTCTGGTATGCTCAGACTGATGCCGCCGTTGTACTGGCGACATATGCTTGCTACATTCCATTTTTAGCTATGAATGGTGCTTTAGAAGCTTTTGTCCAATCTGTTGCTACCCCTGCGGATATCAAACACCAAAGCTCTGTTATGCTCATCTTTTCACTCTCTTTTTCTGCTGCTGCTTACCTTCTCATGCGACCTCTTGGCCTTGGTGCCCAAGGCCTTGTGCTTGCAAATATGTTTAACATGGCTCAACGCATTGGCTGGTGCCTCATGTGGATTGAGTCTTACTACAAAAAGCTTAGAGAAAATAGCGATGATATTGCAAAGGCAGCAGTGGAAATTAAGCAAGAACTTTCGGAGGAAAAGAAGAAAGAAGAGCTTATAACAAAAGAAAAGGAAACCACTACCAAAGCTAAAGCCACTGGTACTGATGCTCAAACTTCCACTGGCCCTCACAAACGAAAAAATGCAATTGTACCTGAAAAGGAGGATGCTATTGAGAAGAGTGAACTAGATGAATCCGACAAAAAGGATAATGATAACGATGAAAGCACCAAGGAGAAGACTGCGCCCTCCCACCCCACTCCGGAGAACCGTGCGCAGCAGACCGCGTCACACTGCGCGCTCGCGTACTCGCCCTGGGGCTGGCTGCGTCTCGCCATTCCGTCTCCCGTTGTCCTGGCCTCCTTTGTACTTCTTATCCTCCCAGTTTCATGGCTGCTAGTTGGACGTGCAGCTCGGCTAACTCAGTTTGCACAACAGGTGGCGTTGGCACTGGGACTTGCTGTTGTTGTAGCAGTGGCTGAACGCGAATTACTTCTCGGTGCTGGACGTAACTTTTGGGCAAAAATCTCCAGCCAGCGCAGCAAACGCCGTGCTTGAGATGTGGACTAAAATTTTCATCTCACTGAAATTTTAAGGAAATTAAAGGAATCAAACAAGCAAATAAGCAAAAACTTTAAAAAAAAAAGATTTATATAATATATATACCGATATTTTTATAAATATGTACATTATTAAGGCATCTCTGATAGACGATATTTTTTTTTATTTTTTTATAAGTATTTATTTACATTCACCAAAAACTAAACATTAACCTACTCATATTCTTTTAGACTATCAATAATGGCAAAAAATCCAGCCTGTGAAAAGACATTTTTCAATGGCCCCATAACCGGTTCAGTCTTTAAAACGATAGGTGCATCAAACATTGTGATTCCATACATCAATGCGTTTTCAAACAAAACGTCGTTCTGATAACATAGAATTAAGCTCACCTTGTCGCGTGCGCCATAAAATTCAAAGGGGCTGTAAAATCGTGGTAGTCCAACAATGCTGTTTTGATTTTTGCGCACATTACCATTCTGGAGCAGCAACTGAAGTTGCATGCACATGCCTACCATGTCAAAACTCTGGTTCCCTCTAATGACCACTTTATGCGATTCGGATTGTGCTTTCGAGTCACCATCTGTGTAAAAATACCGTCCCACAGGCACATTGTGAACAATAAGCTGTTTCCAGTGAGGCAGATGGAGTATCATGATAGCATCCAAAATTTTACTGTGGTCTTTGGCCTTGAATAGCAACTCAGGAAACGTTAGTGTATTAAGACGCAATAGAACAACGTGCTTAGCTTGAGAAATCACTTTGACTGACTTGATTTCTTCTTTATCTTCCAAAAGAGAGTCAAACATTTTTCGTAGGAGGGCTAAATGCTCGGCATCACCGATTATACATGAAGCACTCTTGATATGTATCACTGCTGTTTTATTTTCACGTAGCTTGGAACGCGTGTGATGACTGCAAGCAGTTGGTCTCGCATTGGTAGCTTTGTGTAAAGCGCGTCGAAGTTCATGCAAGGTGGTGCGAAGACCCTTAATTTCATTATTCATCTTCAATCCTCGGTAATCGCTGAAATCAACTAAGCTATCTTTCAAATCTGTTTTAAGAGTTTGAAGCTCATCAGCAGATCCTTTTTTGGCAATATCAATAGCCTTCTTGACCTTGTTTAAAACACCCTCGATAAACTTGACACGCGCTTCAAATGACTTATAGGTCGAAGCCCGTTCAGGTGCTGAGCCAAGAGCATTTCCAATACTTTTAATTGTATCCAAACTTTTGGTCAAGTCTTCAACAGGTAACAACACATTCTTCTCAACTAGTTTTAAAATCTTCGATAAGTTGGTATTACGGTCAGTTGCATTTTTGTAATCTTCATCACACTTTTTCAGATTCTTCTCCAAGGTTTCTAAAGCTTTATTGGTTTCAGTGGCTGAAGAACGACTAGTTTCTATCGAATTCTTGAGAGATTCTTCAAGTTTCTTTTGTTTATTTTCGAGCTCGTCAACTATTTTCTTGTGCTCTTGTTGTTCCTTTTCTAATCTAGTTTTCAAAGTATTGGCTTCTTCAGTAACCTTATCGACAAGCTTTTTCATTTTAATTGAACCCGCATTGGAAACAGAACCTTCGTCATCCGAGATATCGGAAATATCAGAAGCAGCATCATCGCCACCAAGAAGAACAGAATACATATTTCCCTCCTTATTGTTGGAAACTCCTTTTCCTTTGATATCTTGAGTTTCTTGATTATATTCTTCTTCATATTCTTCTTCATCTGAAAAATCTCTAATGTCTAAACGACCTTGTTCATAAGCTTCTTTAAATTCTTCCAGCTTGAGGTTTCGCGCCATATCTAGTTGCTCTCTTAGGGCTGTAATTGAAATTTGTAACTCTTCAACATAATCCTCATACTCTTTGATCTTTGACTCATGAGCTTGAAGATCCTCTGTAAGACGATCGTTTAAATCAAACTGTTGATTAAGTTTCTCCAAGTTAGATGACGCATTTTTTCGAAGCTCATTCATCATTTGCTGGGTTGATTCATTTTGTTGTTTTAAAATTTTAAGTCTCGATTCATTCTCAACAAGCTTTTCTTGAAGTTTATTAACATCTTCATTAGAAGTCTTAGTTGTTGCTGGTGATACTACTGTTTCTGGTTTTGATACTACAGGCACCACAACCTGTGGCTCCATTGTTAGTGGTTGTGGAATAGGTCGGCTAGGTCGTGGCCTTGCAGCTTCAAGCTTGAAATCAGTAAGAGCCTTTGTTGCTTTGGCATGGGAATCCATAATTTCTTGCAATTTTTTCTGTAAGCGGCTATTGATTTTTAGCAAGCCATCAATTGTTCCCTTTTTTGTTTCTGAATCAGCCTCAAGATTTACTATCTTTTCTTCTTGAGCGGCCTTTGATAATTCGAGCTCAGAAATCCGCTGGTCATAATTTGGTATTGTTGCGTTTCCAAAATTATCAGATTCAGGTGAAAGTCTCGGAGGTGCCGAGTTCCCAGTATTTACTGAAGAAGTAATGCTGGAAAATCCTGGCATAAAAGGTATCGGAGGCATTGCCATCGGGTTAGAAAAAATAATTCCAGGATGAGGCCCTGGAATACGAGGGGGGAAATTTTGTGGGGCATTCTGATGGTGTTCTGCAATGTTGGGGTTTGCAAAGACAGGTGATGAGAAATTTGGAGTGTGCGAAGCTGAGTTTGGATGGCTTCCTGGATTAGCGATTGGAGGAGGAACAAAGGTGAACTGTGAATTTTCAAAATTTATTCCATTATGTGATTCATTCTGAGGACTGTTGACATCATGACCTGAGTTTCCAGCCTGAGTGTGTTTTGAATTTACCATGGGGGCATCAGACAGCTGTAGCTGGTATAGTAGAATCAAATATGGCAGTAGTGATATAAATCTGCTTGTAACCATCTTTTGAAATACTTTTCGTGCTCAATTCTACGCTTTGTAGTGACCAATATTACCTAATAACTAAAAAATAATTATTTTTTAATACTGAGCAATGTGTGTTCGTGCACTAAACGTGTGCGTGTATGTGTTGTATCACCACCAACAATAAATATACTATAAACAAAAAAAAAACCAAAACAATCATAACGTTGAAAAAATCAAACTCATCAAAAATGGCTGCGTCGGGAGACGTCAAACAGCTCCTCTCTAAAGCAACTTTATTTAAACGTGATATTGAAAGCTGGGATAATGATTTTGAGTGCGACACTGATGCAGCATTTCGCTCCTCTGTTTCAAGTTCCCTGTCCTCTTCTGAGGGTCCTACTTCGCGTCAATATCACGTCCCCGTGTCATTAAGAAATAGTACACCGGCACTATTAAATAAACCAAGTCATAGCTATCGCAATGGTTCTAAACTTTCTACAACAGATTATCTCAGTTCTTTTCGTGAAACTGATGACGACGACGAGTACTTTCAACCAGCCATGACAAAGACTCTGAGCAAACTCTCACTTAAAGATGAGAAACAAAGTCGTAAGAGAAAGAGTGTTCAAGACTTTTCAACAAATGAAACATTGAAAAATCCCAATTTTTACTCAATTAACACGCTTACAACCATAAAAAAGTTTCCAAACGCGACAATAAAAAATACTGTTAAAACTCCCCAAAACGCGACTACCAAAATTACAATAAATAAATGGGCCGAAAATATTGACGACGAAATTGATGATGCTGATTTTGAAACAGGAGCTTCGCGAAAAACTAATACATTTCGAGCGCGTCAACGCAAGTTGTCAGATACCTCTATGAGCATAGTCAAAGGATCGTTTTTTAATCCTCCTTCAACTCTTTCTTCGGCACCAGTAATGACTTTAGATAATAAAAATGTAACTGGGTCCATCAATAATTTGCAACGACGGCGTCAAAGTCCAAAGAGGAAGTCTGACTGTAGCATGATTTCTGAGGAAGATTTCGAGTCTGGGTTTGGTGAGTTAGATGAAATCAATCCTGGAAACCTTCAAAAATTTAAGTCACCTATATTACAAAAAGATCCGCAGCTTTGGGATGATGAAAATATGGAAAGCGCCAATGATACCGCAACAACTTCACGCCATGATTCAATTAGTTCTTCTTTATTTTCTCATTCAGCATCCACCAATACTGAAAGTGAAGTCGATGGTGAAGACTTTTTAGACGGTCTTGTGATTCCTGATGCTCCAATAGATTTTCAAAAGGCTCTTCAACATCGTCAAGAAGAAGCTGAGGCCCAAGAACGACGTGCAGTGGCATTTCGAAATTTTTCGGGTGGCTCGCAAAAGTACAAATACGATACCGTTGGCAGTAATGGCTCTAAAACTTCTTTAGAAAGTGATAAAAACTGGGACAATGAAATAGAAGATGCTGACGACGAATTGGATTTTTTTCAAGACATTGATATTGGTGATGGCGATTTAATTCATAGAGCAAACTTACACAGAAACTTGAAACTCAAGATGCCTGAACCAATGATCCAAAGCACCACAAAAGTTATACCCAAAAAACCCAATGCAACACTTTCCAAAACAGCCCGTGTTGGATTTACGGAAAATTTTGCCAACTCTAGACAGGCCTCCTCTAATTCGTTATCTGGAGATATCACTAGGCAAGATCGTCTTCGGTCTAAAAAATCAATGCCACTTCTTCAATCCCAAACAACTCAGTTATTAGATCAAGATACTAGCACTCGACGCCTTCATCATCAGTACTCTGTCATTGGAGAAGACACATTTATACAGCAACAGGGTGACTCGTTAAATCCAACACGGCGAGCCCAACCGAAAAAGGTCTCATCTTTAAGACATATTCATTCTATAGCTGGAATTGGAGGGAATGATCATGAAGCCATTCATTATTCTTTTAAAAATAAGTCAAGGAAAGACCCAAACTCAGTTTCTGCGGCAGGTATTAGGTTTTCCAGAGCACATACAGGCAAAGTTCTTGGAGATGGTACTGAGTTAGACTTACTTGATGATTTACCAGTTGATGCATCACATGAACTTTCTTTCACAGTCCAACCAATTTCTAATAGTAAGACAATTGGCCGGCATTACAACTCTACATCAAATACTTTAAACAGAATATCGCTATGTGAGTACTTTATTTTATCTGTTGTTTTCTTTTTCTAATGTTTTTTAGCCGACTATATTGAGAAACCGATAAAGTCATCCAGGAAAAGTCGAAACCAAATTGTTTCTAAAAATTCAAAAGATATATCTGGGGCTTCTTCTAGCAACGGGCGCCAGAAAAAAATTTCAAATGAGGGTTCAAAGGGCCCTCGTTTAATAAAGCAACTTTCGGTTCCCATCTCTACCACAGTAAAGGGGTATAATGAAAACATGCATTTTAACGTCAAAACATATTGCTGGGAAGGTAATAATGAGGATCTGGATCGATTTGAAAATATTAATGGAGTACATGGTAATATCAACAACACAACTAAAACCCCTGGTCTAATTGCATTTATTTCTTCAAATGAAATTAAGGTTGTTGGCGATATGGTGTTTGATCCTTCGAAAATGTGTTGGATTAGTATTCGAGAGGGAGAAGAAGAAGATCCATTTAAAGATTTAGGTGATGACAACGACTATTTAGAAAGCATGGATCATGATGCAGATATTACATTTAAAGCCCCACAGCAACCTAGTAGTCAATTAAATCTGGACAAGTTAACCGATTTTACCAAAAAAGGCCATAAATCGCACAGCAGAGTTAATACAGATATATCCCTAAACATGTCACATTCTCAAGCTTTTTCTCCAAGATCGTCTCTTAATGGTGCCACCGAATGTGAAACAAGCAGGACTAGCTCTAACTTTTACAAAAATCACAATCAGTCGCAAGGAACTCTCGGAGTTTACCAATTGCAACAAAATTATGGAGAATTTATTGTGGGATCTGAGTTTGATTTAACAGAAGAAATGATTCAAAAATTCATTATTGGTCAGGAACGCTGGGCCCATAAAGTACGTGGATGGTTTCCTGGTGAGGGATACGATGTCAGCTATCTTCAAGAAATTAGAAAAATGGTTATGAAAAAATAATAAGTACTTAAAAAAATATTTCTCAGAAACTGTTAGCATTTAATCCATTTTCCTTTCCAATAATGATTGATAATTATTTGTCATCTTATCTATGGTTTAATTAAAAAAGAAAATGGGCATTAATACCACTAAAAATATTTCTCTTTTTACAAGCATTACATATAAGATGAATAAGAATATTCATATATATATTCTTGGCATCTATAGATTACAAAAATAAATTATATCACTTAAATGGGTATTAAAAATATACATAGGAATAAATAGGTTTACTTAATTAAACTTTTTTTTATCTTAACCCAGGACCCATATATTCTCCTGAAAAATAGTAATTGGTCTGTTTCAATAAATTGGTAATTACCAATTTATATTATAATATAACTTTTGTATTAATAAAATAATTATTTGATTCTCCCTATACATTGCAATGTATAACCCAATTGGGTTATATATATATATCGTAACTGTAATTGAAATTGAAATTGAAATTAAGAAAAACGTTAAAATCATGTTAAAATTAAATTCATAAACTTTGTTAAACAAATAATTTTAATATTTAAAATATATAATATATAATATCCCTCTCATTTTATACCTTGCAAGGCACAATTGTGGCATATACTCCAGTTTATAATTTTACTTAAACAAAAAAAAAAAGATTAAATTATAAAGGAATTTCGTATGATGTTTTCTTACTTTTTTGATTATTTTTAAAATAGGCCCACAAATCATTACTTTAGTGGCTTCAAGATTTCTATTCTTTAATTTAAGGTATGTAGCTTGGAATATTCATGTCTGGTAGGTAATGTCGTATATACCGCTTGAAATGTGAAGGCGGTTCAAAAAAAAGAAAAACAAAAAAAGATGTCCCAATCAAGACCACAGACCTATTAAACTTCTTGGCTAACAAAATGGAATCTCTTGATCAACTCTCTTACTAGATTCATAATCCATTTGAACCTGCAAAATGTGTCTTAGTCAACTTTCTAAGTATTTTGTAAAAAATAGCTTATGAGTTTTATTTATAAATGAAATTCATAAGTAGTTAAATTTAGTTTAGAATAATAAGGGGGGTTGGAAATAGTTAACTTTGAAAAGTTCATACTTGAATTCCCTCATTATTCGGCTTTTAAGATTGACAATACATGAATAATTAGGCTAGATACTGAAATTTTTTTTGGAAGGGACACAAAGTAAGTTCATCCAATAGAATGAGGCAAAAGGATCTACCAATAAAAAAGAAAGATCAAATCAATCATATAATCACTTCCTTATTGAGAAATTAAATTGAGATGCTAACTAAATAAAGGCTTAGTACACTGATTTATTGATAAACCCAAATGGAGAAATTGCTTTCAATCTTAACCAGAAAAGGGAAAATACCTTTTTCAAAAATAAGGTCACAATGTAGTTTTCTTATGCGCGCAACTTTTTATTTTTGTTGCTCCTTTAAAAAAAGAGGAGCAAGAGGCTTTGTATTATTTTTTTAAAAAATATATAGCTATATATTTATATTCTATTACATATATATTAATATATTGATATTATATTATATTATGATTAGTCACAAAAAAATAGCTCTACTTTTTTTTCTTTTTGTTAATGTTGGGCCAAGTAAATAGCTAAAATATTTTGGTGAGTGAAACCTGAAAAGAATTAATTCTTTAACGAACCAACTGGTATCCTCTAAAAGGTTTTGGTGCCAAAAAAAAAAAAAAAAAAAAAAAAAAAGGCATTGAATAAATATAGTTATGTTATCTTTATAATATATTTTGACCTGTAGGTTAAGGAAATAATGACATATATTTCTAAATGAACTTATTGGCAATTTTTGATTATAAATTGAAGCCTTATAAATTTTTTAATAATTTCAATATTAACATTTTTTTTTTAAATTGTAAACCTATGTGTTGGATAAAATTTTAAAACATATTTAGCCGATAAAAGTTTTTTTAAGTTTTTTTAAGTTTTTTTTTTTTTTTTTAAAAAAATATGATCTTTTAAAGTTAAAAAAACACAAATTGATCGTTAAGAAACTCATACCACATGGAGAAATTGGGACCCCCAGGTTAGCAGAAGTGAGTTTATGCATGAGCTTACATAACCATCATGTTTTCTATCTGAATTTTGGTAAACAATAAAAGAAAATGGCATATGAAATGCGATGTGCCCCACTTGACAGTTTCGAACAAAACTTTTGATAACAAAAACACCCAACTCTCGTATCCGTTAACAAAAAATAATCGAAACAAATTTTGGGAAAATTAAATGAGAAAAAGTAAATAATAAAAATTTAAAGTGAAAAAAGAATATCTTGATTAAGTTCTTTAAAAATATAACTATATAATTTGCAAAATACTCAGCCTAATATTTTAATAACCATAAAAGTATTAATCTTTGTGAAATGATCATTCTAATGATTATTTTATAATAGTAATATAATTATACTAAAAAGGGGGAAAACGTGTTCCGGTAGAGACCTAAGTTATAGGTAATTAGGAAAATGACAAGATTCTGAAATTTCAAAAAAAATGTCTATTGTCTATTTGAATTAACGAAGGATACGTCGAAGAATATATGTGATATTTTGGGAAATAAAAATCATACATACATATTGAAACTTAGTATATATAAAATGGACTCAATGAAATATTAATTTATAATTATATATGTATTATATGATTTAAATGAAGAAATATTATCACAAGTATATAATAACAATTAGAATCTTCATTGATTTTTTTTTAATTTTTTTTTTTTTTTGCCTCAATAATTCTATACCCTATTTTCAAAAATACAATTTAAACTTATATTCTAAAATTCTCCAAATTTATCTAGTAATCAATTTGATCTTAAAATAATTAAAATAAAACCGGTTTAAAGTGATAATAATTTAATTTACTTTTGTAACTTTTAATAATTAATTGCCATTAATTTATAACAGCCACACCTACCAATTGAGACATAACTCCAATAATAATATTAAACGATTTTAATGAATTAATTTAAATTGAACAACTAAATATACAATAAAAATAATTATTGATACTTGTTAAATTTGAGTACGTATAAAAGTTTGACAAAAAATGTACAAAGATTAACCGATATATATAGACCGAATAACAATGATGCATTTTAAAATAATTGGGGTATTTATAGCCTTGAATATTTATGCATCGGCTCAAGAAATCTCACGTCAAACATGTGGTATCAATGAAGGGACTGCAAGTTTTTCATGTCACTCAGATTGTGGTAATGCCATCATCCATGCTCGCGATACGTGTAGCTATGATAAAGATTGTGTTTGTGATCCAGATGGAACTTTTATGAAAAATATGCCATCATGTTTAGCATGTGGAGCTACGTTATGGCAATGGTATGGTTCATATCTTGAACCAGCTCTTCAACTTTGTGAGATGCAAACAACTCCTGATGGATATCTTCTTCCATGTCCCGAAACGACGTCTGAATATTATTCTGAATCATCTTTAAGTTTTGATAACGATTATCAATCATCAAGTTCTGAATTAGAAAACCTTTCAAAAATTTCGATAATTCCATCAGAGTCGACTGGTGACCAAGTTCCTAACTTTACATCTGATTTTACCCAATCTGAAGAATTTTCAGACACCGATGCTAGTAATTCTATTCTTGCTTCTCAGTTAAATCCATCAGTTTCCCATTATGAGGATTCCACCACGTTATATTATATTTCGGAGATTTCAACCCCTGATGATTCTTCTGCTCTTTTACAAACTTATTTCAGTACAGCTGATATCTCATCTAACGTTGAAGAAGCCTCAACAACCGAATCTGCATTTACTGAAGAGCCTTCTGTCAGTTTTTATTGTATTTTCCCAATGAAACGTGATGAATCATTTGATTCCTGCAATACCGCTTGTAATTCATTATCCTCTGTTGTATTAGAAAATGGCAATACATGTTCTACTCTTGAGGATAACCTTGAAGCTCTTTCTGTTTGCATTCAATGTCAACCCCTGTATCCGGACCAAATATTTTTGGATTCATCTATTCTCGGTAAATACGAAGAATGTGATATAGAAATTATTTCATGCTCTTTTATTTCTGAATCTAATATTAATGAGGGGGTTTCCACAGATTCTTCACTTTTTGAAAGTTTGATATCTTCTGATGACGATGTTGTTAAAAGCTATTCGTATAGTTCATTCAGAACTAATGATTTTTCTATTTCATATTCCGTAATATCGGAAAGATTTTCTGTTTCTGATACCTCTGTTTCAGATCAAGGTTATAGTACTCCTGATATTTCTTCCAAATTGAGTGATTCTATGACTTCTTCAAGATTGTTTTCTTTGGATTCAGACGTTTTGACAAATGCGGAATTTTCTTCTCACTCTACTTCTTATTCATTTGCTGAAACTATTTCTAATTCAGATGAACTTATTGATTTATCTTCCAAACTTAAAGAAGATTCAACTGAAGACTTAGTTATGAGCTCTGATTTTGAAACATCATTTGGTTTCACTGTTTCTCTAACTACAGACCCTAGTGCTGATTATACAGTAGATTCTGTTTCTCAATCCACATTTGGAGCAGGATCTGTTGATTCTAACTCTGTTTCTAGTTCTGGTATTATTTCAGATTCCTTTTCTGAAATAATTAATAGTGTCACTTCGCAAAGCTCTTCTGTGCCTTCTTCCAGTTCTACTTCTGATGTTCTTTCTGATACTTTTTCTACTGAAATATCTGATCCTACTTTTATTTTCACCTCAGATTTCACCGAAAATTCTACTTTTGATCCAATTCCTGATTTAATTTCTACATCTTCCTCTGCTACCACATCGCCTAATTCTAATACACAATTTGAAAGTAGTTATGATTCTGATTATTTTGCATTTTTTAGTGAAAAGTCTTTTGATTCAGTTTCTCTTATTTCAACTTCTGAAATTTCCGAGACCAGGTTTATAATAGTCACTAAGACCTCAACAGTAACTGCAACTGCGACCACAACGGTTTGTGAACAGAATGGTTCTTGTTCAGAAGATTTCACAACCGAAACTCATACAACCACATATTGCGAAACTGAGACTATGACTGATGTTTCAACTAAGCAAAGCACTGTGACAGCTACCTCCACTGAGATTCAAATTAAAACAGTGACAGTTTGTGATAATAATGGTTGCAATGAATTAGTTACGACAGAAATTTATACTACCATGGTTCCTAAAACTGAGGCTGTAACTCAAAGTCATGAGATTTTTACTGATATTGAATTAGACACCATCATCAACACAGTTACAAGTACTCAGATAAAAACAATTACTATGTGCAGCACAGGTGAATGTAAAGAAACTCCAACAACTGAGGTTTTCACCACCACCGTTCACGAAACAGCTCCAGTATTTAAAGGCACTGTTTATGCTAAAAGCACGGAATACATTGTTATAACCAAAACTTCAACCAACATTCAAACTCAAACCATCACTACTTGTGGCTCTGATTTCTGTAAAGAAACACCTATTACCAAGGTTGATACAACCACAATTTATGAAACTTTACCTATATCTACTACAGTTGTTTCTCCTACAACTACAGAGCACTCAATTGTTACTAAAACTTCTACTATCGCTCAAACTAAGACCGTTACATTTTGTGATTTTAATGGATGTAAGGTAGCACCTACAACTGAAATTTATACTACTACAGTTTGTAAAACTGTTCCAGTTGTTGTTTCCTCTACAGCTACCGAAAACAGACTTGTCACCAAAACTTCTACAGCTTCTCAAATTAATAGTGCAACTATCTGTGATTCAAATGGCTGTAATGAAACTCACACTACTGTGGTTTATCCCACTACTATCTATGAAACTGAGCCAAATTTTGAAGGAACTTTTTCCTCTAATGGAGCTGTTAAACCAACAAAAACCTATCCAACATCAGTTGCTGTTTCAACTGTCACCTTGGCTTCAGCTAGTACTGTTTCTTTTACTACAATTGAGGGACCTAAGTATGTCGCCAAACTCTCAGATGGTATCCAGACAAAAATTGTCACCGTGTGCGACTCACATGATTGCAAAGAAATCCAAACTACTGAACTCTTTACTAACAGTGTATCTGATTATGGGCAGATTTCAGAAACATCAACCAAATTCACTCAACAGCCAAAATCAGCCTTCGAAACCAGAATCCAAATCGTTACAAAAACGTCTCTTGAAACAAAATTGGGAACTGTCAGTGTTTGCAATGACCACATTTGTACAAAATCTTTGGAATCAAGTATTTACAAAACTGGGTATCATGAGACAGTTGTTCCAACCGCAGAAGCAGCCACTTCATTTACTTATGTTGCCTCTGTTATTAGCTTTGATACTGGTATATCAGAGTTGACTTCAGAACAAGTTAAGACAGTTACTTTCTGCGATTCCAAGTCATGCATTGAGTCTGCCACTACAGAATTTGTTACACTAACTACAAAGAGTGCTGTTCCAGTAGGATCTTCAGTGAATACAATTTCTAATTCTTTGGAGAAACCGGCTTCAAACATTTATTTCACAACTTTACATGAGGCCAGTACAGTTACAGTTTGTAGAAGTGAGAGTTGTACAACAATTGTGACATCCACTCCAGTTACAAAGACTATTAATGAATTGATCTCGGAGAGTACTGAGGTTGTCAGGACAAAAACACTATCTTCACCATACTTTTTATCAAGTTTAATTGATTCACCTATTATTTCTCCTTCTACTTTAGAGGATAAAAATATTTTGGCTCTGACAACTATTTCAAGTTTTGTTAGTGAGGGTGGTAATTCCTATAATCCTAAACAAACCGATACGGCTCCTTTAACAAAAGTTGAGACTGTGTCACCAGAAACTCAAACAACAATTGAGTATCAAGTATCATCAACCAAATCTATTGGAAACAATACTGAAATTGCACAGGTTTCAAGAACTGGCAATTCTCAACTTACTGGTAGCAACACTATTGAACAAGTAAATGGTTCTACCAAAGGTTTTCCGCTTTCTTTGATCTTAATTTCTTTTGCTTTTATTACCTTTATTTTATGATTATGATATAATTTTTTCTTTTTTTTTTTTTAATTAATCATAACCCTATAAAATAATAGTATAACTATTAATATATTAAACTATATAGTTATTTATATACATATAATTTTAATTTGTTTATATGTTAAAAATATTTTTTTTAAATTCTGTAACCATAATGATAAAACCATGTTTTACAATTACAACTAACAAAAAGCTCGTCTAAATAAATTTGGCATTTTTTAAAGATATAGAGTGATGTTTTGGTTGGTAAATATCTTAAGAAATTTGAACAAATTAAAACAGAATTAGTTATTAAAAGAGTTAATTAAATTTTATTTATATTAAAAATTATTAGAATAAAGTATAATGTTGTTATACAAAGAAAAATTACAATTTGTCTCAGAGGTTAGTTTATAACCTAAGAGTTTAGAAAAGAGCAAAAAGGAGGCCAGCGCCAACAGCGCCAACAGCGCCAAAACCGGCCTGGAAGGCAGCAGCACCGTTAACCTGTTCAAGGGAAGTAGGAGGAGTGGAGGTGACCTGGGAAGGAGCAGTAGAATTGTAGGCAGCAGAAGAAGAAATAGAAGATGAAGTGGGAGCAGCAGATGAAGTGGGAGCAGTAGATGAAGTGGGAGCAGCAGAAGAAGTGGGAGCAGCAGATGAAGTGGGAGCTGCGGTAGATGTAGGAGCTGCTGAAGAAGTGGCAGCAGCAGATGAAGTGGGGGCCTCAGTAGATGTAGGAGCTGCTGAAGAAGTGGGGGCCGCAGAGCTGGTCTCAGGTGTCGTAGTGGCAGCAGCAGCCGATGAAGTGGCAGCAGCGGCCGATGTTGCAAGAATAGAGTAAGTACCAGGAGTAAGAGCAATGTTACATGTGTTGAGGAAGGGTGTCAAGTAAGATCCATATGCAGACCATAAAGTGTCAGCGCAGGCCATACAGTCAGGAATGAGTTGCATGAACCCGGAGTCAGCAGCACAGAGACAAGTAGCATCACCATCAGCGCACTCACGGCCTTGGATGATGGCATTGCCACAGTAAGAATGGCATTGATAGGAAGAGCCAGGAAGTTGAGGATTGGCCATAGCAATGGCATAGGCTTCAGGGAGGGCATTAGCCTTAGCGTAAGCGGAGCCAGCAAGAGCAGCAGATAAAGCGAAAGTCTTAAACATCATTTTGTAAATATAAAGAAGAAAAAGAAGAAAAGGTCCTAGAAATTATTGAGATAGCGAATGTAAAATCAGTTGGAGAAGTAGTCGTTGACGAAGAGAAAACAAAAAAAAAAAAAAGTAGAAGGGAATGAGAGGACAAAAGCTTGATATTTATAGGCTGCAGAAACAGCAGCAAAAGCGAGACCAAATTTGATATCATTATTATCATTTAGCTGCCGAGAAAAAAACAATTAAGAGCCTCTTGTATTATTTTTTTTTAGACTTTGCCAAGATCTAAAAAATCAAAGATACATCCAGGCTTGTAGACAAATTTGCTAATATCAGATTAATCAAGGTCTTATGTCAGCCATTGCCAAAAAGGGCAGTAGAAATAGGGCCAAGGGAGTCTGGCAAGGAATGCACATATAATTTAGAAGAAAGAGGTGGTGTGTTGAAATAATGCGTTGTAGGGTACTGAAATTGAGATTATTGACAACATTTTATTCTTTTGGGATCAATATATATATATATATATATACATTATAATGTCGTAATTACGATTCAAAGTTGTTTATTTTTTTTTTAAGCAGGGCAGGTTACTTTGGTGGTTCTGAAGGACTTGAGATGTTATACTTATTTGTAGAAGAGATATGAAAAATATTATTAAGCAACAAGTACGGGTTCGATTATGTAAAGCTAATATTTGAGAGCTCATATTTAAAGGTGGTAAAGGCTCAGAAATGTGCCAAAAAAGCAAAAAAAAATTGCATTCTTGTGCTAATAAATCTGTATTAAAATAATTTATTGTTAATTAATATTGATATTAATATCAATAAGAATATTTTTTTTTAAATACATTGTTATTGATTTCTGAGCGTATTAAACGAGGGGTCCTTTGGGGTTGATAAATAGACGGTTCGCATTTGGTTTTTAAGCTTGGCAATAAAACAAACTCTGTAAACACTGAAAAAATTTCTTCCTTTCTTTCTTTCTTTTTTTTTCTTTACAGCTATTAAATATTTTTTTTATTAAAATTAGGGTTTTTTTTTATATATAATATATAAAGTTATAAGGTTTTGATAAATATTTAAAAAAATGTTGTACAAGGATATAACCTATATAGGTTTCAAAGTCTCCTATTAAAAGCAAAAGAACCCTCAAATAAATAATTTGAATAATGAATAAATTAATTTATATAGAGTATATGAATTATATCTAGTTGATTAATGTTATTTGAATAATGGAAAAAAAAATTTTTTAATCTTACTGTGTTAAAGATAGTTGGGTGATTCTAAATAGTAGTTGAAATCAATTATCTAAAGAAACGCTAAATATGGATTTTTCATACTCATTATATCAATTTAAATAATCTAAGTTTCTTTATATAAAATAAAATAAAGATTTCATTAATGAATTCTTTTTAAAATAAGAGGGAAAAATTGAACTGCAATTGCGTTTTTTTTTATGTAAAAAATTGTTACTATATTAGACAGTCTATGCCAAGACATCAATCAATGTAAAAATTAAAAATCAAAACAAAAGCAAAATTGATATTGATATTGATATTGATATTGATATTGATATTGATACTGATACTGATATTAAAAGAACTTTTTTTTTAATTTTTTTATAAGAGAGAGCTTACAATTGGCTATAAATCATTAAGTTTCAGTAAATTGTGTTAAAAAAAAATACCAATATTGGTTTTTTATTAATATTAATATAAGAGGAAAAAAAGAAAATCTAGGGAGAAACTTTCCTTTAAATTTTTATTATTGAAAAAAATAAATTTGAAATCTTAAAAAAAAACATCCAATTATGAGTAATTAAAGATTTTTGATCAAATGGAACAAGAGAATATGAAGCTTTCTAATTTTAACAAGCCAATATTAATAATTAACGAGCTAGTTATGGATGTAAAAACAGACGAAATGGAAAATGTGGAGAAAAAAACAGGGTCCAATCCTTGGCAATGATTGAAATTTTAAACAAGCCAATTTGTTTTTTTGATATTGGTGAAAAAATATTAGACTAGGTAGTTATCAAAGACTTGAAAAAAAAAGTTCCATAAAAATTAAGAACTATGAAGAAAGAAAAAATTATAAACGAATTACATTAATATTAAGAATACAATAAAAATTTTACAAAAATTAAAACGGATAGTTTCTCGTTATTTTAGAATGAAGGAAAGATCTCTATTTAAAAGAGAGCAACAAGAGCACCAGCAGCTAAAGCGCCGAAACCAACCTGGTAAGAAGCAGCGCCGTTGACCTGGGCAAGAGTTGTTGCAGCAGAAGAGGTGACCTGAGCAATACCTTCAGAAGTGGCGGCCGCTGAAGAAGTGGCAGCAGCGGAAGAAGTAGCAGCAGCAGAAGAAGTGGCAGCAGCAGAAGAAGTGGCGACAGAAGAAGAAGTGGCAGCAGCGGAAGAAGTGGCGGCAGCGGAAGAAGTGGCAGCAGCAGAAGAAGTGGCGGCAGCAGAAGAAGTGGCGGCAGCAGAAGAAGTTTCAACAGCGGAAGAGGAAGCAGCGGCGGAAGAGGTAGCGGCGACGGAAGAGGTAGCGGCTGCAGAGGTGGAAGTAGTAGCGGCGGAGGTGGAAGCAGCAGCTGAAGATGCGACGGCTGAAGAGGTGGAGGATGCAGAAGACGAGAGTAGAGAGTAAGTACCGGGGGTGACAGCAATGTTGCAAGTGTTGAGGTAAGGGGTGAGGTAAGAACCATAGTCGTCCCAAAGAGTGTCAGCACAGGCCATGCAGTTGGCGATGAGCTCCATGAAACCAGAGCCTTCAGAGCAAAGGCAGGTGGTGTCACCGTCTTCACATTCACGGCCTTGGAGAATGGCATTGCCACAGTAAGAGTGGCACTGGTAGGTGGCTTCAGCGGGGTTGGCCATGGCATGAGCAAAAGCTTCAGGAAGAGCAATAGCCTTAGCATAAGCAGTGGCGGAAAGAATAGCAGCGAGAGAAAGAGTCTTGAAGTTCATTTTTGTGTTTTTTTTTTAAAAAAAATTTAAAACAGAAGAAAGTAGATAAAGAAATGGGAATAAAAGTTGAGGTAGTTTATTAAAAAAAGGTATCCTTTTTTTTTTTTTTTTTTTTAAACGAGTGTAAAGAAGTTTGAATATAGAAGAAGATGGATGGTGATTAAAAGAGAAAAAAAAAAGAAATATAAAAAAAAGAGATGAAATGGAAGGGTATTTATAGGTTTTTATCTGTCATACTTTTAAGCTGACAAGGAGACCCGCCTTTGAGGGACAATGGTTTGAGGGCATATATACGAGTTAAAAGAGCACTAACTGTGTTTTATCAATCTACAGATTTACCTAAAATAGACATATGTTTCTTCTAAGTGTATTCGTAATCGCAATGAACATAAAGGGTTCTAATTGATACATATTTTTTTTTGGTAAGTATATATAGACATAAAAATAAGCATATAACAAGCGAAGTGGTTACGTAGACTTTGAGGGGGGGGAGAGGAAGAAGCGTATTATTTATGTCCATTCTTAACGCACTAGACTTAAAAAAAAATTCTATTACGTTGGTTACACATGAAATACCTTGATAATCTTGATAATCTTGATAATCTTGATGTGATGGTCAAAATAGTATCAACAACCATCTTGAATATGGTGATGATCTATTTGATCTAATCCTTTGGAGGTTTGGATTTTATTTTATTTTTTTTTACAAAAATCATTTAAGAAAACCAGCGGGGAGTCCATTTGACAAGGCTTGGCAATGATCTCTTAGTTTGGTAAAAAAAAAAATATTTACATAATTATTTGATTTATATATATATATGAGAAGTTGAAAAAAAAATTGAAAATAAGTTTAAAAAAAGATTTTTTTGAATTTATTTTATGCTGGGATTTTTCTTTTCTTTTCTTTTCTTTTCTTTTCTTTTTTTTTTGTAAATTCGGTAAAAGACGCAACTGATGTATGGGCTACACCAAAAGTTGCTAGGGCAACAGTGTTGATTTCTTTGACCAATCAAAGTGCTATGATCAATCTAAAAGATATAAATCTCCCCACTTCCCAGCTTGGCAACTGGCGCCTGCGCTTTTTTTTTTTTTTTTTTTTTTAAAAAAATATTAAAATAAAAATAAAAATAAAAATAAAAATAAAAAATAACAACCATTTTGGTCTACGCTCCTCTTTTTTTTTTTTTTTTCTTTCTTTTGTTTACATTTCTTGTAGTTGCCATAATTGGCCATGAAGCTTTATATAAATTAATTAATTAATTAAAAGTTTTTTTTTTTTTTTTTTTTTTTTTTTTTTTTTTTTTTTCAGAAACAAAAGAAAAATAATTTACTGCACGTTTTTTTTTCTTTTCCATTCGTTTAAGAAACGATTTCAAGGCATGACAAGACAAGCCAAGCCAAGGAAAATTGATATTTATTTTATTTTATTTAATTTTTATTTTATTTTTATTTTTATTTTATTACTCAGGCTTATTATATTCAATTCAATCACACAAATCAACCTTCTTCTCCGCCTTTACAAGAATGTTAACTGAAAATATTTTATATAAAATCTTCTCCCTTTTTTTTTTTTCCTTATAAGAAGAAACCAAAAAAGATCATTTAGACTCGCATAACATTCCTCGTTTCCTTCGAAAGAATAGTGGAATTATTGTTATTTTTGGAACAGCTCAAATTTTGATTTTTTTTTTTTTTAGCTCCATTTCTTCATTATTTGTAGCCTTTTTTATTTCAATTGAAAAAGAAATAAACACACACATCCGTTGCATGTCTCTGAATATTCCTAAAAAAAAACAATCGAGCTTTCTCCTTGATTGACATTGAATTCCTCATGTGAGCATATACTTAATTATATATACTTGTATATATATACTCATTATTGAAATACAAAAAAAAAAAAAATTAACTCTATCATTAATACTCCAATAACGATTAAAACGAATATTCAATTCTTTCAATCTTGATTTAAAGTTCTTGGTTCTCGTTGATTTATACTGTATATAATCAGATTAATTTATTTCCCAATATCATCCCCACATACACACATTAATATATATAGAACCTAATTAGGTTCTAAAGGTAATAATAACCTTTATAATCACCCTCATAATCTATTGTCACGGCTCTTGGCCTTCCAAAATAGCCATCACACGCTCACAAAACTCCTCCACCAACTCATTGGCCTCCAGCCCTCCAACCCGTAGCTCAGTTAACTTGCGCAGAGCAACTGCACGCCGACCTTCTGCTGTGTTTTCACCTGCATGCTTAGCGTCCGTTTGCAACGAAAACAAATTTTTCAAATGAAATCGTAGCGCGTCGTACCGTAACAAGGCTTGAATTTGTTCGTCCCGAATAACTGCTTCAAATCGCTCGTCAATAGGTAAGCCGTCTTCCACTAGTTTTTGTTGTTGTTCTTGTTGTTCTTGTTGCTGTAATGATGTTGATTCTGGAGCTGATAGTGGTGGTGGTGGTGGTGGCAACCCGTGGCCAGCCTCTCCTTCTAATAACGGCTCAGTAGTTTTACTAAATTCTGTAGATGAATTTCTGTCGCCTTCTTCCTTACTACTCTTAAGATCTTTATCATTACTACTATTACTATTACTACTGAAATCTCCACACCCTTGTGTCTTGTGTGCTTTGAAGCATACCAGCGAGCAGTATGGGAGTGCACACCGGGGACATTTGTACTTTGGTGGAACTGCATGACACACCCCACACTTGATTCCACCTGATGTTTGTTTAGAAGTCATTAGAAAAATATCAAGCAGTGTAAAAAAAAATAATAAAATAAAATAAAATTAAAACTATTTAATATAAAGAGAAATATGGTAGTGACAAGTTTGGAGAATATCTGAACTGTAGACCTAAATTATAATATGGGTGGGTGGGTCTGAAAAAAAAAAAAAAAAAAAAAATTTTTAACGTACTTGCAAGAAAATAATTAGTGTGAGCCGTATGGTGACAAACGCTCATATAAATGTCACAAAAAAAAAGCCTAACTAAGGATCATAACGTTTTTCTTTAATCCTCTAGTATCGCAAACCTTCACAATAAATAAGTTCCCACCAAGATCAAGCGAATCATCAGTTTCAAAGGCAATCGATTTTCTTTCTTTCTCTTCCTCTTCTTGCTCTTCTTCCTCGTCTTCCTCCTCAATGCTTCCATCTTGAGCAAGATGAAGACTGGCAGTAGACACAACCAAATAATCAAGATTAACACCCGCAAATGTCGGACATGTAATTCGTGTCGCCGAGGGGAAAACGTACTCTTGTAGAAGCTCACCAGCCGCTGAATACCTATGCAACCTTGAGCTTTGCCAAATGGCCGTCCATACTGATCCATCTTCCGCTACTGTCAAGCCATCAGGCTCAGCTAAATATAGAAATGTTAGATCATCAGAGAAGCATAAAAGCGTAGAAAAAAAAAAAAAAAAAAGTTACGACCGGTTACAAGCATGACTTACGAGCATCAAGGTTGGGCAATTTTATAGTAACAAAAGGCCGTCTATTAGATAAAGTTCCTGTCTCAATATCATAGTCAAACTGGAATATTGTGCTTGTTGGTGAGTCTGTGAAATATACAATTTTGTTATCGGGGCTAAATCCAAAGCCGTTCGGGATGGTGACGTCCTCAATGATTTTTGACACGTAGGGGTCCTTGCCATTCAGAGTCAAAGAGTACAATTTTCCAACAGGTGCAAGCTTGTTTCCAGTACTTGAATATATGTCGTTAGAATACTTGTCTTTAAAAAAAAAAAAAAAAAAAAACCGTTAAAGGAACTGAGTCACATATTATATACTTACTCGACCATGCTACCAGCGTAAAACCGACCAGCACCATCAACAGCACCATCATTAAAACGAAGATACGAATCTTCATTCTCATGTACTACTTCAATATACTTGATATTGACATCCCCAATATGCCGCTTGACATATTCTGGAGTTTTCGATAACTTGATTTCCTTGGTCAGATCCAGTTTAGCATACCCACGCTTCGCTCCTACTACAAAAATCCCTGGAGTATCAGTTAACCCTAAAACCGTGACACTCTCAGGCACTACAACGAAATAAAACTGATCTATTGGTTCCAAGTCTGACTCGCTTGGCTGTACAAAATCAGCCCAGTAAACACGTTTTCGCTCAATGTCTAGCCAAAAGAGCGTATTTGTACGGTAGTCATAAGTAGGACCTTCCGCAAGTTTGCAATTGCATAAGATAAATGGAACCTGTTTATGAAATGTTAAACTTGAAATAAATTTATTTATAAACATAAGCTTGCCTTTGATACTTGAATCGTTTCTACCATTGCTAAATTGATGAATTGCTGAATTGCTGACACTTTTAAATTGATGAATTGCTGAATTGCTCACACTTTTAAATTGATATCATATGATGGTAGTGAAAGCATATAAGCTTTAATTAGATTTAAATATTACTCCACAAAGAAATCCCGTCATTTAAGTTCAGGCCCATATTATTTACCCGGTCTGAAATATACCCATCACATTTATTTGTACGGAGCATCACAATAATATCACTCTCTTCTTTTTTTTTTTTTTAATATTCATAAATTAATTTACATGAATACAAATAAACAATTTATTAAGACCATTATTATACCAAAATATTTAATAAGTTATCTATAAAGTCCATAAAATAAAACCATGATAACATTTTAATTTTTATAAAGGGGAAGGGAAAAAAGCAAATTTTTAAACATTTAGATATCCAATATCAAATTGAAAATATCCCATATTTAGATGAGAGCGGCAATACCAGCGGCGACAGCAGCACCGAAGCCAATCTCCCAACGGGAAGCACCGTTAACTTGAGGGAGAATAGTGGATGTAGTGGGCTTAACTTCCTGGACAGTGGAAGTAGAGATGGTAGCAGAAGCAGTGGGCTTGACTTTCTGGACAGTGGAAGTAGAGATGGTAGCAGAAGCGGTGGGCTTGACTTCCTGGACAGTAGAAGTAGAGATGATAGTAGAAGCGGTGGGCTTGGCAGTAGGTGCAGTGGTGGCCTCAGTGACGGGAAGAGTCTCGCAGATAGTCACGGTAACAACACTTTCAGTAACTTTGGTGGAGCACACTTCCTCGCAGACAGTAACAGTAGCAGTAATGGTAGACTTGGAGAAGGAAGTAAGAGTGGTGTATTGAGTGTGGGTACCATTGGTGAATGGAGCGGCAGAAGAAGCAGAAGAGTGGGCCTTTGAGGTGGTAGGAGCGGCAGAGGATGTGGGAGCAGCAGATGAGGAAGAAGCAGCAGAGGAGGTTGGTGCAGCAGAGGAGGTAGGAGCAGCAGAGGAGGTGGAAGCAGCAGAGGATGTGGGAGCAGCAGATGAAGTGGGTGCCTCAGTAGATGTAGGAGCTGCAGATGAGGCAGGAGCCGCTGATGAGGTAGGAGCAGCTGAAGAAGTGGGAGCAACAGAGGAAGTAGGAGCAGCAGAGGATGTGGGTGCAGCAGATGAATTGGGTGCCTCAGTAGATGTAGGAGCTGCTGAAGAAGTGGGGGCCGCAGAGCTGGTCTCAGGTGTCGTAGTGGCAGCAGCAGCCGATGAAGTGGCAGCAGCGGCCGATGTTGCAAGAATAGAGTAAGTACCAGGAGTAAGAGCAATGTTACATGTGTTGAGGAAGGGTGTCAAGTAAGATCCATATGCAGACCATAAAGTGTCAGCGCAGGCCATACAGTCAGGAATGAGTTGCATGAACCCGGAGTCAGCAGCACAGAGACAAGTAGCATCACCATCAGCGCACTCACGGCCTTGGATGATGGCATTGCCACAGTAAGAATGGCATTGGTAGGAAGAGCCAGGAAGTTGAGGATTGGCCATAGCAATGGCATAGGCTTCAGGGAGGGCATTAGCCTTAGCGTAAGCGGAGCCAGCAAGAGCGGCAGAAAGAGCAAAGGCTTTGAACATCATTTTTTTTATTATTATTTGTAAAAAAAAAGTTTAAGTTTATTAAACGAATGTATGAAGTCAGTATAATCTTTTTGCTCTAAGCGAATGTACAACAGTTGGTAAATATTGAATAAAGGATAAAGAAGAGAGGGAAAAAAAATCCAAGCCCAATTGAAGCAAATTCAAGACTACTTATACTTTTTTTTCTTCTTCAGAAGTAACACCTTGTAATTTGTTTTTATTTATTTTTTAGAGTCATTTTCAATATAAAGACCTAAAATTTTCTATTCATTAGCTTTACTATTTACTATATATAGCCTTCTTTTCTTTCATTTTGCCAAGATCAAAAAAATCTTGTTCACAGCGTACCCAAAACAGGCCATATCTGATCAATCGCTTATGTCATATGTCTCAAAATGGCAATTGATTGATGAACGAGTAATAGTTGAGCTTAGAAATTGTTGGCGTACCGTCAAGTGGAGAAAGTTAAAAAAAAAAAAAAAAGACAAGTTATGAAAGAGAATGAAGAGGTATAAGAGATTTTTAAAAAGAATGAATTTTTTAAAATGAATTTAATGGAAGAGGGAAAAAATAAATTTTTTCATGACTTTAAGCCCATATTTTTATTTTTTTTTGAAAGTTTAAAATAATCAAAAATTGGGATACAGCTCATCATCACCATCAATATAAGTTTCACTACACTTTTCTCAATCATTTAAAGTCTTTTTTTTTTTTTTTTTGAGTCGATCATGTATTAATTTTTTTGTAAATAATCTCTTAAAAAAAAATCAAAGGAGGGGAAAGATATAAAAAAAAAAATTCATTTGGAAAAGTTATATATTTGGTAACACCTCAAACATATCTGTCCGCTTCATTTTCTCTTATTTTGGAGAACTTTGAATGTCATTGGCTCAAATAGGCGGTAACACACGATTTTATGTACTGATGCGCCTCTCTCTTTTCTTTTGGCTAGCTCTTAGTCTCTATTCTGTTTGTTGCACAATGACAATGCCCAGAGACAAATAAAGAAAATATAATACGATCGTAAATGGAGGGTTTCCAAATCAAAAAAAAAAAAAAAAAAAATTAAAATAAAATAAAATAAAATAAAATAAAATAAAATAAAATAAAAAATAAAAAAAAAATTAGAATGTATTCTACTATCATCACATAATAAGATGCCAATGGAAAATGAAAATGTAGCTTAAATTTTTAAATTTAAATAGTAATTACTTTTTTGATAATTATCAATTATAACTAAAATGTTGGACGGGACTAATTCAAATAATTTTATTTTAAAGTTTAAATTCTTTACAGAATAATAAACAACTTCGGATCTCAAATCTCAACAGCCGGGCCGATTTTAAAACGGTCGACTGTTTGGTTGTGATTAACTTTAATCACGATAATCACTGTTCAGAAATCTATTGCACTGATGAAAATAAACAATTTTTTAACATATTTATTTATTATTTTATACATGTATATAACTTAATTTTTTTTTAGTAATAAATAAATGAATAGAATAGCAATAAAAAAAACCAAGAAAAAAAATTATTTTCTTCAATTTCCATTGTTCAGACTTGTCGAACTATTGTTGGCACTATTTCCAGAACTTCCACTAGGTCCTGGAAGATTATCTAAAAGTACAGGCTTAAGAACCTGTTCATCAAACTCTTTAAACCACCTCGCATGATCATCAGCGCTTCGTGTAAGAATCCCAGACAATGTACGTGCTCCCAATCCTCCAGAATTGTTGCTGGATTCTCCATCATGAGACCCCGCGCTTACAAACCCAGCTGCTCCATTATTACCATTTTTGCTAGAATTTGCCATGGGAGGAAGATCAGATGCATCAGACTCCACATCAGATACCAGATCGTCATCGCCCCCACTTGCAGAATCGTCCCGGTAAGATGACGACCGTCGTACACGCGCACCGCCATCATAGCTACCCACGTCAACTCCACTCTTGCTATTCCTGCTACTACTACTATGCGCAAAGTTATCTAACGAGTACGAGCCCAAGTCGCTGCTTCCAAACCCGCTGTTCCGGGTGCGGTTGCTTCGATGTCCTTGACTTGTCGAATATCTCATGCCCAAAGATGCTTCAATATCAAACTCATCATCACTCTCTGCTTCTTCAACTACACCCGTGCGAATCCCTAAAATTTCAAGCATACGAGCAGTCGTGCCACCAAATACAATCACTGTCAGTACAACAACAACAAGTACCGTAGCCTTAAGCGAGTTGGCGTGCTCACCAGTCAACCCCGCCGCAAGTGCAACACCAACTGCACCACGAAGGCCTGCCCAAAACAGCATCATCTGGTACTGGGGAGGGATCTCATCTTGGTATGGCTGCAGCTGCTGATTGAGACTACCATTACCTGTATTAGCAGAATTGCTATTCTGAGCACGTCTTCGGCGATAAAACATGTTAATAAGCTTTGAAAGAGGGAAAACAGAAGCCCATCGAGAAATGCAAATGCCAATCGTGGTGACAATGATTAAAATTGGCTTGAATATAAGCTCAACCTCTGTAAAAAGAGAGAGACCAAGATAAATAAAAATGAAATTTTCCGAGAGTTGCGCAAGAAGCTGAAATATGTACTTGACAGCAATTTGCGTTCTCCGTGACATGTTGTAGTAAGCATAATGGCGAAGAGTAATACCACAAAACAGCAAAGAGACAATTCCAGACATATGGCAACCATTGGAAAAAAAATAAGAGGCGTAAGCAAAAAAGAAGCACAAGGCAAGACTCAATCTGTGGGAACCGTCTAACATGCGAGTGCTTTAAAATCAGTGCCGTAGTGATACCAACAATAGTTCCGATCATGAGCGAAATAGTAAATGTCATCAAGAAAAGACCAATACCCTTAAATAAACTGGTAATATGGAGGGTTTCTTCGCCACTAAACTTTTGCGCAGTCTCAAACATAACGATACAGACTGCATCATTAAGCAGTGACTCGCCAAAAATAATGGTATAAAGCTTCGGATCAACCTTGTAAGCATTGAAAATTGAAAGAATCGTAACAGGGTCCGTAGCAGAAAGTGTGGCGCCAACACTAATAGCATCCAAAAAGCTGATTTGAATTCCTTCAAGGCCAATAGCTGTCCAAAGGTAAAGCAATACTCCAAGAAAGATTGCTCCAAGAAACGTTCCCAAAAACGCAAATGTAAGAATCGTACCAATGTTTCTGAAAAAGTTTGCTTGGTGTAACTCATATCCGGAATTTAAAATAATTGGAGGGAGAAGAAGATTGAAAAAGTACGAATAGTTAAACGAGACATGTTCTTGAATAAAATGTCCAGGGAGAATCCGAATAATAAGACCCACAACCATTCCTGAAAAAATTGAAATAACAGTCTCATGCACGGCTTGGATTCTTTTTTGCTGCAAATAGTAACTAGTCCACAGAGACCCAATGAGAAGAATAATCAAAATAAATAGAGCCCATGATGTAAAGATCTCCTCAGTCGTAGGATCGCTAACCTCATCATCGGGAATATCAGGATCTGCATCTGTGCTATCGCGTTTTACTGTATAACAATTTTAATAATAGAACTTGATCTGTAAACATAAAAAAAACTTACATAGAATTGAGGTTAGAAGGTTAAAGCCTGCTTCTTGGATAGTTGCGAGCATTTTTTGAAGTTAAAAGAGAAACGAGCTGAGAGTTAAAAAAAAGCCATAGGAATGAAAGACAATGATATGAAAGTTTACAAATAGCCTGTTATTAAAGCAGATGTACGAAAAAAAAAAATCAAAAGAAATAGTAAACTAGCAAAAGAAATTTTTCAGTAAGTAACAAGAAAGAGATTCCTGTTTACTTTGCAAACGATAAAAAAAACGCGAATTCTAACTGAGTAAATAATAACTAATTAAACTTGGTGGTGTGGGAAAAAATATGCCTAGAACATTAATTAATGCCAGCTGTGCCGCCTTTATCCTAACCCTTTCCCTGATAAACACCATGTAAAGCCGTATTCAAAACTTTATCTGGTTAGCTCGTCGATAGCTGGTTTTGATCACTGCTCTTTATGAATTTGACTTTAAAGGCTTTTTTTAAGAAATGAATGTCTATAACTCGTGGTCCACTAAACATCATAATAAAACTTTTCATAAATTAAAAGTATTTTGTTGATTATTAGTCAGTATTTAAGGATCGCATTTATTTTTAAGTCTAAACTGAATTTTTCAGCTCCATTGTAGCTTTTTAATCTAGTTGCCGGCCAGTTATGGCATGAAAGATTTAAATACCTTTCATAAAATCTAAACATGTAGCCAATTAAAAAGCTTGCATAGAAATAAGCCAAACAAAATTTTTTAGTACTCAACATACCCTCCAACCTTTTGATAAAAAAAAATTCACTGAATTTTTATCAGTTTAAGCTTTACAAACGTACTAATAATAATGCTAGCGACAGCTTATCGCAGTATTGACAGAAAAATAAGGACTCAGTCAGCACTGGTGACTGTGGCTTCATTCCCATCAAAGCTTTTGAAACCACAGTTAAATGCAAATACCTTTCACTCTGCAAGCTCCTTGTTTCACCGCGAAAAATTATCAACAACAGAACTCGATGAAAAATGGTCAAATATTTGGAAAAAGAGCCCATCTAGACTAGAAATTCCTCACCTTATTGACTCTAAAACAGGAAAACCACTTGATCGCGAAAAATATTATGCATTGTCAATGTTTCCATACCCTTCGGGCATGCTCCACATTGGTCATCTCCGAGTCTACACTATCAGCGACGTTTTGGCACGGTATCGTCGCATGAATGGCTACAATGTGATTCATGCAATGGGATGGGATGCGTTTGGCTTGCCAGCAGAAAACGCAGCTATAGAACGCGGAATCGACCCTGAAACATGGACTCTTTCCAACATTCAAAAAATGAAAGATCAAATGAATATCATGTTTGCTGATTTTGATTGGGAACGTGAAATTGTGACATGCTCTCCAGACTATTATAAACACACTCAACAACTTTTCTTAAAACTCTACAAAGCTGGTCTTGCCTACAGAAAAGAAGCTGTTGTCAACTGGGACCCGATTGAAAAAACCGTTCTTGCAAATGAACAAGTCGACGACGAAGGACGATCTTGGCGGTCTGGCGCCATCGTTGAAAAGAAATATCTAGAACAATGGTTTCTTGGAATTACCAAGTATGCTCCTGAACTTCTTGAAGATTTGTCAATTCTCAAAGACTGGCCCGAACGTGTTAAAACGATGCAAAAGAACTGGATCGGCAAGTCACAAGGTGCCACCATTATTTTCCCTCTTTCTACCAACGAGTCTCTCACAGCTTTTACTACTAGACCAGATACACTATATGCTGTCCAGTATGTCGCCCTTTCACTTAACCATCCTATTGTCAAGTCTATTGCTCAAACAGACCAAGATCTTGCCGATTTCCTGGAAAGAGCAGCTGATTTACCTGAAGATACCAAAGAAGGATACAGACTGAAAAATGTTTACGCCGCGAACCCCTTGAACTCTTCAAAACATAACCTCCCTGTTTTTGTCGCACCTTATGTCCTTGATAACTATGGTCATGGTTCTGTAATGGGCTGCCCTGGTCATGATACACGTGATTATGAATTTTGGAAGCAAAACATGCCAAGCGTGTCTGTCGTCGAAACTGTTGTTCCGCCTTCAAATTACGTTCCGGATGCTAATTCCCCACCAATTTATACTGGAAAAGATGGTAAATTAAATGAAGTTTCTGGGCCTTACTCCGGTATGGATGCACGTGAGGGTGGAAAAAAAATTATTCAAGACCTTGAGTCTACAAATCTGGCCAAGTTTGATGTTCAATGGCGTTTGAGAGACTGGCTTATTAGTCGTCAAAGATTCTGGGGAGCTCCAATTCCGATTATACATTGTGACTCATGTGGAACAGTTCCTGTTCCTGATGACGAACTTCCAGTGCTTTTACCCAGAGGCCTTAACGGCCCACTAAACACTAGCCCCGAGTTTGTTCATACTCATTGTCCTAGCTGTGGCGGAAAAGCAAAACGTGATACTGATACCATGGATACTTTTATGGACTCTTCATGGTACTTTTTTAGATATACCGATCCCCATAACACAAATGAGATCTTTGATTATAAAAAAGCATCAGAACTCATGCCTGTCGATATCTATGTTGGCGGAATTGAACACGCTATTTTACATTTGCTGTACTCCAGATTTATTTCAAAGTTCCTAGCTAAGAATGGAAATTGGTCTGGTGGTGACTTAAATGGTGAGCCAATAAAGCGCCTGGTCACTCAAGGTATGGTCCATGGTAAGACCACTGTGTGCCCAGAAACTGGAAAGTTCCTTAGACCTCACGAAATTGATTACGAAAATGATGATCCAAATAAACCATTGGTTAAGGCTTCACAGAAACCTGCTTTGGTATCTTATGAAAAGATGTCCAAATCGAAATACAACGGTGCTGACCCAGGTGAGTGTATTAAAACTCATGGTGCTGACGCTACTAGAGCACACATTTTGTTTCAAGCCCCAGTTTCTGATGTTCTCAACTGGGACGAGTCTCAGATTGTCGGCGTTAAAAGATGGCTTTCAAAGGTATCTTCTTTCACCACTTCTCTTGCTGATGCTATTACTGAATCAGCTAACAAAACACAAAATGTTTCTGAGTTTTTGGCAACTATCAAGGGCCAAGCTTATGATGTCAAGTTTGATAAATTATCTAAAGCCGAACAAAAAATGTGGATTGAGATTCAAAAGCTTATCAAATCCATTACTGATTCATTCCACGACTCCTTATCTCTTAACACTGTGATTTCTGATTACATGAAGCTTACAAATGCCATTCAAAATACATTTGGAACAGGTCCATTTGATAACAGATCTTTGCCTGTTGCGCTTTATGCCCTTGAAAAGCTTCTTAAAGTTATGGCTCCTGTTACACCTGTAAATGCATCGGATAATTGGCAATACTTGCAAAAAGCTCTTAATCCAGAACTTAAATCATCTTCAATTTTTGCTGAAGCTTGGCCGCAGCTAGAAGCTATTCCAGGTGCAGATTTGGGCCGTTTCTCTATCATTATTAATGGCAAGCGCAGATTTGTTATCAATGCTTCGAAATCACTTGCAGGCAAAGAGAAAGAATTAATGGATCTTGTTTATAATAGTCCTGAATCAAAGGAATGGCTTGAAGATAAAAACATCACTAAGATTAGTGTATCGCCAAAGGGATTTGCTGTTACCATTGTTACAAACTAACAGTATCTCCAAAACAATTTGTAAATATGTAAATAAAATGACTTTCGTCCAAGTTCCAGTCTCAATCTATTGATAATATATATTTCCATGGAAAAGTATTATGAGGCGACTAATTCAAGCAGAAAAGTTATGCCTTTGATCTATTTCTTCCTTTTATAGAAGAATTAGCGTTACTTCCCATTATTTTATCATTAGATGTCAAAGAAGCAGCTGGTTTAGAGGCTTTGACTTTTGACACCTTTGGGTTTTGATTCAAGGTTGTTTTTTGCTTTTTAGATAATGGTGACTTGGTCTTCAATGCAGCACTAGTACTAGAAGAAGCTGATACGTTTGTATCCGTAGTTGCTTCAATTGGCCTTTTAGAAGAAGTTAATCCGTTTTTTAGTCGATTATTAGGCCTACGTTCCATAAGTTTTCTCATTGAAGTGTATAACAGTGAATATAGTCCGGTATATCCATTTTCTTCCAAAGTATCAAGAAACGAAATCCGAAATTCAGCATATGCTAGACTAATACCCCCAGATGCTGAGTTTAATTTAAGAGAAGTGTATGTTGGTGGCTCCATAAGTCGATGAAATTTCTTTGGTGAATTACGAATACCATCCTTGGTTTGTGATTTTTCTATCGCTTCTACCTGTACTTTATTTTCAACAGATCTTAGGAACTTTGCTGCCTGTCTGGCAAACACAATAGAATGCGAAAAACCAAAAAGCATTGCTAGAGGAAAGCTTTCTTTTGCTGCAATTTCTTGAAGGATGCCAATAAACTTATGGCTGAGAGAAAAATATGAAGGAACAATCAAATCTGGAGAGCTTTTAGTGACAATTTCAAAAGATTTGTTAAGCCACAAAGAATTACAAAAATCAAGAACATATCCCTGGTATTGTATACTTCGATCCAATGGTTTTTCACGAATATTACTAAGATGCAATGGTTTCCATCGAACTAATAGATCAGAACAATGTGAAATTATAACTCCTGAACGAGACATAAAAAGATAATAAAGAAGATCAGAAGACATTGATAAAACAACTGGAAACACATTATGGTATGGGAACATTGCAATTTCTTTAAAGAACAATATTATGCTTAACGCCACTGTAACGTTTTCTTTAAACTTTTCAACGGCAAACAACCCATAATAGTCCACAAAACACACAACCGATCTTAAGGTACGACATTGTTCAGTAATGTTCAAATTGTCAACTTGACCTTTTCCTGAGAGTATTTGAATTCTCCAGTTTCGAATAAGCTGCGTAAGTAACTCGAAAACCCAAACTTGTCTGGAAGCATAATTTGACACAACCACCCTTTTCAAAGGCTCCAGAATTTGATCTTCAACAAACTCATGATAATTCATAGGTAGTAAACTAATTAATTTAAACATTAAGTCGCAATTTTGAATTCCATCCCAAATTGTGAGATATTCATATAAAAACTCTTCTGCCGCATAGGGGAACCTTTTAGTATACATGGAAAATGAAACAATTTGTTCAAAGTAAAATCGAAGGCCGGCTCTAGAAGAACCCTTTGTTATTATAGAAGTTCCTGGTCCACTTTGCTTTCCCATCACTGTCGAATTTTTTGCAGGATCAACTGCACCACGTTGAAATGTATCATAAAGATGCTGAAGAAGCCATGAATTGAATCGATCCCATTCGTTGCTTGAGCCTTTGTACAAAAGTAATCTTACAAGCATTCCTGAGTCACCATTGAAAATAGAACCCAGCTGATCAGGAAATTTTAACCTATGAAAACTAGAAACAAGTTGTTGAAGATTAACTATATTTTCCACTCCAAACTTTGGTAGATAAGATGACAGTGAATTAATGGTCGTAAATATAAGTGGAACACTTTGATTATCAACTGTAAATGGTATATTATTTAAGACAGATTTTTTCCTGTCTCCATTTTTGTTTTTTCCATTCAAAAGATTGGTTCTTTCATAATTATCTGAAATAAATGGGTGATGTGTTTTGTTAAGAGTACCATAAATTTCCTGAATTTGGTTTATTATTTCTTCCATGCTCAAATTTGGATGTTGAAAAAGTGTAGCACGAACCAAAGGAAGGCTGCCAACAAAAAGAAGAGGGGCGTAAGATTGGTAAAGACGTAAAAGTGCTGTGATATATTGTGAACTTGGAAATCTAACATAATATTCAGTGAGAAGTTGAATTCGCCACTGTGTCACAAAAGATTGAGAAGTGGATAAAAAAATCAGATGACAAACCCACTGACGCGTCGACTCATATGGAACCTTTGCTAAAATTGGAGTGTAAAGCTTGGAGATAATTAAAGGGTCCTCCAAAAAAGAATAAACAATAACTAGCCATTTTAAAAGAGCCGAATGAACAGAATGATGAATGTGAGATTTGTGATCATGCTTAATACCAATAATTGATACAACGATTTTTGAAGATACAAGAAAACGTGGATATAAAGCATCCCGAATGATAGCTATCTTATATTGAAGGGGTATTTTTATTTCAGAATTGGTAATAATTTTTATGATTTTTAAAAGAAAGTCATTATGAATACCGTATCTTTGCGAATAAGAAGAAAGTGTTGATATGGCTTCTTTTAAAACTGTAATGCCATCAGACGGAGTGTCTAAATCCACCGTTAGTATATTATTAAGAGATGTTTGAATTCTAAACTAATATATATATATATATATATTACATACAATTAACAAGTGTTGAAATAGCATCATCTAAATGCTTATCAACTTGTGATAAAGTGATATCCATCATAATGAATGGTTCTATAAGGGATATTTTTTCAAAGAAAAAGTTATAAAGTTATAAAATTATAAAATTATAAAATTAATAAGATTAATTAAAATGTTAGTGCATAAAGGATTAACAGGTTTCAGTTACCCTGAATATAGATATAAGGTATTATGTAACTATAATATTGAATTAATTGGAGATATTTCCAGACAGGGTAACACCACTTTTGTTTCCTGAATGTATCGATTTTAAGTACGATATCAGCAAAGTGATTGAACTAAGCTTGGAATGTATCAAATAAAAATAGGATCATGTATATGAAGTCCACCCCAATAACAAATTTATTAAAATATTTTCTATTCAAAAAATAAAATAAAATAAAATAAAACAAAGAATCGGTTACTTTGAATCCACATATTTAAAATTAATGGTATTAAATCCGAATATTGATGTTGTTTTCTTCCGGTTTTTTTGGATTTAAAAAGGAGCTTTACTTAGGCTCTGAAACAACCCAAGTACTGTGAAGCTTATTGAAACTTTCAAGAACCCCTGTTCTATCAATCATAGATCTGGCACGAACATATTCATCAGAAATCCAATATAAATCGGCAGACCGAGCGGAAATTTCGTTCTTACGTGCCTGGGATGTTTGGTTTGTGTTTTTATCAGATGATTTAATCCATTCGATAGTGGCTTCAATAAATTCTTGTTGTAGTTCTTCTTGTTGCAAAAAAATTTTTTCTCGAGTTGCATTGTCGTTAATTTTTGCGCTTTCTCCTGCTGGTGGCTCAATGTATTTGTACTGATAATCATCGCTGCCACCATGCTCCTTTTCAATATATTCAGGAGGAAAATATTTAAGCAGATCTTCATAACTTTTAGTAAAAACAATTTTTTGGGCAACAAATGGATCCATCCAATTTTTGATAATATTCCATATTCCGGAAAATACCCAAGGAGCCTTATGAATAATCATAAGACCAAGAGTTTCAGGATAGTATCCTTCAAAGCAAGCAATCAAAAATTTTACCACTCCGTAATCCATATTAGACAATCCAAACTTGCTAAGATCAAAAAAAACAGTAGCAGTGTCAACAGGATCTTTCAATAAAAGTCTACCGGTTTCAAGTAGGTAGATAGTAAAATCTTGTACCGATTTAAGCTCTTGAGCCTTAGGATTATGAAGATCAGAATGGATATGAACAACTGGCCTTCCATTTAAATCATACCCATAAATATAGCCCTTCCCTGATCTCAGTTGCAACATGAAATCGTCATATTTATTTTCAATTGCTCCAATTTCTCCTGTTTGCAAAAGTTTATCTGGATGACCTTCGGTAACCCTCCAATGAATAGTCTTTCCTATCATGATCAAAGCATTTTTGACGTTCCATTTCCGAGCTCTCAAAAATCTCAGCATCAGAGAATCAGGATGGTCGAATCTGACCATTTGAAGAGTCACTTTAAGAACTTGATCACCTGGAAGTTCTTTGATTGCTTCCTTAAAAGCCGCAAACTCCATTTCAGGAGTATCTTCAATAACTTCAACTTTTCCTCGCCCAAACCAGCTGCTTCCATTCTTTTTTTGTTTTGTATCTGCTGAATGTTGAGTTAAAGTCGAAACCGTTGTCTTAAGATTAGGGGGAAGGGATCCACAATAGTTTAGAAAGTGTGCCCACATATCCTTCAATTTCTGCTCTTGATCGAGGGTAAGGGTGGGAAGGCGCCCTTTACCGTAAGATACAGTAATATTTTTCACCATAATGCTTTCTTTCTAAAAGTAAATTCTGCAATCTTAATAAAGAAAAGAAAAGGAAATGAGTCTTTTTTTTTTTTTTAGTTTTTCCGTTCCGTCTGTTGAATTGTAAGTCGCTGATGACTTTAGTATCATAGGCTCTAAGTTAAATATGGTGGTGGCTTAGGTAACTTCTAACAGCCGTATATTATGTTACGGCTGTAATCAGCTACAAAATATCACAAAGAAAAAAAAAAATAAGATGGTTGTTGGAATGGGAGAGAAAAAACTAGTCATTTATATTCGTCTCATGAATCTCAGAAATAGTTTGCAAAAATACATTATTATTGCTTCTTCACGTTTTTATTTAAAACGATCTTCATAGTCGCATAAATATCTAATATGGTCTTGGAAATGCTTAAATACTATTTTTTGTGAAATCTTAAATTGCTTCTTTAAAACCAGAGCGAATAACATTTTGTCTCCCCTCTTTCCAGGTGCCAGTTTTGTCTAAGCATGTACATTATCAGAAGTGTTACTTTATATAAATTAAATATTTAATTTAAAAAAAAAAACGTTCATAATATTTTTTTGAGTCTTATGATGCAGTTAACGTATTTTTATCCAACCCAATAAGCTTAGCATGTTTTTTTCTTTCATAAATTTTGGAACAAAAACAGAGAAATATTTTGTAATTTTGACTGAAAATCCTGTAATCAACTGAAACTTTGAAAAATCAGGGAAAAAATGTAAGCATAAAACCAAAAAAGCGGGGTTACTCACACAGAGAAAAAAGTATTAAAGGATTAATCAAATTGCATTGATTACTTTTATCAATGTGTTAGATATAAGATTTAAATTTCACTGTAAGCCAGCTTAAAAAAATACTTTTTCCATACTGGTATCCGTTGATTAAAAATACTTAACATAAAAACATCAGTTAAAGGATCACCTGAAAACCAATATATATGGAGCAATAATAACATGAATAAGACAAATGTACATGTGCTTTTCAACCTTCAAAATTTGAATCGAAGAATGGTACTCGGAGCAAAATGACATATTTTAGCCGTCAATATTGACAAAGAACGCAATAAGATAACCAGTTTGTAACTCATGTAAATTTTTTCACACGTCTTCGAGCCTGGTTAAGTTTGGCGTTGGTTGTATGTGTGTTTTGGTCGAGATCATCAAGCATTTTATTTTGATGCTCAAGCTCTTCATAAATTTGTTGTCCAAGCTCTCGCTGTGTACGTATAGTTGTACGCAGGTTCTGAATAACATCATCTTGAGATTTCATTTCTTGTTCATGCATTTGAAGTAACCCAGAGTTGTTTAGTTGTCGAGTTTTATCTGTCTCGCTACCTCCCAAAATACGGTGATTTCCACTGTTCTTATTAGGCAAATTACCAAAAAGAGAATGTGCGGTGGAACTCTGAATAAAACTGGAGTTAGATGAGGCCTGAGAAAAGTTAGAAAAATACACAGATCATAAGGAAAGACTTACATTGCTTTTTTGCAGTTCGTCAAAAGTCATACTGGATATAATTGAATTACGGCGAGCATGTTCATTTTGAGAAAGAGAACGAGCTAGATCCTGGTAGATATTTCGGCGGCGCATATACTCCCCTTCACCAAGATTGTTGTTTCCAATTAACGAATTTTCCAGCTCCTGTAATTTGGATTTTGCTTTAAGATATAACTTTCTTTCCTCTGCAGTTCCGTTTCCTTGAGATATTGCGCCTGGTATACTCGAGGCTCCTCCAGATGATTCACGTATCAGTTGGATCATATTTCGAACCTCTGCTACTGCTTTTGCCCATTCAGTAGCTGATTGAAGATTGTTTTTCATTCGAGAATCACTTCTCATATGGGATGCCGTTTCAAGGAACTTTTGAAGAGCAAGAGCCTCACGCCACTCTTCTTGTTTAATAATTTGTCGCAAAAACAATTCTAATCTTCTCCTACGCTCTTTCAAAAATTCTTCATTTGTATTTCCTATCCATTTTTTTTCTGGAAGGGATAAAGGTGTAGGTTCTCCCATCTCTGCTTCGATTTCGGATGAAAATGTGGCAAACTCAGAATAACGTTTTCGCAAAACATATGAATTATGGCCAGCCAAAGCCACATGAATAACAAAATATACTGGTTTGGTATTACTAAATCCGGTTATTGAAACTTCCATTTTTTTTAAAAGAAATTTAAAAGCAGAAGTAGACTTTAGGATATATTCTATTAAATATAGATATATATTCAGATAGGCTTGTAATATTGATATATGAGATTGTTTCAAGAGAGTTAAGTTAATATGATAATAAAAATATATTTTTATGTGATGACGCGCCACCTCATGATAGAAAAGTAAATTTTAAACGTGCAATTCCTTTTAATTAAGTAACCTCACTTTTTTTTTTTAAATATATAGAGTCTATTGTAAGGAAAAAAAAAAATAAAAAAAAACTAATGTAATAAATGTCACAGCTTACAAAAATTTTTTAAAGTCGGCCACCAAAACAAAAAAATTTCTGCTAAATATTAAGCTTCGAACACCGACTTTCTCTGAGTAACCACTTTACCATAGCAATAGCACCAGCTTTAATATCAAAAACAGTATATAGAATGTCTGTTCGTCCCATTGTTGTCTCTGGCCCTTCCGGTACTGGCAAGTCTACTCTTCTTAAGAAACTTTTTGCGGAATACCCTGATAAGTTTGGGTTTTCAGTTTCTCGTAAGTCTGAAATCCATTTACATATATTTATTTTTATAAACATTAACTATTTATAACTTATTTAGACACTACAAGAAGCCCCAGACCTGGCGAAGTAAATGGGAAAGACTATAATTTTGTCACAGTTGACCAGTTCAAAGAATTGATTGATAAAAAAGGATTTATTGAATGGGCTCAGTTTTCTGGTAATTATTACGGTACTTCTATTGATGCTGTTAAACGTGTGTTAGAGAAAGACAACAAAACATGCATATTGGATATAGATATGCAAGGTGTTAAGAGTGTCAAGAAAACGGATCTTAATGCTCGATTTCTGTTTTTGGCACCCCCTTCTCTTGAAGATCTTAAAGCGCGACTCACAGGCAGAGGCACTGAATCTTCTGAATCACTAGAGAAACGACTAAAACAAGCTGAGGTTGAACTAGAATATTCTAAAGAACCTGGTGCTCATGATAAAATTATTGTCAATGAAGATCTTGATAGAGCATATCAAGAATTCAAGGATTTTATGCTTGCTAATGAGTAAATTTTTATTGATTTAAACTTGCAATCCCAAGCTTGACTTCATGCTAAAAAATGATATAATTATTTTTGGGATTTTACGAGCAAATATCAACTAATTTAATACATTTCTATTTTTAATTACTCTATTCATTTAGAAATATTTTTTATTTTTTTATTTGTTTGGGAAAGGCCTCTTTACTGCTCAGAACAAGAGTCTGTCGTTCTCGTGATATATACCCTTTCATTCTTCCTAGGTATATCATATCTGCTAAATAGCATTCCACTTGATCGCTGTTTGTATCTTGATTTTCATCCCCAGCAAATTTCAAAGCTTTTGAAAAGAGACTGATGCTAAGACGAGTGGGATTGCCCATTATTAAATATACCTTTTTAAAAAGTCTTGTGTATACAAGAGCCTGAATACGCTCAATTGCAAGGTATAGATATTTTTTGACTAACACCGACCGACGTTCCATCATAACCTTATTGAATAAACTGACATTTCCTTGTAATAAAGCCTCAAACATATCTTTATATAAATATTCCAATATAGGATATTTTTTCCAAATTTCTGCATTAGGTGTTTTGCGTGTAGTGAGAAATTGTGCTGGAATAAGATACATTAATATCAACTCCTTATTACGGTTTGAGAAGTTGTAACATTGGGTTAAAGCTTTAGATAGAGATTCTCGAGCAGTTGTGTAGTCTTCCTCAGCAAAATAAATTACACCCGTGTAATATGAAAATGTGGTAGAGTGACTTTTAGGGTATTGTTCCAAGGATGGTAAATCTATTCTCATACTTTTTAAAACTTTCAGAACGCTAGTTGCCATTGATCTGTTATTCAACTGATTAAGTTAGTTAGTAAGTTCAAGAAGACTAAAAATGTTCATACTTTAAAATATATTTTAAAAAGCTCTCCAACAAAAAAATATACACCCCATTTTTTTGATTTTTCAATATCCGGATTACGATCATTTAAGCAAATTTTAAACGATCTATTTATAGTGCGTGTCGCTTCCTCAAGATTAACCGAATCTTTGATTGATGAAGTGTTACGGTCCTTTGAAGAACTTTCATCTTCATTTTGAGAATCAGCCTAAATTTGTTAATTCATAAACTAAAAAAAAAAAAAAAACTCTTACCATAATAGAAAGTTGTCGAAGTTCCTTTGATACAAGAAACATCACAGGTAGTACCCAATTATCTGTTGATTCTGCTGCTCGGTTTACAGCTCTATAATATGATGTCAGTAATTGTTTCTAATTTTTTTTTAGTAAATTTCAATAAAATATGTCAGCAGTCTTACCCCAAAAGCGCGTTTTGAGCAACATATGCATCTTTTAGATTTTGATATTTCACGACCTGTTCTGCAACTTTCCAATGACAAACTGCAACCTCTCCCCATTGTTTATCTAAAATCTTTTTGCGAATAGTTTTGTCTACCATCGCTTCATTGGTGTACTCTCCCAAGGCATTGAGAGAAGAATCCGTAATGGATAGTAGTTTAGAAATAAAAACTCCATCTTTTTTAACAATAGCTTGGTTTAATTTTGAAGCAAAATCAGACATCTTATTTTTAAAAAAAAGATTAAATTTGAAGCTTTTTAATGTAGATAAATTAATTATTTTATGTTCGTTTGCTGGTTATCATGAAACAAGGAAATTTTTGTTTTACTATATCTCTATTTTTTTTAAAAAATAAAAAAAAAACTGCCATAAAGCTTTAAATGTTAAATTTTAATTCCTAAGTCTTAGGTCTTAAGTATTACAATTTGCTTTAATTATTGCTTTAGGGAGGGGGCGATGTTTTCACTCTCCCATACCAGAATTGTTTTACTCTTCTTACCCCTTTATGGACAACAACAATCATATATTGAAAAATAAAAAAGTTATGAATACAAAAACTAATGAACACCAGCACACAATTGTTGAGGACTGTCATCATAAAAAATAAATTTTATCAAGGTTTTCGAACTGAAAGAGACTGAAGAATTGATCAACTACAAATATGAGCCGCTAAAATTAAGTAAGACTCACAATAGAATCCGTCATTTTCCTGGAAATCAAATCCATTTTATAATCAACTCGTCCACCTAAAGTTTTTTTTTCTAAAAATGCTTAGAAAAACTGATACATCAGAGGAAATAGCTAAGCGTGAAAAAATCAGTGCGTATTACCATATTAGCAAATCTGGGTCCTAAAAACGCCGGAATATCTTTAATACAACAGCTGAAATATAAAATGGAAAGCGAGCTAAAGTGGTTGAAGATGTTGTTAAAATAAATTTTTTGCGACTAAGGATTCCGACAAATTTTGCTGTACTCAAAGAATTTAAAGTTGGGGTTGTAAACTACTGGAACAGTGATAATGGCAGTGGATGTATAATTATTGGCTTTATTATATTGATCATAAAGACTGTGTTAGTGAGCCATCAAAATTTCTTATATCATGTTCTCATGTTATTTAAATGAGAAATATTATACACTTCTGTTAGGATCATTGATGATGGAGAGTTATCAATCTTTGTAGATTTATCATTTGTGAAATACAATTGAATGGACAGTAAGGCAGTAAGAACTGAGGAGTATGATAATAAGCGAGATTTTAATCATGATTGTAAGCAGTATATGAATATTTTTTTAAGTTCAATATAATTTTTAACGTGTTGAAAATTCGAAGAATTCAGAACGTTGCTTTATAATATTAAGAATGTTTACAATTTTGGAGTGCCAGTAAAGGGGTTTTCAAATGATCGAGAAAGCTTTCTAAGAAAAGGTGTTCTTGATGTTAAGAGGTTAATGATTTCTCCAAAGTTGACATATCTTAATATGGTTGCCGAAAACTTTCGCATTTTTATTCAGCAAATTTGTTCGATAAAACTTTACTAAAAAACTACTAGGAAGAGCATGTGCATACTCCGTCTCTTAATGAAGAAGGAACTTCGCCTGTAAATCTCATTTCATCCACAGGATTGCGGCCCCATGATTCTTGAAAAGGGTTTAATGCCATATGCAATACATCGCTAAGGATTTTGTCATCAGTATTTTTTTCCATACGATCAATCACCTCTTGCAAAATCCAATTTCTAAGAATAAATTTGGGATTGACCAAATCCATATGTTTTTTTCTCAAGGAATCATCGGTGTTCCCTTCTTCTTTCAAACGGCGGCGATAAGTATGAAGCCATTCCAAAAGCTTTTTGCTACTGTCTTCAACACTAATGAGAACAAAAGCTCCTTTCTTTGATGGATAAAATTCTTTCAATTCATCAAGAATATCAGATTCGTTTAAATCCTCTTCCGAAAAAAGCGAAATATCTCCCAAACTCCGAAATGTTTGATTAAAGTCCAATCCTCCTTCAGCCATAATTTCTAATAGGGGGTTAAATATTTCACTTTCATCAGTCAGCTTTAATGTTAAAAGACCCAACCTCTTTTGAAACCCCTTATTAATTGTATCTTGATAGACATCCTTATATTCCTTCTCCGCAGCAGAAATCACAGATACCGCTTGTTCTTGAACACTCTGAGCATATTCTTCATTAAGATAGCCCTCTTTGTCTTGAAAATTGGGATCATCTAAATGTGTTCCTGCCCCCAGTAAAAGACCAAGATCTTCTCCTAATTTAACTAAATTCCACCACATAGAATCATAAATATTACGATAAGAATAGCGAAGGTGGCCATCATCATGGTTCGGTGTATATGACGGGTCAAATGTATCCATAAAGGCAAAAGGACCATAGTCTATCGAAAGCCCAAGTACTGATGTATTATCTGTGTTTAAAACACCATTCAGTAAGCCATAAGTTTGACAACGAGCTAGCATAAATGCATTTCGTCGAACTATTTCTCTGTAGAGACGAACGTATTTGGAATTTCTTGTAGCTTCATTTTCATCACCTGAAATAATTACTGCTTCTTGAGGATTTACAAGCTTATCTTGACCACCAAAAACTTTATCTATTACAAAGTCGGCAAGTAAACGTAAATTTTTGCCACGGTTTTGCCTGCGTGCTAAATCAAAAGTTCCAAGGCGTACCCAAGATTCAGCCATACGAGTCACAATAGCACAGGATTCAAACTTCTCTCTGCGTGCAATTGTTTTTGGAAGTGCAGTTATTGCAAGTGCTCGTGAAGTTGGAATGCCTAATGCGTTTGCAGCTTCAGAACCTAAAAATTCTCGAATTGACGAACGGAGAACCGCTTTACCATCTGCAAACCGTGAAAAGGGAGTTAAACCTCCTCCTTTAATTTGAATTTCATACCGCTTTTCTGTTTGAGGATTTGTAGCTTCAAAAAGATTAATAACACGACCATCGCCTAGTTGACCAGCCCAAGTACCAAATTGGAACCCAGCGTAAGCTTGAGCGTAAGGATATGGTTTATCTAAATGTTTCTTTCCAGAAATAATATCTTGAAAAAACTCTGTGGATGCTTCGTTGGGGAGAAGACCTAAATCTTGAAGGGCAGAAGGGGAATGAAGGATAAACTTGTACTCTTCACGTTTTTCCGGACGGATATATGAATAAAAGCCATCATCAAGTACACGAGCTTGTCGCAGTAGAAATTCAGGTGCAATTTTTGATACATCTGGAGATGGAATAAGAGGATCAGGAGGAAGGAATTCTGTAAATGATGAAGTTTTATGGATGTTAGATAATGTTGTGAGAGGTGCTTTTCGAGATTGAGAAATAAAGATATCTTGATTCATTCCAAAAGTAGGCATAGTGCGGGACCATAACATAAACTGTTTCTGTAAAATCGAAATGGCTGAATATTTTCGAAATTGATAAGTCATTAAGATTTATTTTGAAGTGAACTTCAAAAATTTGTCCTAAAGTAAAAAGAGGGGTATAATCAAGTATAAAAAAAGCGTACTTTTTGAAAATTTATTCAATATCAATATTTTGTTTTGCACGGCCATAAGGAAAAGCAATTATATTTTTTTTAGAAATTCCCTTAGTTGTTGTGATGACTAATATATTTTTATTATATAATATAAATAAATGTGGGGATTAAAGGTTTTAAAATTTAGATAAAATAACCTGTTGAACGCTAATATAATTTATTTCAAATATAAACTTACCTTACACTTCAAAAAAAAAATTCAGACATAATAAGAGCAATTTTTTAAAATCTTAGACACATTATATCAATAAGTAATAGTCAACTAAATATTTTTTCCATCAATACCCTAGAGAATTTTTATCACTCCTTACTTTCTTTTAAAATACTAAAGTTAATCTTAGGAAGACGTGTAACCTCTTCAACCCGTTGAACAACCTCATAAAGAGAGTTAGGAATGTTCCGTACACGTGGAATATGACTATTGTTACTTGACCCTAACGAGGAAGAACCACTTCCTAATTCATCTCCTTCAGAAGAATTAAATGGATTTAGTGTAGCCTCCCGCTCGTAAAACGGATACATTTTCACAAGACGTGGATTTTTTGAAATATCTTCAGTTACTTCTGCTAGGGCATGGATGTGCAAACATTGTTCGACTGCTTTTGTAATAATAGTTAATTCATGATTTCGATAAACCTTCATAAATGGCAAATGCTGATAAGTAAAAAATATGCTGAAACAATTGTTATGAGAAAGTGATCGTGCCTGAAAAAAAGTGTAACTAATCTTTCTAGTTTCAAAATAGAGACTGAGTTGCGAAGGTGTCATACTTTTAATAAACTCTCGACAACAAGCATTTATAAATGTAACATAAAATTTATCTGAAATAGAAGGTTTACCATAAAGTTTACCTAACTTTTGGATAAAATATGCAAAATATACCGATATGGTAGGATTATGAATTAACCCTTCTTTTTTTTCAGAAGTGATCAAAGCTTTAGCTTCATCTTCTAAAAACAAATACTTGTCACAAGAGATATTTAATAGAGGATTGCGCAATGAGCTCACAGTCGACATAGCTGGATTTTGGCGTTTGTTTTCTCCAGTAATTTCCACATCCCCATTATCAGAGTCTGATTCATCAATAATGTATATCTTATGTCTGTCATGAATATTTTTGGAAGAACTAATGCTTTTCCTTGATGTTTCAATGGTGTTTTTACCACTTGTAAACTTTTCGTTAATTTTTTCTGGCGCAGCCCCTTTTAAAGATTGAAGAGGATGACTTGTGTGAGAAGTGATGGTGGATTTTGAAATCGACGACTTTTGTTGTACCATTTTAGATGCAACTGGTTTTTTATTAGATGCATATGGTTTATCTGTAATCTTTTGCTGTGAAGGGTATTGTGATGCAACCTCTGTCATAATCGTAGAGACCCGATTAATTATTTGCTCAAAGCTTGGAGACTTAAAAGCGTCAGTAATTTTGAGTTGGAAAGATGAAAGAACTCTATCAAACACTTTTTGATGTATGTTTTGCATTTCATTTATATCAGGTTCAAAAATAGTCTAAATTTGTTAGCTGAATCTGTTCATGCTTCAAAAATGAGATTTTCTTTTTTCATACCGATTTTAAAAACTGTGTGTATGATTTAATGATAGCGTTTCTCCAAGCTTCATAAGGTGCGCCCACTGGAATATCTAATTTATCGAGGTATTGTGGTATTTTTAATTCATCTGACGTTGCTTTAGATAAACGTTGGCTTGAGGTTTTCGGATTACTGATAGATGGTTCATTTTCTACATGTGACATAGAGTGTCTCAAGAGGCCTTCCTTTGAATGCAAAGCACGCTGCTCAAAAATAGCAGAAGGAATCACGGTCGATTTATTTATATCTGCCAACTTATTTGGTTTTTGTTTCTGGGCTGCTTGCTCTTTAGAAATAGGGTCTCTGAATAATTTGCTCTTTGATAATGTTTTAGATTGCAAGGTTTCAGCATATTTGATTTTATCTAGTGTCTTACTAGAACCGACTTTTTGGGCCTGTGTGGTATCATTAAGTTCATTTTCAGCACAAATTCTTTTCCCTTTTTCAATTAAAGAAAAATCTTGATTGAAAATTTCTTTGACACTGTTTGCAATATCAGTTTGTCGATTTTGATTCAAGCTAGATAACTTTTGGGTATTATTGTCACTCTTCCAAACGTGAATCGTTTCGTTAACTTTCACTGATGAAATCTCTGAACCGTTCGTAGTATAGCTAGGCACATTTTTGTCATTAGGAAATGGATTATTTGGTGATTTAACTGAAGACAAAAAACTGCTAATATTATCAATTTTTTTTAACGATGAGGCTTCCAAATTGTTTTCAGAAATTTGCGATGTTGGGTTTTCTACTTGGAATCCAGTTAGTTTTATATTTGATTCTGGTTGCAAATGGTGGCTATCAAAATCGGAAACAACGTCTTTTAAAGATTTACTCCGTTTCTTCTCTCGGTATTGATCTCTGTTTTTTTTTCGTTTTTTTCTTTTATCCGAATTATATACTTTATCGCATGAGATTTTGCTATCAACCAAATAAGCACTAGCATTTTGTTTCAATTCATCATAAGCTTTTTGGAGTACCGTAAACATCTGTCCAATAAATCTTTTAAAAGGATAGTCTTCGCTGAGTTCAATAGCAACATCCATTAAATTCCCACTTCCAGCTTTTAAATTGCTGTTTAACCTATCGGTAATCTCGGTAACCCTTTCTTGTGCTGCAGGAAACCCCTTAAGAACAGAAAACTCATCATTTACAAGCTCCATCATTTTAGTGAAAAAAACGATTCCACTGTTTGGTAAAGATTGCTGAATTCTCTCATGGATATTTTTGTGGATTTTTGCTAAACATAATTGGGTGATCGTTTCAACCCATGTACTAATTATCCAATGATCAGGGGATATATCAAAATCGGTTTCGTGTTCTTGTTCTTGTTCTTGTTCTTGCTCATTTTTCAACAATAAAAAACAACTCGGAATGGCATCTGATAAAGAAAATAAATCATTGTATTTAAGTGGGGATATTGGAACTTCACCCAGGGATTCTTGCTCGATTAAATCGTTATAGTCGTATGGAATAAATGGCTGTGCAAAACACAAATATATCACAGCAGTCGAAAGATTAAGAATATATATACTTTGTTGCTCTTTTCCAAATGATGGGAATACCGCTGATGGTACTACGTATTCAAGAGAATGAAATGGAACTTTATAATAATTGATAAGATAGTAGTACTTTTGTATAGAATACCCATGTCCCCCATAAACGTTTTCTTTTAATTGAGTTCGAAGATCATAAATATCCAGCTTAAGAACGAAATTGAGAAACATGCTCATATCTCTTATTAATTGGTCGGTATCAAAACATATAAGTTCAAAGTTTACAGGGACTGACTCTGGGCATTCCCCGAAGGGATTACTCCCAAACATTGTATAGACTATTTAAAAAGGTCAAATGTCAATAACAATAAAATAAAATTGTAAGGATATATTAAAAAAAATTCTGTAAATGAAAAAAAAAATTCATAATAGTAGCCATATGGTAAGGTGAAAGTGACAAAACAGTGATGGATTATTAGCATAAATACATTTCATAACAAAGTATAATTTTTACAAAAAAATAAGGGCAAGGGTTATTATCCCACAAGTAGCAACTCCTAAATAAACTCGTTCTACCTTATACGCTCTCTTCTATCCATCATAAGTAATTTTTAGTCTAATAGAAATATCGTCAGCACGTTTTGTTTCTTGGAACTGCCTCGACAGTATACGAAATTTTATCTGGATTGCGATGAAGAAAAAGGAAGCATATCATACTGAATTGGAGGGCTCTTAGTATTGAGACCTGGATAAACCCAACAAAACTTACCCGTGTCTGAAATGTTCTATTCATGTATGAATTGATCTTTAGTAATTGAATTTTATCATCAAGAGGCTCGTAGTATTTAAATTTTTACATATTTTTCTAAGAGCGTCTCTGATACCCGGTATTTCTAGTTCTAAGTCTAAAATGTAATTTTCGCTCATAAAAATTTTGGAATATCTAACTTGAGGTTTTGATGAAATTTTTGAATGGTTGATATCAAGCAATACCAATTTATAATAAACTCTTATACTTCAAAAACACTTTTAAAAAAATAGACAAAAGAATGCAATGTCAAGTCAAGTAATCAATAAGTCATGAACCCCGGTAATATAACGACTCAACTCTGCAAACCCCTATTAGTTTTTTAGTAACAGGGAATCTTAGATTCCAAGACTTAAACTCTTGATGAACGATATGTTTAAATATTCTGTTATTTCAGGTAAAAACTTTGGTTTAAAATGAAAAAGGACATTTAAACTTTGTTCAGTAAAAAAAGAGAATCTATTTTTTTTTTGGCATTAACGCATTTATTATAACTCAAACTTACATTTGTATTTAATTTATTTTAATTTGGGACCATGCCTAACTTTAAGTTTAACTACAAATAGTTAAAAATAACAAAAATGTTATAGATTTAAAATCTACTGTACAATATTTGAAAAGCTAAATAGTTTTTCGTCACCATTTTATGACTAATCACGTTAGGTTTCTTTTAAAAGCTTTTTTGCTTAAAAAGACAATAAATTTAATTAAAAATCTAAACCTACTCCAAGTTATTATGATTCATACCTATTTGCCTTTCTATTGTTTAAATGTACGCTAAGCGTAGTGATATCAAACTAAAAAATACGAAAATTGAAAATTAGGATTAACTTCAGTCAGACAGAAAAATACAAAAATACAAGACCGACAATATTAATAAAATTTTTCAACGTTAATCTATTAAGTCATCAGTCATTAAAAAGCATCATAAAATAAGTATATTTTTTTATTAAAAAAGGCATCAAATATTTCAAATGAAATAATTTACTCCTCCTCTTCCTCATCATCATCCTCCTCTTCGGCCTCATCATCAGAAACAGAGAGATTGAAGAACTTGAGCTCGTACTCGCCCTGGGAAGAAGCAACAAGACGGATCCAGTCACGGAGGTTGTTCTTTTTGAGGAACTTCTTGGTCAAGTACTTAGCATACTTGCCAGAGAACTTGGTCAAAGAAATAATGATAATCTTGTTGCCCTCACGAGTGACAGTGACAAGATCACCAAGGTTGGAAGTACGGCCGTCAACCTTAATGTGCTCGACGAGGAACTTCTCAAGAGCAGCAACATCAACAACTTCATTGTCAGCATTGACAGCGACGTTGATAACGTACTTCTTGGGAGACTTCAAGATAACTTGCTTCTTCTGCTATAATACATAAAAAAAAACCAGCATAAATAAAAAACTTATCAAATTAACAAATACTAAGATTGAAATCTTAGAATAATGAAAATTTGATCAGTTTAATAAATGAAGGTAATAAATGATTAGCAAAACTGCCTACTGCCTCAATAAAACTATTCAAAAAAAGAAGACAAGTCCAATGAACAGCAAAGCTTTCATTTTGCTAATTAAATAAAAAAAAAGCATGGAATTGTTTGTAAATTATCACTAAAAATTTTACTTACAACAGGGGCCATTTTTGAAAGTGTTTTAGTTTCTCGTCGATTTTCTGAACAAGTTGTTGAAGAAGGTAAAAAAAAAAGCTGGAGCAATAGTAGAAAAATATATAAAAATTTTGTTCGTTGCACTCAATATTTGAAAAAACATTAAAAAATTTTCAGTGATATAAATTATGAATCATGTGACATATTTAGGGTTATGTGACTGTTTTATTAGTAGGGTTATAATAATAAAATTTACGTTAAGTAATTTAAGTATTAAGTAATTTAAGTATTAAGTATTAATCATTAAGTCATAGGTAATATTTGATAAAAACATTGTTATTTTGAAGACGTTATGTAATCATTAATATGCTTTAGGTTAGCAGGGTTTATTACCAGGGCCAAGAAATTGCGGACTTCTGGAGAAACTCCGAAAAACGCCTAAGCTCGTTTTTTATTTTTGTCACACTTCGAGTTTAATCTTCTGAGCATAATTATTAACCAGTACTGGATAAAAATATAAAAATATAAAAATACATATTACGTAGTCGACAAGTCAACTGGCAAAGAAACATCAGGGTATCTTTACATAAAACGCATTAAGAGCAACAAAGAGCTTCGAATAGTTTTTAAATAAAACAAAACTCCGAGATAAACTTCTTGGCTTTTTAGATGAAAATTCTTAGGAACAAATTTTCAAAGCTTTTCGTATTCACTGAAAACATTTTTAAAAACTTCTGATGTCTAAAAAACCCATCCATTAAAGTTTGCAATGTTTTGACAGTTCATCCTTCTACATATGAATTGGCCCAATAAAAAGCAATGACATTAATGCAATTCCTTATAAAGAATTCTAATTAGAAAACACGACACATTAAATAGCTGATTAACAATTGAGAGTGTTGAATGGGTTTTCAATAAAGCAAAACTCCCGCATTAACTTCTTGGCTTTTCAAATGAAAGTTTTTAGGAACAAATTTTCAAAGCTTTTCATACACTGAAAACATTTCATATTTTTAAGAATGACGCATCCATTAAAATTTGAAATATTTTGACAGCTTATTTTTCAACAAATGAATTGATCCCATAAGAAAATAGGATGCTAGTAATTTCTTTTTTTCTTACTACAGTAGCTTAATAAATATTATGCTAAATGAACCATGTCATGAAAATTATTTGATGTTTTCTTTTTTTGTAAATAGATATCGGATAATTGAACAATGCTGATCAATAAGTAGTGATATCGTAACAAAAAGCTCTGCTCTTAAATTTAAGCTTGAATTAGCATTTTCTTATCACATAACTATATAATAAGCATATTTATAAAAATAATTTTCACTTTGTAGCATTATTTTTTTCATCAGTTATGTTTTTCAGGGAACTAAAATGGTAAAATATCTGATCATTTCATATCAAATCAATTAACCATCAAATATTTCTATTGATATATTGTAATACTTACTTAATAACATCAAAAATCTATGTTTTTAAAACTCTAGAGACAAGCTAAAAAAGGGGGTTATACAAACCGTTTTGAGAAAAAAAAATTATTTGTCATCCATGATGCGTAAACTAGAATGATTCATAGCTAAAAGTCAGAAAGAGTTTTTTTCTCTTGGCTTTTATTTACGTGGGCACAGCTTGTGTAATGATCCTTCATGTGGCTAGAACAGTGTAGTCAAATTATTCTCCGATGATTTTGCGAAAAGTTTTTTTTTTTTCCAGTTTTGGATGCTCTGATTGATTGATTGATTGATTGATTGATTGATTGATTGATTGATTGATTGATTAGATAATTACCATTTTGTTAAACCATTTCAAATATCAGATCCAGTTTTTTTATAAATACTGTTATATATAACCCCACGATATATTGTTATTTAAAATTTTTATATTATTAAAAAAAAAATAGTTGGTTTACCGACCACCATGAACACGTCAGAAAGTGATAATTCAAAAGTGAGTCCTATCAAGGATTCATCAGAAAAAGATTTAGTTGAGATCTCAAGTAATTCTATGTCTTTCAATGAGGTTAAATCTAAAAGAAACTCTGAAGAAATCCCAAGTGAAGTGAAGAAAGACTGTGAATCAGATTCAGATGTTAGCCTTCAACCTGGTGTTCAAATGGTTGAACTACTTCGACACGCTTGGCCTAAGAAACTGTTGTACATTGCCTATGGATCCATTGTTCTATCTTCGTTAATCGTCAATTTTTCAAAATATGCTTCTGGGACATATACACCTTTTGTCACTAGCGATTTTAATACGCATTCTCTTCTATCAACTGCTGGAGTTCTTGAAAGAATTGCTAGCATAGTCTCTTACCCAATTGTTGCAAAAACCTCTGACTTTTTTGGAAGAGCTGATGGATTTTCCCTTGCATTCACAATTATTATTGTTTCATATATTATGTATGCTTCTTGCCAAAACATATATACCTATGTTGCTGCCTCTGTATTTGACTCCATTGGTGATGTATCATATGCAATTATGGTACAAATATTTATATCCGACACTTCTTCTTTTGCTAACCGTGGATTTCTTTTATCTCTTCCCGAAGCAATTACAACAATTCCCACTTTATATCTGGGTTCTATCGTTGCAGAAAGTATGCTTGATCATTCAACATGGAGGTGGGGATATGGAATGTGGGCACCAATTATCTTCTTTATTGCGCTGCCACTTATTGGAATACAATGGTATCTTCAAAGAAAAGCCACTCAATCTGGTGTTGAAAAAAAAAAAATCCGAATCTTTCAAAATTTTAAACAGGGTGATTCCATTTGGAAAAAGATTTATCGTGTTCTTTGGATTGAACTTGATTTGGGGGGTGCACTTCTTTTAATTGGAGCCTTGTCTCTAATTCTAGTCCCCATAACACTCACAGGGAAATCATACTCTTATCGTTGGCATGATGCTTCGTTCATTGCTATGTTTGTTGTGGGATTTGTGCTTCTTGGTGCCTTCTTATATTGGGATACTAGAATTGCTGAGAAGCCATTTATTCCTTACAGAATGATTAAACACTGGACTGTGATTGCTGCCTTGTTAATGAATGCTTTTGATTTTTGTGCGTATGCAATTTACACAAGTTTTTTCCCAAGTTTTCTTCTTGTTGGAGCTGGGTATTCGGCTGGTCAGTCTACGCGTGTAGATAATTCTCTTAGAGTATCATTTCAAATATCATCAGTTGTTATTGGTCTTTTCATGAAATACTTTCAAAGATCAAAAATATTTGTTCTTATTGGAGTGCCTCTCTGTATCTTAGGTCAAGGCCTCATGATATATCTTACAAACATTAATGGAACACATGTTGGCTCTGAAGTGGCATTTGTGACTGCTAAAGTACTTTATGGTATTGGGCGTGGTTTTTATCAAACATCTCTCCAAGTATCTGTTCAATCAGTAGTCACAAAGCAGGATGTTGCCGTTGTTACCGCATTATTTTTTGCTGCGATGAGTCTCGGTGGTGCGATAGGTGTTTCAATTGGAGGAGGATTTTGGAATAACTACCTACCTGAAAGGTTAGTTGAATTTCTCCCAGAAGAAGCACAGAAAAATGCCACAAGTATCTTTAAAAGTATAACTGTTGCTCGAGCCACAAAAGGAGAAATTAGAGAAGCAGTTAATACTGCATATCGACTCACGCTCCAAAAATTGGCCATTATGGGCACTTGCTTTCTAATTCCTCTTCTTTTATTAATGTTCTTTATTAAAAACACACATCTTAACACTTCAGAAGAAGAAATAAATTCTGAAGAGGAAGAAAAGGAAAGAGTAAAGAATCATGTCATAACACATCATGAACAAACTTCACCAGAAGAAGGGCCCGTGATCAAAAGCTCTATTATAATTCAAGAAAAAATTTAATTCATCAATTCAAAATTTTTAGTTTAATAATCAAGTAGACATTAATAAATTTTTATTTTTATTATTTAAAAACAGAAAATGAAAAAAAAAATCTGCTCTGAGGTATTCCCTTAAATAAAAACAAACAATACTCTGAGGTTTTGAATTAAAATAATTGGCAGTTACAAGTTTTTGCTAATTTCAATGTTAAGGGTTTAGCTAACATTAATGCTACTCCTAACTGTTACAAGAAATTTTGTTAAAAAAAGACTACGTAAAGGTTTCAGCAAATTTTTCATTTTATAGTATTATGGTATAAAATCCACAAAAATTTAAAATTCACAAATATACAAAATATTCGAAAAAGATATTTTATTATTTTAATTATTTAATAAAAACTAATCTGTTTAGTCGAAAAGACCAAAGCCCATGTCATCATCGGACTCCTCTTCCTCCTCAGCAGGAGCCTCCTCAGCGGCAGCAGAAGTCTCGGCAGCAGCAGCAGCAACAGGAGCAGCAGCAGCATAAGCATCAGGGTTAGCAATACGGTCCTTGATAGCCTCAGAGCCCTCAAAGGTGTACTCAGTGGCAATAGAAAGAGCAAGAACGTTCTTGTAGTGGTTGATGATGCTGTGGCTGACAGCAGGAAGAGTGGGGTAGTTGGCAGCCAAAGAGATAGTAGCAATGGTCTTAATGGCACCAAGGAAGTGGCCAATAAGCTCATCATCAGTGATATCAAGAATGGAAGGAGCAAAAGTCTGGCCATTGTCGTAAACAATGCTGACAGTCATACCATAAGTGAAAGGGGAAATGTTCAGCATGTTCAAAAGGGTGGCCTCGGAAGGACCAACCTTGTCGCCAGCAGCAAGAACCTGGACATCACTGATAATTTCAATGGTACCACGGTTAATCTTGGTTGGGATACCAAGAGCCTGGAAGAATGAAGTCTTACCGGGTTCCATACCAGTGTTGGTGGCGGGAACAATAACAGGCTTAGGAGCAACGGCACCAGCACGGGCAGGGGCAGCAACCTTGTTGGAAACAATGATGTCACGGACAGTCTTCAGGTCAGCGTTGGTGAAAACGAAACCAATGTTTCCCTTGATGAGAGGAAGAAGGACATCAAGAGCAGGGACCTCCTCGATAAAGTCACGGAAAGCACGTCTCCACATGGTGTTCTTACCCATGAGAACAACAGCATCATCGCGAAGAGCCTTTCTAATCTCATGCATCTGCTGAGAAGAGACGTTGTCCACACCGACAACGAGAATGCTCTTGTACTCATCAACCAAGGAGCGGAGCTTGGCGAAGTATTCGGTCTTCTTAGCGGATATGCCTCCCATTTCGACTCTTTATGATTAGTTAGTTGAGGATAGGATGTTTAAAGGCGTATCTAAACGGCTTTTGTTTGCTTGATCAAAAATCAGAAAGAAGTTTGAATAATAACAGAGAAAAAAAATTTTCCAGGCTATTAAAGTGAAAAAAATTTTTGAGTGGGTTTAAATTTTAATGAGGTTAGGTTTGGTTGTGGTATGAGATTTACTTTATTAAATAATTTATATCATGGATGGAAAAATTTCCGTATTGCAAATACGATTATTACAATTACATAATTAAAATTTTGGTTAGTTTTTTAGTTCATGAAAAATCCATAATAAAATGGTAGACTTCTTTGGGGGAACATGAAGGTACACTTATGCTAACTTGGAGAAAGCCAGACACTTGATTAAGATGTTTCTGTCTCCGTTGACATCTCTGTCAAAAGAGATTCCACACAAACCACAATGGTATACACGATCGCTCAGAAGCAGGATAGCTTTTACAGTCCCGCAATTAGTGCACGTCTTGCTGGTGTACTCTTTAGTCATCCTAGAGAACTTCGTGTATGTCATTTGGCTCTTAAAGGAAAAGCGCCGGTAAAACGAGCGGTGCAAACTTGACATCAAACGTTTTTTGATCCCCTTGTTTCTGCTAACACCAACCAATTGTTGATTTTCGAATGGCGACAGTACTATGTTTTTGTAGTTGGTAGTAAGATTTTTGATGGTTGATGGTTTGTTAGAGATTGTCGGTCACTATGTTAGTGATTTTTTCATAGTACTTAGAACATTTTTTGGTCTTTCCAACAGACTGCATCGCTTCAATCTTCTTATTCAAGTTCATGATTTTATCTCTGTTGAGCGAAACATAGAATACGTCGCCTTCTGGTGATAACCTGTCAAGAAGCGCTTACTTCCACGGTCAAAAATTATTATTCTTTCTCTCCCCACCTTCCACCTTCTTCTAGCACTTTATTGAAATTAAGATATGAAATTTCTTTCTGGGTCTATCGTAGTGCAATTTGACTTATAATGAAGCGCTTCATGTTTTATTTTAATTGATAGCATCTCTTTCTGTTGTCTCTTTTCTACCTTAAATTCCTTTTTTTTGTAATACCAGAAAATATTAAGATTTATACAGTTACAAATTTATTTATTTTTGGAAATTGCATAATCTATTAATTTCTACCCTATTTCTATTGTACTTGTGCTGCATGAAAACTAGATCAAATAATTTATTTTCCATAATTTATTATGCCAGCTGTGAAGTTGCATGGTTACTGGAGTTGGAGTTGGAGTTGGAGTTGGAGTTGGAGTTGGTTCTTGCACTGCCAAAACTTGGCTAAAAGAAAAAAATATTAAACGTGGAGAAAATCCCATAGGCAACTCGGCGTTTAATAAAATCTATCTTGGTTATCAAGTCACGCAGTCTGGACGATCTGTGAGATTATGTCATAGGAGTTGTTCGTGAAAAGGTGAAAAGGGTTTCCAGACCGGAAAGCCTCTAGAATGAAATCATAGCATGGACATGCTGTAATTACAAAATTAAATTCTTAAAAAGGTCATTTTCTGGAAGTGAGTAACGTGATTTTTTTTTACTTCCACGTTTGGGATAGTTTTTTATTTCTTCTTCAGATGCAGGCTCGTCAAGTAACATATCTTTACGGACATTTTGATCGCAAATCTTCAACAATAAAATCATCGTCAAGTATGCGTCATTTCCTATTAATTAATTTGTTAGCTAGATGAAAAAAAATAAAACATGATTTAAATGTTGAGCCATACCTGCATTATGTAGAAACGAGTAAGGAATATTAAATATTTGCAATAACGCTTCTAAACTACTAGGACCTGAAGGTCGTGTCTCGCGCCATATGCTCTCAGTATCGGAAATACTGTAAGCTTTAGGAAATTCTATTCCAAATTTTCGAAGTGCCCTTATGTCTCCGCCAACATTATGTCCTACTAAAACGACGTTTTTATATTTTGCTGATAGCGAAGAAAAGACATAATTAATAGCTTTAATACAACCAGACATCGGAAGAACTTCACTTTTTCCATAAGCAAAGTTGCTTTTGTTATCGCTGACGAAACGTCCATTTCTAAGTTTTAGATACTCTTGAACAATAAAATGAGCAGCACGCATTTCAGGAATGAAGTGATTTGAGGGATGATATGTTGTGATACCAATTTCAGTTACAATATGGTTATTTCGTTCCCACTGTTCAACGTCGATTGATACAAAGATAGCATCTATATCTTTGATCTGTTTTATAGTATTATTGACGATACTGGTTTTGGGAATATTTTCAAGCTTTTTTTTTTCAGATGTGGCCTCATCATTTGTCGGTTCCTGGTTTTTTGAATCAAAAGAATCTGTAGTGTCTTCTATAGATAGTTCATTTGTCGTAGAAATTAATTTGTTTATTGATTTATTTTCAAAGTTCTTGTCTAGAGTTCTTTTATTTTTTTTCGGTTTTTTTTTAGAAGATGTTTCATTTTTTTGAACTGTATTTTCTATTGTTTTTTTGACGCTTAATACGGGGCTATTTTCTGACACGTCAGAAATTGGACTTGTGATTTCTGGGATATTGACAGAGACGGGGTTTTCTAAAGTCATAGTTCTATTCTCAATATCAACACAGGCCATTTGAAAAAGGTTGGGATTTTTTAAAAAATGAAAATATATTTCCGGATAGTGATCCGGGCCCAAGAATATGTTGTATCTGGGTATTATGATAGGTCCTAGGTTGTTAAATATATAAGAACCAACACACAATCGAAATTTTATTAAGTTTTCCTGAGTTACTTTAGGATTTAATAAAGGCCTGAACAGGTTAAAATCCCAATATCGAAAAAATGTATGGAGGCATATATTTGAATATCTTATTTTCTCACTTAGAGTGATTGTAAAAAGCCGAAAATACAAATTTAGCTTAGATCTCCAAAAATTATCACTGCCTCCAAATCCAAAATGTTTAAAGCACAAATAGGTTGAAGGTTTAACTTTTAAATTTTTCATAAATAAATTTTGGGTTGAAATATTGATCTTTGAGACAGTTATTTCATGTATTTGCTTCAATAGTTTAAATCCATGTATATAAAAATTTTTAAACTATCTACCCCTTAGCTAATTAGCTTATAAGTTTGAATTTGCAAGGGGTGTAGTAAGCTTAATATTATTGCTTAGTAAATTCTTATTGATATCAACATTTTTTTTAGCAAAAACTTCCTCAGAGATTTTCCCATGTGTTTGATATCTATATTTTATAAAAAAAAATACAGGCTTTCGAACCCTCACTGATTCAAAAAAAAAAAAAAAAAAAAGGTTACAGTTAATCAAAATTATCTTTTTAATTTGAAAAAATATCTAAATTTCCCTTTTAATCTTTTAAATTTTTACTCAAATCCATCAATATTGCATTTTTAGACTCGAAATCTCTACTTATGTAATGATAAACATATAAAAATTTCCCTTTTTGTCGAAATCTATGTAAATAAGCCAACCATATCCATTAAATTTAAAGTTTTGGGCAAAAATAAGATTATTTATGCTGTCTCAATCCGTTTTTTTTTTTTTCAAGTTCAAAAAATTTACCATGAGAAATTTGAGTTTTCATGAATAGCATATGATCAATATCATGATATAAATCTTCAGTGGTGCGAGCGATTATTAGTATAATTAGCCCTGTAAGGTTAGGGTTGGTAACTTTTCCGCCTCTCCTGAGCTTTAGGCTATTTGTTGCAATTCATTTTTAACTACAAATTTGCAGCACAGTAGAAATAAGGCAGAAATAAATAAATTATGTAATTTCAAAAAAATGATACCCCTTAAATAATTATCATCTAACTTTTTAAAGTCACTTTTTTCAGCAATGGTTAATAAAGAAACTCGCGTTCGCACAATAATAATTCCCAAAGTTCCCATAATTGACCAAACAGATACATTAAAACATGACAGTTTTAATTTTATTTCTATGATTCATCCTCGTACGAAGACTTCTACATTATTTTTGCAAAATTCAAAAAATTTAGAACTTTTTTATGAACTGACAGCTATTACAGGAATTCGGCATAACCATAAAAATGAAGATGAGCTTAAGCCATTTGAACTTGTGTCAGAAAATGCTAGATCACTCTTTATTTCGAAAGCAAATATTTCTTTGCCAAGTTTTTCTAAATTCAATAATGAACCTGAACTAGGTGGCAGGGATTTTGTAAACAAAACACCTGATAATATAGAGGCATGTGTTGCTAAAGAAGCTGGTAAATCTTTTGTCGTTTCTGACGGATCCTTGTTTATCTCAACCCCATTTTCACCTTTGTTTTTTATTTTGCCAACATTATTCAAAAATAAAGAACAATTTCTCGAGTTAAGTTACCTTCACGATCTTTTAGAATCTGAAACAACTGAAATTGACTCACAAGCTACAACTATTCAGTATATTCAATTCAAAAATTTGGCAAATTTAGTTTGCGATGAACAGGCTCACTCTATTGACTTTAAAGATAATGATAACAAGCTACCTGAAACTAAACTTTATCGTTTATCTATGGACAAGCTCTTCATTTATCTTGATAATATTGTGAATCGTATTATCACATCCGGACTTCCCACAGATATTATTAAAGAAGTTGTATATAATCCCTTAGTTCCACCCATATCAACTAGTGATGATCTGATTCCAAGTCCTCGGTTAATTGATTTTTCCATTCACCGTACTGCGATTCATTTGGTTCTGTCGTATCTTCCACCAGAAATCTCTAAGGCGTACTATATTATAAAATCTCATCTTTTTGAAGAGTTAGATAAGCATGCCGAAAAAATTAAAAAACAGAAAGATGCCGCTGCTAAGCAACAATTAGCTCTTTTACATGCAGATGGAATTCCTGGATCACAAACAGCCATAACTTCTAAAACGAAATCAGGTCAAAAAAGGAAATCAACGGCAAGTGATTCTAGTAATACTAAAAAGAAAAAAACAAATGGTTCCAGTACGAAGACATTAACCCACTTTTTTAAACCTATAAAATCATCTAAATAAGATTATTTAGGCTAATAATAAGTAAATAAGACTATATTTCATGTGGTTTGTGCAATTTTTTGTATCTTATCATCATTAGGTTAATTTTTTTGCAATTTGGTATCGCTTGGGAGCTCCCTAGGTGCAATTAAGTAATTCTTGTAATACCATCTAAGTTCATCAATACTTTCTAAGATATCATCTCTAGCAGTGTGATTATGCTTTTTCTCCGGTACTTTTGACATAAGCTCAGGGTTGTGTCGATTTCCCACTTCTCTAATTGTTGAAACGTCAACCTGGCGGTAATGAAGGTAATTAATCACTTTAGGAAACTCTTTTGTCAAAAAGATTCGATCGATGTGAACCGAATTTCCTGCCAAAACGCCTCTATTAGAACGGCCAATGTGCTCACTAAGGTATTTAAATAGCTTTTCTTCAACCTCCGCTAATGTATTTGTTGATTTGATAACTTTCTCCGTCAATCCAGACTATTAAAGTAACTGTTAGTAGTTCAAAATTAATACACAATGAAGTCACAGGCTTACCTCACCATGCTGCTTGACACACCAAGCACCCATTTTATCCATAGTGTCTTTTGGATAATGGATCACTGATTCAAATCCTTTATCTTCAATGATGTTAAGATCTTTATCGGTAAGTACACAACAGATTTCTATTATATGATCATTGTCGTAATCGAGGCCTGTCATCTAAAGTATATTAGAGAGCCATCAAAAATTATATTATTATTTAATACCTACCTCACAATCTATCCATACCAACGGACCGCAGTCAATCATTTTATTTAAATTTTTAAAATATCCAATAAAAAATTATATTAGTTTTTAATTTCATAAGTTGTTAAATTAATTATTAATTAATAAGATCACTTGAAGTGAAATGACAACTTTCAGGTATTGCAATGTTGTACTCCAATTTAAAATCACGTGATTTGCTTTGTTTTTTCTTTCTCTTATAACCGTGACACTGGTTAGTAAAGACAGCAGCAAAAACACCTTTCCAGGTTTAATACAATATATAGCAAACAATAATATCTTAAAATAATATATATTTGGTGGTTTTGTTATTTCTGGATTTAAATGATTTTTATGTTATTCTTCTTCTATTTGATATAAAAATTTTTGATGAGTTCCGAATTAACCCGTTCATTCAACGTGAAAGCTCCAGCTTTTACCCCTTCAGCAACTCCACTGAATCAGCCTGAAGAGCTGCAAAAATCAAATACCCAATTGGAAAAAAGTGATAATAATGGTATTGGAGAGTGTGGAAATTTTGATGATGATGATCAAGATAAAAATAATAGAGAAAAAGAGCTACATGATAAAAAAAATATAAAGTATAAGGGGTGTCAATCAGCGCCACCCTTGTCAAAAGTAGCCGATGCAAAAATACATATCACTAACTCTAAAAATAGAGGGAAAAATAAACGGAATAATAACAAAAAAGCTGAAATTAACAATACCAAAGCTAATCAAACTACGCAATATTGCGAAGATGACTCCAATGAATTGGAATTCATTGCAAATATCGATATGCTTTCTAAAAAAGGAAAGCGAGGACAAGTTTCTATATCTCATTTACTTAACTTTTCGCTTCCTGAACGTCCACAAGAACTTCAAAGACAATTCCAGCACCAACGAAATAGCAACAAAAACAATAATAATAAAGCTAAATACAACATCCCACCACCAGATAATACAGCTCACATTAATACCTCTTGTAGGTTTATTCTTGACCCGGAATATGAATATAACGAAATTTTACATAACCCCGATACTATTATTTCTTTGGATCAAGTACTGAGAGTTTTTTGTCGAAAATCTACATGTCCTATTTGTCTTGATGAAGCAAAAGCACCTAGAATGCTGCGCTGTGGCCATATAATGTGCTATCCTTGTTTTCTTCGGTTTTTAGATTCTGACCCTAAAATTGGCAACAACCCTCTTTCCGAGTCTCATAAAAAACGAGAGTGTCCCTTTTGTTTTGAATCAATTGAATCATCAAAAATCACACCTGCAACGTTTTTAGAATTTGACGAAAATTTCGATACACCTCGACCAAATAATGAAACAGTTTTGCGACTAATGTTTCGACCACATGTAAATGAAAATGGTGAAGAACAGCAATGTATGAATGCATTTCCTATATCATTATCAGAGATTTCTTCAGAAACTCTATTTACCATTCCTACTGTTTTAGAAACATCTTACATTTATCCAAGATTTATGATGCCTACACGTGAATTTTTATTGGGACAATTCAAAAAGGAAATTAAAGACTTAGAAGCACAAAGAAATGAAGAATATCTTCTATACCCAGAAGACAAGGATTATGTCGGTTTATATTTTAATTTGGCCATTAAAAAAATACAGGTACTCATGGCTGAAGTCCAAGTTGGTTTCAAGTATGATTCAGATGAAATCAAAAAAAAGCAAGCATTTTATTTACATGGGTTTTCATCTAAAAAACCAACTGATGAACTTGAAAAAACTTCTGAAGAGTTTATTTCACAATTTGACGACAACTCTGCTTATTTTTTTTATCAAACAGCATTTCAGTCGGAAACAAGATATGTTCTTTCAACCTTAGATACACGTATTCTCAAACATGAGTTTCAAAACTACCATTCGATGCCTTCTTCTATTGTTGTAAAGGTTGAAAATGTAATTTATGGGAATATAATGTCTCCAGATATGCGCAAAAAATTTAAATACCTAAGTCATTTCCCATTTTATACCGACATTGCATTTATTGAATGTGACTGGATCAGTAACTCTAAAGGGAAAAAGAATGATAACAAAACAAAATCGAAAGAAAGCCCTGAAATATCAACTGGTAAAACTGATATGCGACACTCTAAAAATTTGCTTTCAGATCATCAACAGCCGGCTGTGAATGGTCCTTTAAAGCTTTCTTCCAACACATTGAATTTTTTTCGCAAAGACCTTCAACAACGAACGGATAATTTACGTCGAAAAAATAAAAAAGAAAAAGACCAGGCACGCAGGTTTCAAAATATGCAAGAACGGAAACTTTATAATGATTTGTTGTCTTCTTCCGGACTTGTTTACGAATCTGGTAATCCAAGCTCGACTGAATATCAAGAATCTTTTAGTTCAAGCGTTTCATTTCCGTCTCTTGGTTCTAATAAGAGCATAATGAAAACAACTGATGATGCGCCTATAGGAAATAGCAGTAATATGTCAGATTCATCACCAAAAGAAAATGTTGATAACTCAAATACCGCAGAGTCTTTACCCTCTTCAGGAAATGCACCATTATTTAAGAAGAAGACTGTATGGGGAACAGAAGCAGTAGTTTTTAAGTCAACTATTGAAGAAGAGTTGAATGCGCGTAACAGAGCTGGTCTTAATGAAGGTTGGCTTGATTACAATACCTTAATGAAGCACTCTTCTAGTAACAACGATGATCCTAGTTCTACGTCTAAAGAAACATCCAACTCTTCTAAGGGAAAACGCAAGGGAAAAAAACTAGTATTAATGTCAACAGCAAGAGCTATGTATTAGTAATGTATTAGAATGATTATACTAACTTATAAGTATATATGTATATTATGTATTTGTCATGAACTTATATATATATGATTTATGAACATAACAAATTAATGATACAATCATGTTTACTCGTTCTTGTTCAAGATTTCATAAATCTTGTTTTCCAGTTCTAAAATCCGAGCATCTCTTACCTTCAAATCATCAATAAGAGTTTGAACCTTTGCATCCAAACCGACAACAAGTTTTAGAAGCTTCAAAACTGGAGAACCACCAGCAATACTTTCGGCGGCAGGTGAAGAAGTGGTTGTGGCAGGCTCTTTAATTTCTTTAATCGTTTTGGGTGTATCCTTAACCTCCTCGACTTCTTTGGTAGCCTCTTTAACAACAGGGGTAGACACATTCTTATTATTTTCCTTAATAGGCTCATCAGATTCCTTAATAGCAGGTGAAAGAGCTTCGACAGTAGTTTCTTTCTTTGGCGAAGGCTTCTGAATCTTAACTTCGGGCTCATTATCCCAGGAGCTCTCTTCATCTTTTAAGGGTTCGGGAAGAGGCTCCTCGCTGGTACTGGCTTTGGCAAGTAAATTATTAACATGTTTAGAATCATTTAAAAGCCCATCAAGATCTTTTTTCTCAGGTTCTTCTGGAATAGGTGCAGGTGTGGGTGCTTCTTTCTTAGCAACTGGAGATGGTTTAGGTTCTGGTTTGGATTCCTTAGGAGTGACAACCTCTTTTTTGGGAACAGAGGCTGTAACAGTTTCGGGTGTAGTACCATCAAAAATGGCTTCTAAGCTAAAGACTTTAGGAGGAGAATTTTTGCCACTAATCCACTCATCAGCAGTGAGAGACGGCTTTCCTGCATATGCGGGCGGGTAAATATCATCCTGGAAAGTCTCGGCTCGACGAGGAACAATAAAAGAAATAGGCTCAATGGTAAGATCTCTCACAGACTTGTAAATACGAACAACTTCGTGTTCATGAAGATTAATAGCACGCTTTGGTAAAAATGCAATGCCACGTTGAGGATCAGAAGATTGGTATTCAGAAAGCGGGAAAAACTCGTCATTTTCATATTCAAAATAACGAATGTTTCCGTCACCTTTTCCAGCAAGATAGAGACAGTTAGTGTTATCATCAAAAAAGGGAACACAAATGCCAGAAGACCCATCAAGGTAATAGAAACCTCCAATAGGCCCCTTTGCGATATCAGTAGAATCCCAAAGAGCAAACTGACGGTCACTAAGCTTCGAAAAGCCTGTGGTGACCAAACGATCTTGGGCTCCGAGCCAAACAATTCTCGATGACTTAGCACCTCCATGGCTTGGGCCTTCATTGACAACTTTTTCTGCACGAATATCCCAAATGCGAATTTTCTTATCACGAGAAACAGTAGCTAAGAGAGAACCGTCAAAATTGAAAGCAAAACTAGTAACAAGGTCCTTGTGAGGAAGGGTGTAAAGCACCTTTTCAGTCTCAACATTCCAAATCTTAACCGTGTAATCAGCAGAAGAGCTTGCAAGAATGTTTTCAGCAGTAGGGTGCCATTGGATATGACCAACCTTTCTAGAATGACCAGAAAGCTTTTTCAAAGGAGCAATATCTTTGATTTCTTCAGGATCCTCGTAAATAACCTTATAATCGTCGGGAATTCTCCAGATAGCAATCTTTCCATCATCAGAGCTCGATGCAATGATATGGTCATCAAAAGGATTCCAATCAGTGTCCAAAACTGATGCAGTATGACCTCTAAATAAGGGAATTTGTTCTGGGAGCTTTCCACGTACCTCCAAAGGAATCACTGCAAAAGAGCCACCACCCGATGTTTCCCAATTTACGGACAAAAACTTTGGATTGACCTTGAAATGAAGTCAGATTAAAGAAAAGTATACTGGCATTGGCCCATATTCATACCTTAATAATATTAGAGTCCCATGCATTTTTACTGGTTTTTTCAGGTTTTGTTAGTACAAATTAAATAAAAAAAAATAGACAATTACTTCGACCCGTTTAAAAACGCGTTAAAAAAATATATGACTTACCTGACACGGAGATTATCATAAAAAAGTTCCCGTTTGGTTGATTGGCCGTAAATATGACGATATTTAGAAGCACGAACAAATCGACCACTTCATAAAAGTGACAAGGATTGTTAATGAGGTGTTATTAAAACGTCAATGGTTCATGTAAATGAGTCAAAGCATACCTCATTTTTATAATTAATTAAGCAGTTGAAGGTGTATTATAAATAATTTTTTTAAAACAAAATAAATAAGTTGTTCAACGTTGTTCAACGGGTGGAATTAGCTTTTGCAAGTTACTGTGTCAAAAAAATTTGGAACTTTTTCAAACAATTATCACAAAAAGATCGCGTGTCGTATAAGAAAGAGGTAAATTAATTTATATTAATTTTTGCTATTGATACTCAATTATATATATATTACAATTACATTAAGTTTTGTTACACTTAATGTAATAGAATCTCTTACCTACCATGCTCACATATATACTCAAAATCTCCCGCTCATGTTCACATACAAAACCACATGTTGAAAAAACTTAGTTTGGGCTAAGCCCCATTAATAAACTAAGTCATAAACCAAATAGATCTCTTGAATTATGAGCCTCTATTTTTCTATTTAAGGAGCTTTGCTTCCTCTTAAAATAAAGTATTTTTCTCCCCTTCTTTCCTCAGATAATTTTTATTATATTGACTACTTACGACCTAGTTTGAATCTCACATATAAAGATATTGACTACTTACGACCTAGTTTGAATCTCGCATATAAAGATCTAGTCCTAAAAATTATCAGAACCAGGGGCTTATCACTATAGCTACTCCTAAATACATTCTTTCTAGATTGTACCCTCTCTTATCTTCTCTTCTCTTCTTTTCTCATCCTCTTTCTCTTTCTTATAAGTAATTCGTAGTCTAATATAGATTGTTTATCACCACCATCAATTAAGAATATTGTAAGGGTCTTTTTTATGTCAGCCTGGGCCGCAATATTATAATCTAAATTATCTCACTACTTGTTTTACCAGCACCTTTCCTTCAGGTGTCAATTTTCAGACACCAGACTCTAGAATTAGTGAGAAGTACACCTGTAAAACGTGCACCAGTTGCAGGATACTGAAAGCCAAGCTGTCTCTGTGTGAACGTGTCTACCATTGTGACTTGTGTGGAATCTCTATTGAGAGAGACGTCAACAGAGCCAGAAACGTCCAGTGTCCATGCTTCTTTAAAAAAAAAATCAACGCCATGTTAGAAATGATACATTTTCATCTAAGTCTCAAAAGAGATTCACTCTTGAATTAATCATTTTTCTTTAGACTGATGAGAGTAACCTATGGCTACTTAATTATTACGGCTAAACATGTGTTATAGGCAGAATCTGGGGAAGAAATAATCAAAAGCAGGAACAAGAATTAAAGTCTCCATTTATTGTAACGTTATTGTTTACTACTTTGGTGCTTGAGTGCTTGAGTGTTTAGGCGATCCAAAACTAATCAAGCCGTATGGAATTTGTTTTGTTATGTTTCGGTAATGCATAATTCACGTAAATCCCTAACTTCTTAACACAAAGTTGTCATACAAATGTAGGCTATGGATATCAATATTCATATATCACAGTTGAATTTTTTATCATAGAAATTTGGTAACAAAATAGGTTTTCCTTTCAATTTATAAATTTACAAATTTACAAATTTCGTCAAGAAGCTTAACAAAACTTCTTGGTATCAAACAGGAACAATCATACTATGCCTATAAAATTAAAATTATTTAATACTACACATTCACTAAAAACAGTAAATGCTTTTATAGCAAGCTTTATTTTTTATTTTTTATTTTTTATTTTTTATTTTTTATTTTTTATTGAAAGTCAAAAATTAAATGTTCAACGTTTCATCCCCTATTATAAAGGTGTGAGAATATTGTTGTATTGTTCTAAGTATTATAGCTTATGTAATATAATATGCACAACAGAAATAGCAATCATAAAAAAATTCACGAATTTAAGCGTTAAGAAAAAGAATTTTTTAGTATTTGAAACTGTGTTAGCTTGGCAGCTTTGTTTTTTGTAAACTAATGATGATTATTTAAAAAATTGAATAAAAAATATGGAATTAAATTCCATTTGTGAATTATTGAAAATTACTACATTAGAGTTATTTAATTCTTTGAATTTCCTTTTTAATAAATAATAATAATCTCAAGAGCACGAGAGTTTAAACTTATATAAATGTAATTGAAGAAACCATTAAATATAAATATCAAATTGTATATCCAAATCTTTTCCAAATAATTTTTAGTTGATATTATAATAAAAAAAGGGGCTATAATGCTTTTTTTTTATATATAAAAAGAGATAGTAAGACAATCTTCATTTAAATGGTTTAACATTGTATTATTTTATTATTTTAAGTATTCTGACATTAAAATATTGTGAATTTACTTTGTTTTAAAATTGAATTTTTCTTTATTCAAGCTCATAAAACAAAACAATTTTTTTAAAAAGTATTGAAAATCACTTAAATATAGCGAAAAATTACAAATCTTTGGTTATTAATTAGTAGTTGTAAGATTAAGAATAGAAAAACGAATTTCATAAGTGCTCCTAATGCACTTAAGATGATATATTATTACATTTATTTATTTGAATTTCCATATTTATGATTTTAAAAGTACGAAGTTCAATAGCCCGTCAGTGCCTTCAATTCATGTATTCTAGTCGAGGCCCGCCTTCGATATCCTCTATTTATATCTTTAGCTGGCGACTAATATTTTCAGGGTAAACTGCATGAATTGGATATTATCTTAGTTGGTAATTAGGAGAAATGTTAATTAAGCTGTATACTTTTTAATGCTTGTTATTTTAGAATTAGAATATTTTATGAAGGAAGAAAATTGCCATTTGAGTCCAAAAAAAACAAATTAGGTATCATATCTTATTTATGTTGCGATGTAGCATCGCTATAACTTGGTGTTATAGGTGTGACCGGCTGCTATGTTGCATAACACAGAGCGGCCGCGCACCCCAATGATAGTGCTGCTTCGTGCGGGGACTGGTGCCCTAACCATATGGTACAGTGAGGTTAGGGTTAAAGAATAGAAATATATTTATTTTATTTGCTACACGTCTTATCATAATTAATTTTCAATCATCAATCTATTTACACTTAATTCATCTTTAATATTCATCAATCTTAACTAGTAGTAAGTCTAGTTTATATATTTTGATTTGATCTTCAATTTTAATATTAGTTTACTGATAGATTTACAATATTCGGTGCTGATTCATAGACATTGTATAGGCTGTACTGAACTTCTTACCTTCTCCCCAAGCTTCTCTCCCCTCAATTCATATGTATTCTGGGACGAAGGCCGCCTTCACTATAACCTTTATTTATATATATAGCTTTAATATATATTTATTCACAGATTCTAAATCTACCAGCATCTTATTCGTATGAATAGTTTTGGGATCAAAAAAAAAAAAAAAAAAAAAAAAATTTCTAAAAAAAGCCGCCCGACATTTATTTATTTATTTTTTTCTTTTGATTACATAGTAGAGAATATTCTTAAGATAAGCTTAAGCATAGAAAAGAGAATTTATGGAAGGTATTAATTCACAAATATATACTGTCAAGATTGATCTAATTAAACATCTGAGCGTATCTTTTTTTTATTTATTTATTTTTTTTTTTTTCAATAGTAGTAATATAATATGCGAAGATAAACTTTTTGACTCTTAATATTTTTTTTCTGCTCCAAAGATGTTAAGCTTACCAATGTCACTTCAAATTTTTTTTTTTAAAAAAAAAAAAATATAAAAAAACAAGATACATAATACATGCAACCGACATTACTTATTTTTTAAGCATTCTTGTTCTTTTGTATCTATTAATATTATAATAATTAATAAAATAAATAAAAAATTTCTCTTAATAGTGATATGTGCCGAGAAAGGTTAAGATAAAAAAAAAAAAAAAACAAACAAAGTGACTGGTTATATATTTGTTACATTATTAAGCAAACACTAGAAGGATTTTTTCTTTTTTTTATTTCCATCAATGATAGCTTTGATAGAATTTTTTTTTTATGACTAGCCTTAATTTTATTTTATTTTATTTTTATTTTTATTTTTATTTTTATTTTTATTTTTATTTTTATTTTTATTTTTATTTTTATTTTTATTTTATTTATTTATTTTTTATATTTAAAAAGCCATGTATAAAAAAATTCAAAATCTCATTGTTTAAATTTACATTGATGAGAATGATAACTAGTGATGAATCCATAGCTGGTGTTTTATGTATTTGACTGTTGAGGCGTCTTTGCGCTAACCAGGTTTTTGGAGCCTCAAACATATATATAAAAAAAAAACGGTAGACGTTACTACGTATATACGTAGTATATATATGCAAAATGGTCTATTGGATGCCGGACCGGTCCCGATTGCTATAGTTACGCCATAATAAAAAAAAATATTTTAAATGTTTTATTTCTTATTCTCAACAATTTTTTTCTTTCAAAATGTATTATGCTATTCATTATGCTCGGTCATTTCTTTATACTAGGTTTTGTTGTGATATTGAAAGAACCTTCTTCAATACTAAATAAATAAATTTATAAATATATATATATATATATATAAAAGAAGGAACTCCTTCTTAAATATCCTCAGAGATAGTTTAGTAAACAAAAAGTTAAAATTCATAAAACTCTTGATTCTATTTTTGAGATTTTGGTGCATGACTCACATCGTGACAATATGCTACACAGACTCTTTGGTTTCTTGTGCCAGGTGATTTAAACTTTACCAGAACAGTGCCACTGCAATTGTGAACTTCCGGGTCGTTGTTATCGAGGCTTTTCTTAATTATTGGATCATTGATTCGATTGTTGGAATCACAACTAACAAGACCCTCAGTTTGATTAACAACTGTAGAAGTTGCAGCAGCAGCAGCAGCAGCGGCAACAGCAGCATTCTTTTTCTTTTGGCGCCATGGAAGTGCTGTAGATTGTGAACACAGATACTTGTGTGTCTCACCGCTCTTGAACAGCCGTGTTGAGCGATGATTATAAGAATAGCCATCGACTAATTTGACTTCCCGAACAAGTCTATTAGCCAGTACTGAACGGCCTTCAGGCGTAAGATACTGTGTTGCATCGATACGGTCACCGTTTTGATAGATTGTACTCCCTAACTGTGTGCTAGAAGGATTACAAGAGTACTCCTCATCTTTTTCCGTTTTGAGCTCTGATCCATTAATCTGAGACTGACCTAATGAAGAAGAGCGGTCAGGATTAGCAATAAAAGACGGCTCTAAGTAAAAGTGTATACATATTAATGTTGCTGATCCTCCACGACTTCTTCGCACCCTTAAACATTCTGCAAGGGTAGAACGAAGTTGATCATAAGTGGATATTCGATAAAGCTCTTGAACAGCTTCCGATTTTGAATCTTCTCCTTTTCGACGATAATTTCTGCAATGTTTGCAATTATTGTTGAAAAATCCAGTAGTACTAGCAAATTCTACAGCAGGCTTGAACAGGGCACATTTTTTGCAGTACAGCATATGAGGTTTATCAAGCGGAGTGGCTTCAAACATCTGATATAATGAATCACAACTGTTTGGAGGAGAAGAGGCCTCGCTAACCACACGGTAAGGACTAATCATAACAGATGGTGTAGTAGATTGACTCGACGAAGTCTCAGAAGAAATACTAGCAGCAGAAGAACCTGTTAAATGAGTTACAGGAGAAGATGAAGGTATCGCTGGAATTAATGATGAAGGTCCAGATAATGATGTTGTTGTAACTGCTGTTGGAATGCTCACTGGCATCGAAATGATTCCATTATTAGGAAATTGCTGTGTTTGAGGTAGCTGGGGAGTGATAGGTTGTTGTGGGCCTTGCTCTACGTGAGGAGACGTCACTGGAGACATTCTTTGAGAGTGAGAATTTGGTTGGACGTTTGGGGGAAGAAACTGATGAGGAGCAGATATTGGTTGTATAGGCTGAGGTGGTTGAATATTATGTAGAGGAGGCTGTTGAGGACCAGTAGATCCAAAATCTGTTGAAGAAGATAAAGGAATTTCAGGGTTTGAAGAGTTCATCTGAATATATTGCTGTTGATGTTGATGTTGATGTTGATGTTGATGTTGATGTTGATGTTGATGTTGCTGCTGATGTTGGTGTTGGTGTTGGTGTTGATGTTGGTGTTGATGCTGATGCTGATTCGGATTCGGATTCTGATGTTGATGTTGATGCTGATGCTGATGCTGATGCTGATGCTGATGTTGATGTTGCTCTTGAGATGCTTGCATCATGGGAGTTTGTCTTTGAGATTGTGCAAAAGATACACCAGTAAGAGGACTTGTTGGTGAAGCCATTGTTATGCTATTAGACGTGGAATTAGGATTAGATGTGGATGAGGCCGGCTCAGACATTTGCGGGTGAATGATGGTGGAAGAGCTCGTAGGAGCAGAGTGTGGTAAAGAATTGGATGCAGCAGCAGTGGATGCAGCAGGAGTAGCCCATTGTACTTGGGACATTCCAGCAGAATTTGAATTTTGAGCAGGATCAATAAACTGGCCATATTGAATAGAATAAGCTCCTTCTGGGACCTGGTTCGAGGTGGCAGGAGCAGTAGCGTTAGATGGAGGAAGAGATGTTGGGATAGGTGTTGCATTCCCTCCATTATCATATTTGTAAGGTTCTTGTGAATTGGTTTTCCATTGAACTTGGGGTTGTTGAACGGTATAAGTAGCAGCCACACCAGTAGAAGGGTCTTGGTAATATTGTGGTTGATAATGTTGTTGATATTTAAAATTCTGATATTGGTATGGCGAGTAAGGATGGTATGGGTATGAAGGAGGTCGTCGGCTAGAGGGGTGCGAATTCGCCAAAGAAGTAGTGCCGGTTCCTGTACTAATGCTTGAAGAAGAACTTGAAGGTGAAGGTGAAGGTGAGGTGTATGTTGAATTGAGCGTAGGAGTTTCTGGAGGTAGCAATGGATGCGGTCCTTGATGTGATGGAAGAGTTGGTTGTGATTGACCAACTGAAGTAAATATAGCTGGAGCAGGTCCTGCAAAGGACGAATTTGGTGGTGGAAGAGTACCTGGAGGAGGTGGAAGCGAGGTTTGATTTAAGTCCTGGTACGTTGGTGCAGAGACCTGATAAGCGTAGCCATAATTATGGAGACTACTCATGATATATTTCTTACTGCAAAATGCAATTTATTTCTAGTTGAAAAATTTTTTTTTTTATTTTTATTTTTATTTTGATATAAAGTCCAGTTTAAAGTAAAACAAACAAACAAACAAAAAAAAAAAAAAAAAAAAAAAAGGGGAATATGAGAGTTCTTTTTTTCTTTAAAAAAAAAAATAGGGAGACCGCCGCAATATTTATTTTACTTTGTCAATGATTTCCATAAAGCTACTTTATAGCTATAATTTGAGGTTATTTTGAATTAATCTTATCACGTGATTGCATGTCCAAGCTTTTTTTAAAAAAACGACAGCATTTAAGTAGAAGCTGCAAATTTAAATAGGACATCTGCGTCATGCAATTATCCAAAAATTCAAAACCAAGAGGAATAAACTTCCCTAATGAGGAAAACTATTTTTTCTAACAAAAGAGCTGAGACAGCTCTTCTCATAAAGAAAGTTATATGGATTAGAAGCAAAAGTCCGGCGGTTTTTTTTTTTTTTAAATAAATAAATAAAAAAAAAAAAAAAAAGACAAGTTGCTATCAAGACGAAAAGTATGAAACAAATGTTTCATTTTTATTCAGTTTATATATTAATTGATTCTTATTATACATTAAGCTTAGCTTTGAAATTTTTTTTTTCTGAAATCTTTAAAATTGTTCTTGACCAGGGAATAAAAGTACCTTTCTGTGAAATCTCCATAATTTTATTTAAGATTTCAATGGTTAAAGCTACATGATTTGAAAATCATGGGCTGTAAATTTAAAAAAAAAAATAATATAAATGGTTCGATACTCTGCGGAAAGGTTGAAAATAAAAAGAGAATAAAGTCTATTTAAAATTACCGGTATCTCTTTTTCCATTTTTTTATATATATAAAGTACCAATAGTTTTTTTTTTTTTTTTTTTTTTTTTTTTAATTTTTCAATCATTAAAAAATATTTGCAAATTTATGAGATGAGGAAATTTAATATGTTACTGTATCATTTTTAGACGAACAAAAATCTATATCAGCCTTATTAGAAGCTTGATAAGGATAAATGTTCAAATTGTTTATTCAAATCTAATAACCGATTCAATAGTCGCCAATCTTTACTTTAATACAGATTGCAATTGGATGGCAATTTGATAACAATTTTTTTTTTTTTTTTCAAAAAACTCCTTTATTAATTGTTTCCCATGATATTTCTACAACAAAACATTTTCTCTATTGGAGAAATTTTTTCATCTGTCTTTTGTCAATAATAGGCTATTTATACTTTTCTTAAAAACAAAGAATCAATTTTCTAAGATTTTAAAGTAATTATCTTTTTTTTTTTCTGAAAAATTGGAAGAATATCAAGAAGAATGCAAGATTTTCTAAAGAATAACCTTATATCGCCTTTAGAATTCCTTGATTTCAATTTTGGAGAAAAAAAAAAAATTAGAAATAAAGACCTAACAACATTCAATTTCTTTAGCATAACGGTTGCTTTTTCATTTATTTTTTTTCCAAAAAAAAAAAAAAACAAAAAAAAAAAATTGTATAGAAAAAAAGATTTACTTTCAAGTATACTCAACTCCGTATTTTTAAATTGAGTAGCAAGTTTAATGGAATCTTACTTTCCTGTTTATGGTGTTCCATACCCAGTTTAAATAGGCGACAAAGATCACTGTTTGTTTTTTCATTCATGTCTATCAATAATTTAAGTTTTGAAATGCTTCCAGTCATTTAAAGATAATTTTTACCAAGTTCAAAACTGTTGAAACTTGTATTTCATTTAAAAAAATGAAATATCATTGAATCATATTAAACCAAAATGGACTAAATAAAAACACGAAATAGTAAGCTTATGAGAACATTTTTTTATGGAATGAAGCGGTTATTAGGAGATACTCGCTCACGGCGTGCTAACTCTTTACCCGAAAGTTTAGCGCTAGACTGAAAAAGGACTTATACATAGCCGTAAATGCTTAGACATGAAAGGCACTGACAAAAGCCAATCGGTTTACATTTTTCTTTAGGAAGTTGTTTAGAAAAAAAAAAAAATGTTGTTAACGACATTAATAAATTTAAAGTGATTGCTTTAAACTCACTGGATTGTTTAGTTAACCTATTACGGTTTATTTGGAATTTGGCATTGCAAATTTATGATGAAATATGATAATGTCACGACGCTATTTCGCCAAAGTTTTTTTTTTTTTTTTTTTTTTTTTTTTCAGCCGTATTTCAAACTAGTGAAAAGCTTCTGAATTAGTTAACTTAGGCTAAAAACTTAGCATGGCCAAAACCAGCCATACCTTGACTGGCCACAAAAGTCAAAAGTCAAAAGTCAAAAGTCAAAAGTCAAAAGCTAAAAAAAAAAATAAAAATAAAAAGAAATTAAGAAAAAGGCCAATAGAATTTTAATTTTAAATATTTTTTAAAAAAAAAAAAATTATAGACAACACATCTACATCTACATCTCATAAATTTTATTTTATTTTATTTTTTTTTTCACTTAAGAGAATTGAGATGAACCGCACCCAAAGATATTTCGTTGCCTATGATTATGAGGGACTCTTGAATTTGTGACGAATTTTTCAAATACATTTTTATCATTTTAAATTAGCCACGTGTTTTTATGCAAGTAGTTGACAAAAATGGCTGTTAACCTCAAATGGGTTTTTTAGTACCTATGCTTTTTCTTAATTAATTGGTACCACAAATATTTTACCACTTGGTTGGATGCAAGAGAAGATGAACAGCAACATTACCTTTCGAGAATTTAAAGATTGTTTTTAAAAGCAATTCGCCTATAACATTGATAGTAATGTATGAAACATTAAATTATTGGAAGTCAAGAAAAATTCAAACAAAATAGATTAAGGAAATTTAATTCAAAATACCTTTCAAAGTTCATAGACTTATATAGATATGATTGACCCTTCAAGGTTCTTGATATTAAAGACTAAATTAAAAGATCTACAGTAGATAAACATTACGTTAATTTAAAAGATCTTTCCAGTTATGTGGTAGTTGGAATATTTGTGCATGAACTTCTATTATACTATATATTGTTTTTGTTTTTCTTGGCCCTTTCGTTAATCTATTGTAGTTGAAGCCAACCTGAGTTTGTTTACTAAACTTATTTCGTTCCGTCAAATTAACAGCTGTATAAAAAAGTTAATTATTATTCATTTTTTTTTTATAACAAAAAATAAAATGGATGAAAATAAAAAAAAAAGAAAAAAAATTGGTGGTTCATTCCCTCCAGAAACGACCACATTACATTTTTTTTGAACTGTCTAAGTGATTTGCAAGAAATTGTAGGCTTTAACTCTGGTTGGAGGTATTAAGGAATAAAATTAAAGCATTGATAGACAAATGAAAGGTGGATAGTGGAAATAAGTTGGGTAGTTTTAAACTTTGACCCCCTCCTGTTCCTCATAATATGTCTTTAAAACTTATTTTCCAACAATTGGAAATGCCAACGTTGATGTCAAATTAAAAGTTCATTATGAAAACGGACAGTTTTATATTATGAGCATATATGATAGCGTTGACTCTGATGATATATTCCTATCTCTTGAATAAAAACATAAAAATCTTTACAATTAGATTTTTAAAGTATTGTTAATTCTTAAATATTGTGTATTTTTTTGGTTCAAACAAATTGAGATAACTATTGACAAAAAAAAAGTTTGGAACGTAGGTTTACCATTATTTTAATTTCACTCTATTTGACATTTTTGTTTTACTTATTTCTATTATTTCTATTTCTATTTCTATTATTATTATTATTATAACTATTATAACTATTATTAATTTTTTTTTTTTGAAAAATTCGAAGATAATACCTGATTAACCATTAAAATTTACTCGTCTATTTTTAATTGGACAAATTCACCAAAATGATTGATATACTTCTAAACACATGGCCATTATACTATAGTTACTGATCACTGTAAAGTCAAACATAGTAAATTTAAACAGCCCCACAATTTTTTGAGTTCAAATTCCTAAAAGGTTAGTTCTAGGAACCATTTTTTTTTAAACAAAAAATTAGTAATTTAGTAACAATAATGTTCAGTATCAACAATTTTAGATTCGAATTTATTATCAACATAAGTATGATGCTAAAATATAAAAAGAGAAAATCAAAACAAAAGATCCTTTAGATACAGATTTTGATATTTAAGTTAAAATAACTATGAGTTTTCTTATTTACTATTTGTTAAATTCCGAAACACAATGAAAAGGTTCTCTAATGTAGATATGGGCTTATTTAATGTATCCCCATTACTAAATTTCACACTGGTACATGATCATTTCAATAATATTTACACGTAACAAAGCATTTCAATCCTCATTTAAGATAAATGAGATATCATTATTCTTCATGAAATAATCTGGAACTTAATTAATTCCCAGATTTGTTATATCAATTTTTTCAAAAGTTAATTTTTCTTATCACTAATGGTACATTTGAAAAAAAAAAACATTTAAATGGACCAAAGGCATTCATTCTTCTAAGAATGGGTTTTAAAATTTGACTCTGATATGCATCGCTAAAAGAATGATGATGGAACGTTTAACTCTAGTGTTAATTAAAGTATATGTAAAGATAAAATTAACTTAAACAGCTGAATCAATATATTGAAATATACGGTTAACTATTTTACAAAGTTATAAACACAAAACTATCGTTCAATGTATTTATTGTATATATTTAATTATGAGTTTTATTTTTCATTAAAATCAATTTTCTTTAAAAAGAAAATAAAATCTGAATCTTAAAATATGATGTCGAGTAATTAAGCGCGCATTTTAATTTCTGAACCCTTAATATGTAATATTTTTTTTTATTGGTGGTATAATGGGGGGGTTTTTTTTATGAATATATTTCCAGAAATGATAAGTATTTTGAATTTGCGAAACTTACAGTACCAAATAAGAAAATAAATTTCATATTAATATTAAACAGCTGGCTTTATTCAAGCTAATGATATTTTGAACCATAGGTTTTAACCAGTTTATA